CCAACACATCGGGGCTAGCGAGCGATTTAGTGACGATGCTTGAGCCGCTGCATCAGCAGCTGCCGACACTCAGCAAAGACAGCGTGCTTCTCGACAACGATCAGGGTCTCTGACGACGCCGCATTCTTCTCGCGACGCTCCAAGCACGGCACGGATCGCAGGTGCTCAATCGGACCGAACGAGGCTCGGATCGAAGCTCTCACGCTACGGCTAGCTTCCGACGACCAGCTCGAAGCGCATTCAACACGTTGACGAGCGACGAGACACTGCAGCTACGATGTTGAGCACCTCGACGTCGCCTCATCTCTGCACCTGAACGCCCATTAGTAGCACTGCCAAGATGATCACACACACGCCTCGGGCGGATCCGATCATCTCGGCTTCTCCGTCTAGCAGTCGTCAGCCTCTGAACCAGCCAAGGATACCCATCACACCGCATCGATACCGAGCAGCAATCTCTTCAGATCAGCGCTTTCCCGCGACCCCCACCTCGCGCCGTACCTCGATTGTCGACGGCGCAGACGACAGCCCGACTGCAAAAAGCTCTACCTCCAACTGGCAAGCCAGCATTGAGCTTTCCCTGACCACCCGTCGCCGTCTCATCCGCAAGCCTCTGCCTCAGATTCCATCATCACAGACCAACCCTTCCTCTGACAGAGCAGCTGCCGATGATGGACTGGTCGACTCAGCTGTAATCGACCTTCTCTACCGAAAGGCAGACTCGTGGTGGCCTGACGCTCTTCCCGACAAGCAAGATACCTCGCTTCCTCTCCCTTCGTCTTCTCGTGTAGCGGATCGCGCTGGGATACAGAACCCCACGCAGCAACAAGAGGCCAACGACGGCCAGGGTCTTGATGAACAAAGCCTGCGTCATCTCCTCACCATTCTTCACTACGCTGCGCTTCGCTGCGAATTCAAAGCTGGCTCTTCCAACGACGACGGCACCATCGGCCGCAATGTCGTGGTGTCGGCGACAGGCACATACAAGAGACAGTCCGCATCCAACAATACTGCCGCACCTGCCTCTGCATTGACCGACAGCGACAACCAGGGTCTGTATATCCTCGACGAGGCCACACTGGACAGCCTGTATCATGCGCTCCAGGCAGCCTTTCGACATCTCTCACAGAAACAGGTGCTGGGTGCCTTGCAACGCACTGCTTCCATACGATGGCGCGCCGAGGCTCAGCTCCGCAATGCAACAGCATCTCAAGCGGCAGAGGCAAACAGCGTCCTCTCCTCGCGATGGACTCGCTTCGCGTGGCCCGCCGCAGCTTTAGGCAAGGCTTATAAGGAAGCACAAAGAAGCGTTCTGCCGTCTACTCCTGGCGAGGGACCCTTTTCCGGATTCATCACGCCTTCCCACCTACCTCTGAACCACGACCTGTACAGCGGCCTCTACGCTGATCCGGAACAGCGCATACGCAAAAGAGACGTCGCCGTCAAGATCTTGAGCAACGCCATCTGGTTTGTGCGCAACTATGGTCCCGACGCAGGTGTCGAAACAGTGCAAGATTCAGCAGGCAGCCTTGGCGAAAAGACCTCTTCACAGGATGCTCAAGGTACGGCATCTGCGACGAATGCCATGCCACCTCCTTCCTTGTCTTCAAATCGACGAATATCGGAGAATCTGCTTAAGAAGAGTGCAGGTCTCCCTCTTTACACGCCCAAATCGAGCGCCACAACGGCTCTGAGCGGGACGGCGACGCCCGAAAGCAGTCAATCCGACGCACCTCCCACCCCTTCCTCGGCTACGAGCTCAGCTGCAGCAGCCTCCGTCTCACCCCTTCAAGACATCGGGAGCGCCCCTGCGAGTGCCGCTGGGCAACAGCTGCCGAGAACGCCCTCAATGACTGCCCTGAACGCGTCGGCAGCCCCTGTTATTCCACGGTCCGAGCCCATGGTGACACCTTCCAGCGAGACTGCTCCATCACCTGCAGCTGCATCGCCCAAAGGAAATGCGGGCGAGAAGAGCAAGGCCATGGAGCACCTTGCATCCCTCAGCGCCGCTGCAGGCGCCGCCATGCGTCAACGTGCTCAGCAGGCAGCTGCGGCTGCCGCAGCGAACGGGACCGCGCCAGAAGACTCGATCGATGCCGCGATTGCCGCTTCTACCACCTTGCGTCCACAGTCAAGTCGACCCAGCTTGCGCTCCTTTCCAAGTCGTTCGGAAGCAGAAGAGGCCGAAACAGATGCACTAGAAAAGGCTGAACGAGACTATCTCGCCAAGGTTGGTCAGGGCTGCGATGAGTGGGCCAAAATGGTAGTATGCCGGCTGTGCGCCTCCATCTCTGTGGCCGACGCAGCCGATACGAAGCACCGTCGCCGTTCGGGCACGTTGACGGCTAGGGATTTCGGGAACGCCCTGGCTGCCTCGGACAACGCAGACGTAGGGTCAAGCATATCGACACGCTCCGATATGACTGCGAAGGCGGGCAAGGTAGGTCATGGCCTTCCGCAGCGTCAGCGCCCAGACATTGCTCCGGACGGCCACGGACAGCCCAAGACAGGCACAGTCGCATGGACGCCCGACACTTTCGATGGTGAGGAACTTTTTTCACACCACGGCACGTCATCGCATGAGCGCAAAGCCAGCGTTTCGCCTCACGACGAAGATGAGCGAGTCAGGCTGGTCGGCGGCAGCTTCGTCTGTCATGTCCAGACCGAACAGCAGAGGCAGGCATTGATCGAGCTTCTGGAAATCGCTTTGTACGTTGGCATGTCGATGCTGCTCGAGTCGAGCTTTCTGAGCGACTCGGACGCGGCTCGTCCCAAGCTCGTCAAGGTACCCACCCGCACGACTTCGAATGTCGATGCGCCTCAACGAGGTGCCAGCCTGATCCAGCAGCCGGTTCTCTCCCGTGCCAGCTCGCAGCAGAGTCTCGATGGCAGTCAGAGATCGATCTCTGGTAGTAGCAGCACGCAACCAACCTCGTACTATCCAGAGCCAGCTGCCCAGATATCCGGCCATATGCCTGAGACCGATGCTTCCACCTCCAAGCCTGGCTCGAGGAAGTGGACCAAGAGTCTCTGGGGCAAGCTTGGCCAGCAAACGAATGAATTATCGATTCCCGGCTCGAACGCTTCTGCGGCACGACCCGGGACAAGCGACGGTCATGGAGCAGCGGCGCCTCGCACCTCACTCACAATGCATCGCTACCACACAGACGACGATGCAAACAGCTTGTCAGCTACAGCCAACAGGAGACCCCTGTTCAAAACAGGTGAAGAGCCCAAGCAAACAATCGCGGCAAGGAAAGCGGCCCTCTTCGCCAACAGCACCAACAACTCTGCACCGCCCACGCCACACGGCGGCCGTACTGCTGCTGGCGATCCTGTGACCCAACCGAACAGCAAGCCAAACCGCCTGGTAGGACGACTAATGAATGCATTTGCACGTTCAGCTGTCGCGGACCCTCCTCGAGCGGATGCTACTCGCCCTAGCTTTGACGCTAACGCGATAAATGCATCGTCTGATCCTGCTTCGGCGACAGGAGCACGGACGACGCATGGTAGCGATCTAGTCACGTCCCGGTCGAGAGCAACAACGGAGAGCAAGCTGTCCAACTTTCAGAGACTGCGCGTACAGGCCAAGCCAGCGCTTGCCTTCCCACTTCAAAGTCCCAGCCCAGCTGCTTTGTCCACCTCGCCAGAGCTTTCGATGCTTCTTTGCTACCAGTACCGACCTGGTCCGGCTCAGCCCACGTTCTCGACCGATGCATACCTGACCGCTTTCCACCGCTTGCAATTGCTGCGCTTTCTGGCGGATCAGCGTCGCGAGCAGCTGACGTTTGCGTCGCCCTCGCATGGTATCTCATCATCTGGCGATATTCTGCCCTTTGTGGGCGCGCAAACACCTGCATCGGCCTCACCTTGGAGCGTCATCCTGTCTCGAGGTCAGCAGCAGCAACAGCAGCCCAACGGGAGAGTCGGAATCCGCCCCGTCCAGCTCCTATCTTACGAGCTGCTGTCCAGCGACGGTACGGCTCTGGGTCTCTGCCGCGAGGAAGTTGCCTTCTACCAAAGGCTCAGCAACAGCCGCGACGTGCCGCTGGGACAAGTCATTGAAGAGCTTGCCATTCGTGCTCGTACGATGGAGGCAGACCACGCTGCCTCGTCCAAGACAACGAACGAGTCTCGCTTTGCTGGTGCAAAGAGTCAGATCAACGGAGCCCGAGATCAGACGGACACTGCACTGGCTCAGCGCATCAACAGCGTTTACGATGCTCCAGAACAGCGCTTGCAATTTGTACATGGATCTTGCCGGATCAAGGTGGTTGCTACCGTCCTGCCGTCACGCTTGTACGATGACGGCACAGGGGACGATGCGCAGCACGCCGATAGCACAAACGCCGAAAAGGTCTCGGGCGATCCAATCTTGCAAACCAGCAGTCGGACTGTGCGTCCAACGGAATCTCGAGAAGTTGATGTCTCCGCCATTGCCGCAGCATCGCACACGGACAAGGAGGCAGCCAATACAGCGTTCGCCGTGGCCGAGACCGCCGTACAAGCGGCAGAGAGCGGTGCGTCTCGGCCGTTGGTTGACCAACGAGGGAGCGCAAGTGCCAGCGGCATTTGGATGTGGAATGCGAGTGCCAAGAGCGGCTGGCAGGGCAAGGCAGCACCCATGTCCGAACCCACCTACCTCCTTTCCTTTGCTCGCTATCTGGAAGCCATCTCTTACCATCCAGCACTGCGCCGCGCAGCAGGATTGGAGCCCGCGAATGGTAAGGCTTACGGTGGTCTCGCCAACGTGCAGCAGCAGCTTCGTCAAGGCAGAAGCGAGGACGACCGCAGTGTCGCAGAGGGCGCCAGTCTGTTGCGTTTCTTCCGCAGCGGCCGTTCGCTTGTCAAGGTGCAAGTGCAGCCTCTTGTTCTCTACGACCTTCACATTCAAGGGCCTTGCCTCCAGACGAGCAGCGAGCGTCGGCGCGATAGGAAGCAGAAGCAAGCTCAAGCAGAGAAGCGCAAATTCAGGCAATTGGCAGAACAGACGCGCCTCGAGATTCAACGCTTCTTTGCATCGATCAAGGGCAACACGACCAGGCTGGAAGGTGTCTTTGTGTCTCGCGACCTCGATGAAGCCGGCAAGACAATTCGCAGAAAGTCAACAGCACAGCCAAATGGTGCGGCTGCTTCGCCGAACCTGACGATGTCAGAAGCAGTCGCAGAGCCGTTGAGCTTGCTGACCAACTTGCGCTCGTCCCTGCGTACGGACGAGTTCGAACTCTACGAAGCTCTGCAACGCACGTTCTTCCTGGACGGGATCAACGATGTGCGCAAGGCCTTTGCTGATCGCGCCAAGTCGGCCAAGAATCGCCTCCTTGCTTGGACCAAGAAGCATCTGAACAAGAAGGAGCAGACCGACTTCGGAAGCTGTACCTATGATGAACCCGAATACTTTGTAGCAGGTCGCCGTGCTTTTCCCGGCAGCTCTTTCATCATTCGTGATGACGAGCCACTCTCCATCATCGCCTACTCCCTCAGCTCACGCGACTTCCGTGCCGAGATGGGAACGCTTGTCGATCGCCAACACGAGGCTGCCGGGTACATGGGCAGCAGTAACGAGGAGCACGTCAAGCAGTGGCGTAGCGGTGTAGTCGATGGCGGTGACGGCGTCAAACATGGCTCGTACATCTCCACGTCTGGTGCTAGCACCACTACAACTGCCTCATCTCTGCTCGCGGAGAGACCGACACGCAATGTGCCGCTGGCTCAACTTGATCCTGACAAGGACGAGGTGTTCTTCGACGCCGAACCTGTTCGTGCCGCTTTGAAGCGGAAGAAGCGCGGCCGGGAGTCGTCCATCTTGTCGCTGACGCTGAGACGCGTTGGCTCGACCATCTCGGAACCGCAAAACGCTAGTTATCGCCTCAAGACGGCAAACGGGCACCCACCCTCCTCAGCCGGATCGATCAAGGATATCGACGATGACGACGATGATGACAAGGCTAGAGACGTGGCAGCAACCGACAGGCGCGGCTCTTTCTCCAACAGCTCCATAGACGGTCAGGATACCACTCTTGGCGCTCCTCGTAAGGGCACAACACCTCTGAGACGACTCTCTGCAGCTTTGCAGGATCATCAATCGTCGTCGCCGACCAAGTCGGACCTGTCAACCTCAGGCAGTGTATCTGCACTCCGACGTACCTTCGAATTGCGCTCGCAGTCCTCGTTCTCATCCATTCCGGACAGGAAGTCTTCGATTCAGCCGCAGCGACCAGGCCAGCCTGCGAATGGAAGCGCCGTCAGCACGACAAGCACGGACACCACTTTCCAAGCGCAGGTCACACCCATGTCGGGTCGTCCTGCGTCGCTCGCTAGCATCTTTTCATCAGACAAGCATGGGCCGGAAGCCGCAAACTCGCGACTGAGCGGTGTTGCACCACGAAGACCTGGATTGGCCGCACCCTCTGCCATCCCTCGTTCTCCATCCCATGGCCGACCATCATTCTCGTCCACGTCAGACGCTGCTCAGGCCTCAGCCGGCGCATCTCCCGCGGCCAAGGACAGCCTAAGGCCACATCGCTTGTCGGCGCAGCCAACGCCGAGCGAAGGAGGTCTTGGGGCCGATGCACAGTCCATGATCTCACACAGCACGCTTCCAGGCTCTCAAGCAGCCGAATCGCCCCACATCAAGCACAACGTGATTCACGGCAGCACCAAGATCTCGTGCGTCTCTTGGTTTGCGGAAGAATTCGCGGCGCTGCGCGACAAATGGGGAGTAGAGCACGACTATGTGCAGAGTCTGTCGCGCTGTCAGCCATGGGTTGCGACAGGAGGCAAGTCGAAGTCGGCGTTCTTCAAGACGGCAGACGAGCGCTTTATCGCCAAGCAGCTGCTCACCGTGTGGAGCGTCGACGAGAAGGAGGCCTTCCTCGAGTTCGCCCCCGCGTACATTCGGTACATGATGAACTCGGCGGTCAACGACTGTCCGACGCTGCTCGTCAAGATTGCAGGTGTCTACAGCATCAAGATCAAGGACGTCAAGTCAGGAGAGATGAAGTTGAAGATGAACGTGATGCTGCTGGAGAACCTGTGGGCTGGCGATGGCGGCAACTCGGTTCGCTTCGATCTCAAGGGCATCCGAGATCGCAGGGTCAAGCTGAGTGCCCAGCAGCAACAGGACCTGCAACAAGCTGCCACTAACGCAGCTGCCACGGGTCAGCCACTGGTCGATGTGCCCGGTGCGGCGAAAGGCACGCCTGCACAGGGCTCTGCGACGACTGCGATGAATGCTGGGATGACGGCGGCAGCCGACAGCAGCACTTCGGGCACCTTGCGGGGCGCCAACACCACGCAGACCAGTCCAAGCCGCATCGGTACAGATGCTGATGCCAAGTCGTCTTCGAGCTCAAGTGCAGTCTGGTGGGACAGCGAGTGGATCGAACGCTACCGTCACCGCGCGTTCGTACCCGAGACGCAGAAGGAGCTCTTCTTCCGCGCCTTGCAAAACGACACGCAGTTCCTCACCGCCTCCAACGTCATGGACTACTCTCTGCTCCTTGGGGTGATGGAGAAGCCCATCCGGCCCGAGGACATGTATCCTCCTGCCGCATCGCCCACCGCCGATAGCGCCGACGTGGACGAGACACCCCACCGCCCCTCGTTCCGATGCAGGATCGTTGACTTCCTGGGCGCCTTTACGCTCGCCAAGCAGCTCGAGTCGAGCTCGAAAAAGGCGTTGAAAGGCCAAGACGCCAAAGGCAACGTGACGATCCTACCGCCGTCCGAGTATGCGAGCCGATTCCTGAGCGCCATGGACAGCTACTTTATCGGCACGCCGTGTCAGCCGAGATTGGACGCGGCGTACGGGTTCGATCGGATGTGCGAGGAGGCTGGGCAGAACGACGGTGCCCGACCTCGATTCGCTTCTGTTCTGTAGATGCAATGTCCATGTGGAAAGGTGCTACAATGCGATGCGTGTTCCGATGAGATGGAGGCTAGAAATACAAGTGCGAGTGGTCGGTGTCGGATCAATGTGATGGATTCAACAGTTGATGAGCCAGACTAGGGCTATTGAAACCAGACCCCATCCCGCTCCTTTGACCCTTGTCCTCATCATCCTCGCTCTCGTCGTCGTCCTCCTCCTCACCAGCCGCACCACCCCTCTTCCTGCGCTTGACCCTCGGATTCGCCTCCTGTTCCATCCTGTACCGACTCAAATACACCCGGAGCACCTCTTCGTAGTTATCAAACCCTAGCACACGCATTGCGTAGAGGATATCATCCCCATTGATGGTCTTGCGTTTCTCTGCGGCGCACTTGTCGGATGCTTCGGAGGTGATAAAGCTGATCAGCTCGGAGACGCAATCCTGGACACACTCCTTGGCGTCTTTGGCGATCTTGGCGTTCTCGGGTAGGGAACGCTTCATGATGCGCGAGATGTTGGCAATGGGCAGATCGGGGTCCGGAAACATGGCTGTGTAGGTTGGATGCGAGGAGAGGTTGGTCGGGTCCAAAGAGGTGGTGGACGTTGGGGTGGAGGCGTGTGTGGCGTTGGCGTGGTGATGAAGCGCATGAGAGGAGGAGGTGTACGAGCCGGGCGTGGAGTGGGATGATGTTGGACCATCAAATGGGAGTGCGCCCGTGGGGGTTGAAGTTGAGGCCACCATGATGGGCAGCCTGGAGGGTCAAGATCCAGGGCGAGACCCGTCGGATGGTGTGCTTTGTCCAGACTTCGAGAGCTCGAGATACTGCCAAGTTCCGCGCAAGGTTGGAAACAGACTTGAAGGATAGCCTTAAGCGCTGTTTGCTACGATGAGAGCCGCGAAGACGAACGAGCACGATGATCACGGGTGGTGGGACATGATCAAGAAGAAAAAGAGTGGAATTCTCCACACGACCCTCGACTTGACCCTATGCTGCCGTGCTGCATCAGGCCAGGAGCTGCACAAGACCCTGAAGCAAAGCAAAATTTCTGGCTGATCTTGCTGCACGTGACGCTCCGACTTCCGAACATGGCCATACCGATTTCTTCCGAACACGATACAAAGAGGCGGATGGTGATGGCGAGTTCAAGCATAAGAGCACGTCGAACGTCCCATTGGAAGGTCTATGTATTGCTGTACCAAGATCAGAAGGAGAGAACATGCATGAGGAAGAAGACGCAAGTGGGCAACGGCAGAGCGGTGCGATAAGGCCATCCCTAGGACTGCTGCTGCTGCTTGTAAGGCAGCACAACCTTGCTCACAAACAGATTGTGCAGCCTCGTATCTGGGGTCAGCTCCGGGTGGAAACTGGTCATGAGGATGTTGCCCTGCCGCAAAGCGACGATCTGCGAATCGTGTGCTGGTCGGTCAGCGATGTCCATCCTTGGGTCGCGCTGAGCGATGTGTGCTGCGACAGGCCGGTTGACGGGCGACTTGGGTGTTGTGACAGGCTCGGGCAAGGTAGCGAGGATCTCGATGGGCGGTCGCTTCTTTGCCGAGCTGACTGGATCCGACGTGTCGTAGAGGGGAGGGGCGACGACGATGCGCAGTGTCTGTTCTGCATTGGCGAGTTTAGGCAGGGGTGGTTCCGATGCGTTTGCAGGGAGCTCTGTTGTTGGCGTCAGCGGCACTGCCATCGTATTGGTGACCGGAACAGGCACTGACTCGGGCAGCGTGTTCGGATCGACTCGCTTGACCAACGTCGGCTGGTCCACGCCCACCTTCTCCAGATCGCTCGGCAACAACAACGCATCAACCACGGGTGCTCGGATAAAGACTCCGTTGAACGGCTCCTCCTCCCTTTCCATCCCTTTGATCCGCAACCCGGTCTCGAATGAATCGATCTGCGATCCAAAGCCGTTCCTCCCAACCCGCACGTCGACGCCGCCGATCAACTGCTGCCCACCCTTCTTGCCGCCACTCGCCTCCCTAGCCAGCATAATCATGCCAGCGCACGTGCCCCATACAGGTCGCTCATCGCGCACCCACTTGCGCAGCGGCTCAAGCAACCCGATGCGCTCGCAGCCGAGCGAGATGGCCGTCGACTCGCCACCAGGCATGATAAGCGCATCGCAGTCGGCGAGCTGCTCGGGTGTGCGCACAAGCACGCTGCGGATGGTGGAGGCGTGAAGCGTGTTGAGTCGGTTGACGTGAGAGGCGTGCTCGCGGAAGGCACCTTGAATGGCCAGGACGCCGATGGTGATGGTCAAGTTGGATGAGCTCGACGAGGAGGCGGAGGGGGACATGGTGCTGCCGTTGGTGAGCGCGGCACCCGTTGCAACGCCGATTCCCGCCGTTGCTCCGTGATGCAGGATATGTTGCCTTGCTTGACGAGGTCGTAATCGAGTGCTGCCGATTGGAATGACAGTGATGGGCAAAGGGATCGATGCTGATGACGAGGATCGAGAGGCAAGAAGGGGGGCAAAAAGGATCTTCTGACTCGCTGAAACCTTAAACTCGAAAATAATCACGCTCACCAACGCATGCTGCGATGTAACACGTTTGAAAAAAGGGGCCGATTTGGGCGATGCGGGTCCGATCAGCGACGCGAGAAGAAAGAGAGACGAGAGAGACACGAGCCATGTCATTCATCTTGCTCGCCTTGCTTCTCTCTTCTCTTCATCGCTCATCCACCAACAGGGACAAGGGTAGATCAAAGGTGCTTTCGCAACGATGCCGCCTCGCAACAGGACGCTCGACTTGCCCGTCGCCGTCAACGAGTCCATCTCGCTCGACCTCGACCCGCTTCCTCCAGCAGAAGATGTTCAAGTCTTCTTGGAAGCGCTCGCCTACGAACGCCCTTCGTCCAGATACTGGTCTCGCCTCGCTTCTCAGCTCTACTTCGAGAACCGAGTCCCCGAAGCCATTCAGGTGTGCTCCCAAGGTGTGCAGGTCCTCGCAACCCACAAGCCAGCAGAGACGATCCCGCTTCGAGCCTTGCTCGCTTCCTTTGCACTCAAGAACGCCAGGGCTGCACCCAAGCTGATCCTCAACGATGCTCGCTACCAGCGTCTGAACAACCAGCAGCCGAAAGACGCCTTCTACAAAGAGTTCACCGCGACCCAGCAGCAGGCGAACACGCTTGATCCCAAGCATCATGTCAACCAGCTCTCTAGGGCTATCCACCTTACCACCACCGGTCAGAACGATGGGGCTCTCGTCCTCTTTGATGCCATTCTCAATCAGCACCCTAGACATGCGCTCGCTCTTCTTGGCAAAGCGTGCGTTCTCCTTCGCAAGCGTCAGTTTGCTCCCGCTCTCAAGCTCTACCAGCAAGCCCTCGAGGTCAGCATGCTCGTTCAGGCGAAAGCCGACAAGGAGGGAGAGAAGGCAACCACTCTCGGCTGGCGAGGTCCTGATGCTCGTATTGGTATCGGTCTCTGTCTCTGGGGTCTCGGCCACCACGACTCTGCCAGGAAGGCTTGGAAGCGCGCTGCGCAAGTCAATCCCAAGAACGCCGCTGCTCACCTCCTGCTGGGCATCTCCAGTCTCAACCTCGTCAAGCAGACCGCGCGTCTCGTGCCCGGCACGTTCGGCGCTCATGTCGAGAGGTCCGAAGAGGAGGCCCGCGAGCTCGCTTTCACCGAAGGCATGTCCAGCCTACAGGAAAGCTGGAAGCTCGACAAGAGCAACGCCACGGCCGCCGTCGTCATGGCCGAGTATTTCATCAACAACGCTGCCCAGGCCAAGAACCAGCCTGGTCCTGTTGCCGAAGTAGAGCGCGCCGCAATGGCTCACTACAACACTGCACTCAAGCTCGGCGAGCACGCCATCCAATACGCCGAGGCTCGCATCGGTGTCAACCATGCCCAGCTCATGTACGCCCGCGCGTCCCACCTCGCTTCGCAGCTCTCCATCAATGCTACCCAGCCTGAGCTCCGTCTTCAAGCACAGCGATACTACACTCGCGTCGTCGACGATGTGACGCGTATGCTGCCAAGTGCACCTTCCAATGCCACTGCTCAGCTCCATCTGTGCCTGTCGCTCGCCACGCTCGGTCTTGCCCAGTGCCAGGTCGCCAACCGAGTGCCGCTCGCCGCCATCAACACTCTCGATGCTCTCACTTCGAAACCCACCAACTCGGCTTCGGCGACCCAGTCCATCGAGCTTTCCTTGCTGGCCGCCAGCCTGCGCGCTCAGTCGCATCCCGGCGCTACTGCTTCCGAACGACAGGAGGACGCCGAGCGTGCACGTATCATCCTCGACCGTGCTCTCCGTCTCATTGACGCTGCGAAGCTCGATGCGTACGGCCCGCAGTCTTTGACCGCTCAGTCGGACGAGTTTCCTTCTGCGTCGCCGGCCAACATGTCGGCTGCCACTGCCGACGCTGCCGCAGATGTGCCCGCTGCTCTCGCAAAGGCCTCGCTGTCCATTCGCACCGAGGATCTCTCCAAGACGGCGCTCGAGGCGATTGCCAGTTTGGGATCGGACCCGCTCACTCGTGTTGAGTTCGCCGAGCTGCTCCAGACCGAAGATCTCGCCCGAGCCACTACAGCCTACGCAGAGGGCCTCGAGCTGGCTAAGGCGAAGTCAAGCACTCGAGGCAAGGACATCACTGCTATCGAAGACGACGAGACTGCCACCAATGTGGCGCTGCTCACTAGTCTTGAGACGTGTCTCGGCGCAGTGCTTGCCATCCGCGCCATGGACATCCCGAGCAACGACACACAGCGCGAAGAGGAGCGCACATGGCTGCTCCAGCGAGCCATTTCGCGCCTCGAGTCTGCCGTCACTGCTTCTGCCAACGCTGTCAATGCATTTAGCGCTTCGGCTGCTTCGGCGCCAGCCACTCCCGCACGTCTCGAGGCCCAGAGAACGGTCGATGCCGTCAAGCTCATCGCCTCGTACAATCTTGGTCGCGCCCACGAAGCTGCTGACCACGTAGATGCTGCTCGTGAGGCCTACCAGGCTCTCCTGCGCGGTCATCCCGAGTACACGGATGCCAAAGTCCGTCTGGCCATCCTCAACGTCTCGAAAGCCCCCGCAAGCGCTCCCGGCCCCGAGTACGTCGCCGAGATCAAAACGCTGCGCAATGCTAGCGAAGTACTTCTCCGAGAGGCCCTCACTTCGGACCCAGGCAACCTCGACACACGCTCCACCTACGTGTGCTTCCTTGCCGGCGAGTTCCCTGGCAGCCCTGTCCCGCAGTGGGCTGCGATCAAGGTCTTCACAGCTGAACTGTTCGGCGCTACGGATGCCGCGCTGCAGGCCAAGTTCGGTGGGCCAGCTGCAGCCAAGGCAGCAGTCGACAGTGGTCGTCGCGACCCGCACACCCTCTCCGCTCTCGGCTGGGCCTACTACCAGCTCGCCGTCCATGCCACTGGCTCCACGGCCAAAGCCGATCGCAGTAAGAACATGATGCGCGCGACCGATCTGATGGACAAGGCTCTGTCCGCCGATCCACGCTGCGCCTTCGCTGCCCAAGGAATGGCCATCCTCCTCGCCGAAGATGCCTTTGCCGAAACCGCCGGTGGCACATCCCTGACACTTCCCTCTTCCCTCGGTGGCGCACCCGAAGAGCGACGCAAGAAGAACGCCGACGAAGCCCTCGCGATCCTGTCCAAGCTGCGCGAGGTCCGCGATGAGGGCAGCGTGCACGTATGCATCGGTCACGTCCTCATGCAGAAAGACGAGTTCGAACGTGCGCACAAGTCGTACGAGTTGGCTTCGAAGCGGTTCTTCTCCGACGCCAATGCGGCGGTGATCCAGTACGTGGCACGGGCCGAGTACGCGGTGGGCATGAAGAGCAAGAGCTTTGCCAGTCTGCAGAGCTCCATGTCGCATCTGCTTCAGGCGCGGGAGTTGGTCATCCGCGAACGGGGCACGGAGCATCCAGAGGTTCGACAGATCGAATACAATTTTGCGGTCACCGCGCAGAAAGGATTGCAGATGCTGTTTGATCTGCAGAAGGATCGTAAGAGCGCGAGTGCGCTCAGGGAGGCGATTGCGGCTGTGGAACGGGTGCAGCCGCTGTTGGTGCCTGGCGATGGCGAGGAAACGGAGATGGGCAAGCAAGGTGCCTTGATCGAAGCGGCCAAGAAAGGTCAGCTGCTGTGGATGGCACCGGACGTGGTGGAGCAGCGAGGCAAGTACGGCGCCTCGTCTCTTCTTCAACGTGCCACCCAAGCGTTGACCGACCAGGAGAGCTACGAAGCGGAGATGCAGAAGCAGAAGGAAGCAGTGGCGGCGGCGAGGAAGGAGAAGGAGCTGGCGAGGGAGCAGGAGAGGGTGAGGAAGGAGGAGGAGTATCGTGCGCAGATCGAGCAGATGGCCGAGAAGCGCAAGGCGCTGCGGGAGGAGGCGGCCAAGATCGAGTATCTGCGCGAGGCGACGCCGGAGAAAGAGCCGAGGAGGAGGGCCAAGAGGGAGGATGTCACGAGTGGGGAGGAGGATGCGCCTGACGGTGCAGCCGAAAAGGGTAAGAAGCGTAAGCGAGGTGGCGGGAAGAAGAAGAAGGGTGGAAAGAAGGATGTTGTGGAAAGCGACAATGAGGATAGCGACGACGAAGGGCTGTTTGGTGGCGGGGCGAGTGGAAGCGAGAGCAGCGATGCGAATGACGACGAGGACGGTGATGAAGAGATCATCCGCAACGGCGCACAGTTGCTCGCCGACGAAGGCGAAGCCGGGGCCACCCGCAGCGGCAAGTCGTCCAAGCTATCCAAGCTGGCCAAGTCCAAGAAGAAGTCCTCCTCGTCGTCGTCGAGCAAGAAGGCCAAGCCGGAAAAGAAGAAGAAGCGCAAGAGTCTCAAGAGGGCCAAGGCGCGCGACACGGACGAAGACGACGATGATGACAATGAGGCAGCTGATGGCGGGGACAGCGACGAGGACGCGGGCCGAGCGAGGAAGAGCAAGAAGGGCGTCTTCGACGAGAGCAGCGATGAGGACGACGACGTGGTCGAGAAGAAGAAGTCAAGCTCAAGTCAGAAGAGGACCAAGAAGGCGCGTGTCACCAACGACATGATTGACAGCGACGAGGAGATGGCGCTTCTCGAGATGGAGTAGGGCTTCCGCCCGCTTTCTCCGTTCCGATCTGTTCAGATTTCATGGCCAATGCTTGCGCAGACAATCAAAACGATTTGACAAGGACCATGAACGGAGACTGTGCCCTATTCGTGACCTGTCCGTGACGTCGCCATAGCTGAGCATGACATGGATGCCGACCGCGGGCCTGACGAAGCGGCCTCCGTGGCCTAACCCCGGTCATAATCTAACAACCTGGCGATTTTCCAGACCGAAGCGAGCTTTCAGGCGAGAAGTCTAAATTCCCTCGCGAGAAGGTCTTCTGGATTTCGGAGGGCCGGCTTTTAGCAGCTCGAGCCGGAAAGGCAAGTCTTCTGACCAACCAGAAGCAAGCAGCCACTGACTCGGATGTGACGGTTGCCATCTTCACCCCTCTCGTTCTGCCTTCCTTCCACAACGAACGCAAGAACGATAGACAAGGATCAACATCAACGATCGCAATCACGGCCCGACTCGAGCCTCAAGACAGAAGCGCTCTTCCTCGCACGACGATCGCTCGCCACCTCACGCGCTATCCTCTCACAGCAGGCCGTCTTGAACAAGACCTTCCTCAAGTTACCCCACACATCTCCGTCTCACTCCGGCATCCAATGTTCGACTCGATAGAAGACGCGGTCGCGGACATTCGCGCGGGCAAGTTCGTCGTGGTCCTCGACGATGAGGACCGAGAAAATGAAGGCGATCTCATCATCTCCGCAGCCCTCTGCACCACCAAACAGATGGCGTGGTTCATCCAGCACACCTCAGGCTTCATCTGCATCTCCATGACTCCGCAACGCATTGCTGAACTCTCCATTCCCATGATGGTGCCGAACAACACGGAGAAGAACAAAACAGCGTACACGGTGACGGTGGACTACAAGCATGGGACGACGACGGGCATCTCTGCGCACGATCGAGCGCTCACCTCGCGTCAACTGGCGGATCCGTCATTGAACGCAAAAGAGGACGACTTCACACGACCGGGCCACATGAACCCGTTGCGCTACACAGAGGGAGGCGTGAGGGTGAGGATGGGTCACACGGAAGCCAGTGTCGATCTGTGCAAGTTGGCTGGCTTGGCACCCGCCGGGCTGCTCTGCGAACTCGTGGATCCGGACGATGAAGACGGAGGCATCGCCAGCAGGGATGCGTGTTTGAAGTTTGCTAAGAAGCACGGGTTGAAGGTGACCACGATCGAGTTGCTGAAGAGGTACAGGGAGGAGACGGAGGGGGAGCTGGGGAGGGAGGTGAAGAGGTTGGGGGAGGATAAGGCGAGAGGGGTGGATATTGAGGTGCAGAAGGTGGTGCCTCCTGCGGAGACGAGTGCGTGAGTAGGGGTCATGCGAGGGATCTAGCTGCCTCAACGGACGAGCGCATCTCATTCTGCAATGGTACAAGCAATTACAAGGGCATCTCACGATGGCGAGCCTGGCCAACTAGACGTGGTGAAATGAGGCTACCAAGGGTGTCTATTCCGGCCTGCTCGCACGTTCCTGCCACTCTAACCAGCAGCGACAGCACTGTCATCGATGCGGCGCACCAGAGGGCAAGCTACTTCTTGCGAGCATCGATCACGAGACCGCAGCCTTGACTTGAGCTTGATGGTCTCGTCTTGCCTGCTTGCGAATGGACTCCAACTTAACAACCTTGCACCGAAAAAAAAGCGAGGCAGCTTGAAGCGAAATTTGTTCTTCTCGCTTCTTCCTTTGGGCTGCTGCCGTGCGAGGGACGCGTTGAGAAGATCCTGAGCGCAAAGACACACACACACAACCAAGCGCGCACTGCTGAGCAACAGCGCTGCGCACAGTCAAATTTCAGTAAAGCTTCTTGCGCCAGTGCAACACTTTCACTCTTCTTGCAGACCATCTTCGCATCAGTTCCCGCAGCACCACCCACCCGCTGCGTACTGATCAAGCACACATTTGGAGCTCCACAGCGGTACCGCACGAAGCGACGATCCAGCAGCACCCGACTCGAGACCCAGCCAGCTGCGACCACATAGCCCACCATGTCGGCACCCATCTTCGCCCAAGAGGCGACACAAGAACGAGCGGAGAATGCCCGTCTCTCGTCGTTCGTCGGCGCCGTTGCTCTCGGCGATCTCGTCAAGACTACGCTCGGCCCCAAGGGTATGAACAAGATCCTCCAATCTGTCGGTTCGAACGATATCGTGGTGACCAACGACGGCGCGACGATCCTCAAGTCGATCCACCTGGACAACGCGGCGGCCAAGATCCTGGTCAACATCTCCAAGGTGCAGGACGACGAGGTCGGGGATGGTACGACGTCCGTGTGCGTCTTGGCGGCCGAGTTGTTGCGCGAGGCGGAGAAGTTGGTTGAGATGCGAATTCACCCGCAGACCATTGTTGAGGGATACCGCATTGCCTCTGCTGCAGCCCTCAAGGCGCTCGAGGACACGGCGGAGGATCACGGTAAAGACTCCACCACCTTCCGGGAGGATCTGATGAACATCGCCCGCACGACCCTCAGCTCCAAGGTCTTGAGTGCGGACAAGGATTACTTTGCCAACCTCGCCGTCGATGCCGTTCTCCGTCTCAAAGGCTCGACCAACCTGGAGCACATCCAGATCATCAAAAAGCCAGGAGGCAAACTCACCGACTCGTACCTCGACGAAGGGTTCATCCTCAACAAAAAGATCGGCACCAACTGTCCCAAGACCCTCCAAAACGCAAAGATCCTCATCGCCAACACCTCGATGGATACGGACAAGATCAAGGTCTTCGGCGCGCGCGTTCGGGTCGAAGGCACAGGTAAGTTGGCCGAACTCGAACGGGCCGAGCGCGAGAAAATGAAGGCGAAGGTGGACAAGATCAAGGCGCACGGCATTACGTGTTTCGTCAACCGTCAGTTGATCTACAACTACCCCGAGAGTCTGTTGGCCGAAGCGGGGATCATGTCGATCGAGCATGCGGATTTCGAGGGTGTGGAGCGGTTGGCGTTGGTGACGGGAGGTGAGATTGCGAGTACGTTTGATCGACCGGATCTGGTCAAGATCGGTTCGTGCGGCAAGATCGAGGAGGTGATGATTGGCGAGGATAAGTTGATCAAGTTTTCGGGTGTGGCTGCGGGCGAGGCGTGCACGGTGGTGCTTCGGGGTGCGACAACGCAGATGTTGGACGAGGCAGAGAGGTCGTTGCACGACGCACTGTCCGTTTTGTCCCAGACGGTGGGCGAGACGAGGGTGCTCCTCGGTGGAGGTTGCGCAGAGATGTCCATGTCCAAAGTGGTCGACGAGGCTGCGCGCTCTACGTCGGGTAAGAAAGCCATTGCGACCGAAAGCTTCGCCAAGGCGCTCCGACAGCTGCCGACGATTTTGGCCGATAACGCCGGATTGGATTCGAGCGAGCTCGTCGCCCAGCTGCGCGCCGCTCATCAGCAAGGCAATGCCACCGCGGGACTGGATCTTGACAATGGTAAGGTGGCGGATATGAAGGAGCGCGGCGTTAGGGAGAGCTACAAGCTCAAGAGGCAGGTCGTCGTCAGTGCTACCGAGGCCGCAGAGATGATCCTCAGGGTGGATGACATTCTCAAGTGCGCGCCGAGGAGGAGGGAGGCTCACTAGGCGGAGGAAAGTGGCACGTCGAAGCAAGTCAAAAGATCTTTTACATCCGATCGGACGTGTGTGTTCTGTTTGTGTAAGCGGTCGCTGGGTGAGGTGACCGGGCTTGTGTCGTTGCTGCGTGAGTTGTAAGGGGTCGGTGTGAGCAGAACCGGACGAAAGGGCGCAAGCAATGCTGCACCGCCATCCCAGCTCGAGCCTCCAAACTTCAGCACTCACACCACCACTCCATCGCTCAAGCTCGACCCTCAACTCAGACACCACAATCTATGCACATCTGTCAAAAGACCCATCAATTGCATTTGCAGCTGCTAATCTCGTTCAGCCAACCTCTCCAAAATGACTCCGATCTCATCATCATCTAGCTTCCTGAACCTCTTCTGCGTCTGAACCTCTTTTGGCAGTGTACTGGAATCCAACTGTTCCACTGCACCTTCCTCCTCGCCTCCGAGTCTGTACTTTGCCGCTTCTGGACCGCCTACGATGGCCACCTCCAACTCGGTTGGCTTCAAATCCTGCGCCAGCACGGTGGCCAGCGTATTCACGGCGAGATCCAACGTCTGTTCGAGCGTGAGACTCTCACTGATGCTCTGGGCCTCTATGGCGGCTGCGTCGGTAGCGGAAACGCTTGCGTCCGTGTTGGTGGACTTCTTAAACTGTTTCTCCAAAAAATTCGTCGCCTCTGTCTGTTTCACGCCTGCAGCGGCGGCTCTGAATCCGACGTAGTAGCCTGCTGGATCGATCTTGAAAATCTGGGGTCCTCGCTCTGCATCCACCCCGACGAGCATCATGCTCACGCCGTACGGTCGCATCGCAGCGCGTTGCGTATACACCTGGTTCATATTCGCCAGTCTCTTCGCCAGCAGATCCGGCGTAATCGCATAGCCGTACTTGTACTTGAAATCTGCCGCCTCCATTTTGGCCCTCTGCACCTGGGCACGAGCGTCGGCAGTGCGACCCGTCATGATGCACCCGATCTCGGGCGTGAGCGCAAAGATGTTGGAGACGGACGTAGGGTCGATCAGCTTGTCTGGGATTTTCTTTTGACCCACCACGACGCAGCAATCGCGCCCGCGAACGGCGATGGACGTAAGCCCCGCAGTGTTGATCGCTTTGAAGGCGTATTCGACTTGATAGAGCCGACCGTCGGGGGAGAAGATCGTGAGGTAGCGGTCGTACGATGAACGCGACATTGTGGTGAGTTGCTGGCGCCGGGGTCGAAGGGTGGATACGAGGTTGAGGTTGCGCCGTTGATGAGTCGGTATGCGGTCTGCTCTCTAGGATAGATAGACTCGATGCCACCAGCAGTCGCAAATAAGGTGAAGTCGCGAGAATAGCTAGAGGGAGGAGGCGACGTTAGAAGAGCGAGAAGGTGGAAGACGAAAGTGTTGCTTGACAAGCTGAGCGTGTGGAGCTGCACTGACTGACGACGCGGTCTGAGCGCAGCGCTGGGTCAAAAAGTCAAGGCTCTGGACAGGCGCAATTTCCACTCGATCACCGCACAGTCTGAGGGGCTTCACAAGGGCCCAATCGCCGATAAGTCAGCCAGGATCTCGATATGCACGTGATGCTGGGCAATTTTGAGATTTTTGTGTGGCCGCTGAGCCTGCGCTGGGGAAAAAGTCAAATTTTGCTTTTCGTCGAGAAGAGCCGTTTCCAAGAAGCTTGAATTTTTCTTCTCGAGCCTGCAGCGAGCCACTGACAGTCCTGTTCATCGCCATCAGACAACCATAGCTGCTCTCATCACCTACTACAGTCCCTACTTGGCTCGCATCGTCTCTCAACAGCAAGAGACGCTCTCAACTCATCGCAGCACCGAGCCTCTGCGATCCGACACTGTCGCCCCTGTGCGCAGTCACACTTTCCAACCTTTTCGATTCCACCAGGCTAGGCTAACCTAGCTGATCGCCCACCATGTCGTCCGCCCCCACGCACATCCTCTTCGAGTGCGCGACCGGGTGCGCCGTGTTCGAGGTGGCCGCCGTCGAGGAGATCGGTGCGCTGACCCGCGCGGTGCAGGAGAGCGTCAACGAGGTCAACACGTTTGGCAAGATGGTCAAGCTCCTCTCATTCTCTCCGTTCAAGAACGCCCTCGATGCGCTCCAAGCTTCGCTCGACATCTCCGAAGGCGTCGTCAACGACTACCTCAAGTCGCTGTTGACGCTCAACCTGTCTTCCGGCAAGAAGAAGAGTGTGGTGCTCGGTGTGCAGGATAGGAACCTTGCGTCGTCGATCGTGGGCGAGCTGGGCATTCCTTGTGATACCGGCGAGACGTCGCTCGAGTTGATCCGCGGTGTGAGGCAGCATGCGGAGAAGCTGTTGAAGGGCATGGCCGATGGTGATCTGGCCAAGGCGCAGTTGGGTCTGGGTCACAGCTACTCGCGTTCCAAGGTCAAGTTCAACGTCAACCGATCGGATAACATGATCATCCAGGCGATTGCGCTGCTGGATACGCTCGACAAGGACGTCAACACCTTTGCGATGCGCGTTCGCGAGTGGTACGGTTGGCACTTCCCCGAGCTCGTCAAGTTGACCTCTGATAACTTGACGTACGCTAAGCTGGCCAAGCTCATCCGCAACAAGGAGCGTCTTTCGGAGGAGGACGTGGAGGACATGACCGATCTGCTCAACGGTGACGAGACCACCGCCAAGAACATCCTCGACGCCGCGCGCGCCAGTATGGGGCAGGAGATCGGCGAGCTCGACATGCACAACATCCTCAACTTTGCCGAGCGCGTCATCAACCTGGGCGAGTACCGCAAGAACATGCACAAGTACCTCATCGAGAAGATGCACCTCGTCGCACCGAATCTGTCGGCGCTGTTGGGTGAGATCATCGGTGCGCGCCTGATCAGCCATGCTGGTTCGCTGACGAACCTGGCCAAGTACCCTGCTTCGACGGTGCAGATCCTGGGTGCGGAGAAGGCGCTCTTCCGCGCGCTCAAGACCAAGGGCAACACTCCCAAGTACGGTCTCATCTACCATGCGTCCGCCATCGCGCGTGCTGCGCCCAAGAACAAGGGCCGCATGTCGCGTTTCCTCGCTAACAAGATCTCGATCGCCTCGCGCATCGACTGCTTCAGCGAGACGCCCACGACCAAGTTCGGCGAGGTGCTCGCGGTGCAGGTCGAGGAGAGGCTTGCGTTCTACGAGACGGGCAAGGCGCCCAGCAAGAACGCCGATGCCATGAGCAAGGCTATCAAGGCCATCGAGGCCGCGGCCGGCGATCTCATGGACGAGGACGCCGAAGACGATGATGAGGACTCTTCCGATGACGACTCCGAGGACGAGGTGGAGGAGAAGGAAGAGACCATGCCCGCCGCCGTCGGCGTTACAGATCCCGCCGACAAGAAGAAGGCCAAGAAGGACAAGAAGGAGCTCAGCGAGGGCAAGAAGAAGTACAAGTCGAAAATGGCCGACAAGAAGGAGCGCAAGAAGGTGGAGAAGGCGGCCAAGAAGCTCGCCAAGGAGTCACGAAAGAGCACCAAGAACAAGGACAAGTACAACAAGGACAAGAAGGACAAGAAGGCCAAAAAGTGAACTGCCTTTTTGACCCGTCTTGTTCCCTCTCTGCATCTTGTGTTTCCGTTGTTCATAGCCCTCGTGTCTGCACCTCTCTGTACTCTAGTTTTCGCGATTCGATATTCTGACCAGCTTTTAGCTCCTTGTGGCGTGTGTGCGTTTGCGTCGTGTGTGCTTGCTGCAGTGACGCGAGCGACAGAGCAAGATGCAGAGCGCGGAGCAGAGAGGTATGGTGTCGGGCAGGGGGCCACTGCCGGCCGAATGACCGGTGCATAGCCCCCTTCTCAAAAGTGGAGATTTCAGGGTTCAGCAAGCCCGTGCGCTTTCGTCTTCATGTCCCTTTCCCCATCGCATCTACCAGCCTTCCACTTTCAAGCTGTCATCAGTCTTCTGCGCCATTCACGCACGTACGGAAAGGACGCAACCTCTCAATCGGAGCACGACCTCGTTCAGGATGATCGCAAACCTACCCGCGACCGAAAAGCAAGCTTTCTTCGGGCTGTTGGACGAATACTTTGCCTCGCGGCCGCATCGTCTTCCCCCGGCTGCTGCGAGCTCTGCAGCCCCTGCCACACCTCAACGCGGCGGGATAGGTGGATTGTCGGACCGAGCGACCAGTGCTGCGGGCAACGCAGCTGGAGCAGCGGCGGGCGTGGCCGTGACCAACGCGCTTCGGGACCAGTTTGCTAGGACCGGGTTGGGTGGCTCGAAAGGCGCGCCGCCACCTGCACCGAGTGCCAGCAAGAAGCCCGGCTTTTCGGTCCCTGCTGGACTGACGAGCGGAAAGACGTTTGGATCGCTCAATTTGGGCTCGAGGACAATTTCGAATACCCAAACGCCAGCAGCAGCGCCGATCACATCACCGACAAGGACACTGCCTCCGCCAACAAAGACCGGCGCGGGCGTTCCCCCTCCAGCAGCACCAGCAGCGGCACAGCCAGCAGTGAGCCATCCACAGGGCACATTGGGGACCGCTCAGGTGCTGTACGATTACGGCGACGGTTCGGATCCAGACGACCTTCAAGCAACCGAAGGCGAGCAGATTTGGCTGACGGAGAAGATCTCGGACGACTGGTGGAGAGCAATGTCGCACGATCAGTCGAGACAGGGCATCATTCCTTCTGCTTATGTCTCTGCCTCCTTGTACTGATTGAGTGCAGTCGCAATGTGATTGTTGTGGTCACGATCGTTGAATGGGCGGGTCGTGTGAAGGGTCATGCTTGCGTCGCTCAGGATATGAGATCGGCCATATTAGCCAATTGATCGGGCCGATAAGCGCGCGCGTCATTCGAGTCGGTTGCAGATTCCGCATGCAGAAGGGAACCTCTCCCGCACAGGCGAGCCGCCGCCGCCTCTCGAGGGTGACCGAAGGCCGTAACATCACCGGACGCCGCGTCCACGGCCGTCCTGAGACAATCTAGTCGCCTCTGCATCGTCGTCAACAACTTGGTTGCGCTTAGCGGCATTCCGGATGGCACACGAAGCCCGGAGAGTGAGGGACGGTAAAGCCGACGGACCTGCATGCTCGCTTTCCCCACTCCGTAGGAAAGAAGGGTCTGATTGGATGGACGAGCAAGACCCAGTTTCCGGCAAGCCGCGGTTCCCGACATCAGTGTCCTACCGGACTGCTATGCCACGATGAGCAAAATCAAAGGCCGCGCCAGAAAGAGGTCAGACGGGCTGCCTTCCAGGTCTCAGGCGCTTTGCCACCTCCGTCTGCCTCTCGCTTGCATGGCGTGCCGTGGCAGAGTGAGATGCGGTACAGTGTCTGCATGAGAGGAAGATCGAGTAAGGCGACAGAGATTAGGGGGTCAAGTCGTATAGCAGCGGCCACTTGGACGCTCGGGGTTCGTGTTGTCCAACAGGCACATGCTGTCCCGAGTGACACACCACGAGGCGGGCAAATCAACGGACGCGATCTCGGGAGCAGCAATAATCAAAGCCTCGCAAATGCGATCTCCAAGCCACCGTTGTCGCTTAAATTTTGGCGAAGAGCAGCCCAAGGCGTTGGTGGTGCCGGCGAGAGCCAGGGCTGAGCGACAGACACAATCTCGATCGGAACGTGGCGCTGAGACGGTGTCGTTGCCAAGTTGCTAGTACCAGTGCGTCCGAGTCATCCGTTATCCGGGCATCGTGCAGGTGCAGCATGCACGGCTTTTGGGATAAGTTGTTGCTGGTGTTGAATTCGCCAATGGCGGGGTACCAAACAAAGCCCTGGCCTGGACTGACTTGTTGTGTTGCTTGTTTGCACAGAACGCCACTCCGATCATGGCCCGTTCCGGTTGGGTCCAGGCTGTCCCTCCGTGCTATCAGAAACTAACAAATGGTAGTCGGTCCAGCAGCTAGCATCGTTCCTTCCCAATCGAGTGCCCAAGTGTTTCGTAGCTGCGGGAACGCCACGATGAGGCCGTCAGATCGCTGTGTGAGACTTGTAGATGAACGGATGTGCCGGAACATCACTGGGCTTGGTCTCGCATTGCGTGTCGAGGAGCTATGCTCCAGGCTCGAACGGGCAGGAGCGTCATGCGACGAGCTGTGGGCCTATCTCGAGGACTGCAGAGTCGTGCAATCTGCGTCCTTCGCGCCGCTCGCTAGTGTCTTCTTCGCAGGCGTGCGTTTTTTCGGGAGATGAGGCTTATGGCGGGAGTCAGATTCACATTCCTGCCGGTCAACACCTTGCAGCCGAGATTGCCAAGTCTAGCTGCAAGGTACGAGCGGTGTCCAGCTGCAGGCTCATATCCGCTTAAGCGCGCCACTCTCGCGTGTATTGCGTTTCATCGAATGGGAGCTTTTCTGCACACCGACCGCTTCTGCAGTTCGAAATCGTAACGACAGCTTGTCAAAAGCGGCCCCCACGTCTCCCTGCTGAGTTGCCTCTTGGTGCTTTGCGACCTGTGCCGTCTCAGTCTCTTTGTCATGCCGTCTCGAGAATTCAGAGCTCCTTTGCCCGCTGATTCGCCGACTGCTCGCCGCCGCTAAGACAGTCGCGAACGAATTATCGCCTTGACGTTTGAATGGAAGCAAGCCTAGAGCAAGTGTGTCACGTCGACGGCGAACCAAAGCGAGCTTTGTGTGCCGAAAGTCAAGTCCGACGAATCAGACCATTTCGTTAGATTCGAGGCCCGACTTCTGCAGGACGGAACACTAGGCGTCCTTCGTGCCACCGAGACCTTTTCTATCCCGCCTTGATTGGCCTTATGATGCTCGAAGAGGAGGGTGTGACGGCATCTGAGATTGAGAAGGAAACCTTGCCTACAGCGCCGACTGCAGCCGGATCGTGACGGTACCCATTTACTGAACGGCAATAATGTTTCGGACATATGCACGTTAGAAGCGCGAACAGGCAGTTGGACTGCAGCTGTGCGTGCAGACGCTAGCTCTCGAGCAAACAAAGGGCCCTGCATCTGTGGGAAAATAGGCGGGTTCAAGGGAACTCGACCGTTGAGCGAATCCGGCTCCGAATCCTTCAGCAGGCCGTCGAGGTACGCGAGCAAGCAACGTAGATCGTAAGCGAATCGCCTGCCGGAGCTCGCTCCTGCATCAATTGAGGCGACCGCAGCGTAGCAATAAGATCATGAGAAGATCGTGCGCATCTCGGAGCTGTGTTGATGACTAGTGACAAGGGTGACGGGCCGGATCAATCTGCGCGGATCACGGCGCCCTGGTGCAGTAGTGCTGAAGCAACACCGCGCGCGTTATGACTCGCCTTTCGACGACCCGCGCTCAGTGGCTCTGCCCGTCAATTGGAGTCGAACCAGGACAGGGTACTCTGTGGACGCGAGCGGCAGCGAAGGTATTCAGCTTGCAGCGTTCGGAAGCCTGTCAGCCCGTGAGAAGACGTCAGCCAAATCGAATGGACGATGCTCAAGGATGACGTGTATGAGCCCGACGACGTAGAACAGTAGGAACTCGAGTCAAAGCCCACCTCACCGCATTCGTGGTCGTGGTTGCTGAGCCAGCGTGGATGGATGGATGAGGCTCCTTTATCGACCCATAATCGACCTTGTTTGGGGATTGCTGTGGAATGAGAGCAACAAGGTTAGCGAGCCACACTAGCTGGGAAATGGATGGGCGTAAGCGAAGCTAAGCGAGACGCTGCCGAAGCTGAGTTGATAGAGCGGGGCGATGATCTGTTGAAAAAGAATTTGGCGATGATCAGGAGAAACAAGGCTAAGCAGAGGAGCAAACACTCGAGATGCAGGCGGAGTTGTGAACCCCAAAGCGGATTCTGGCGAGCTCAGCTGGCTCGGCTACGCCAAATTTGAATTTGGGCGTGAGGCGTGAGGAGACCCCAAAGCTTGTCACCTGCCTACCGATGGGTGACCTCACATCCTGGTTTTGACAGACCGTCCAGATCGGCCAGTGGCTTGGTTCGTAGCATCTCACACACAGACACAACACTAGCACGAATGTCTGCCACAAAGGCTTGTCTCATTCACGTTTACGCTGAGAGAATCACGGATCCGACGAGTCTGGCCGCTTTGGGCCAAAGACCTGGAGGTTTGGCTTGCTGGCTTGTTTGCTAGTAGTCAAGACAGCTTCCTGAGGTGACGAGACTTGCGACTCTCATTGTTGTTCTCAAGTGGCGTTGGGCAGACAATCGTCACAATGGCTCTGATTCGCGCAAAATTTGCAGGACGTAACTTACACTCCGAGTCCGCAGGCTCGAAGGTCAACAATCGAGAGGAACAATAGCGCGGAACGCCGCGGTCAATTCTTGCCCCTTCTCGAATAATGGCGGTCTCTTGCGCACAATGGTCAGGTGGCTTGGGGAGACGGTTCGTCTCGGACGAACTTACCATGGGCCTGCATACAATAGCGCTCTTGGATCAGCATCGAGCCCCAAGGTCTAGCTTTGCATCGTCGCTCCGGTCGATCAATGAATACCGGTTGGCCAACGCGCGACGCGCCGCGGCCAAACCCCGTCTCGTCAAAGCACGGCACAGGAAGAGCAAGAGCGCTGCCAGCTGGACAAGCGGGGCCTCGCAGATTGCGATAGAGCCACGACGGGGCGAACGTGGGACCCTACCGGCCAACTCGTCACGGACCACCGAACGCGAGCAGATCAACCACGCCGACAGGGTACCAACCGATTGGAAACAGGTGCGAGCGCTCGATGACCACAACCTTGACCCTAGTTCGATCTCGTGGCGAGCTCGTGGTCGTCATGATTTGCCATTTATATTTCTCATCGGTCAACCTGACGGGGCGCGTTGTAACAACGAAACCCGGATAACATGCTCGCTTCCACAGGCTTTATCGCGACCGGGGACCCACGCTGATAAGACGGGATCGAGCAAGGAGGCGAACCGGCCGAACTCGAAAGGAGTGCCCCGTTCAACATGAACTCGATCGCGAGGCGCAGCTCGTCTATCGTCATCCGGAAAGCCGGCCGCAAAACACTCGAGACGCGAGATGCAGGCACGCTCCCCCTCACTCTGCGTTCATGGGCTTCAACAAAGCGTCCCTCGCTTGCGGCAATTGCATGGAATCTTGCTCTTGGCCTGTCGCAATGTCGACGCCGAAATTTACTGGGATGCCAGCAAACGATTCAAACCGAGTCTCTGGCACGCGCATCAACGCTCCAAGATTCGTCCCTGTCCCTTTGTTCTGGTCTGGGCAAAATCCCGACTCCGCTCGCCCTGCATCAGAGAAAACGGAAGCGGATGCCCATCGAATCGAATCTTCTATCCGTTGCCGGCTGCTGTCTCTGCTCATGTGCTCGATGGCGTGTCAACGTGCAGACTTTGAGAGCCACGATCCGTGCCAAGAGCTGCCCGTTCCGACGGAAGCCCGACATGGCAATGGAACCTCTAAGAGACATGATTCCCCGACAGGGGTTCATGATCGCTCCCCGGTCTCCTTACCTCGCCTTTGCTCGCGCACAGATCCGAACAAGGGCTCCGAGATCTGGCAAGAGACAGACGCAGATCTACGTTATGACCTGCTCTCCTCGCCAGAACGTGCGCTTCCCCGCTTCGTGTGGGCTCATGGCTTACTTTGTTCGGTGAACGATCTGCTCCTGCCACAGCACCGAATTGCCGGGTCGATAGCCGAGCCAACGCGCCCGTGATGCATCGCAGTCTCTCTGAGTAAAGGCTAGGTTGAGGCTGCCGCCATGATGTTCGCTTTCATTGGCTCGGGGTCGGAATGCGATGTGGATGGCGCTCATGCAAGCCCCCTCTGCCCATATTGTTGTCGTGGCTCCATTGTGCTCACCGAACAAAGCGTGACGTGCTCACTCCGCATTGTTCGACGCACAGTTTCGTCCATTGTCTCGATCGAAGGAACGGGACGGAAGGCCAAGCCATTGGATGTCCACGTCCAACCTCGCTTGCAAAATTGTTTTGATGATCATGATCAATGCCGTGGGCTAATCCGGCGAATGGCAGAGTACGAGCAAGCATCTCGCCACCCGACCTGCGGAGTGTGAATATCAGTCCAGACGACAATAATGACGGGAGGGCGAACAATATAGGAAGCGATCACTAGGGCACACCCCCGACCGCCCAAACCTCCACTCTGTCCACTCGAGACCGTACCGCCCGTCAAGACTGTCTGCCTGACGGCATGTGCCTACACGCTTTGACTGGCGCAACGCACACGCAGTGATGTTCAAATGGTCTCAGGCATGGCTAGCCTCCCAGCTCGGTCACGAAAAGGCGTGGGAGACTCCTTCTTGGACTCGACCGCGCCCGGTCGTTGGGAGTCTTTGCATTCGAGCGGGATGGAAACGGCGTCTCAAATGGCGCGTCGGGCTGGGCCCATTGACTCTTTGGCCCGCTTTGCCGGACCGTGGAACTCAGGCGAGATCTTGACCGAGCGAGCGCCTTGGTGACGAGCAAAGTGGCGCAGAATTTCACGCCAGCATGCAACACACGAGCAAAAGGGGATTTCGATTCCGACGTGCCGCGCGTCTGGATTCTGCCGAGACGCTGGCCGCTTCTCCTCTCACACCTGACACATTTGCAGCCACATCATCACCAACTCCAGCATCCAGAGCAACAGCAACAAACCAGATCGCCTTTGCGGATCCGTACTACAGGATCAATAAACACATCCACACGCGGGCACAAACTGCCGCCATGTATCAGGTGGCTTTGATCAAGTGGCCAAGCCATTCCGCCTGATTCGAGTCAGGTCTCGTCTCGCGTACATGGTCGCACTAGTCTGTGACCCGTCGCTGCTGTCGCTTTCCTGAGACGGTCAGGTGGATCGAACAAAGCAAAAGCCCCCTTCTTTGCCAAACCAAACCAAGGCAAGGGACAAACAAAGAGAGAAGAGCAGAGATGACATGACAGCTCTGGCGCCCGCCAATCGACCAGCTCCACGCATCGGGGTCTGTTGCTTTGTTTTTACTGTATTTGTTTCATAAAATTCCTCAGAAATGTCTCTTCTTAGCGGCTAAGCATGAGACAGCCAGGAAAGTCTAACTTTACCTTGATCGAATGCGGTCGTCTGGTTCGGCGCTCTCGAGGACCAAACCGTACCTTTGGTTCGGGTCACCGTCGAAGCTCCTCTGATGAAGCGCTTCCAACATCAACAAGGACGAGTTCGCGCCGAGAGCCTCACTCCAATGTCTCGAAAGCTACCCTCTCTTCGACGCCCCTTTATTGATCAATGACCAACGACTCGTGGCTCCAATTCTCTCTGTCTCATCGTTGGGATTGACCCTGCATCAGTGTGCACCTTCGATGTCTGAATGGAACCAATCATTTCCTTAGTGGCTGATGTTTAATTTATCAGCTGTTGTCTCAGTTGATCTTGTTGGTGCAGTAGCCTCGGTTTTTTCTTTTTCTTTTTTCTTTTTCTTTTTCTTCCTTTTCGAGCCTCGGCAGTACGACCGTAGGAGCAATTCAACGTGGGATTGCCGAGGCAAGGGGAGGATGCCACAAACTCGGTTGCGATTCCACCCATGTGCGGCGTAAGCGGGTGATTGGATGGATGGATGGATCCCTGGATGAGTTTTCTATTCTGAATCAATAAAATAATTAAATTGAACAGGCTTGTCGCGGACTTGGGCTTGCCCTCTTGGCTCGGCAATCACCCCTACCCTCCAGCCCCGCTACGCCCAGCCCTACAGCCTTCGCGCACCTGAACCCTCTCGCTCTGCACAAATGTGCAAGCGACGCATGCAATTAAGGTTGAACTGCACCTCTTCGGCAGCTCAACGATGGCGTCTGTGTGTAGAGGTGCGCGTGTCACTCTCTCTCTCCGGGTGCGACAGCGCTTTCTGGCAAGCTTGACTGCTCTTGCGCATGCATGCGTTTGGTTGTGCTTGTTGTTTCCTTTGGAAGCAGCTGCATTGTGTTGTGTCTGTGCGTGTGTGAACTTCGGGTTTCTGTTCTCTTCTTGTCTCTGCTCCCTGCGTCGATCGCCAACCTTTCTTTGTGTCAGCAGCCGAACTCAGGTAGAACAGTCTAGTTTCATCCATAAGCTTGGATGACCTTGTTGACGATGCTGCTGCTGCTGCTGCTTTGATGGTTCAATAGGGTAGCGTCTCAGGGTCAAGTGGTATGATGCGCTCGCATGTTAACCGCTCTTTTTGACACCTTACACTCGTCGTACACCCGTCCACACAAACCGTCCACACCCACCCACGGCGGCTTTGCCGAACTGCAAGCGCCCCCGCCCCCGTCCCCGTCCAAGTCACCGTTGCCACCGCTCTTTTCCCCCTGCCTTGCCTCCCCCTCCCTCTCTGTCTCTTTGTTTCTCTGTCTCTGTTCCTCTGCCCTGGCACCCAAACTGGACTCATCCGGGGCATTCTGGCCGCCCTCGCTTTCGATCCAGACCCAGAATCAGCTGAACCACGATCGGCGTTGGCGCTCATCACATACCATTTCCTTGGGACCATCCAGCTCGCCCGCGTGCTGTTGCTCGCTGCTGCGCCCGTCCTCCCCCCCGTCTACCCGCCCGCATCGTACTCATGCTGCTGCGCCCTCTGGATAACAATCGTCCGCCCTCGTCTCATCCTTTCCTCACTCTCCACCACCATCACCATCATCGCTACCACCACCGTCTCAATCACTTTTTTCTGTATCTCTGCGCACCAATCGCTTCTATTCATCACCATCATCAACAACAACGACAGTCTCTTTGATCGCCAACTGACTGCCATTGCAGATTTGGCTCTCCCCTCTTGGCGCCTCTCTCTTGCACCTAGCACTTAGCTTCCGGAGAACACCGCAGCCTCACAGTTGACAACACGCAGATACACTCGCATTGCGTCGCAGTCAACACCTCGTTGTCAAGCTCAGCATTGCACCGAGCCCAGCTCTTTCGCACAGGAAGCAGCAGTATCACTGCAATCCCCTCTTGCTCCTCGTGCTCACCGCCCACCTTCCGGACACCTATCGTTCCGTTCCACAGGGCCCGCCAGTGAGATCGCACCAACCGGCAAGTGCTCCTGCTCGCCCTCCGAAGCCTCTCCTGGCATACACCCTCTCAACCGCGTCGTTCCACAGTGCCGTCCGAGCTCCGTGTGACATACTTCGGACTAGATGCTAGCCTCTCTGCGACCGCATTCACCCTCTGGCTTTGACTCCCGTCACCGCTCCGACTTTCCCACCCCCAGCTACCGTGACCACCCCATGGACGACGCTCACCACTACGCGCCATCACCGAGGAAGGGGTCCGGTGCTGAGCGCTACAGTCCGCCCCTTGCCCCGCGCGCGGGTCCTCCTCCGCACGTGCTCGAACCAAGCTCATACGCTTCCGGCGCTGGCGGCCACGACCACGTCGAGCAGAGGCCAAGTCCTCAAACACGTCAACGCTCGTGGCTTCACCATCCCTATGTGCAACCCTCGCGTAGCTCCCACGGTCCGAGTCCACCAGTACCACTCGACTCGCTCGCAGGCCCCTCCTCGCGCGCATACGAACATGGAACCGGAACCTATATCGGACACATGGCCGATCCAAAGCACCGATCGCCGCCCAATCGCTCCGAGCTGCTGCACGCCGCACACGAAGCAAGGCACCGTGCGGGCTCGCGCGGCGACATCTACGATCGTGCGCAGCCTCTCAACATCTTGCCCAGGCCCGCTCACCCGCAAGACCTCGAACGCGTCGGCGGCATTGGGCCCAACCGTAATCGAGGACGCTCGAACACCCTCTCGCTTCCTCATCCAGAGACCACACGAAGACGCGGCGGCTCGTTCGTCGGCAATCGTCGCCACAGCCCTTCGGTTGGTGCTCATGGCGGCTTTGATGAGCCAGTGCCACCACCACCACCCCGATCTTGGGAGGACCCGCGTGCCCTCGCCTTGCACGGCCCAGCTGCGGCCGATCCTTTGAGCGCGCGAAGGCATTCACCCACTTTCCGACCATCTTCGAGGCAGTCTCCGCTCCTGTTTGCACCTTTGAGTCCAAGACAGGATCCCCTGCCGCCGGCGCACATGTCGAGAGGTGCGGGTCCGATGCCGTCCAAGCTCACCAATCCGGGCATCATGGCTCGAGGCCCTCACTACCGCTCCAGGCCCGGCACGCCCGTCTCACCGCTCAACATGGACAGTCTTTCGATGGAGGATCCCGCTTACCCGTCCGCCTCGGGCATGCCAGCGCCCCTGCCTGCGAGTCTTCAGCGCTCCCCCATGGAGCGCCGTGGTCGCAACGAGTACTTTGAAACCTCGCCGCAGTGGGGGCGGCCTTTGGATCTGGCCGCCAGCCCTCAATTTGCCTACCACCCGCCTGGTCTCCGTCGACCCTCGCGAGATCACCCGTACCGTGCTGGGAGCATGTTGCATCCTGACGACGTCTCATCGGACGCCGAGATGCAGCGATACCACACGTCTGCTCCCGGTGTTCACCCGGCCCCTCGCTCAGCACGGGGCTCGGTTGGCTCACTCGCTGTCCACCCACCTCGCTCGGCCGATCCGATGGAGCGCGAACGCTTCGCCATGGCGCAGCACCATGCTCACGCTCAAGCCGCAGGCTTCCCTGCTGGACCCGGCGGTCCGCAAGACTACGGCTACCAGAGCGAGTTTGCGCCTCAGCAAGGCCGAATGGGTCCCGGCGGTGGCTACTCGGGCTACCCGCCTCAGCACGCTGTGCCCGTGGACCGCATCGCGCACAGCCGACGCCGAAGACGCCCGCCTTACTCCTACTCGTCTATGATCACGCAGGCCATCGCGTCCTCTTCCGAAGGTCGCATGACGCTGCGTGAGATCTATACATGGATTAGCAGCAACTTTTCGGGCTATCCGATGTCGGGTCCTGACTCACAGGGCTGGCAGAACACGGTGCGTCACAACCTCTCGCTCGGCAAGATCTTTATAAAGAAGGCGAGGACGGCACAGGACATCTACGACAGCTGCTCGTCGGGCAACCCGTCGCAAAGCCAGGCGGCTAGGGGCAAGGGCGGATGGTGGACGCTGCACCCCGTGGTGCTTTCGCAGATTCGCTCGGGCCAGCGTACCCACAATGACGAGTTTGACGATATCGAGCGTCTGGTCGAGCTCGAGAACGCCGCCGCTTCCAGTGCCGATGCCAAGCCTACCTCGACGGCAATGGCAGCAACGTCATCGGCTGCTTCCGTCGACGAAAGCGGCGAGCCGCGACGCTCCTCAGCCGAGGTGATTCGACAGAAGACGCTGACTCGACAGAGGAGCTACTCGGACTCGATGGATGCCGCCACTGCCGAGCAGCGTCGTCCCGGCTCTAGCCACCAGGCTGTGTCCACCGCGCCCGTCAGCCGCAAGGTCTCGATCGACGTCGGACTGGCTGACCGTGCTCCCCGCGCCACGCAGGCTCCGCAGAGCACCGAGTCCTCGCCTCAAGATATGCCGTCCGTGTTGCAGCGCACCACCGACCCTGAAGCCGAAGACAAGGTGTCGACGTACAACCGAATGCGTGGCCACACGATCGGCGTGCACGATGAGCGCGCGAGGCACGAGGGCGAACACTACACGCGACCCTCATCGAGCTCGGTCTCGGTCCACCGGCCCATGTACCAGGCCCGACCGCAGACGGCGAGCGGGGACGTCGAGATGCAGCCGTCGCCGCGAGACTCGAGCTTGGTGTTGCAGGAGGCACGAGAGACGCTCGTCTCTGCCCAGCAGCAGAGGGCAGCCGCTCCCGCCCCCGCCGATATGGACGACGGCCCTGGCAGGATGGCCATCCGCGGTCTGCTCAACAGCTGAGCATCATCACGCACTGGATTCGTAGCTTTGTTGTCGTTATACCCCAATCATCAGTATCTCTGTTGCAAACTATGCCGTGTGCAGGATGGAATGCTGCGATGTTCTGATTGCTTTGAGTTGTGAGCCGTGTGGAACGACGAGGACTGCGGAAGGATCGGTGATGTCGACGATGCCTTGAGCTGGACCCTGACGATGGCTGAGGGGAGCCCAATTCTTTTGGCGGAGCAAATTCCAAGCTGTTGGACCCTTTCTTGCACGTGCAGACAATTCGCGAATGTGATTGGCTACCAAGCTGATCCGGGACGACTCACTGGTTGCGGATAGAGTCTCCTACGTTCTCGTTCACAATGGCTCCTACTCGGAGGCTCGAGGTTCGTGGTCTTGCACGAGTCAGCGAAGGAAGATGGATAGCAGCCCAGAGATCGGGTCCGCGCGCCGTGAGCGAACCGAAGCAAGAGTCTGTGGGATGAGGCAGATGTGATTGGAGCAGAGACAGCAGGCGGAGCTGCAACATGCACGGATTAGAGTTGCCGGTGTGATGCAGCGGTGCAGCGAGGCGTGCTGTTCAAGGAGGCTGCTTGGACGGGGAGGAGCGAGACGGTCGGTAAGTGAGCACAGATTGGGACATCGCAGCCAGCTGACAGATCTCAAAGGAGCCAACGTGGGAAAGGCAGGTGCGATCATCGTCATGCAGATCCCAATGCACAAACAAACTTGGTCTAGAGCCTTGGTGTAGCCTGAGCCTGAGAACCGATCTGCCGGCTGCTGCCTCGCTAGGCCTAGCGCCCCAGCTCTTCACGCTGGCAAGACAGAGGCGAGCATGAGGTCGATCTTCTACTGCGACTCACCGCAAGCAAGACAGAGCGAGCCTGCCATTGTGACGTTAAGCTCATGAACTCGCTTGCGTTTGAGCTTCGATGTGCCACCATACCACAGCGATCTGTTTGGCAGCAGCCGGCTCAGGAGTCGAGCGTCGGGCTGCAAGTGAAGCTTCGGTAGCAGTGTGGGCTTGATGGAATCCAGAACAGGCAGGGCGATACCTATCCTGCAAAATTGACTGCACTTGACCGTCGGAGTCCAAATTATCAAGAGCACGTTCTTGAACGGGCATCCCAGAAAAAGAATGCGCATCAATCTTTCAGCCCGCTTAGGCCCTCTGCTTGACTTGACCTTCACCGGTCTCGCCCTGATCGATCTACCATCACTCTTTTGTTCGCAGCCAACCGTCTTGCCGGCTCTTCCTGTCTGCTGCCTCTTCCTGACGTCCCAAGTTTGTGGCTTTCAGCTTGCAGCCTGATCCGAGCCCAGTCAAATCTTCTCGCCGTTCTTCGACATCTCTCCACCTCGTCGATCCCGCACGCTCCCTTCGTCCTTCCCGTGTAGCTGTTTCAACTATACATCCCGCAGTCCGCTCAATCCTGGGATCGTCTGGAGCATAGTACAGCCCACGCCGAAGTTTGCACCAGCGTCATCCTGTGCAACGCGAGGTCACTTTTGGGTCCGCAAGCAACTCAGCTTACCGGCTCACATCCGCCTGCTATCTCATCCATCGTCTCGGCGTCCTACGGTCACGTCGGCACCTCCGATTCGGATCATCCGATAGCTGATCGAGCCTCCGCACACTAGCGACTGTCACCTGTCATCGGCTCAGCCTCCCACACCCTCCTGCACGGTCACGCTCCAAGCGCAGTCACATCTTCACTCACCTCTTTGAGACTGCGGGCTTCAGCAGTCTTCTATCGTCACGATGAAGTTCGGTCAGACCATCAAGACGTCGCTCTACGCTGAGTGGGCCGACAAATACCTTCAATACTCGGACCTCAAGAAGGAGATCAAGAAGCGCATGGCCAAGAACAATGGCACATGGACCGACAAGGACGAGGACGAATTCGTCGCCATCCTCAGCAAGGAGCTCGACAAGGTCTACGACTTCCAAAAGGTCAAGGTTTCCGAGCTGACTGAGCGTATCAAGCAGGCTCAGTCCGAGGTCAACCTCCTCGTCTCTTCACGACCTAACTCTTCCACCTCCCTCCCTTCTCGCGCCAACTCTCGTCCCGCTTCACACGCAGGCTCTGAAGCCGAAGGCGATGACGATGCTCCTCGTCGACGCAGGAGTATCGGCCCCGATGGAAACGCTCTTTACGCTGCTCACGATGCCGGCTCGGATGACGAGTTCGACACCGACACCGAAGACAGCGACGCCTTCGAAGAGCGCTTCCTCGAACTCGAAGAGCGTCTCGCCATCATCATTGCCGATGTCCACGACTTGGCTCTCTTCACCAAGCTCAACTACACCGGCTTCCACAAGATCGTCAAGAAGCACGACAAGCAGACCGGTCGATTGCTCCGCAAGGAATTCGTTCAGCACTACCTCTCCTCGCGTCCCTTCTACAAGGAGAACTACGACCAGCTCATCGTCAAGCTCTCCAAACTCTTTGATCTCGTCCGCACCCGTGGTAACCCTGTGCAGGGCGACTCAAGCGCTGGTGGCAACCAGTCCGCCTTCGTCCGTCAGACCACCAAGTACTGGGTTCACCCGGACAACATTGTGCCGCTCAAGCTCATCATCCTCAAGCACCTTCCCGTCTTGGTTTTCAACGCCGACAAGGAGTTCCAGCAGGAGGACTCGGCCATCACTTCGATCTACTACGACAACGAAGACCTCGAGCTCTACCTCGGACGTCTCGAAAAGACCGAGGGCGCCGAAGCCATCCGCTTGCGATGGTACGGAGGCATGGACAACAAGCAGATCTTCGTCGAGCGCAAGACGCATCGTGAGGATTGGACGGGCGAGAAGTCGGTCAAGGCTCGTTTCCCCATCAAGGAGGAGAACGTCAATGCCTGGATGAAAGGCGACTACACCATGGATGAGACCTTCGAGGCGCTTCGCAAGAAGGGCAAAAAGTCGGACAAGGAGATCGACTCGATGCTGCAGCTGGCCAACGAGGTGCAGTACTCTGTCTTGACGCAGAAGCTTCAGCCGGTGATGCGCAGTTTCTACAACCGAACTGCGTTCCAGCTTCCGGGCGATGCTCGTGTCCGTATCTCGCTGGATACGGAGCTTTCGCTGGTGCGCGAAGACAACTGGGACGGCCGTCAACGCGCTGGTCACAACTGGAGGCGCATGGACATCGGCATCGACTACCCCTTCGACCAGCTGCCTGCCGAAGACATCGAGCGCTTCCCCTACGGCGTTCTCGAAGTCAAGCTTCAGACCCAAATGGGCCAGGAACCTCCCCAGTGGATCCGCGACCTCGTCGCGAGTCATCTTGTCGAAGCCGTGCCCAAGTTCTCCAAGTTCATCCACGGATGCGCCACCTTGCTGCCGAACCGCGTCGACCTCGTCCCCTTCTGGCTGCCCCAGATGGAGATCGACATCCGCAAGCCGCCCTCGAACAGCCTTGCGATCGAGCGACCTGGCTCTGTCGCCCACAGCCCTGCCACCTCGTCGCGGCCCGACACGCCCGCCTCGCGCAACGGTCACGCGCCGTACAACGAGCCCGTCTCGGAAGACGAGTTCGAGGGCGCGGACGACGACGAGCGCGGACACATCATGGCGGACGAATCGCACGAAGCCGACAATGTCGGCATCTCGGCCTTCGACCCGCGCATCCGCGAGGCGCGGGAGGAGCGCGAGCGCAACATCCGGTTGCGTCAGCAGGAGATTGAGAAGCAACTTCGCGAAAACCCGGATCAGACGTCCAATGCTGCGGGTGGTATGCTCGCTGTTGCCTCTGCGTCGTTGCAGACGGAAGGTCGTCGTCCATCGTTGGCGAAGACCAAATCGGCCGCTCCGACGCGCGAAGAGATTCTCGCTCCATCGCATCGCTACGACCATCACTTCTTCTCCAAGCTTACGCCGACCAACATCCAACGTCTGTGGAAGACCAAGGGTTCCTCGCACGAGCATCACTCCGATCTTGAAGACGAGGAGGACGAGGACGATCGTATCCGACGCGCCCTTGAGGGGCAAGACGAAGAAGTGCCTCGAGGACCCAACGTCGAATACGTCCGGTCATTCACCGCTCAACCCGGCAAGAAAGTCAGCGTTCCCATTCGCATCGAACCCAAAGTATACTTTGCCAACGAACGCACGTTCCTCAAGTGGCTCGAGTTCAATGTGTACCTCTCAGCGCTCGCTGTGGGGTTGTTGAACTTCAGTTCGCCCGGTGATCGGACGGGTTTGATCGCAAGTGCTTTCTTTACGGTCGTCGCCCTGGTGGGAATTGCGTACTCGGGAGTGATCTTCCTGGTCAGGGCGATCAAGATCAGGAAGAGGGAGAGTAGCAATATCTACTTTGACGCGTATGGACCCACGGTCTTGTGCGCGGCCATTTTGGGCGCTGTGGTGGTCAACTTTGTGCTTCGGTTCTTGGAGAGCGGGGACAAGAGGACTGCGAGAGGGTTGGCCAACTGATGATGGAGGAGGAAGTGTACATAGCAATCTTACGTTCTGATAATGTCCCTTATCCCGGTGGTGTGCCTGCACTTCTGAGCGTGAGAGAGACGCACAGGCTCATCTTCAGGTCTCGGAGACGCTCTGGCATCACAGAGCATGTCAGTCATGACAAATTGATACTTCTAGGCTCTTTATTCTGAATCGGAAATCTTTCGCATACATATCTCTACTTGTGCGCCTCGTTCTCCTCCTTGACAAAGAACTTCCAAGGTTGGACTTCACTTGGGATCTTACCCTCCTCATACCCGCGCAAGCAGCCATGGGGCATCCTAGCCGCCAGGGCGTCCACAAACAGCTCTGCGCTCCTAGCCTCGTTCAGCAGCGGGATACCGAAGTCCACGGCGTTCCTGCGGGCCACGTAGTCCTGATCCAACAGATCGCGTCCACGGAACTTAGCCAGGTTGATGACAATGTTGATCTCGTGTTCGTCGAAGACCTCGCGGAGCTTGCGCTTGTCCTTGACGGGGAAGCGGATGCGCTTGGCCTTGACACCGTCGAGGTTGTTGAGGTACTCCTCGACATTGGCGTCCGAGCAGTAGAGCTTGAAGCCGAGGTCAAAGAGCTTCTTGGCGATGGAGGAGAATTGCGGCTTGGTCACATCACCGCCCATGAGTACACCAGTGTTGGCTTGGGGAACGCGGAAAGCGGTCTGCGAGGCGATGGATGCCCACGCTGCCTCGTACAGGTCCTTGCCGAACGAAGCGACTTCACCCGTGGAGGCCATCTCCACACCGAGGTATGGGTCAGCACCGGCAAGACGCGTCCACGAGAACTGAGGTACCTTGATCGCGACGTAGTCGCGCTTCTGCGCCATGAGGTCGACGGGTTCGGGCACATCCTTGCCGATGATAGCATTGGTGGCAATGTCGATAAAGTTGACGCCGAGGACCTTCGAGACGAAGGGGAACGATCGAGAGGCACGCAGGTTGCACTCGATGACCTTGAGTGCCGCCTCGGCATCACCCTCGCCAACGGGCTTGCGGATGACCTGCATGTTGAAGGGCCCGCTGATGTTGAACGCCTTGGCGACCTTCTGAGCGATGACCTTCAGGCGGGCGAGGTCGTTGGGGTCAAGCGAGAAGGGTGGCAGGACGAGCGTGGCATCGCCGGAGTGGACACCAGCGTTCTCGACGTGCTCCGAAACAGCGTGAACGAGCAGCTCGCCCTTGTAGGCGACGGCGTCGACGTCGATCTCCTGAGCGTTGTCGATGAACTTGGAGATGACGACGGGGTAGTCCGTGTTGACTTCGGCGGCGGCAGTCAGGTGGTGCTCGAGCGTCGACTCGTCCCAGATGACGTTCATGGCCGCACCGGAGAGCACGTACGAGGGACGAACGAGGACGGGGTACGAGACGCGAGCGGCAAACTCCTTGGCCTTATCGACCGAGGTAGCCTCGGTCCACTCGGGCTGGTCGACGCCGACATTGTCGAGGATCTGCGAGAACTTGTGCCTGTCCTCAGCCGAGTCGATCATCAGAGGGTCGGTACCGAGAACGTTGACGCCGGTCTCCTTGAGACGCAGAGCAATGTTCTGAGGGAGCTGTCCACCGACACTGACAACGACACCTTTGGCGCCTTCGAGCTCGTAGATGTCCATGACACGCTCGAAGCCAAGCTCCTCAAAGTAGAGGCGGTCGGCCTCGTCGAAATCGGTCGAGACGGTCTCGGGGTTGTAGTTGATCATGATGGTCTTGTGGCCCATGCCTCGCACTCGTCGGGCGCAGGTGACGGCACACCAGTCGAATTCGACCGAGCTTCCGATTCGGTAGACACCGGAACCGAGCACCATGGTGCCATCGTTGTCAAACTCGACATCGTGGGTGGTGGCGTTGTAGGTGGTGTAGAGGTAGTTGGTCTGGGCGGGGTACTCGGCGGCGACCGTGTCGATACGCTTGACGAAGGGAGTGAGACCAAACGCCTTGCGGTGAGCGCGGACCTCGTGCTCCTTGGAGTTGGTGAGCTTGGCGATCTGTCGGTCCGAGAAACCGCGCTGCTTGGCGAGCTTCATCAGGTCCTTGTCCACAGCCGAGAGCGAGCCGATCTTCTCGAGCTGTCGGTTGATGGTGACAATGTTGTCGAGCTTGTAGAGGAAGAAGCGGTCGATCTTGGTGAGCTCGTGCAGCTTCTCGACGCTGTAGTTCTTGACGAGCATGGCGTATGCGATGGCAAAGAGACGAGTGTCGGTAGGCACGGACAGAGCGTTGTCGAGGTCCTCGGGGACGATGTAGGCGTCAAAGCCGTCGTACGCGGGGGCGACCTGTCGGATGGCCTTCTGGAGCGACTCCTCGAAAGTTCGTCCCACGGACATGACTTCACCGACCGACTTCATCGAGGAGCCGACCTCGCGGTTGACGTGCTGGAACTTGCTCAAGTCCCACTTGGGGATCTTGGTGACAATGTAGTCGAGTGCGGGCTCGAAGCAGGCGGTGGTGCTCTTGGTGACCGCGTTCGGCAACTCCGGAAGGGTGTATCCGAGTGCGAGCTTGGCAGCGGTGTAGGCGAGCGGGTAGCCGGTGGCCTTGGAGGCAAGCGCGGAGGAACGCGAGAGACGAGGGTTGACCTCGATGACGCGGTACTCTCGAGAGTCCGGGCTGAGAGCGTACTGGATGTTGCACTCGCCGACGATGCCAAGATGGCGGATGACCTTGAGAGCGGCGGATCGGAGCATGTGGTAGTTGTCGTCCGAGAGCGTCTGCGAAGGAGCGACGACGATCGAGTCACCAGTGTGGATGCCCAATGGGTCAAAGTTCTCCATGTTGCAGCAGATGATGGCGTTGTCCTCCTGGTCACGCAGCACCTCGTACTCGGACTCCTTCCAGCCCTTGAGCGACTTCTCGACGAGAATCTGGGGGCTGAGTGAGAGGGAGCGGGCGGAAAGATCGCGCAGCTCGTCCTCATTGTCCGCAAAACCGGATCCGAGACCACCGAGAGCGTATGCAGCACGGACAATGACGGGGTAGCCGATCTCGGCAGCGGCCTTGAGCGCCTGGGGCACATTAGAGACGGCTTCGGACTTGGCGACGGGAATGTTGATCTGGTCGAGGGCCTGGACGAACAGATCACGGTCCTCGCACATGCGGAGGACGTCGACCTGGGAGCCGAGCACCTTGACTCCGAGACGGTCAAAGACACCCATCTCGTCAAGCTTGACACCGACGTTGAGGGCACTCTGGCCACCGAAGGTGAGGAGGACACCATCCGGTCGCTCCTTCTCGAGGACGTAGGCGACGTATTCTGGCGAAATGGGAAGGAAGTAGATCTGGTTTGCGAGTTGATGCGAGGTTTGAATGGTGGCGATATTTGGGTTGATGAGGATGGTTTCGATGCCGGACTCCTTGAGCGCCTTGATGGCTTGCGAGCCCGAGTAGTCGAATTCACCGGCCTGACCGATGGAGAGACCACCAGAGCCGACAAGGACGACCTTCTTGACGTCGGAGCGCTCGACCTTGGGCAGGTACTTGCTCCATTTCTGAAGACCAGTCGCCGCGGGCTCGATGTCTTTGACAGCAGCGCCGGCCACCGCGGTAGGCGCGGGTGCTTTCAAGAGCGCCGCCGTGGAGAATCGAGATCGGAAGACCTGGCTGCCCGAGGTTGCGAGGCACTTGCGATTCAACGACGCGGTCGCGGACTGGCTGTGAAGGCTGCGAGCAGCGATAGGGAGTTGCGAGGTGGAAGCCACCTGCGAGGCCGAGTTGGCGCCTCGAGAGACGGCACGGATGCTTCGATACATGATGAATCAGAAGCGTCGAGGACGATGAGGAGGAGAAAGAGCAAGGTGCTTGGAGTCGTCGCCGTCGTACGTCCTTCGGGTTGGACCCTTGGTGCTCGCGATCAAGCTATCTTATCAAGCTGCAAAGCGGGACCGAGATTGCGGACGTCTGTGCGTTGAAGTGGGGCTCCAATGACCTTTGTGAGCTTGACAGATCAAGGAGAAGGGCGGATGTAGCGACAGGGTCCGTGGGATGCGTGGATCTCCGGGCTAGTAGCCAAGGCTTGACGGAAGGAGGAGCGGGTAAGAAGAAGGAAGCGATGAGGAGAGGGAAGAAAGGAAGCCGGACTGATATCCGGACGAGGGGATCTTGAACGGAAGAGATGAGCTGGGCCAAGAAGAACTCAGGCTTTGGCTATCTGACTGCACGCTTGAAAAAATCAGAACTTTTTTGCTTTCCTAGTCAGAGCCTCGGATAAGACTACGGCCAATTCAACACAGCTGCCTGGCTGCTCTTTCGTCTCGAGCATCCCTCTCTTTCAGCTCAAGTTAAGCTTCGCGTTGGCCCACTGAGCCTGTTCCAAGCTGACTCGACTGTGACTTTGTGAAGGAGCTCTTCCGCCTTCATAAGATGCTCGGCTCGTCACAGTGTTTGTCTCCTGCATCTTGATCCCGTCACGCGCCCTGTGCCAGCTGTACAATCCTTGTCCTCTCCGTCGATCACCTATAAGGCCCCCCTTGAAGCAAAGCAGCTCACAAGACCAACAACGCGGCAGGCTCTTCTCTGATTGGACCGTCTCTGCTGGCTGACTCGGAGCGACTCTGATTGGACCTCCGCGCCCTTGAGCCGCGATTTTTTCGCTCGCTTGTGACTCAGAGAAAAAAAGTTCAAAAAGAGTGATCTGAGAGCCAAGAAAGATTAAAGTTGGCTTCCGCTGTGATTCCAAAAAGTTTCTTCTCAACTTGAACGCAGCCAGCCTGCATGAATGAGGCTTCGGGCAAATTTTGAAAGCCTTGAAAGCCGGTCTGAGCAGCATGCTCGCGTGCGCAAAGGATCTTCTTATCGCAGGGTCCTCTCTCATCAGACGAGCTCTTCCGATCGTGGGCCGAGATCTCGACGTGCAGTCAGCTGCCAGAACATTGTCCTGTCAAAGGGAGCGGATGCAAGGGCCTCTGCAAATGCCGTACACTCTATCCGCACGGCCTCTGCTTCCATCTTGCATGCTCTCTCGTTACGCTGTTTGGCTCTGCGTTGGTGAAGCTCGAGTCATCCTCTTCTGCTTGCTAGCAGCTTCTATGCTTCTGCCTTTCCTCCACGAAACTGCCTGACTGCTGTTGTGGTCGCTCTGGGCTGCGATATGAGGGAAAGGCTGCGGGCTCGCACCCAAAGCTTGAGTGTGTCTCAAGCTTTTGGGCGTGAGAAGGTTGAGTAAATCGGGACATCTGCCCGATCTGCCCGCATCTCCAAACTCTCCTCGTGTGACACAAAGACTTTGTCGCTACTCATCAACATTTCAATCCTCCTATCGCGAGTGCAATCTCATCAAGGCAGGGGCAGCACTAGCTCTGCAGTCCGCTCTGAAGATCAGAATTGAGGCTGATGCTACGTCAAAGCTTGCATTAGATCCGTCCGCAAACAGAGGGTGAGTGCGGAAAAGCAGAGAGTGCGGGAGCTCTCAATCGTTCAGGCCTGCTGAGCCGCGCACATGCGGGATCTTGTTCTTGTTTGATTCAGAGTCGTCCGCAGCAACGGAGAGCTGAGCACAGGCCTGAGGAAGTAAAGGTATAAAGTCCCCCTCTTTGTTGCCGTCCACTTCTCCTTCCGCACCTGATCCCACCAGACCCATCCGAGTCAGCCGCAGGATACCTTCACTCTCTCACACCATCCCCGCATTCGACAGCATACCTCTTCCGGTACACAAAGCACCCCCATCGCAAGCATCCACCATGGTCAAGAAGGAGCTCCTCAAGGCCGAGTTCGACTTTGACTCTTTCGACGAGCTGACCGAGGAGGAGGTCAAGTCACCCAAGAAGGCCAAGAAGGAGGCCAAGGCCGAGGGAACGCCTTCCCCCAACAGCAAGACGAAGCGCCCTCGTGGTGCTGGAGCGTACGTAAACGCTCCCTTCCCATTGCATGCTAAAGGCTCGCTTTCATCCATCTCACCATCTCGCTCTCTTTCCTTCTGTTCCGTGGTCCTGTCTCCGGCAGTCGTAGCGGATGGGTAGGTTCTCCACTTCTCGTAGCGCAGTTCGACTCCTTGGTGTGATGCTGATGCTTGTTCGGTCATGATGTCGTTCGACAGACGCGAGAGGAGGAAGAAGCCTTCATGGAGTTCGTTCACAACCTCGTCACGGCCAACGCCAGCCAGGCGGTCAAGGAGCATCCCATGTAAGTCCGAAACCAACTTCCGCACATTCCTCGAGGCAGAAGGAAGCTGACTATCTTAACCGAGTCTTGTCGATGTCCTGCAGTCTCGCCGCTAGGAAATCCGACGGCTGCGCAAAGCACTGGATCGCCTGGCGTCGCAAGCTCGAGACTTCGATCCTGGGCGCTCCCACCATCGACGGCAACGGCAAGAAGATCGTCAAGCCCGACGCTGCTAAGGACGATTCGGCCTAGACGACGCCTCCGCGAGACTGTAACCCTACATCCTACATTCGCACCTCCCCCATCTCACGAAGAGATAATCCGCAATCTCACCTTCCCGCATCCGCACACTTGCCTCATCTCAGCCACGCCCTCATCTTAACCACACCCTGTAATCGCACGCCAAATCTCTTGCATCGTACTGCAATTGCTCTTTCCGCACATCATCCGTCTGCCTCCGCTACGCGATCTGGAACTCGTCCGCACCGTGTGCGCCCAGCACACCGTGCTTCTTACTCGCCCTACCCAACGCGCGCACTTTCGCGTACATCCTCGCTTCGGCATCTGTCTGAACTTTGCCTTCCGCCGCTTCGGCGGCCTTGGCTGCTTCACGGGCCAACTTCTTGCTTCTGTTACTTCCGTCCGATTGAGCGACGATGCTTGCAGTGAGCTCCTTCAGTGCTGCAGGTGACAGTTCGAAGGCGTCGCGTTTGGGCTTGCCTTCGTAATCTGATCCTGCTTCGTCTCCACTCTCGTCGGAGTCGCTCTCGTCGGATTGAGCGGGTGCGGGACGCTTCTTGACAGTCTCGTGTTTGGTGGACGCAGTGGCGGTGGCGGCGCTCTTGGCGCCGAGCGAACGGGGTGCTTCTCGCAGTGCGAATGCTTTCGCTAGATGACCAAGATGGAGGGCGCGTACGTTGAAGAACTGTTTCTCCTCTGCCGAGTGGGTGGCGTACGCCCGCACGTGAGAGAGGAAACCTTTGCGAGCGAGCAAACTCGGTCGCTCACCGGAGAGCACCCATCGTTCGAACGCCAGCTGCACCTCGGTGGCGCGGGACTGATACTCGAGCGTACCCGTCGTGCCTCCCATGCCTTGCTGCAGGACGGCCTCAATTGATGCGGGCGTGATCTTGCGCGACTGACCTGAATTCTTGAGGTCCGTGATGGACGAGGTGCCCTGGATGGTCATCTGCGCTTCGAGGACGGTCGAAACCCACGCGACTTCCTGAGGCAAAACCATGAGCCACGACTCGCCGGCTCGGCCCACTCGGGCGGTTCGCCCCACGCGATGCAGATACTCTTCGATGCCACCCTCTGTGGGAGGGTCGAGCTGGATCACGCACCCTACATCCGGCAGGTCCAGACCACGACTTGCAACGCTGGTGCACAGCAGGATGCTACCTTCAAAACCAGCAGAAGCTTGCTTTTTGCCACCCGAGAAGCCTCGAAGAGAGGCAATGCGTTCTTGCTGGGTCATGCTGCCGTGCAGCCGGAAGATGGGGATGTTGGGAATGAGTTCCGAGACGGTATGCGCGGGAAGGGTGTCGGACTCCTCGTCATCGGGTGCGTTAGGGTCGTTTTCGGGGGCGTGCATGCGTGCGCCGCCAAAGGCTGCGTAGTGGAAGTCAACACTGTCTGTGCAGCTCATGAAGACGATGACGCGACCAGCGCCGGCGAGGCGGAGGGTCGGATCGGCTTCTTCGGAGGAGCGACGCGCGCGAGAGATGTATGCTCGCAGTAGAGAGAGCAGGGTGACGAGTCGCAGCTTGGGTGGCGTCGTGACGAAGCTCTGCGCGAGCTGAGCAGGCGCTGCGAACTTGGTGGGCTCTTTCTTGGCCACGATTGTGTCGGTGGTGGCGTCCGGTGATGCTGCTGGGTTCGCGGCGTCGGCACTGTCATCCTTGACACCACGGATGATCTTGGGGTTGATGAGCGTCTTTCCGGCCAAGACTTGCACATTCTCGTCGAGGGTGGCGGAACAGAGGACGACTCTCCTCGCGTGCGCCCACCAGGTCATACCGAGAGTGTCCATCACATCGGGGTCTGCGATCCAGTCTGCATCACCTGGTGCAACTCCCTCTTCGAATCCTGGCATGGCTTGTCGCGCCGCAGTACAAGCGAGATTTCGTCGTCCATCTAGCGCACGGACGATGCCCGTAAGCTGCTCCTCGAATCCCATCTCGAGCAGTCGATCCGCTTCGTCGAGCACAAGCCATCTGCACTTGCCGACGTCGAAGCTGGACGTGTTCTGCAGATGGTCGAGCAATCTTCCTGGTGTGGAAACAAGGATGGGGCATCCCTTGCGCAGTCGCTGCTTCTCGTGGTTCTTTGTCGACCCACCAGAAAGCAGACCAGGAACGAGCCATCTCGTCCTCCTGACAGTGCCCTCTTCATTTTCGTTTTGCTCCTTGAGACTGAGTGCCAGCGAAACGAGCTTCTCCAGCACCTCGTAGATCTGGCGTGCTAATTCACGAGTCGGTGCGAGGATGATGGCCAGCGTACCCACCGACCTGTCGATGAATGACTCCTCACACAGCGGCAGCAGGCTCTGCACGATGGGCAGCAGATAGGTGAGCGTCTTTCCTGAGCCCGTCTGCGCTTGGATGAGGATATCCCGATCGAGGCCAGGATGCAAGAGATGCGGAAGAGCTGCTGACTGGATCGAAGTCGGGTTAGATCCGATCTTCATCTTGGATTCGAGGTGGTAGACCAGCAGAGGATCCAAGCCACACGATGCGAAGTCGGAGCCTGCCGACGGAGCGTTCGTCGGATCGTAGGCTTTGCGCTGGAACGGTGTGTGGGCAATGCTCGAATCTTCCAGCACACCGTGAGCGGGAAAGAGCGCGCTGACCACGCCTGCACCGTTCGACTTGGATGCCGAGCCGGAGGGTCTGGATGCAGCCGAAGAAGTGCTGGCTTGCTGCGGTGCTGAGACAGCAGCCCTGCGAGTAGTATTTCCAGACGAAGCGGAAGCGCCATTGGCTCGTGAAGTGGATGGTGCTGCTTTGGAAGTGGCAGAGCGAGGGTCGAATCGGGGCGCACTCAGCCCTGTCGACGAGGATGCTGCTGGAGCCTCGATCCTTTGCCTTTTCGCTGCTGGCGATTCGATCGGTACTGTGGGTACAGGCACAGCGCGGCTCGGCGCCGATTGCGCTACGTCAGCCGCTCTTGAAGTTGCTGCCGCATCACCATTCGACTTTGGTGCCTGCCTTCGAAGCTGTTGTGCGGTCCTCTTCTGTACGAATCGAGCCTTGGCCGTTTGTTTGGGCCGACCTGCTGACGAGGCCGCCGCAGGGGCAAAGTTGAGCATGAGCCCATCGTCGTTATTATCCATCTTGCCGCAGTGTTCACGAGAAGACTTTTGATGGTGTTGGAGGAAGATGATGATATGAGCTTCAGTTGATGGGCCTCGAGTGGCTTGCCGTGTCAAGCTTGGCTCAGGGTCTTCTTGCCTTCGCTCCGCTCTCCTCTCAGAAATCTCAAATTTTCTTCTTGCCTGCAGCAATTCCTTCTCCGTTTCCCGAGGCTAAAAGGGGACCGCGCTGTGCTGCCTCGAAACTCCTTCTCAGGGTCAAGGGAAAAAGTGAATTTTTGCCCTGCCAGCCAACTTTTCCGCAAGAGCAATAGAAAGGCCGCTTGAAGCTCAGTTCAAGCGTCCCTGCCCTCATCACGATCAACCACACCTCCAAACACATCCTGGAGGCTTCATAGGCAACGATGCCGCCCACAACATCACCCGCCGTCGTCAAGGCGTCTCCGCTCATCAACGAGGGTGGTCTCGTCCACCGCTCTAGAGCTCGTGGTCTCCTCAACGCCGACAACCTCCCCGCGCTCCAGAACCTACTCAAGCGTCAACCCGAAGCCTACGTCGAAGAGTTCTCCGCTCAATGGAATCACTATCAGTCCCTCCGAAGCATCTTTGCGTCCGATCTTGACGCAGGCACCCTCGGCGTCGGGACTACCGGTGTTCGGATCAACAAGGACCAGGCGAGCAAGTTCGTCTCGCTCATCTCGTTTGTCACACAGCTGGCGCCGTCGTATCCCGAGATCACGCGCGAGCTGCCCACCCATCTGTCGGACCTGCTTCTCAACCATCATGCCGCGTTGAGTCCGGATATCAGGGCGAGCTGTTTGCGCAGCTTGATTTTGTTGAGGAACAGAGATGTGATCACTTCCGAGGAGCTGCTGCAGACGCTGTTCCCTCTGCTCAGCGTCACCACTTCTGCTGCGGTGCGAACATCAGTGCAAGCGACAATCCTGCAGGACATCAAGAACGCCAATGCTAAGTCGAAGAACCACCGTCTCAACCGCGTCGTTCAGGGGCTGCTCTTCGGCATCGTGCAAAAGGGCATCGACGCCTCTGCTGGCGGTTCGTCGCTGCCACCACCCCGCAAGGGTCAGTCCGCAGGCAAGACTGAGGCGCTTTGGGCCGTCCGACTCGCCGCCAACCTGTGGAAGAAGCAGATCTGGACCGACTCCAAAACCGTGTCTCTCCTGTCGCTTGCGTGTTTCCACCCGCACCCGCGTGTTCAGTCCTCCGCCGTCCGCTTCTTCCTCGGCGACCTGCACTCTGCCGAAGACGACAACGAGGCCTCTGGCTCGGACGACGAGGGGCCGGACGTTGACGCTCTCCTCCACGCCCGCAAGGTGAACAAGAAGACCCGCTCGGGCGACAAGAAGATGCGTGCTGCCGCCGCACTCTCCAAGAAGAAGCGCAAGGCGAAACAAGAGAACGCTCTCAACGGTCCCACGCACGACAACTCGAACTTTGCCGCGCTGTACCTGCTCAACGACCCGCAGAATTTTGGCGAGAAGCTCTTTGACAATCTCTCTCGCGGAGACCGCGAGAAGCGTCACAGCCTCGAAATCAAGATCAGGCTCATGCAGCTGCTCAGCCGTGTCATGGGCGCACACAAACTCTGCGTACTCAGCTTTTACTCCTACGTCGTCAAGTATCTCGCCCCGCACCAACAGCACATTACGCATATCCTCGTGAGCCTTGCACAGAGCGTGCACGATCAGACGCCGCCCGATGTCGTCACTCCCGTCGTGCGCAGGTTGTCGGACTCCTTCGTCCACCCAGGTGTCAGCAGCGAGGTCGTCGCTGCGGGCATCAACAGTGTGCGAGAGATCTGCAGAAGACAGCCGTGGGCGATGGAGGAGACGCTCTTGGAGGATCTGATCAGCTACAGGCGCAGCAAGGACAAGGGTGTCTGCGCGGCAGCGAGAGGTCTGCTGGCGCTGTATAGGGAGGTGAACCCAGCGATGCTGAAGAAGAAGGAGCGAGGCAAGATGGGTGCGTTGGCGGTGCAGGAAGGTCGCTCTGCTGTGGCGTTCGGTGTCGATCAGGACGAAGTGAGGGGTATTCAGGGCATCGACCTGCTTGAAAAGCACTTGCAGGAGCAGGAGGAGCGCAAGGGCGGCGGTGACGAGGACGAGGAGGTTGGCGAGGACAAGGGATGGGAGGGATGGGAGGAGGAATCTGAGGAAGGCTCAGAGGACGAGTCCGAAGATGGATGGATCAACGTCTCGGATGACGACGAAGATGGCATTCTCCGCCTGTCCGACTCGGACGAAGACGACGACGATGAGACGCGCAAGCAGAAGCGAACAGTCAAGGAGCGTCTCATCGCCGCGCGCGAGCAACGTCAGAAGAAGCGGGCTAAGCAGCAACGCCACGATGACCGACAGGCTCGTCGTGACGCTGGAGAAGAGGTCGCCACCTCGGACTCCGAATCCGACTCCGAAGCTGAGCACGACGACGACGGCGAGGAAGGCACCTCATCCAGTCTCAAGCAGCAGCTCGCCGACGAGGAGGACCACATCTCCACGCTTGCCACGACGAAGATCCTGACCCCCGCAGACTTTGCCAAGCTGACAGAGCTGCGGATTGCCGCTGCGGAGGCCGCGATTGCGACCGGCGGTCTCGCAGGCAGCCGAGCCAAGCGTCAATTGGAAGAGCTCAAATCGCTCAAGCGCACCACCGCCGCCAACCCGGCCTTCCTGGATGAAGGTGACATCTTGGGTCCACGCAAGAAGGCCAAAGCAACCTACGAGGATCGTCTTGCCTCCATCGCCTCTGGTCGCGAGGACCGCGAGAAGTACGGATCCAAGAAGGGCAAAAAGAACAAGGAGAAGGAGAGCTCCAGTACGAATCGCGAGAAGGAGAGGGGCAAGAACTTCCAGATGATTGCGAGGAGTTGGAGCGTGAGGAGCAAGAAGAACGCCTCCCTGCGCGAGAAGAGCAGGAGGCTGAGGAAGCACGTTGAGACGAGCAAGAAGCGGATGAAGTGATTAGTTCACTGATGCTAGCTTTCGTTGGAAGTGAGAGCCACAGCCTGAGGTTTGTCAATCCCAGCACGTTCAGATACCGTGCCTACGCTGTGATCCCGATGCGCGTGCTTGGCTGAAAATGCGTCTATGTGTGTGCTGAGAACGCGGGCTGGCGGCGCTGTGTGTGGTCCAGCGCATGCTGCGCCCCAGCGTGCAGTGTACGCAGCGCACGCAGGCACCAGCTTCGCGTAGGTGAGCGAGCAACCAAAGCCGATGTGGGGGCCGCCGTGAGCTGCGCCCTTGACGCAGGGTGAGCTATGCAGCTCGCAGCGAGCGTGTGAACGCAGGCTGACTCAGCGCGTCACGGTGAGTGTGACGGCGTCGAAGCAATCGACATGCTTGCTTGGAGGTGTGTGTGCTGAGCCATATCGGGTGATCCGCTCTTCAACGCAGCATGCCCCGGCGCGTGCTTCAGCAGCGGCTTCGGTGTTAAGCGCCCGGCTTGTGCTGCTTGGCGTGCGCACCGAAATTCACTGCGGACGACCGGCAGGGCGAAGTCTTGGCATCTCGCTTGCAGCGCGGGATGCTCGCCCCGACAGTTCGGTCAATTCTCTGCTGCCCTCTCTGGAGGGTCAGAATTGACCGGTGGTTGCCACCGCTCACATCTCTGACGAAGTGAGGCAGTTGATCCGATGTCGTGCGAGGATGTGCTCGAAGCGGCGAATTCTTGGCAGCCCATAGCCTTCCGACGGAGCAGCTGCGAAAGAACAGGGTCGCGGTTGCCGCTCCACCTCGGATCCCCACGCGAGTCACAAACCTCGTCCGGCCCGGCCGACGTCGGATCTCATTCCGCGGGATCGCCGCTCACTCGACCAAACAAAGCTTGGTGACGAGCAGTGCCAAGTCCGCGGCGCATAGTGCAAATTCGTCCGTTTTACTAGCGAAGCGAGAGGATTGCGTGCTGCGGAGGGAGCTATTTGTGGACCGACCCGTGGCTGGTGCTGGGATCGACAGCTTGTAAATGCCGGACTGGGGTAAGCCACGAGAAAAGTCAGCAGCAACGTGTGCGCAGCCATGCCAGGGGTAAAGGGGTCTGACGGCGGAGAGGCGCGACGAGACACGAGCGCGGCATGCAACATGGTCAGACAGACGGCTCGTGGAAGCCACGCAGCATGACCGGGCGATCCGTGACAGTGAAAAATGGGAACAAAAACGTGTGCTGACCGCATGGTTGAGAGTTCAGCCGAGTCGTCTGCACCGTGTTCCCTCACTCACTTTCAAAAAAATCCAATAAGTTGGCTTCGGCAGCGCGAGGTCATGCACACCGAGCACATGCATGCCAAATGAAAGATACCTGCAGCCGCAACACCGGCAACTCTTTTCAGTTGAAGCCAAAAGTGGTGCCTCGTTGTGGGTCTTCGGTGGATCACTCGCTCTCGTCGATTGATACTGGTGCCTGTTTCATGGGACCACCCGAAGTCGATGCCATCACGGCGTCTCAGATCGACAGCCGGCTTTCGGATATAAGGCCGAACCTCGATTGACGGCCACCGACCAAGCTTTTGTTGTTTCATCTCTGTCACGCAGTGAGCCTACAATTCGGAATTGCTCAACCGGCTTGCTGACATCGGCCCTATCGTCCGAGCCTGAGGTGGGACTTGGTGATTTCACGTCGTAGTCGATGCCGTCCTACCACTTCATCTCCCACCTTCGCTTGCGACGTGCCGACGCTCTTCCAGCCGTCTTCCGAAGACTGAGACATGGACGTACGTAACCTCACTGGAAGAATCCTCCGCAGTCGTAAGCGGTAACTTGGGATGCTGAACTATTCGGCATTTTTAGTGTTATCGCCTAACACGGACTGGGTTCGGCAACTTGATGCGCCTACCCACTGGTCCTCAAGATGTTGACGGCGGGAATGCGTCGCAACAGATGTGTCTCATCTGCGGCACCCTCCCACGCAGATGCTTGAGCCTCGTTGCAAAGGCTGATCGGCACGCTAGCGTTGCTGGAGGAATGATTTGACCGCGGGCTGTGCTGTGCGGTGATTTAATTTACTGGATGCCGTGCGAGCAATGGCTAGCTCTCTGTAGCTGCCTCGTGTAGCTTCCAGTAGCTTCAAGCCAACGCAGGATGTCACACGAGAGGCCACAACCAACACGCTTGATGAATCAACTGTGAGCTCGCGCATTCGTCGGGAAGGGCGCCAAGAGGAGCCAAGGGAATGAGGATCATTTTTAAGGATCAATAAAAAAAAATAAAGCAGAAAAGGGCTCAGCCACGCAGCTAGTCGTTTCTCTCTGGCTGTGCCCCTCTGTGTCTCATTCCCACGAGTCGTAGCCACGCTCTTCATCTCGCGCACGCTTGCTCGCTTGGTCCCCCCTTTACGCCTGCTCTTCTTGGCCAGAACTTGCCTTCCGCCACAACATCATTCTTCTTTATCGTCCTCCACCATCTCCATCTCACACGCTGTCGATCCCCTCCTTTCACCCGCCACCATACACAAGTTGGTACCGTCGTCCTTCTCGCTCTCGACCTCCACCTCGTTGCGATCCGCTCTCTGACGCGCGCCCTCAGTGCTGCATCCAGGAGTGTTATATCATCCGGCGTTTCTTTGCTGCTCACACTTGCTCAGCAGGGTATCCGACGAGAACGCTTGCTCAGCTTCACATCGATAGCCAACAGCTCTGCCTCTTTGCAGCTTCCATCGCCGCCTCCTAGTTGTACCGGCCGAACTTTCAGCATACTCCCACTGAATCGATCGGTCGCAATCCGACGTGATCGATAGCAATCCGTGGCGTCTCAGTCCCGAGCGATTCCACTTCATAGTATCGCCTGAAAGCCTCGTCGGCGCTTGCGTCACGTCACACTCAGGTCTCCACCGCCTCAAGTCACACAGCGGCGCACTTCCGATTCTCCCAAAGGCGGACTGAATCGCATCAACGAAGCTGCTCAACTCTTGCACTGCGTTTTACTGGTCACTCGGGATCTATCCGATTCCGCAACGCGCTCTTCAAGCGTCCCGGCATATCCGATCAGCTCACTTGCACAGCGCTTCGGCTTTGTTGATCCAGCGCTCATACCTCGAGCGGCTTTGAACCGGCTTTATCACAGTCTCTCCGACTCGATCCGATTGACTTTTGTCCTCAGGCCAGCTTTGCCCGGCAACCCGAGCTTAACGATCCTTTGCCGAGTCTATCTCGATCTTGAAACCGTCACAAGACGTCCATCTCGAAGCACGCCAGTTTTTCAAGGCAGCTTCATCCCGAACGAAAGTCGCCGCATCTACATTTCACACAGATCTCTCGAGATCACCGTAACATGATGGCGGCCAACCACTATAGCAGTTCGCGCCAGCACCCGCACCTGCCGCCGCATCTCAACCCTCTCCCTCCACTCGAGCCCAATGCCGAGCGTCACAACTACCACTATGCGGCAGGACGTCGTGGCTCCACCGACCCGATCCTGCACGCCTCGCTAGCGGCGTCTGCGAGCAACAGCTTCTCGCACGGGCACGGGCATGGCCATGCTGGCAGCTCCGGTTCATCCCTTGGCAACCCGAGCCTGTTCGACGCGCCTCGTCGGCGTAGCATTCAGATCGAGCCCACCGTCCCCTCTGGCCACGGTAGCCCCTTCGCCAGTCCCGGTCATTCGAATCTGCACTCCTCCTCTCGCTTCGGCTCGAACAACAGCCCCACCCCACTCGCTCAGTCGCACAGCGCCGATCAAGGCCACGACGAGCGTCTCGGCAACTATCAGTTCGGCAGCTACCCCGATTCGTATCGGGACGACAACCCACGGGTCCCCCACCTCTCCGCACCGGACGGCGACGGTGGCGGCCCCCTCGTCGACCCCGATTCCCGTCGTGGCTCCACCGCTTCTTCGAAACATTTGCTGGTGGACAAAGAAAAACCTTATTCCCGCTCCCCCGAGTTGAGAGTCTCCCACAAGCTGGCCGAACGAAAAAGGAGGAAGGAGATGAAGGAGCTGTTCGACGATCTACGGGATCAACTGCCCGTGGATAAAGGCCCCAAGACGAGCAAGTGGGAGATCCTGAGCAAGGCCGTGGAGCACATTGCGCAGTTGGCCGAGGAGAAGGAGGCACTGCAGGACGAGGTCGAGAGACTCAGGGCGCAGTTGGGGAGAGGGAAAGAGGCGAGCAATGGCCATAGAGAGTATGAGCGATAGGGAGGTTCATAGCGTATGACGTTCATGCATTATCACTGCTCTGTTGCTGAAGTCTGTGTGAAAAGAGGAGCCATCTGAGCTTGATGTGTGCTTCGAAACCCTCACGCTGGTCTTTCCCTGCGCGGACGCACGCCCCGCTCTCACATCCTCGCACGAGGGCTCACTCACGGTAGCCACAAGCCAGCTCGACGATGCGACGCACAAGAGATGAACATGTGTTTCCCACAGCTCAGTGATGCACCACAAGCTAGCACGAAGGTGAACTGGACAAGGGATGAACTTTTGGCTGAATTGAAATGCTTTTTGATGGGGTGTGGTTGACAGACGATTTGAGTGATGAGAAAGTCAAGTTGCGAAGGTTTAGGCAGTCTCCCCCGGGGCAGCACTCGGAGCGGAAGCGGGCGCAGGTGCGGCGGGAGCAGCAGCAGCCGGAGCGGGAGCATCCTTCTTCGCCTCTCCACCCGCAGGCTTGCCGCCCTCCTTCTTGTCCTTCTTGTCCCGGCCGTTGTTCTTCTTCTTGTTCTTGTTGCTGCCTGCGTTGCCGGTTGCGCTGGTGGAGGGGATGACTCCCTCTGTGGCGCTAGCGACCTCACCTGGAGCGGTGGCAGCCAGCACAGCAGGCGCATCCTTCACCTTGTCCCCCTTCTCTCCCCTGGACGGGCGCTCCTTTCGCCCCCTGTTGCTCCTGCCCACCTTCTCATCCGCACTCTTGCCCGTCTCCTCCTCCCGATCCGTCTCGCCACCTTTCTTCCCACCCCGCTTCTCCTCGGGCGACGACGCCTTATTGCTATCCGCCTGCTCCAACACAGGTCTCGTCTCCCCGCGCAACACCTCGCCCTGTCGCGCCAACCCCGCCGCCATCGCACTCTCATCCTTAAACTCGACATACGCAAACGGTCGCTGTCGACGCTGCCCCTCTCCGGCCTCCTCCTTACCACTCGACGCACCCCGTCGGTGCGGCTTATCGAACACCAGCTTGATACCCGCAATGCCAGACGCGGCAGGCCCGAAGTAGGCCCGCAGCTCGTCCTCCGACACCGGCAACGCTTCTTTGAGCTGCGAGACGTACAGTGTGAATGGGTTGCGCGGTTTGCGTGGACCCGAGGAGGGGGACTTGCGCCCGTCCGTGCCAGAGGTGAGGCCACCGTCGAGGTCCGAGCGCGAAGCGGCGGATTCGTGACCGCCACGCGGCTCGCGGGCGGGACGCTCCTTCTTCTCCCGGATGGGTTTGGTCGAAGATGCGGCGGCGGCGGCAGGGGCGGCGGGAGCTGTAGACGATGCAGCAGAACCGACGTTGGCGGCAGCAGCAGCAGCGCCGTTGCTGGCCTCGAGAGACTTGGGATGAGCTGCTTTGGCGGGCGGCGCGGACACAGAAGGCGAAGGGGCGTTGAGTTTCTGAACAGGCGCAGGTGCAGGTGCCGAGGGTGCTGCAGCGGGTTGAGCGTTCTTCGCTGCGGGAACCGCGGCGACGGGGACAGCCGATGCTCCTCCTGGCGCTGCGGTGGGCGTGACAGCAGTCATGGGCTGTCCGCTCCTGCGATAGGCAAAGTTGAAGCCCTGCGACCTAGTCTCGGCGCTGACCCTGCCGTCTCGGATGCTGAGCACGAGGTTGCCATAGGCAGCATCGGGCAGGTTCCAGTTCCAGGTGTTCTTCCAGGCGGGTTCCTCGCTGGCTGCGCCCGTCGCAGTCGCCGTGGGAGCCACCCGGTTGGCGACAGCAAGCGCGTTGTTGAGCAGCATTTTCTGGTTCTCGTCGATGACGGCATCCACCTGCGTCTTGACGGTGTCCCAGATCTCGCCAAATGCGTGCTTAGCGTGCTGAAGCTTGTTGCGATAGTTCTCGGCATCGTGCTGAACGCTGAACTCGTTGTACGAGACACCATAGCGGAAGTGGAGGCCGGCGCTGACGGTGAGATCCGCCTTGAGAGCCAGCGCGAGCTGAGCGAGAAGACCTTCGCGACCGGGAGAGGCGTGGGTGACGAGTAGACGCGTCTCGGTAGGGTCGAACGTCTTTTGCGCTGTGTCGACCAGCTCGCCGATCTGCAGAGCGGTGGTCCACATGGTGCCCTGACCGCCGGCAATGGTGGCCGCGCCCTCTCCGTTGTCGAAGAGCTTGTGGAGAACAACAGCACCACCGAGACCAAAGAGACGCAAACGGATGCCGCCGACCTCGATGGCCTTGGTCGTGGCTTCGTCGAGTACGGTCAGGTTGGGCACCTGATACTCGCCCGTGCGGAAGCGTTCGAGGACGGCGACGTCCTCGCAGGCACCCCAAACGGTGAAGACGGGCACCTGCAGCTTGATCTTGCCCGTGAGCAGGTCGGTGAACTCGGACAAGAGCGAGCCGTGCTGCTGCTGGGAAATCTGCTGACGCATGGCGGCCGCCGAAGCGCCCTTGTCGGCGGGACCGGGACCGCGAGGCGGGTCAGCCGCAAGAAGCCTGGTGCGGAGAGCGGGATCGATAAGCGTCGAGTACTGGACGAGGTGTCGGAGGGTGCGGTCGCTGATGCGTTCCAAGCTCGAGTGGTCGTAGAACCCGAAGTCACCGGTGTGGATGATGGCCTGAGCGCCCGTCTCGGCAGCGATCTGGTTGAAGAGGGAGAGATTACCGCGCACATCGGCCACACAGGCGATCCTGCCGCCGGGACCATCGATCACATGATGAGGCTCAGCAGAGTTGATGATGACAGGTTTGACGCTGGGACCGGTGGGGGCTCTGCTGCGGTTGGAAGGGGTGTGGTGAGGGGTGCGTGGGTGTGCACCAGCTGAAGGAGGTCGCAGGCCGGCATGGTTTTGAGAGGCAGCGGAAGCACCCGCGGATGGCTTGTGGTGGTGTGCGGGAGATCGAGAGTTGTTGATGGAGGAAGCCATGTCGAATCGAGAGTGGCTGAGGGTGTCGGTGAGACTTTTGAAGTTTGGTGGAGGATGAGTGCGGAATTACCGGTCAAGGGATGGAGTCTGAAGGGTATGCGGACCGATTGTCTAGGAAGCTATGACTAGCGAAAGGAAAGAGGCGGGTCAGCTGGAGTGTTGCGCAACCTGGAAGATGCGCGTTTGGAGATGCGCTCTGAAGTGCAACTTACGGAAAGAAACTCGATGTTGCTGGAAGCAGCGAGTCGATGGTATGCTTTGAGGATGATGGTAGGATGAGCGAAGATGTGATAACGTGTTGACTGGCTTAGTCAATGTACCCGCAAAGGTAGGGTGGGAGGGATTGGGATGAAAGTGGAAGATGAGCGATGTGATAGGAAGAAAGGGAAGTGGAAAAGCAGAGTGCGTGCGCCGCTCTTTCTGTTTCAATTTGAGCTGCTGCTGCGCCACTTCCGCACGCACCACACCAGCGCAACCCTCTAAGACAGGATACGCGACTGCGCTTAGCCCGCACACGCTCAACGGCTCTTCCGCTCTCTTTCTTGTCAATCTATCAATCTTTCTGAAGTCACGTTCTTAGTCATGAGCTCGCAGACATCGACATGCGTCTCGGTTCGAGTCGTTGCTACGTAGAGCCTCGCTATACTGTTGTTCTTGACTGGTCGAGATGTTGCTCGTGTGACTTGGGGTGCGCCATGTGCCCGTTGTTAGACCCTTGATCCCTTTTGTGCAGCAACAAAAACTTTGTCTTCCAGCTGCAGCCAGAGGAGGACCCTGAATGCTTCGTCGAGTGGCCATCAAAGTGCAGGAGGATACGATGATGACAGGGCCTCGTCGATGCAGCTCATGCCAAAGAACCTCGACGAACTCCGAAAACTCTCACAGGCATGACAGGACGTTCACTCGACCTCTTTGCAGGTGTCCCTTGATGATTCGAAGCGGTCGTGAGGCGTTGATGGTACAAGTACAGATGGATGACGATTGTAGAGAGACAGCTGGAGCTTGAAGATCACGATCATGCGTGCGACACTTTCTTGGTGATACCCATACGGCGCTTCTTGCGAGCTAGCCTCTTTGCGCTCATCTTCTGCGCCATGACCTCCAGTCGGGCCTTCTCCTCGGCCATCTGCTTGCGCTCGCGAGTCACCGTCTTCTTTCTCTCAGCCTCGGACTCCTTCTCGGCCTTCATCTCTCGCTCGCGTTGCTTGATGGATTCTTGTTTCCTTCGCTGCTCCAGCTTCTTCTCCCATGGTGTCGTTTTAATCTTGCCGGCAGGTGTACTGTGTGGCAGTATCATGAAAGCGAGACACTGTCAGCAAGGGCCGACAAAGACGTGATCCTTGAGCCGTACAACGGGTCTGGCAACTTACACTGTGGTGGTACTGGTGGGCTTGGCAGGCAGCATGTCGCTGGAGGAGGACGCTTTGCTGGACATCTTGTAGCGATTCTGATGAGGTTTTGATACGATCTGCACGCTTGCAGTTGGGACAGGCAATGGTGGGGAACACGAAGCCGTTGAGACAAGATGCACCTTGGTGGGAAAGAGTGGAGAAATTTCCAAGATTCAGAAGAAAAGTTGAGGGCCCATTTTGTGAGCTCAATTTGGGCTCAGTCGCGGCCCTGCCAAGGAACTCATCACCATTCATCACCATATCCGCAATACGCAGCATCCTCCTATCCTGCTCGTCTCAGCATCTGTTGATAACATTTCGATCACTTATGATCTTCCGCATTTGAATCTGCTCCACTATGTGGCATCCCGCTACTGGAAGACCCATGGACGCATCAACTCCTCGAGCATCGTCTTCGTCATCGCCGTTACAGTGGTCAATGTCAGCGCACAGCGAGCACGTTGACAACACTAATCAGAATAGCAACGACGCCGACAGCCATCCTCATTTGCACCCGCCTAGCATCTCAAGCGCACCCGCTCGCGCAACTCACTCAATCGAAAAAGGTTCATCGTCGCTATCATTTCACGATCCCCTGCCACGCGAACTTCGCAAGCAGAGATTTATGGACCTCGATTCAGCAGTCGAAAGCTGCCGTGCCTCTGCGCAGAAAAGCGGCTTCGAGTTGTACAAATCATCCGGCCCCAAAGACAGGACTTACGCCTACATTGAGTGTCGCAGGAAGTGGAAATCCAAGAAGTACCGCGGCGACGAACCCATCGACGTAGCCACCTCATCGTTCACCAATTGCAAATACCAGGCCAAAGTCGTATTCAAACCCCACAAACGAGACGATCGGCCATACGTTCTCGAACAAAAGGAAGATCGCGCCTTCCACAATCACGCGCCTTTTACTACGGGACCCAGGCTCAGGAACAGCGATCGCTCTCACGGTATCGAACAGCCTGTTCCAAACAAGAGGGCGCGGATTGTCGACACTCCGGTCGATTTGAGTCCAGGCGTTGACCGTCCGCGCTTATCGATCACTGATCAGGCAGTTTTCAGCCACTCTCGTGCTCGTCCGTCCATCGAACCTGGGCTCAGAAGTAGCCATCCCTCTCGCGGCTCTGAGCAGCCCATTCCAGATAGGAGGGCGCCGAGCAGCAACGCTTCGGTCAATTTGAGTCCAGGCGACGGCCGCCTGCGCTCATTGTCTACTTCCCTCGCAGCTCCCGATCACTCTCGTGTGCCTCCGGCCGGCCCTTTGACAGTTTCGAGCGTCACAAACATGTCGATCAACACCGCCACAGCAGCCGTCGGGCTCATGGATCTTGCATCCCAGCCGAAGCAGTTATCTCAAGGCCATTTTGAGCCAAGCAGCAATCGACCTCAAAAGAGAACCCGATTCGACTGTGAGACGCCTCACTCGTCACCATCATTGCCTTCGTCACGCCCAGCAGCAGACGTCAGTCCCGACGAGCTACTCTTTCTTCTCAGGCGAGCGCGAGGTGCTACGAGAGCAACACTAGACGCAATCCTGCTAATGGACCGACAAGAAGCTGAGGAATCGCTTACGTGGATGGATGGCATGAAGACTGTACTTGTTCTCAGGATAGCGTCTTTGGACAAGGCAGGTTGATGTGTCGTGTTCCTTCGTACTAATGTTAGCCGTATCATACTTGAACCTTGCGCACAATCCGCCTCGCTTTTACACAGTGCTCGCCCGCCCAAGCTCCTTCTGCTCCGGCTGCTAGCTCGTTCGCAGCTCATCCAGATCCATCAATCAATCAGTCTCGTTCTGTGCATCAATCTCACGACATGCCGTAGAAGTGAGCACGAGCATGAATGGTCGTTGGAGGCACGGCCAAATTTACTGTGGATAATTTTGAGGCAGCACAGCGCTTTGAGAGGCTGTCAGCTTCCCTTTCTTCTCGCCTTGCTCGACGTCCGGCTTCCGACGCAGAACCAATTTTCTTGCCTCTACGGGCGGCTGAGTCGTAATTTTCCAGGCTGGAAACGGCGCAAGTGAACTGTGCTGTGCTGCAGCCTTCTTCATCTGTCCACCAGCTTGACGATTCGTTGACCATCATCGATCTGTCGCTACCACCACACGACTGCTCTTTCAGGTCAAACTACCTCATCAGCACCATCTATCGGCGGACGGAAAGACAGCAAAGGCGCGCTTGCATCCGACACTGCAACATCCCTGGAAACGAAGCTCAAGACCGTCTCAGCTCTAGGACTCCGCACAACTAGCGGCACCACGTCACAATGGGAAAGAAGAAGGGCGCCAAGAAGGGCGGCGGAGATGACTTCTGGGACGAGGCTGGCGAGTCCATCGACAACAACAATGCCGCCAACGACGAGGAAGACGAGGTTCCCGCTAAGAAAACCAAGAACCTCTTCGCTGCCATGTCGCTCGATGACGGCGCCGACGATCAGGACGAAGACGAAGAGGAAACGCCAGCAGCTCCCTCCAAGAAGGGCAAGAAGGACAAGAAGGCTAATGGCAAGGCCGCTGAGCCTGAGCCCGAGCCGACTCCTGCACCAGCACCAGCCGCCGAGGACGACGACGACAACTACGGCCTGATGGGCGCAATCAAGAATGCCAGCAGCAAGAAAGGAAAGAAGGACAAGAAGAAGAAGAAGAAGCAAGCCGACGACTTTGATTTCGACGAGTTCGGTGAGGACGTGAGCGGAAACGCAGCCGCCCCAGCTGAGGCTGACGCAGAGCAAGACCTCGCCAACAAGGCTCCTGTTCAAGGCACCATCGATGACATGCTCGACGACGAGTTCCCAGAGGACAAGATAAAGAAGAAGGGCGGCGCACAGAAGCAAGAGCAGCCAGCAGATGACGCGGACGCCGACGCCGACGATGCCGAGGACGACGGCGCACCCCGCATCCTCACAAAGAAGGAGAAGGAGAAACTCAAAAAGGAAAAGGAGAAGGCCAAGAAGAAGGCGCAGGCTGCTGCTAAGAAGGCCTCGCAGCCGGCTAAGCAGGATGCGGCAGGTGATGAAGATGACAAGGACGACGCTGCTGCTGCTGAAGAGGACGCTCCTGCCACCTCAGCTGCTTCCGATAAGAAGAAGAAGAAGAAGGGCAAGGGCGCCGAACCAGCCGCAGCAGCCACACCAGCGCCTTCGGCCGCCCCCAAGAAGATGAACCCGCAGCTTGCGGCCCTTCAGGCTCGTATCGCAGCGCAAAAGAAGGCGGACGAGGAGGCTGAGCAGGCCCGTCTCGAAGCCATCCGTGCCGAGGAGGAGCGCGAACGCCTCGAACAGGAGGAGGAGGAGCGCAAGGAAGCCCTCAAGAAAGCCAAGAAGGAGAAGGAGAAGGCCAAGAAGGAGCAGCTCAAGAAGGAGGGCAAGTTCTTGACCCCCAAGCAGAAAGCCGAGAAGGCCGCTGCCGAGGCAAGGATGCAGGCCATGCTCCAAGCCGGCCACGTCAAGATCGAGGGTCTGGAGAACCGTGAAGCTGGTGTCAAGCCTACGACCAAGAAGCGTGCTGTGGTCGACAACCGAAAGAAGAAGGGTCCGCAGAAGCGCGATGGTGGTCTCACCATTCCTGAGCCTGTCGCTGCCGATGCCGATGGCGGCAAGGACAAGGAGCAAGGCGAATCAGCCGACGCGGCTCTTGCTAAGGACGAGGCCTCTCCTGCTCAGAAGGAAGCTGAATCTGCCAAGGTCGACGAGCCCGCTGCCGGGGAGGACGAAGCCGTCAAGGAAAGCTGGGACGCGCAATCGGAAGACGAGGACGTCAAGGACAGTTGGGATGCCGAGTCGGACGACGACAAGCCCGCCACTCCGAAGGCCGCCGGAAAGGTGGACACCGCCGCTGCGGCCAAGACCAACGGCAAAGCTGCAGCCAAGGGCGAGGAAGATGAGGAGGACGACGAGGAGGACGACGAAGATGATGACGACGATGAGTCCGACTCCGACTCCGATGATTCAGAATCCGAGTCCGATTCGGACGACGGTCTCACGTCCGCCCAGCGTCAAGCCGCCGAGAAGAAGGCTGCTGCCGCTGAGCGAAGGAAGGAGCGCACCGAGCAGGCCATGGCCGCCCGAAGCCGTGACGACCTTCGATCGCCCATCTGCTGTATTCTCGGACACGTCGACACGGGCAAGACCAAGCTTCTCGACAAGATTCGTCAGACCAACGTCCAGGAGGGCGAGGCGGGTGGTATCACCCAGCAGATCGGTGCTACCTACTTCCCCACCGAGGTGCTTCAGACCAAGACTGCCGTCCTCGACAAGGACTCGCCGTTCGAGTACAAGGTGCCCGGTCTGCTCGTCATTGACACGCCAGGACACGAGTCTTTCACCAACCTGCGAACCCGTGGTTCTTCTCTCTGCAACATTGCCATCCTGGTTGTGGACATTATGCACGGACTCGAGCCGCAGACGCTCGAGTCGATCCGCCTGCTCCGAGACAAGAAGACGCCCTTCATCGTTGCTCTCAACAAGATCGACCGTCTTTATGGCTGGGAGGCCACACCGAACGGCGCGTTCCGTGACAGCCTGTCCAAGCAGCAGCGTGCCACGCAGAATGAGTTCGAGGAGCGAACCAACCAGGTCATCGTCCAGTTCGCCGAGCAGGGACTCAACGCCGTCCTCTACTACGACAACAAGAACATGGGTCGCAACGTCAGCTTGGTGCCCACCTCGGCTCACACCGGCGAAGGTATCCCGGACATGCTGCGCCTCATCATCGAGCTCACGCAGACGCGTATGAGCGAGCGGCTCATGTACCTCTCGGAGCTCGAGTGCACTGTGCTCGAGGTCAAGGTCATCGAGGGTCTGGGTACAACCATCGACGTCGTGCTCTCCAACGGTGTCATGCACGAGGGCGACCGCATCGTCGTCTGCGGTCTCAACGGTCCCATCGTGACCCAGGTGCGAGCGCTGCTCACACCGCAGCCGCTCAAGGAGATGCGAGTCAAAGGTGCCTACGTCCACCACAAGATGGTCAAGGCCGCGCTCGGTGTCAAGATCGCCGCTCCGGATCTCGAGAAGGCCATCGCTGGTTCTAGGCTGTTAGTCGTCGGTCCGGACGACGACGAGGACGATCTCAAGGACGAAGTGATGAGCGACCTCAGCTCGTTGATGAACTCGATCGACACTTCGGGTCGCGGAGTCTGCGTGCAGGCGTCGACGCTCGGATCGCTCGAGGCGTTGCTCGAGTTCCTCCGCGTCAGCAAGATCCCTGTCAACGGCATCAACATCGGCCCCGTCTTCAAGAAGGACGTGGTGCGATGTTCGACCATGCTCGAGAAGGCCAAGGAGCTGGCTGTCATTCTTGCGTTCGACGTTCCCGTCGATAAGGAAGCCGAGAAGCTCGCCGAAGAGTTGGGCATCAAGATCTTCACCGCCCGTATCATCTACCACTTGGAGAACGACTTTACCAAGTACCACAAGGAGATCATGGATGGCAAGAAGAAGGAGGCCTCGGGAACGGCGGTTTGGCCGTGTCGACTCAAGACCATTGCGTGTTTTGCCAAGCGCGATCCGATCATCCTGGGTTGCGACATTCTCGATGGAACGCTTCGGGTCGGAACACCTCTCTGCGTGGTGAAAACCGATCCCACCACACGCAAGAAAACCGTCGTCCATCTTGGGAAAGTCACGTCGCTCGAGATCAACCACAAGGAACGCGATGTGGTGCTCAAGAAGGACGTCGGCGGCGGTGTCGCCGTCAAGATCGAACACGCCGTGCACGAGTCGGCCAAGATGTTTGGTCGTCACTTTGAGGAGAACGACGTGATTGTGAGTCACATCAGCAGAGCCAGCATCGATGCGCTCAAGGCGCATTTCTGGGACGGCATCTCGACGGATGAGAAAAAGTTGATCAAGAAGCTCAAGGGCGAACTTGACATTCCGTGAGAAAAGCGAGGAAGCAAAAGCACTGTATATAACACACATATGTATCGCATCCCATGCTCAGTACATTGGATACTGCGTGATCGCATGGAACATGATCCCTGAGCGAGCGACCGATCTTGCGTCGGGGTCGTACTCTTCGCACTCATCGGTTCGGTCAACACACACATCGTCCCACACTTGAAAGATAAGAGTCATAGGGAAATCATAATTCAATATATCGGAGCAGAACAGTAACTAAAAGCTAACGAGCTTAGAACTTGGCACGGGCGATGTTGCTCTTCTTGACCTCGAAGCGGTCGAGGTTCATGACCTTGTTCCAGGCGGCGACGAAGTCCTTGGCGAACTTGTCGGCGTTGTCGGCCTGGGCGTAGACCTCGGCGTACGAACGGAGTTCGGCCTGGTGACCAAAGATGAGGTCGTAGCGGCTGGCGTCCCACTTCTTCTGGCCAGACTTGCGGTCGACACCGTCGAACTTCTCGGAGCGACCATTGTCGGCGACCTTCCACTCGGTGGACATGTCGAGCAGGTTGACGAAGTAGTCGTTCGAAAGCTTGCCCTTGTTGTGGGTCAGAACACCGGACGAGGAGTTGTCGTAGTTGAGACCCAGGACTCGCAGACCACCGACAAGGACGGTGAGCTCAGGAGGCGTGAGCGTGAGCAGGTTGGCCTTGTCGACCATGTACTGCTCGGCACGGACACGCTCGGTCGAGCCGCCGTAGCTGCGGAAACCGTCAGCCTGGGGCTCGAGCCAGTCGAAGGTGTCGGCCTCGGTCCACTCCTGCGAGGCGTCGGTGCGGCCAGGGGTGAAGGGAACGGGAAGACCCGAGGCCTTCTCAAGAGCAGCGTTACCAGCGAGAACGATCAAGTCGGCAATCGAGATCTTCTTGCCACCCTGGCTGGACGAGTTGAACTTCTGCTGAACACCCTCGAGCGCCTTGAGCACCTCGGCGAGCTGAGCAGGGTTGTTGACCTCCCAGTCCTTCATGGGCGCGAGACGGATGCGGGCGCCGTTGGCACCACCGCGCTTGTCCGAGTCACGGTAGCTGGCAGCCGAGGCCCAAGCAGTGGCGAGGAACTTGGTGGGCTCAACGCCGGTGGCGAGGATAGCCTGCTTCAGGCCAGCGAGGTCACGGTCGTCGACGAGGGCGTGGTCGACCTCGGGAACGGGGTCCTCCCAGATGAGAGTCTCCTTGGGGACCTCGGGACCGAGCCAGCGAGCACGAGGACCCATGTCACGGTGGAGCAGCTTGAACCAAGCGCGAGCAAAGGCATCAGCGAACTCGTCGTGGTTCTCGAGGAAGTGGCGCGAGATCTTCTCGTACTCGGGGTCGTATCGGAGCGAAAGATCGGTGGTGAGCATGGTGGGGCGACGGTTTTTGGACTTGTCGTCGGGGTTGGCGGGGTCGGGGATGATGGCGTCGGCGTTCTTGGCGACGAACTGGTTGGCACCAGCAGGCGACTTGTCGTGCTCCCACTCGAACTCGAAAAGGTACTTGAGGTAGAGGTTGGTCCACTCGGTAGGCTTGCTGGTCCAGACGACCTCAGTACCCGAAGTGGTGGCGTCAGCGAGCTTGCCCGACTTGTGCTTGTTGGCCCAACCGAAGCCCTGGGCCTCGATGGGAGCACCGTTGGGCTCGGGGCCGACGAGCTCGGGGTCACCGGCACCGTGGGTCTTACCGAAGGTGTGGCCACCAGCGATGAGAGCAACAGTCTCATAGTCGTTCATGGCCATGCGGCCGAAGGTGGTGCGGATGTCGTGAGCAGCGGCAACCGGGTCAGGCTCCGAGTTGGGGCCCTCGGGGTTGACGTAGATGAGACCCATGTTAGAGGCAGCAAGAGCGCCCTCGAGCTTGCGTGTCTTGAGGTCGTTGATGGTGCCCTTGGGGTTCTCCTCCTGGTAACGGACATCGTTGCCGAGCCAAGTGGTCTCGCCACCCCAGTAGGTGGACTGGTCCGCCTCCCAGGTGTCGGCACGACCACCGGCGAAACCGAAGGTCTTGAAGCCCATCGACTCGAGGGCGACGTTACCGGTGAGGAGGAGCAAGTCGGCCCACGAGATCTTGTTGCCGTACTTCTGCTTGATGGGCCACAAGAGACGACGAGCCTTGTCGAGGTTTCCGTTGTCTGGCCACGAGTTGAGGGGAGCGAATCGCTGCTGTCCCTCACCGCCACCACCACGACCGTCCTGAACACGGTAAGTACCGGCGGCGTGCCACGACATGCGGATGAAGAAACCGCCGTAGTGGCCGTAATCCGCGGGCCACCAGTCCTGGGAGTCGGTCATGAGCTTGGTGAGGTCCTTCTTGAGGGCATCGTAGTCGAGGCTCTTGAAGGCTTCGGCGTAGTCGAACTCGGCGTGGAAGGGATCCGACTTGGCCTGGTGCTGGCGAAGGATGTTGAGACGGAGCTCATTGGGCCACCAATCGCTGCTCTTGGTGCCGTAACCGGCGACGGGCTGACGCTTGCGGTCGACGTTGGTGTTGTGGGCGACGGGGCACTCTCCCATTTTGGCGTTGTCAGATGGGGGAAGCGAAATGTGGATCGAAGATGTGTGACTGATGACAGGCGTAAGCGACAGAAGGAAGTGCGCTACGCGAGATGATGTGTGTGTTTGTGGATGACGAGGAAGGTGTGGCGTCAAAGATGACTGATGTGTGCTTGCGACAAGAGGATTGGGTGCAAGCGACGCAGTGGTATATATTTGAACAGCAGGCCGGCAGCCGGCAAGAGCGGTGTGCGGGGAAGGTGGCGGTAGAGCACAGGCTGCAAGACTACGAAGGCGTGCGGCTTAGCAAAGAGAGGGCGGCGATACGCTGGAATATCGAAGTGGCGGACTGGCTGTACCTTGGCTTGATGCCCGGCTGAGTTCGGTTGGAGAGTGGTCGGTGCGCGCGCGTAAGCTCCAAGTCGATTGCCGTCAGTTGCCGTCACATCGCAGTCTCGAGTCTCAGCCTCTGCATTTGCGCGTGCTTTCACACAAAATCGAACTTCCTCGTGCTTCCACGGCGGCTTCCCTCGCCTAACTCAAATCAACTCAGGGCTGTAATCTCAAATTTTAGAATTTTACTCGGCGACTGAGGTGAAGGTCTGCGTGGAATGTACAGAAGACACTTACTCATTGACGCTTAATATCCGCTATGTCCGACTCGGCTAGTATCGAATTCTATCCCGGCTAGCTCAGTCGGTAGAGCGTCAGACTCTTACTCAAGGGTTTCCGAGCCAGTTCTCGGGTCATCTGAATGTCGTGGGTTCGAGCCCCACGTTGGGAGATATTTTTATTGGTTCGCCCCATTTTGCACCGTTTTGTTTTGCTCCTCAGCAGAGACGTACTTACGGCGTCTTGTTCGACCTTCGTCCTCGCTCGAGAGTATCAATGCGATCCTTTGGCACCTGCTTTCAATGACATGGGAAGATTATGAATGCGTAGGCAGGCTCAAGCTGCGTACCCGCCAACACGCCGACGCCTTGGGGCAGCATTTCATCAGAAATTGTGTTGGTGGTGGCTCATGACTCAACTTAGCGGTCGTAGCATGGAGACGGTTGCTCTCGAACCAAATGTCACCTCAACTGCAACTTCTCGTCGCAACGCCGTGGTGGGTTGCTGCCATCACCTCGAACTTCCTGACAATGAAAGAGGGACATCACGTTGTCGCTACACATTCAATTTCCCACTGCCCACCGCATTTGCTCCAGCGTGATCCTTCGTCTTGTAATTTGAGCTCAACGCCCACCTTGGCCGCTCTCGCTGGCACTTCAGACAGTGAGAAGACGATCAGGCTGTGTGCCTTGCAACTCGATACTGGTACCACTCCGCGACCCACACCACAGTTGGTTTCCTCACAGTCACCCAGACTTCAATGAGCAGAACGTCAGCCCGAGCAGAAGTATAAGAAGTCGCCCTCCCTGTGCGAGTCGAAGGGTTCTGAGCAACAAATTTTCGAGCCCCCTTCGTCACTACACGTCGTTGTTACACGCCATGAAGCTCAACGCCTTTTTCGTCGCGCTCGCCATCGCAAGCAGTGTGTCCATCCATGCTGCGCCTTTGATCGAGCCTCGAGGCTTCAAAGATGCCTGGAAGGCGGTCAAGTCGGCCAGCGGCAAGATGCTCGGCAAGGACAGTGCCTACGAGCAGAGGATGAGCGAGCCGTTCTACTCGCCTGACTATGTTCCTCAGCCTGGCTACGAGCAATATGGCAATCACGCTCAGACTCCCGAAGGGTTCATGAATAAGAAGTTGCAGGAGAAGAAGGCAAGCAAGAACAAGGGTTCTGTTGAAGGCAGTTCTTCCACGGCCTATGAAGCGCCTCCATCCCATAGCTACGAAGCGTCGCCCGAACACGCTCCTTCGCGCGAATCCAGCCCGGAGCCGATGAGCCCTCCTCGGGCCCAGCAGAGCACACCTGGTGGTGCGATGGTGCCGTATGTTCCGCCTCCTGCCCCCGCTCCCGAGCGACCCTACCATCCCTTCGAGTACACCGGACCCAACCATCCGTACGCTCCTGCTCCGGCTGAGTACAGTCACTACGGTCAGCCATACCACCCGCCGCCCGGGTACGCCCCTCAGTACGGTCATTCTCCGAGCTATCCTTCCTACGATCTGACACCGGGCTACACCTATCGCCCCGGGCATGCCCATCCGGACATGGCCTATTCGCAATATGGCAACAACTATCGTAAGTCATGAAGGTGTGGGTTTTGCTTTTGTCAACGTGGGCTTAGGGCTGATCTTGTCCCCCTTTCCCATTTCTTTCAGACTACATGCACGGCGCCCCGGGCGAGCATGTCCCACCTCCTGACCAGACCTACCACGGCTACCCTGGAGGTGGCTGGTAGTGGCCCAGCTAGTGTGGGTCGCTATCCATCGTGCGAACGGTCTCGTCCGAGTCCGCGCCAAGTCAATCTATCCTTCTCGTCCCGTCCGCAGTGTTCCGACCGTCCCGCACATTCATTTCGCATCTCAGTCGTTTTCAGCTGCATGGTGGTGAGTCGTTGTGTTGTGAGACAGCCCGGATTGAAGGTTGGTGGCAGATCCTGCGGCGACTTTACGGTGAGCTTCACCGGCAACCTTCTTCTGCTACGAGATGAAAGCCAAGCACCGAGCAGGTGCCGTCAGAAGGCGAACCTCGTCTTCGCGTGGCGATTGTTGTCTCTGCATGGCAACAGCCGAGCGTGCGTGAGTGACGATTCATCAAGCGACGAGTCTGTCGGCGACCTTGACCTGCGGGGACTTTGCAACAAGTTCATCTACAGTATAAGAAGACCCCCCACAAGCGTGGTCTCTCTCCTTGCCTCCATCTCAGAAACCCTCGAAAGATCCTCGGACAACTTCCAAGAATCAGATTCAACCCCTGCCAATCCTCCAAGATGCGCTCTCTCATCGTCCTTGTCCTCGCCTTTTTCGCAGCAACTGCTCTTTCGGCTCCCATGGCCGGGGAGATGGAGAAAGTCGCCACCTCAGGAGCCGAAGCGATCAGCGAGGAGCTGTCGCATCTCGATCTCGGTCATGCTCGTCCCCCTACACCTCCTGCGCCCAATGCTCTGAGCGGTCAAACATCTCGCATGAACTTCGCTCGTCCTCCGCCTCTTCACGTGCCTCCTCCCTCAGCCGAAGGTCCGCTTGTGGCCGACCTGGGTTCCGCCTCCTCCGGCTCCGGTCGTCGTCCCTTTGCCTCTCCCGATCAAGTCATCCCCGTCAACGATGGAGGAGCCAAGGACCGCCTCCGCAACGTCGTCGGCAAGATCGTCAAGCCCGCCAGGTCGGGCAACCGGAGGCTCGACAGGCAGCCTTCGATGAATGAGAATCAGTGGAAGGCGCTCTTCGCCGAACACGATTTTGATCCTGCCAAGTGGGTGAACGAGGACAAGAGCCGGTTTGCTGGGGATCGCGCCAAGCAGGCCATGTTCCGTTTTTGATCGCGTGGGGGATCAGCTTGGGTCCGCGGTCAATGCTGATGAGCTTGATCACTGCGCCCCGAGCTAGACCCGGGGTTCAACCATGAGCAAGTCGACCCACATCATCTCGTCCCCACGCTGCAACTCAACACAATCCCCATGCCAATTCAGATACCGGCCCCATCGCTCTCGCTCTTCGTTATGCTTTCGCATCAACCCAATGCACCTACCGCAAGCAAAGCTTTCTCTTTTAGCCTCCGTTGTTCCCCGGCTCTTCTTGGCAAATCCAAAAGTTCTTTCCCACTTGACAACAGCCGCCCGTGTCGCTTGTGCCAATTTGCACTGTTGTTTGGTTGCAACACGACGAGGCCACAGCTCTTGCGCTATATGGCGTGGAAAACAGTCGATCGTCGCACCCATCTCATGAGATCGCCGCGCAAAGCAACACATCTCACAACCCACGCACAAGACTCTGACACAAAGAACCCAAGGCGAGAGGAAACAAAGACTGATAATTGAAAAACAGAACCAATCTCTTCTTTTTGTGTGATGGTAACGGCAGGATGAGAGTGTGTGGGGACGACCTCTTCTGGAGGAACGCCAAAAAGTACAGATGAAAGAGCAGAACAGACTGTGCCGTTTCCATGCAGACTCTTGCTCGATGGTGATGAAGAAGAAACACGAGACCGAATGCAGAACAAGGGAGCGCGATTAAGCGTCCTTGGTCTTGATGGTACCGCGGATGAGACCGGTACGACGGGCGGCGATGAGACCGACCTTCTGACCGGCGGGGGCGAAGCGCGAGCGCGTCGAGGGCTTGCCGATGTGCTGGTGGTTACCACCACCGTGGGGGTGGTCGACGGGGTTCATAGCCACACCACGAGTGCGGGGCCACGAGTTGCGCTTGACCTTGAACTTGTGGTGGGCACGACCGGCCTTGAGCAACGGCTTGTCGATACGACCACCACCGGCAACAATGCCGATCGTGGCACGCGAGGTCGAGGGGACGGTCTTCTTGGCACCGGAGGGCAGACGGATGCGCGAGGTCTTGCCGTTCGCGTCGTGACCGATGATGGTGGCGTAGTTGCCCGAAGTGCGGGCGAGCGAACCACGGTCACCCGACTTCTCCTCGACGTTGCAGACGATGGTTCCTTCGGGGAGCGAAGAGAGGGGGAGAACGTTGGCAACGTTCAGAGCAGCCTTCTTACCGCAGTAGACGAACTGGCCGGTGGAGAGACCCTCGGTAGCAACAAAGGTCTCGACACGGGTGCGGTACTTGTAAGGGTCACGGAAAGCGATCTTGGCAAGGGGAGCACCACTATTGAATAGAAGGAAGAGAGATATTAGTCAGTTTCGATGTTGTTGAACTGGAAAAGATCGCAGCTTGGCTGAGCGAGAACAGAACAGCATCATGAGCATGAGGTCGAGCGACGGCGTGCTAGCAGCCGTCGTGATCTGCGGACTGAGTTGACAAGCGATCACAGCAACAGTAGAGGCCGTAGAAGTCGATGAACTGGCGACTGTGTTGCAACAGTTGCCGGGCGCCGGACTGCTTTCGAAGGGGAAGAGGAGCGCGTTGGCTCGATGCCGAGTGCCGCTGGCGGTTGCTGAGGCAAGGACTTGGTATCTGTTCTTCTGAAGCGTGAATACCAATCAAAAGCCTGCGCATGCATGGCCGAGTCCCTGATCGAACATGTGCGCTTCTGATCGAGTATTCCAGGCTGATGGGCTAGACGGCACCGCAGCGTACAACTCTGCGAGCTATCCGATCTGTACCTGCCCCGTCGTCCCCATCCCTCCCCAAGCCAACTACGCATTGCTATCAAGTCGGTCCTTTCAACTGCCTTGTTGATGTGTCGCGATGAACAGCACGACGATTGCCAACTCTTAACCGATCTCCTCCCTTTGACCCTGCTGGTCCTGGCAACTGAGTCTGTCTGCAAGTATGCTGTCTGGTCGAAGAAAGTCTGCTGCAGGGTTGTCGAATGCTGGCGGATGCTGCTTCGTTGTGCTAACTGCTGATGCTGATGTCGATGCCGTCTGATGCTGTTCTGTATGCCTGCCTTTGTCGTCGAAATACTCACCGACCGGCATCGTGGATGATCTCCTTGACAACACCTCGGATGTAACCGTTGCGCTCGGCGTAGTCGTACACGCGGAGCTTGGCGGGGGCCTTGTTGTGCTTGGTGTGAGCGGTGAAGATACCACCGCTCTTTCGCTGAGCTCGAATGACACGACCCATTGTTGCTGATTGATGGGGGGTTGACTTGGTGGTGAGGAGAACGATGACAAGCAATGGCGGCCGATGGTGCTCAACTCGAACTGGCCCGCTCCGCTGTATGTGGAATTGGCTGGGCTGGCTGCTCTGGCACGGATTCGCACCTTCTGGGCTGCGAATTGGCTCGGTCTGGAGTGGCTGGGTGAGAGGAAATTCGAAGTGTCGCGCTGTGCTGCCTCGCAAGGATGGACGATGATTTTGTGAGGCAGCACAGCGCGATCTGACCAATCTCTGGCCTAAAACTGAAATTTCTGCGACTGAAACTGATCAACACGTGACTAGGAGTCAAGCTTCGGCCGAGCTCGTAAAAGGCCCATCTCCCGAGAGGACCTTCGATCTCACAACTGCGAAATATTAGCCCGATCCTCCACTTTCTAGATGAGCACAAAGTGACAGGGCCGAAGCGATGAATCACCCTCGCACAGCGCTCAGTGCGACTCAGCATCGCACGTCGCACGGCTCATCCATCGACCACGCGCACTGCCGGGTTCACACGTCGTCGTCGGTGATCATCACCATGCCCTGCACCTCCTCAACATCTTGATCTCGTCATTGGCGCTACCCTGGGCAGCTTCTTCGAGCACCCACGAAGAAGCGCAATCGCGAGAAGCCTCTGCGCTCGCACCCCAATCGTAAGTCTACCCTGCTCGACTCCACCCAGCAACGACAGCCATCGACGCCAACCCTCTCGCAACAGCATGCACGCTTGTCATCAAAGTGATGACTAAAATTTCACATTCACAAGCTCAACAGTCCAAGGATCATTGTATCCGGTGCCGAGTTAATTCTTCTTCTTCTGCAATTCTGATCTTGCGCCCTTGACGCAACGACGGGACGTGCATGCTATCGAGAGGACACGTTGGGATGCTGTCATCGCTCTGCGCTCGATTCGAAGCGAACTGTGGCTGATCATCTTCTGCTCATCCTGCTTCTTATGCACTCCTGGTAGGTCGCTCCTTGCTACGAATATACCCTCGATCTAGCTCTATACCCCTGGATTTCGTCTCTGTTCTCGTTCTGGCTCGCAACATCGCATCGTCTTCGCATCACTCAGTCCGTCTGAAACTCTCGCCTCGTTCTTACTCGAGTGAAGGCTACACGCACCGCACTTTCGCTCTCATGTCCGGCAACCCACCATCGGCCAACGCCGCGGCTAGCGGCAGCAACAGCCCCCGTCGTCCGCTCTCATCCTTCCAACCTGCCTCTGCGCTTCCACGCAACATGAATTCCACCACCACCAACCCCTCCACCGGCGCAGGCTCGGTCGTCCAGCCTCGCCCGCGCCCACTCATCCGCGGTGCCGCCGGCACAGGCAACACGATCCTCGTCAACAACTGCCAACGGGGCAATCCGCTCCTCCAACACATCCGCAACATCGGCTGGGAGTACGCCGACATTGTCCCTGACTATCAAGTGGGTCTCTCCTCCTGCATCCTCTTCCTCTCGATCCGATATCACCGATTGCATCCGGAGTATGTGCATACGCGCATCCAAAAGCTGGGCAATATGTTTACCCTCAGGATCTTGTTGGTGCTGTGCGATGTGAACGACCATCAAGCAGCGATAAAGGAGCTCACCAAAACGGGCATCATCAACAATCTCACCCTCATCATCGCCTGGACTGCCGAAGAAGCAGGCAAGTACGTCGAGACGTACAAGAGCTTCGAACACAAACCCCCGGACTTGATCAAGGAGAGGGTGGGAGAGGATTATCTGAGTCAGGTGACGAACGTTTTGACGCAGGTGAGAGGCGTGAATCGCACGGATGTGGTGACGTTGTTGACGCGGTTTGGCAGTTTGAAGGGTGTTGTAGGGGGTGGAGTGGAGGAGGTTGGGATGTGTCCCGGGTTTGGGGAGGTCAAGGCGAAGCGGTTGAGGGAGGTTTTTACGCAGCCGTTTCGAGTGGGTGAGGGGAGGACGTATAAGCAGCGCAAGATGGGGAGCAATCAGCCGAACAACTCCGCTATCACCGAGAATGCTGCACGTGGGGGGCTGCCGGAGGACATCCTCACCACGACGACGACGACGACGAGGACGAGGACGCCGCAGGCTCGAACGGCAGAATCCGGTTCGACCGCGGAAAGCGGAGCACCAGCCCAACCAGCACGTGCACTCGACGCCCTCGAACAGGACTTCGACAACCTCTCCGAACAAGAGCAGCTCCGACTCGCCATGCAGCTCTCCGTGAATGCGGACGAGCCTCCTTCCCCCTGATACCCCTTGTTCCGACCTTGTACACTAGCATCGCACTCATAGCAATTCGCATCATGAAGTGGATGAAGCCGCGTTGATTCAACAGCTCGCATGTCAGTGCCGCACTGGAGACTCGTTCTGTGCAGCGAATCTCGTACTCACGATCGAGATGTATGCACACGCCCACACGCAGAGCAAATCGGGGTTCCCTCTTCCCACGACTAGCGCGGGAACAACAAATTGTCATTTCAGGTCCAATCCAGCATCGAGCCGAGACCGAGCAAAGGTGGAAGGAAGAGCAACGAAGGAGAACAAGGGAGCGAGCGATGGCCCAACGCAAAGCGGTGCTGTCCGACAAAGTGGTCGCCTGTACCACTGCGGTCCACACCGACAAGGGGGCCGCAAACGCAATGGAGACGGCAGCTCAGCACATGGCGAGGTTCTTGTAGGTGCCCATGCTGTACGTGTTTGCCTTGCCGAGGAACCAGCCGTTGAGCATCTGGTAGAGGTAGTCGAGGTTGTTCTGGGCGAAGCAATGACCCTGCCATCGGGCGGCGGTGGCTGATTGAACGGTGAGACCGATCTGCCAGCCGTTGTACTGGCCGATCGCCTGGAGCACGCTACCTCCAGACTGGTCCAGGACGGTCTTGAAGTACTTTGCGCCCGTGTCGACGTTGAACCAGGGGTCTTTGCAGTTACCGTTGGGCGCACCGCCGCACTTGTCCGGGGTGATCTGCATGAGACCCTGCTCGCCGTTGCCGCCCGTTGCGCCGGGGTTGCAGGTGGACTCCTGCATGGCAAACGACATGAGGACGGTGGCGGGGATGTTGTGCGCCTTCTCGGCGGCTTGGAAGGCCCAGAGGACGTCCTTGCAGGGCGCAAAGACGGGCGAATCGGCGGCTTGGGTGGACGAGATGATCTTGAGCTGGTCGAGCTGCAGCTTGGGAGGGTTCCAGCCGCCCGAGGTTACGCCGCAGTTGAGCCAGCTCTGGGAGCCGTTGGGTTGATCGTTGTTGGCACCGCTGGCACCACAGTTGCCGGCGACCACACCGAAGAGACCAGCGCCAGATGCCGCGGAGGATGACGAGGAAGATGACGAGGAGGTGGAGGCGGCCTTGGCATTCGAACCTGCGCTGGAGTCGGTCTTGCCAGAAGACGACGACTGCGAGTCGTTGCTGTTCGAGTTGGAGTTGGAGTTGGAGCTCGAGTTGGAATCCGACTTGGACTCAGACTGTGACTTTGACTCGGACTGCGACTGCGACTTTGCTTCCGACTGCGACTGGGCCTGAGCCTGAGCCTGCGTGGTGGTGTGCTTCTGGTTGTTCTGCTGCGAGGAAGCGTCGGTCTTGGCTGCGACGCCGTTGGCAGCGTTTGTGGTCCTGGCCTTGCAAGAACGCTTGGACCCCCTGGAGTGGCGCTTGACGATGCGAGGCTTGGCAGCGGGGTTGCGACGGTTGAGGATGGCGTCGCGTCGCTGCATAGAGAGAGGGTGCTTGGACATGGCGGGGAGGTTGAGACCTTCGACGCTGGGGTCAGCGGAGGCGCTGGTCGCGACGAGGGCGAGAGTGGCGGCGAGAAGCGAGAGGAACTTCATGATGTATGGGATGCGATGCGTTGCGGAGCGAGAGATTCTATCAAAGAAAACGTGCGATGCAAATGAAAGGGAAAGGGTAACAACGAAAGGCGTCTAGAGTGAGAGAGAGAGACGAGAGATCAAGTGTTGGTGGTAGGAAGGTGGGAATGAAGGAACCTCTATATGGACCAGCCAAAGAAGGTTGCGTGTTACGGGGAAGAGAGATGAGAGATGATGGAAGGAGAAGGGAAGAGGGAAGGAACGGGCCTAAAGAAGGGATCAAAGCATCGTCGAGGAGGTCCTTCAAACCAAAAAGGTGGGGAGGGCAGCGCTGAGCAGGACCTGCCTGCGCTTGTCAGCAGAGCCCATTCAGGTGTGTCTCAGGCTTTCCGAGACCAACACTGCACTCTGCTGCTCCTTGCTTGTGCATTTGTGACAACCCACCTATCATAGCCGAGTCAACAGCGAAGCGCCTCTTTGTTCTCTCAAGTCAGACGCAAAGCTGGGACATGCCTCGGAACGCGATTCGAATGTCAGCTGCACGGCTGCATGTGCTTGTCAAGAATTGCTGCTGCGCTGTGACTTTAGAGAAGGCGAATCTGCACCAATTCAAATCCGACTTCGGCGTTGCTGTCAAAATTTAGGAGTCTCTCGCTTCCAGACTGCTCACATGCCCAAACAACTCCAAATTTCCCAGCCCGAGCGTGTTGCAGTCCAGCCCTTTTGTCCGAACCCTTTGAGCAGAGCCAAGAAAGGTGACAGCTCGAGAGGGTTCCCTTTGTCGACCATGCACTGCAGTGATCGCATTGAGCTTGGGTCGACAAGGTTGGTGTGTGTGCGTGCAGCAAGCAACAAAGCAACGGCAGATGGTTGCCCGCTTGCGCCCCAAGCGTGCATCAAAGCGAGACTTTCTGCATCACTTTTCGCGTCCAATGTGCTGTGCTGACAATGCCAATGCGAGAGGGTCAAAGCATTCTCTCGGCTTCTTGGCTTGAGCTGAACCGCTTTCGGTCTCGCACCGTCGCTGCCAGCGATCGCTTTCAGGGACAGACTGGGCGTAGGAAAGGCGAGGCGATGCTTCCATTCGAGAGAGTTAGCCGAGCGTGATCTGCTTCCAAAGGTACAGATTTCGATTTCCGCTCGCTCGGATGCGTTGGCAGCGCGCCTCGCTTTTTCGGTGCGCTGTCACTTTTCACTCTCCGCTCCGGTGCTCGATTTGGCTGACACCTCTCGCGCCCTTCTCCTCCTCCCTCGGTTTCTTCGAATTCTCTCATCGGGTTCGTCGTCGTCAGCCCCGATCTGGCTCTTCTCAAATCGTTTGACGATCATGACCTTGACCAGTCTCCTCACTTCATAGATCGCGGGCCGTCAAGCGTTTCCTGAGTACAGTCATGAGGTGGGACGTCTAGACAGTCTGGGCTGCCCATGAAACCCGTCTGACTCTGCACTTTCACCACACAGTGCGACTCAACCGCTCTTCTGGACAGCCTGAACTTGGAGAGAGAAAGGGGTTTGAATTGTAACGAAGCTTGAGCGATCAGCTCAAGTAGAGGGAGCGATTTGATAAAAGGGGAAGACAGAGTGGAACGGGACATTTGGGTTGGTGACGAGGCCACGTTGACCGGAACAGGCAGTCCTGTCGGATCGTCAGCGTCTTGCAGTCGGTCAGGCTACGGCGATCGCTTCATTCGTCGTCGTCGTACGAGATGAGACGGTAGCTGAGTGGACGTTTGACTGCCAAGACGCGGCCGGGCTTCTCGGAGCCGTCGTCACAGTCGGTGAAGTTGCCCTCGTACACCATCGTAGGAGCCCTAGCGGCCACATGACCCTTGAAGTCTTGGGCCACAGTCAGGTTTTTGACAATCTCGTTGACGGGTAGGGCGTCTTCCAACCCGGAAGCCAGTGCCTTCGGCGAGAAGCCTGCCACCCTGGCGCCAGCTTCGTCTGGCTGCAGGACGGTCGCAATCTTGATACCCTGAGTGATGTTGACAGTGCAGGCGACTTCACTACCGCGGCAGTCGACCGTGTCGCTGGCAACCGTCTCGGCGGTCTGCGATACGTGGAAGTGGTCCCAAGCAAACCCCTTGCAGATTGTCGGACGCTTGTTGCCCGAGCGCAAGGCATCAGTCGAAGAGCCTGACATGTTGGTCGAATCGTACATCATAGGAAGCGAAGTGTGGCCGGAAGGACTGCCAGCCACGGTCTGCAGGCGACCGTCGCCCTGGGTAGGATGAGTGATGTTGACCCACGAGCCGTCACCCAGCTGCTGCAGCTGACCGGTGTAGCGGCGTCCAGCTTCGAAGGGCGCGGCGGCAATCACCATGGTGAGGCAAAGGAAGATGGCCAGGTACGCGAAGAACATGCTGCCCTTGCCCTTGATCGGATGCTTCGACCACGCCGAATTGGGCTGGCTGTCGATGTCGACGGTAGCACCGTTGACGTTGAGATGACACGTGTCGTTCTGGATGGTCGTTCCCACCAGCCTCGATTCGATGCACATGACCCACTCGAAATCTTTTCCAGGACCGCCGTCGGCGACGATCTGCTCGACATTAGTCGTGGGATCGAAAGGCGTGGAATAGACGTCCTGGAAGCAGGTCTCGGCGGCGTCGTTGCAGTTGAAGGGCTGAGCATTGTCGCAGCGCACCACACAGTTCATCTTGCTGGCGGGTGACGGCTTGTCTTTAGAGAAATGGACGTGAGTGGTTGGGAGTGTGGATCGATGGATGTAAAGGAACAGACGAGGTCAATTGGAGGTCCTTTTTATCCCTTTCGAGACCAGCCGCAGTTGGGACATGCGTTCGGGCAATCATCAAGGCATTGTGCTGTCCAGAGCGCTGAAGCTGTGCTGTGCATGCTTTCAATTAGCCGGCTGATACAACATCCGGTCCAGGGCTGAGCGCAGAAGAAGGCAACTTTGGACGGCGAACTTCCCACCTTTCCGCTCTGTTCAGTGCTGCGCAAGGCTGTGCCAAAGTCGTTGTTCGGACAATCTTCCAGCTATTCGGGTGCTGCGCACGGCTTTGTCAAGGGTGGGCGTGGGGACGTGCAGGCTCGGCTCGGGTCATTCATGGCGACGTCGACGCGCGCAGATGAAATACAGTATCCTTTCTGCGTTAAAACAAACTTGACGCCGACTCGTCGCTGCTCTTGTGTTGCGAGGGTCGAGGATCAAGGCCGACCGAGTCGGCGCGCCCACAGGCTCCCTTGGCATCCTCGTCTCTCTCCTATCGGTCAGCAGCACCGAGAATGACTTTTCTCGCAATCCAAGCAGTTGCACTCCTTCAAGGCTGTTCTCGACGTCGCCTTCCTTCAATCGCCCCGCAGAGCATGTGGGGGAAAGAAAAGGAGATGAAATTGAATTGAACATGAAGGGCAGCGAATCGTTGAAGCGTGGATTGAGGAAGATGAAGAGAATGGAGCCCAGATGAGTCGAGATGAAGCGTGAGGGTCTTGCATTGTAGGTATTGCGAGTGCATCAAGCGTTGGTATTGACAACGCGGTAGTTCACCTGGTTCCTGATGGCGAAGACGCGACCAGGCTTGTCGATGCGGTCGTCGCACTCAGTGAATCTGCCCACGAAGACGGTTGCGGGGGCATAGGCGGCGACATAGCCCATGTATCCTGCGCCGATGGAGAAGGTCGGCGTCGCCCCGGTCTTGACCTCGTCGCGGTACGACGGACCCAGACCACGGACCGAGAAGTCAGATACCTTGGCGCTGGCGTCAGACGTCTGCCAGATGCTCTTGAGCGTCACATTGGTCTGATCGACCTGGGTGGTGGCGGGAGAGAAGCAATTACGGCAGTCGATGGTCGGGCCGACTCGTTCGGTGCCGGACTGCGTCTCGTTTCGGTAATCCCAAACAAAGCTCTTGCATCCTACCTGGCCACGCTTGCGCAAGGACGAGTAATCAACGCGAAGGTCTGACGTGTTGGCCGATTCGTTCACCGTGGAGCGGACCATGTTACCAGAAACACCGTGACCCGTCGTCCGCAGCTGGCCCCCCGCTTCGATGTGGTCCATGATCTTGTCACACCAGCCGCTGCCGAGCCTCTGCAGCTGATCCGAAGGCTGGCCGTCCGCAATGAAGGGTCGGGCGGCGACCATCACGGTGAAGCAAAGAAAGACGGCCAGGTACGTGAAGAGCACGGTGCTCTTGCTTTTGAAAGAGTTCTTTGGCCAGGCCGCGTTGGTATTGAGGACACTGTTGTTGCTCAAGCTGTTGAAAGTAAGCTGACAGCCGCGGTCGCTCGTGAAGCCAGGCTCGTAATGAACGACTTGACCGAGGCCATTGACGCACTCTTCGAACTTGAGGTTGTCTTCGACGTTGCCCACGTAGAAGACCTGAGGACCGTAGGTTGTGTTGACAGGAGGCGAGGCAACGAAACCCTTGTAGCAGGTCTCGGCGAGCTTGGTGCAGTTCGTGTAATGACCCATGCCGCCGAAGGGAGAACAGCGCTCGTTGGTCCCAAACTGGGTTACCCAGTGATCGTAGTCGGGCACGCAATTCATCTTGCTGATCGATGAGGGTTTGATCTGAAGGGAGGAACAGCAGCGGACTGAGGTTGGGATGGTTCAGTGAAGAAGGGAGGGACGGAAGTAATTGAATCGAGCCTTTCATGTCTTCTGTAAGCAGCGTAGCGCAGTCAGAATAGTAATCTGCGCAAGCGTCAAAGCATTGTCCTGTCCAGCGCCTCACTCTGGGCTGGGACGGCGTTCAGTCAAGGGCGTTTCGCCAGTGACACGCATTCGCAGCCGGTTCTCCCGCCGCCCGTCTTTGTTCCGTGCTACGCAAGGCTGTGCCAAAGATCCCACCTGCGCAACGCGTTCGTGTTGTCTCTTTGCTATTGTTCAACTTGCACATTAAGCTCGGACAACTAACGGCAACGTTGACGGGCGCAGAAATGTTCCGATGCGCATCTGAAAAGCTTGGTCAGACTGCGCCAAAGCTTTCTATGCTCGATAGACAAAGTGTGTGGGGAGAGAAAAAGCTTAAATTGAATTGAAAGAACGAGATGAAGCATGCGCCAGCCGTCAAATGAAGCATAGACGAGCAAGAAGATAAAGTGAGGACGCATAGAAATGGACTTTGAATGGGGAGGATGGGAAAGCAAAGGCGAGCATGAACGGAGCATAAACGAAGCATGAACGAAACAGATATTCTAGCGCGAAGGAGCAAAGCATCGAGTCGGCTACAAGACCAGCTTGTAGCTTCGCCGATTGTGGCTTTCATGACAACTCCAAAGCATTTTGACAAGATGGCTGGGAGTCGGGATCGGCGTCTCGGAAAGTGAAAATGTATCGAAGTGAAGCCGGCAAAACGCTGGAAGGGAATGAAGCGAGCTAGGCGCGAAGAACGCCTCAAACGAGTGGACATGTCGTCAGAAAGAGACCCAGCTCGAACGAGGTCATAAGTGCCGAATCTCGAAACAAGTGCGGCGTTGGTTTCACCAATTGGTGTTGACTAGACGGTAGTGAACCTCGTCTTTAATAGCAAAGGCCCGGCCGTGCTTGTCAATGCCGTCGTCGCACCCGGTGAAAGTGCCAACAAACACAGTTACCGGCGTATAGGCGCCTATGTAGCCCATATATCCTGATCCGATGACGAAGCTCTCACTCAAGCCCGTTGTTACCTCATCGCTGTACTCTTGACCAAAGATGGCGTGGACCGAGAGACTAAAGAACTCCCCGCCGTTGTCTAAAGACCAGGAGCTCTGAATCGTATGGGTCTTTGACTGAGTGGCCTGGACAGTGCAGTCTGAGGTGCTGCTCGTGCAGTCGATGGTGGGGCTGACACGTTCGATGCCAGACTGCGACTCGTAATGGGACTCCGTTACAAAGTTATCGCAGCCGTTAGACAATCGACGCTTGCGCATGGGCGAGCCGCCGGCAAAATAGCACGTTAGGCCTTCGCCGCCGCTGACGGTGCCCAGGGGCACGCAATGGCCGTGCGGCTTGATCGCGGTTCCTCCGTTGGGCTTGGGCGGGCACGACTGATCAATCGTCACGATCGCCTCCGAGGGTGAATCGCGATTGCCAGGGCTCACCCAGAGGATGGCGTTAGGCTTCAAACCCAAGTTTGCGCATCCGAAACGGCCTACTGGGAAGTCGCACTTGCCGTCAACCGGCTCCGCCTCGCTCATCAGGCGGTAGAAGTTCCCCGTGCAATGAGGTCCGTCCCAGAACAGAAGATCACACTCCGGGCACATGTCCGCCTGCGTGTTCATGATTGGGCGGAGGGTTTTGCCAGAAGAACCGTGATGCATCGTCTGCAGCTGACCGTCATCATTGGTGTGATACGTCATGTTGTCCCACGAGCCGTGACCCAGCTTTCGCAGCTGACCGGGTTGGAGACGGCCGCGGTGGGGCCAGTGAGTCTTGAAAGGCTCCGCAGCGGTCACCATGGTGAAGCACGAAATGATCGAAAGGAAGATGGCCAAGTACGTGAAGAACGTAGGGACCTTGTTCTTAGTCGAATGTTTCGGCCAGGCCGCGTTCGTGCTGCGATCAACGCCGATGGTAGACCTGTTGAGCGTAAGCTGACAGCCCAAGTTGCTCGTAAAGCCATTCTCGTAGGAGATGGAATTGCCCAGGCGAGTTTCGACGCACTCTGCCAGCTTCTGATTGTCTTCGATGGTACCGGCAAAGAGGACCTGCAGGCCATACGTTGTGTTGATCGGAGGCGTGGCAACGTAGCCCTTGTAGCAGGCCTCAGCAAGCTTGCTACAGTTGGTGTGGTGACCCATACCGCCAAAGGGAGAGCAGCGCTCGTTGGTGCCAAATAGTTGAAGGTAGAGGTCGTGATCAAGGGCACAAATCATCTTTTTGGGGAATGGGGTTTGGCTTGAGAGAAGGAGGAAAGTGAACGGCTGTCTGGAGCGATGAATGCAGAGAGAAGAGAAGAGTCGATCACGGTGGCTTTATGTCTTTCGGGTCCCATCGTAGTCAGTGATAGCGATTCAGTGAAGATGATGTGCGGTACTGTTCAGCAGGTCAGACGTGCGTTTCGAATGCTTCAGCACAAACGGCGTGCGCGGTATAGCGTCGGGCGCAAAGATGAGCGCCCTTTCTGTCGATTCTGACTGCATTCCTGACGCACGCGTTTCCACGATGAGGCGCAGGGTCGTGGCCAATGTCATAGATCTGGAACAAACAACGATCGACGTTCGTTTGCGACTCGCTTTCGTCCGACGCCTAAGAAGGAGGAAAAGATATTGCAGGGACTTTAGTGACGGACAGCTGCGACTTCTGACGCCGAAGACACCTTGGACAAAGCAAAGTGTAGGCAATTATGATGTTTGTCGACGTCGACGTCAAGACATGCGCCTGGAGTTAATTGAATCGCGCGGACGCAAGCATTTACAATGTCGCAGGGTTCTCGGTAAGATCCTTTTCGTCCAACCGAGCCTGACATGCGGTGCTCGCCGTGGTCATCGGACTGGCCGTCGTCGGCCGGTGCATCCTGTTCTCTGAAGGACAGAAGGCAGGCAGACGTTCCACAAGCACATGGCCGACAGGAAGCTTGAGTTAGACCAGTGGCGCTCAACATTGAGATGGACGCCCCGCCGAAATGATCGTCCGGAAGCTTGTGTGTGCTACAGCGCAAACGTTCGGGCTTTCCGGCTGCGTACATGGACGTCGGCTGTGAGCCGACTCGTCCGACGCGCCGAATCATCTTGTCGAACTCGTCATTGTCGATCATTGATCGTCACAACTTTGAGGTTCACAAATTGTTACAAGATCAAGCGTCAAGAATCTTCTGACCATCGAATTGCGTATGCTAATGCTCGACTAGTTGACCTCGCACACGTCGGTCCTGCACCGTCGAGCTTCTATTGTTCTTTCTTCACATCTTCATCGGGCAGGGCGAACACAAACACGAGGACGAGCGGCGAGAGAGCGCGCAACTCACCTCTATAGATGCCTTTCGGCGATCCTCATCTTGCATATGCACTGGTTGGCCCACAACGGACTTGGCCTATCAGTTGTCGTCGCATATCAATTGGACTTCGAGCCAAGGACTCCGAGACACATCAGACGTTTGAAGTTGAGTGGAGTGAGCGTCTCGCGCTAAGATTGACGACGGACAATGAAGCATAGACGAGGAAAAATCGAAGCATAGACGAGGGAAAATCGAAGCATAGACGAGAATACGGAGGAGCGAGAGACGGAGAGAAGAGACACGGAGCATCGAGAAGCCATCGCATCTAGCAGGTATCCAAGGCCAGCTTGGTACCGCTCAACGGGATGACTTTCAGCTGAGGAAGAGCCACCCACAGGTGGGCGTCTAGTTGGTGTAGACAATGCCGAACTGAGGCGCCATCTTCTTGAGTGCGAAGACCCTGCCTGGGTACTCTTTGCGGTCGTCGCAGCTGGTGAAAGTACCTTCAAAGACGGTGACCGGAGCCGTTGCGCCGATGAAGCCCATGTAGCCGGCTTTGACTAGATAGTTTTCCGTGGTGGCCGTGGCGACGGTGTCAGTGTAGCTTGAACCGAATGTTGAGCTGGCGGAAAACTTGAACAACTCTGGAATATCGACCTCGCCGCCGGTCGTAACGCTCCAGGAAGTCTCGATACTCGTCGTGTCCGTTTTAGTTGTTGAGACCGAGCAGTCTTTTTCCTGGTTGGAGCAGTCGACTATGGGGCTGACTTGCACCGTGTTGGACCACGAGTCATATGCTTTGTCCGTCCGGAAGCCGTGGCACGTATTGCCGCGGCGCTTGGTGAGAACGCCACGCTTGCGCAAGGGTGAACCGGCACCAGGATAGCACCTCAGTCCGAAGTCGCTTTTGACCGCGCCCAGGAATGTGCATCCACTGCGTGGCTTGATCTCTGCTTTGATGGACGGGCCCTTCGGCGAGCAGGACTGGTCCATCGTTACCACCGACTGGGCCGTGGAGCCGGGGTCCGCAGAGCTCACCCACAGCATCTGCCCTTCCGTCAGACCAGGATTGCTGCACGTCCAGAAGCCAAGAGGGTACGCACAGTCAATAGCGTTGAGCGGCTTCTCTGACACCGTAACGCGATACACGTTGCCTTTGCACCCCTCCTCGTCCCAGAAGTTCAAGTCGCACGAAGTGCAAAAGTCGAATCGCTTGTCCAGCCTATGCGCGACTGCTCCATCGGAGAACCCACGAGCCGCCGGCTGGAGCTCAGACAGATACTCGGGGTGGAAGGTGATGTTTCCCAAGGAGCCGTGGCCCACCTTCTTCAGCTGAGCAGGGAGATGGTGGCGTTGCTGGCTGTGCTGGCCGTGATGCACCTGCGGAAACTCGGTGGCGCCCACCATGACGAAGCAGGATAGCATCGACAGAATGATGGCGATGTAGGTGAAGAACATGATCGACTTGCTCTCGATCGAGTGCTTTGGCCAGGCCGCATTGAAGTTGAACTGATCTTTATGGTCCGTGGTGTTGAAAGCGAGATGGCAGCCTCGGAAGCTCCTGGTGTTCTGCTGGAACCAGCCCTTGGGACCAACGACCTTGTTGGCGCACTCTTCGAACTTCGTGTCGTTGTCAAAGTTGCCTACGTACACGGTCTGGTTGCCGTCCTCCGTCATGACCATGGGAGAGACGACGTAGCCCTGGTAGCAAGCTTGAGCGAGGTCGGAACAGTTGGTGCTGTGACCGTAAGGGCCCTCGAAGGGCGAACAGAACGTGTTGTTGTTGCGTCCAAAGACCTGAAGTTCGAGAGAGCTTGAGACCTCACAGTTCATTTTGCTCTACAATCTGAAGTTGGTATGTTGTGATGGAGAGGAGCGAGTGAGAGTGGAGATGGTAAGAGTGGATAAGAGTATGGAGTGGTGAGTGCGGAAGAGAGGCTGAGTACGCACTTGCTGCTCCTTTTAACCCTTTCGATCCTGTGTCCTGTTGTATCGAGAATGTTCGAGCGCGCAAGATCCAAGGCTCTCACCGTGCAGCCAGCCTTGTGGTCGACTTGCTTTGCGTGTCTCGATGCTACCAAGCGCACTAGGAAGCACGAGCAGCACTCAACACGTTCGCACATTTCTTCGAAGCTATCTTGTCCCAGCCGCGGTAGCCAAATCGGACGGCCGACGGTGTGGTGTGGATCCGAAACGACAGGGAATCGATGCCGACATATGTAGATGAGGCAGTGCGAGGTGGGCGATACGACCTGGTTGGGCCTTCGAGCCGTGCCGCACGACATTCGATGGCTAGACGATCGTTGAATCCACTTGAACTTGAAGCTCAGAATGGAGCTCATGGGTGCGGATCGAAGGGAGGATGTCAGTGTTCGCTACGTGGGCGGAGTGGCGCAGGATCGAAATCGACGTACGGAGTCGGATGGTTCGAGCGTTGGCCCCGTGGCGTACGAGATCCGATGGTCAGACGATCTCCGAAGCTCATTCTCGAATTCGATATAGCCACTGATCGACATTGTTGCGGACACGAGGATGATCTATCGACGCCGGCCAACGTCGATGCGGTGGCGACCTTTGTCCGCTGCTGCGCCGGGCTACGGCAAAAGTCGCTCCTGCGCCACGCATTCGCGCCATGTCTATGCCGTGGCAACCTCTTATTAAGCTGCCTGAAGCTGGGCAGATGGTAAACCAAGCGTGCTTGTATCACAGTCCTCCATGCCCAATCATCACCGACATCATCATCACCACGATCATGCCGAAAAGAGTGCCTTTTGTGGGTGAACATGAGAAAGAGCAACAATCGCTTGAAGCGGCGTTAAGGCGGGTTTTCAACGGCGCACACGCCATGCTGCGATTTTTTCCTGCCGCAAATCTCGACACGTCCAATTTCGCCGACATCAGCTTTCCTTCCGTTCCTCATCTCAACCGCACAACAGACAGAATGAGCGGCTCAACAGCATCTGCGACCTCGAAAAGCTCATCCGGACTGGTGCTGCACCATCTGGAACTGAGTCGATCGAACCGCATCCTGTTCCTGCTCGAGGAACTTCAAGTGCCGTACGAGGTCAAGCACTACAAGCGCGATCCGGTCACTCGACTCGCCGGCGATGACCTGAAGCAGATTCACCCCCTCGGACGCTCACCCGTTCTGACCGATGGCGAGCTCACCATCATCGAGACTAATGCGATCATCGAACATCTGCTGCTGCACTACTACGACCCGTCGCGCGTCTCGCTCGGTCCCAAGCTCGGTCAGAAGACGCAGGAGAGCATCGACGTGGCTGCGTGGATCCAGTTCTCAGAGGCATCGATCATGCTGCATGGTATTCCGCTCTTCTACGTGATCAAAGGCGGTGCTGCGACACAGGATGGATCGGCAGGCGTGGAGAAGGTGTGCGCTCGAGGCATCAAGGCAGACTTGGCGTATGTCGAGGAGACGCTCAAGAAGGATGGAGGCCAGCTGGTCAAGGGACACGACTTTACAGCCGCCGACTGTGCGATGCTATACAGCATCGACATGATCGGTCACATCCTGGAGACCAGATCAGAGCAATGGCGCAGCAACCTCGGGCTTGACATCGGCTTGGCAACGAAACAGTGGATGGACAAGTGCTTCGAGCGACCGGCGTTCCAAGCTGCACTTCGCAAAGAAGGCATCCCCGAAGGACAGAACGACTGGCTGGCCTCATTCTTCAACGGTGCGTCTTCTTCCTCCTCGTCATCATCGCAGCAGCAGCAGAAGAAGAGGTCGAGAAAGAGCCTCTTCCGCCCGTGCATCGATCTGCACGAGGGCGTGGTCAAGCAGATCGTGGGCGGCACCCTCACCGATACTGACTCGACACTGAGAACCAACTTCGTTGCCACGCACAGCCCCGCGCACTTCGCCTCGCTCTACCGACAACACGGCCTGACGGGCGGACACGTGATCAAGCTCGGACCACGGAACGACGAGGCTGCGGCCTCAGCGGTGGCTGCCTGGCCACGAGGGTTGCATGTCGGAGGCGGGATCAACGGGGACAACGCCAAAGAGTGGCTGGAGAAGGGCGCGGAGAAGGTGATTGTGACGTCGTATCTCTTCCCGCAGTGCAAATTCAGCTTGGAGCGATTGCAGGAGCTCAGTGCCAGCGTAGGCAAGGAGAATCTGGTGGTCGACGTCAGCTGCCGGAAGAAGGGCAGCAAGTGGACCGTAGCCATGAACAGGTGGCAGGACATGACGGATATGGAGGTGAACAAGCAGAGCCTGGATCTGCTGGCGGACCATTGCAGCGAGTTCCTGATTCACGCTGCGGATGTGGAAGGCTTATGCCAGGGCATCGACCAGGAGCTGGTGGAGAAGCTGGGCGAATGGGTGACGATTTCAACGACGTATGCTGGTGGCGCGAGGCATCTTGGTGATCTGGAGCTGGTCGATCGGCTCTCAGGCGGCAAGGTGGACCTGACATTCGGCAGCGCGCTGGACATATTTGGCGGCAAAGGGGTCACTTTGGAAGAGCTGGTCCGATGGAACTCATCTGCATGAACAGGGCTTGGAAGGTGTAGCGAGGGACTTTCGCATGTCAATCTTACAGGTCACGCTCTGCTAACTAATCCCTTCAGGAAATGAACTTCCATCGAACCTCACCCTCAGACAAGCAACACAAGCCCACGGCGACATGAAGCTTGCGAGGGAGATCGGCGTGGTCGTGACCAAGAGCGAAAATGATGAAATGTTAGACCTCTTCGAAAGCTCCTCTCCGTGGAGGTGATCGGCAAGCCATTGCGAGGCCGAGACAGTGTTGATCAAGGCCAAGCTCCATCGTCCGCGGAGTGACAAGCTTGATCTCACTTTCCGTTGGCTTGCATTGACTGACGAGACCGGATCAAGGGATTGGTGTAAAAAGGTGGATGGATCCATGTCATGTTGGTCGGCAGACCGGCCCTGTCTCGGCGACGATGGCAGGAGCCAAGGGTTCAACAGATCGAGGGTCGGCAACCATGTTCTCCGGTGCCTTGTCGGACCCTGGAATACGAGGTGGTCCATCGTCATCGAACGAACTGAGCGGATATTGAAGGTCATCCATCCGATTCTTATGCTCAACCATCGAGCGGACTGACTGCTGCCAGGTGTTGCCTTCTCTCGATTTGCAGCGCCGAGAGCAGAGAGTAAGGCACACGGACGCACTGGCCAATTCTAGAAGAAAAAGAACCGCCGCTCTCTTGTCAGGCGAGACCGACACACAGCCGCCCAACCGAGCGCAGAACACCGAAGCCCAAGCCCAAAAGGGGCTCGAATTTCCTTCCCCGCTTCTGCCCTTTCCCTCTCACCTGTCACATTTGTATTCACTGCCTCCAAAATTGAAATGGGTCGACGTGGGCCATGCACGACGTGCAATAGAAACCACCGCGCAGGAGAGGGTCGATTTGTATTTGCAACTCAACATCCCTCTATAAAATCAATTCACGTCAAAATGGCGCTTGCGTTTGCTCCTGAGACAGACACAGCCCGACTCTGCAGTTGTTGCGGGAGCCTGCTTATCGTCTATGTGGTGACAGCTTGTCGAGATCTAGCAAAGGCAGAGAGCGTCAAACCTGTCACGGGTGAATGGCAGTGCATTCATGGCTGCAATAAGAGTGGCAAGACGACAGCAGATGGAAGCGTCCAACCTGGAACGAGCCAAGACGAGGGAGGAGAGGCACACGCAACTCACCGACACACACGCAGCACACGCGCTAAACACACGCACGCACAGCCCGAAACTCGAATTTCCATCGATGGGCAAGCACAGGGCCGAGGCGAAATTGTAAGCGCTCAGCCCGCACAGCCCAATTATCGCACCTCAGTCTTCTTGAAACTGGCTCGAGCGACCCTCTCTCTCTTTGGCTGGCTGGCTGGCACACCGCGCCCGTCTCACCGTGCTCTGAGCCAGTTGGCCTGTCCCTTTCTCTCTCGCTTACTGGCTGGGCGGCCTCCTATCAGCGCAAAGCGACTCCTGTCTACCTCGTCGACATCACCGCTGCTTGCTCTTCCTCCACCACCTCGTTCTTCAACGTCTCTTCTTTCTTCTCTTCACCCACCTTTCCACCAACACCACCAACCTACATCCGTTATCAACATGGAGGGTGAGTACTTTGTCCTCTGCACTTCATCCATCCACTGTTGGATGCCGTCCGAGGTCGCATCTGCTCCACCTTGCAACTGCCCGGTCTCTTCAGCCACGGTTCGCCTTCGCTGCTGGCTGCACACAGTCGAGGCTATGCTGCAGCCGACAGCGACGCATCGACGATCACCTTGCAAGCCGACATCGCCATGTCATCCGAGGCCGTAGCTCGAGAGTCTAAAGCTGTTTCAAACCGATCCGCGCAGGATGCTCCGACTTGGCTACCGGATTGATGGTTCTGGCGAAGTTGCCATCTTTGGATGCAGTCTCGGTGGTGCATTCTCAACTCGACGCCTCTGCGGCAGTTGAAGCTCGTGTGGCCGCGCCTGAGCTGGAATCCATAGGATGGAGGGTTCGACAAGATATGGCTATAATGCGAGAGAAGCTGACCATCTCTCCCGATCCACTTCTGTTTCTCTCTTTGCCATCTCGTCTCACAACGCAACAGACGAAGTCGCTGCTGTAAGTAGCTCCCGAGCGCATTGCGCCTACACGGAGAAAAGCGCTTTTGTTCAGGCTACAAGATCCTGGACACGCCCCAGCAATCAGACGGCAGGCCACGGACGGAGAAGCTGACAACCTGCATCTTCTTGCCTCTTGATCCTGCATCTCGTCTACGATTTGGACCTGCTCGTTTTCACTCATTTGGCTTTCTCGTTCAACAGCTCGTTATCGACAATGGTTCGGGAATGTGCAAAGGTACGTTTGCAATCTTTGCAACTGGGCTTTGCTGCCACGCAGTCAGCCCGCTGTCCCTCCTTCCGCAAAGATTGGAGCTTAACTGACCTTGCGCTCCTTCGTCTGCTTGCTTTTCCCGCTTCGCCTTTGATTCTACGCAAAAACAGCCGGTTTCGCCGGTGATGACGCTCCCCGAGCTGTCTTCCCTTCGGTCGTCGGTCGCCCCCGTCACCAGGGTGTCATGGTCGGCATGGGCCAGAAGGACTCGTACGTCGGTGACGAGGCCCAGTCCAAGCGTGGTATCCTGACCCTCAAGTACCCCATCGAGCACGGTATCGTCACCAACTGGGACGACATGGAGAAGATCTGGCACCACACCTTCTACAACGAGCTCCGTGTCGCTCCCGAGGAGCACCCCGTTCTCCTCACCGAGGCCCCCCTCAACCCCAAGGCCAACCGTGAGAAGATGACCCAGATCCTCTTCGAGACCTTCAACGCCCCCGCCTTCTACGTCGCTATTCAGGCCGTCCTCTCGCTCTACGCCTCCGGTCGTACCACCGGTATCGTGCTCGACTCGGGTGACGGTGTTACCCACACTGTGCCCATCTACGAAGGCTACTCGCTGCCCCACTCGATCCTCCGTCTCGACCTTGCCGGTCGTGACTTGACCGAGTACCTCGCCCGTATTCTCACCGAGCGAGGCTACCCCTTCACCACCACTGCCGAGCGCGAAATCGTCCGTGACATCAAGGAGAAGCTCTGCTACGTCGCCCTCGACTTCGAGCAGGAGATGCTCACCGCCACCCAGTCGTCCGCCCTCGAGAAGTCGTACGAGCTTCCCGACGGACAGGTCATCACCATCGGCAACGAGCGATTCCGAACCCCCGAGGTGCTCTTCCAGCCCGCCTTCCTTGGCCTCGAGGCTGCCGGTATCCACGAGACCACCTACAACTCGATCATGAAGTGTGACCTCGACATCCGAAAGGACCTGTACGGCAACATTGTCATGTCCGGTGGTACCACCATGTACGCCGGTATCTCGGACCGCATGCAGAAGGAGATCACCGCGCTTGCCCCCAGCTCGATGAAGGTCAAGATTGTGGCTCCCCCCGAGCGAAAGTACTCGGTCTGGATCGGTGGTTCCATTCTCGCCTCGCTCTCCACCTTCCAGCAGATGTGGATCTCGAAGCAGGAGTACGACGAGTCTGGACCTTCCATTGTCCACCGCAAGTGCTTCTAAACGGATCTGCTCGATGCCGCTGCGTCCGAAGCAGAGGTGCTGCCGGGCTCGGTGGCTGCGTAACAATCGCAAAAGCTGCTGCAGGTAGACGGTTCGCTTGGGCTACTGTCGACGCTGGCGGCGCACGTTGGAGGACGAGGAGAAGGAGAACTTCCCGTCTCATCTCACCCAACGATGATGTTGTCGGCTTAGGTCGGTGGTCGGGCGAACCGAATCATCAACCATTCTTCTTCCCCTCAAACACGTAAATGTAGGCTCACTCTGGCCGCCTTTCCCGTCCTCCCACAAATGAAAGATTATGATTGCCAGTGATCCGACGTTGGACGTGAAGCTTGTGATACAATGTGTGCGTGCACACAGACTAGACGCGACGCCGTCCCTTGACGAATGAGCAGCAAGCCGAACGACACATGTCAAACGCGGCAAAAACCCTGGCATTCCGCGGAATCGACCGCACTCCGCAAAGCCGGACAACCTCACTCCGAGATGTGCCTGGCGTGTCTGAAGCGGCAATGACCAGTCTTCGGCAGCTTGATCGGGTTCGACGTGTGAGGTGGGATGTCCGAAGCGTCCCTCGCCGCGTCGGTCTTCGACCATGCCAGTCGATGCTAGCGCGGGCTTGGCAGTGCACCAGTATGCGGGCTCAAATTCATGCGTTCGTCGTACACTAGACTCTCCTCCAATGATAGAGCACCGACGTTGGTAGGCTGTGTGAATCGGAAACCTTGCCCGCAGAAGCTTCCACGCTAGCCGAGGCAGGTGTACTCTTCCATTGGAACGTCGCCCTGGAAGCGTTTGTTTGATGGTACCCAGTCATCTGACGGCCTGGACGTCTTGGCATGCAGTCGAGCCTGTCCGGCTGGGGCCCGGCCACAGCTATCCGAAGCTAACGCAATGATCAAAGCGATATATACCACCCTGAGGAACCTTCATTGTTCGCCCCTCCCCGGGCCAGACCTCCATCTTCCCGAACACGAACCATGAACTGCATCGCCGATCCAGCCCTCAACCTCACTTCCCTCTTCGGCGGCGCCAATATGCCCTGTTCGCCCTTCGGCGGCATCGGTCACATCTCCAACTGCTCCGCCCTCACCGTCTGCTACCAGGGCTACATCGCCAGTCCGCCGTTCAACACCACCACGGGACCCGTCAATCAGACGCTGTACATCGGAAGCGTGTCCAACAACCTCGTCTTGCAGGACTGCGCAACACAGGTCGTCGGTCGCACAGGCAGGTTCGATGCAAGCTTTGTCACCAATTACGGCTGCAGCCTGAGCAGCAATCAGACTTACACATCGGATGCGAGTGTGGCGAGCGGGAGGACGGGGAAAGGTTGGTTGCTGGCAGGAGCTGTGGCGATTTTGGTGACGGTTGTGTCGAGTGCCGGGACCATGGGCTAGGATGCGCCGGCAACACAATCACTTCGTATTGAGGCGAGGTCACAAGAGGCTTCCGCCGCTTCAATGCATCCCATAGTCTCCATCACCAGTTCGTTCCGACCCCTAAGTCAAAGCGCGAGATGAAGTTATCGAATGCCGCGTCCATGGTCATGATTCGCTCGAGGTCCGAACGACCTGCGGCAAGGACGGTTGGGCCAAATCTGACGGACTTGGCCATGACCAACAAATAGCACCAGATCATGGTCAGCGAGATGCTGACAAGATTGACCATCGTCGTCACAGACGCTCTCGTACCTGCGTTGCCGAAAACAGTCTGCAGAAAAGCTTCGAGAATTCGCGACACGAGCGTCGACGGCGTACGTAGCTCTCAAAGATGGCGTTTGTCGACGTCGACATGCAGATTCTGCGCCCAAAGTCTAGTGACGAGGAAAAGTCAATTACTGCAGAGACACCGGCGGTCTCCTTTCTGGTCCCACCGAGCTCAGCATGCGATGCTCGCCGTGGTGCTCGAGAACGGCCATCGATAGCGCCCACCATGCCTCTCGTAGACGGCGACCCCTTCTGCTAGCCAAACCTCCAGCTTGCGACTGCCGGGCAGGAATGTTGAGCTGGTCATCTGGTGATTCAGTTGGAGATGGAAGCCGGCGAAATGGTCGTCCGAATCTAAGATGCTCCATTTCGCTTGATTGCCATCGGCTTCCGGCTGCGTGGGTCGACGTCGATCTTGCGCCAGCCTGTTCACGTTGTCGGACATCGATTCCAACTTCATTCATGTCGATCATTTCCAAGGTTGAGGGTCAAGGATCGTCTGCCCCTCGATCGAGATGCGCAACGGCACGTTGCTCCTGAGCAGCCGCGGCTACGCGCGCCGACATCGACTTACTGTCATTTCGACCCTACTCTTCGACGTCGACTTTCTATTATCTCATCTGCACCCCTCCCTCGCGGCAGCACAAGCGCGACTTCGAGCGCAAGAGCGCTCTCTGTGGAGAGTGCGAACGCCCAGGCAGACCTCGGTCCTGCCGCACTCGTCACTTCGCCTTTGTCTGCAGCAAGACAGTACATGCAAGCGTGCCACAAAGCAGCTCCGGTCTTGCTGGCTGCGCAGTGCTTGGAAAGGCCCGCTGCGCAAGGGCTCGACGGAAAGGCATATAAGGAGCAACAAGAGCGTTCTCATCCTCCCCTCTACAGTCATCACTCCAAACTCCACCTTCTCCTTCCCAACCCGCCAGACCAGGCATAATTTGTCAAGCAAGATGAACTGCTATCCCAATGAACCTGACGCGAGAGAACACACAATCTGTGCTCCCTTCAAAGGCCCTTACTCTCACTTCACGAACTGCTCCGAGCTCGCTGAAGCCTGCTACGATGGCTACGTTGCCTCTCCTAAGGTCATGGCGGACGACGGCATGCAGAAATTTTACATCGGCGGCATCAGAGACTGGATGGAATTCAAAGAGTGCGCTAAGAATGCCACCGGAAACGGCCGTTGGTTCGGAGGCATGGATTACACCGCGGGCTGCGAGATCAAAAGCGCCTCCGATGTTCCCGCCACGACTAACTCGACCGATGATGGACAGAAGCGAGTCTGCAACGCCGCCTACTCGAAGCATTCGGTCAAGAGCAAGGGGACCATGCTCTTCAGCTACGTCGTCATCGCCCTTACCATGATGACATGCTTCTCCATGGCGGGCGCCAGCGGCATTTCGCAGGTGCACCACCGCCACCACGGTCGCCATCGAGCGGCTACGCTGACCAAAGTTGGCCATGGATCGTGGGACAACATCACCTGGCACGCCGAGTACCTCGCCCAGCTCGGGCACGGGAGCTACGGCGCTTCGGACGGCGCGATCGCGTCCAAGCTGGACAAGCGAACCATCGATTGCAACACGTGCGAGGTCAACTTCTGGGACCAGGCTGGATGCAAGGGCAATCTCTACCATTACACGGCGACGGAGAAGTCGGTCGACGAAGATGACTGCAACATGCCCTTCGGTCATCGTTCTTGCAACGACCCCAACCTTACCCAGAGTAAGGCCGAGATGTGGGTGAGCTCGGCTCTGCCCGGGTCCAATTCCGAGGCGGTGATCACGGTGGACCAGTCGTGCGGCGACGGTCCCACCGCCTTGACGACGATCAAGCCGAACAAGGGATGCGCCTACCTGGGCACGATTACGGGCAACGAGGGGCTCATGTGCTACTCGAATGGTGGCGTACCCCTTCGCAGGCGTAACTGGTTCACTAACATTTTCAAGCATCACGATTCTCCGCCCCCTCCCGCCCCTGACGCCCCTCCTGCTCCTCCCGCGCCTGCCCAGGAGAACACCTGCCATGGCTTCCGCGTGGACCGTCAATACGACATGCAGACGCCCTCGGTTCAGATCGGTCCCACGGTCGACTGCCGCAACGAGCACAGCGACTGCACGACCACCACGAGCAGCTCCGAGACCAAGACGATCGAGACCACATTCAATGCCACCGCCGGAGTCTCGGCAGGCCTTCCAATCGCGATCGGCAAGCTGTTGCCCTTCAAATTCTCGGCCAGCGTCTCTTTCGGTAGGGATTACACCGACTCGCTCACCACAACCGTCAGCAACGGCTTCACCGTCAAGGCGGGCGAAATGGGCTACCTCAGCGCCTCGGGCGACATGACCGTCTTCGAAGGCACTTTCACCGATTGCGACGACAAAGTGGACCGCTCCGGTACGGTCCACGCTGTCAAGGCTGGCAAGGTCTTCCACCGTATCGTCTACACCAACTAAATGCGCGCTCGTCCCCCCCTCTTNTTCCTCCCAGCTTTGTGGCTGCCGCAACAGTTGCATCCAAGTTGATCCCAAGCTGGCCTTGGGTCCCCACTCGATGTGATGGCTCTTCATGCTCCGATTCTCGCTCCTCCCTGTTTCTCGTCTATGCTTCCTTTTTTGTCTCGTGAACGCTTCACTTCTTTGCCCCGCCCTTTAGCTTCATCATAGCCAGCCTATGCTTCATCTCGGCCCACCCGATCCCTCTTCCTCATCACGTACGAATCTTCATTGCCCTTTCATTTCAATTTCATCTTCTTTTCCCCCCTCAACACCGTGTCTGTGGCGAGAACAGTTATGATCGCAAGCAAGCTTCTGAGATGTGTGAGCGCGAATGCATGGATTGCGGGTGCCGACGTGGAAAATATAATACAAGAGTGTCCACCTCAGTCAGCCTTGACGGTCGAAACCTTGGAGTACAACGGCAGGGAGGCGGCGCCGGTCGAGCTTCGGCGCAAGACCGAGAACAGTCCGCCCACCACCAGGGTGACAAAGAGGAAGGCGATGATGGGATGCTTCACGCAGGCTTGGACGAATGATTCCGCAGAATCAGCGGCGCCATGCACGGACTTCTGGAGGAGACCGGAGGACGATTTGGGCGTCGAGCGACCTTGGATGGCGTGGTCGATGCCGGTGAGAACTTCGTCTGTGAGCCACCGCTGGGCGGAGGCCACCGAGGCGTCGGACATGGGTCTGTACGGAAGGTCGTAGTAGCGCATGTTGTTGCCGTCGACCAGAACGGCGGCGGGAACTTTGGCGGCATCGATGCCGTAGAGCTTGCGCAGAGGCGACTTCCAACGATCAGCATCGATCCAGGCGAAGACGACGAGTTTCCTGGAAGTGGCAGCGCTCTGCTCGCGCCATTCGAGCGCGGTCGAGCGCAGAGCTTGGAGCTCGGCCTGCTTGAGAGCCGTGCCTTCTTCAGCTGAGTCAATACGTTGCGGGCCGTGGTTCGTATCGGACAGCGCGGCGAGCACAACAAGCGCGTCTTCGTTGTTTCGTACTACCTCTTCGAAATTGGCGGCGGTGAGCTCGGTGACGAGCGGGTACTGCTCGCGAGCGAAGAAGCGGGTGATCTTGGCGCGAAGATGGTCCAAAGAGACGGTCTTTTCAGATGCAGCGTCGGTTGCGCGCACCTTGGAAGGATTGAGGACAGAGACAGGTTGTGCGACCGAGAAGTCTTTGAAGACGAGCAAGCCAGAGGCGGAGGGGACGGTAGCGGAGCTGTCTTGGGCCAAGGAGCTGGCGTAGCGGTCGAGCAACGCTGGCTCGGAGGAGGACAGTATGAGGGCTCGACCGCCAAAGAGGACGTTGCTGGCTGCCACGACGGCCTGCTTCTCCTCGGAGGACGTTCCAGGGGAGTGAAGGTAGAGGAACATGACCTCGTTGTCCTTGGCCAGGTCGGCGAACTCTGTGGTAGTGGAAATGGTCTTGAGACCCGAGTTAGAGACGCCTTTGATGACCCACTTGAGCATGGCGTCGTGGTTCCTGCCTCCAGTGTACTCCTTGATGTGGCCCTGATCGTAGAGTCGTAGGACGGGGTATCCTGTGATACGGTAGGTGGAGCAGAGTGCGCGGTTGGCTTCGCAGTCGACCTCGACCACGTTGACCCTGCCTTTCAGAGACTCGCTTAGCTGCTTGAAAGCGGCAGCCATTGCTTTGCAGTGCGGACACCAGGGAGCGAAGAACTTGACGAAAGTGGGACCTTGACCTGAAGTTTCGTCGAGCCAATCTGCGAGTTGTTCTTTGGTCTGAATGGGTGCCGAGCCGTACCTGATGAGCTCGCCCTTGGGATTGGGACCCGATGGCAAGGGTATTTCTGAGGCTGATGAGGCGGCGGACGACGACAAGGTTGCAGATGTTGAAGCGGGGGCAGAGGAGCTTGATGGCACGGCTACGACGCCATCGCTAGCTGGGCTCGTCATTGGTTCTGACGCTGCGGCAGAGGCGGTCGGCGACGACGTGACGGCTGCTGAGGCGGAGTCGATCGTTTTCGCATTGTCCGTCGTCGAAGCTACGACAGGAACGTCGGGTACACCTTTGGTTTCGCGGTATTCCTTTGCAAACTTGTCGATGTAAGCCGAGATCTCCGGGTAGTTGCGGTTGCCCTTGTATTCTTCGGCGTTCTGCTTGCCATCCTGGTAGATGGTGAGGCGTGGCAGGAAGGTGACGCCCTGTTCCTTGCAAAGATCCCATTGAGCGAGGCAGTCGACCTGAGCAAGAGTGAAGGGCGCCTGAGGGTACTGCGTTCTGAGCGAATCTTTGGTCTGAGACAGCTCTGACCAGGTGGCGCCAAACCTCTTGCAGTGAATGCAAGTAGGGGAGAAGAACTCGATGAGCCAGGCGCCCTGATTGGTGAGGGTGAAGTTGGCGGCGGTGAGCTTGCGAAGACCGTCGTGTGTTGCCTGATCGGATGACGAGGGAGGGGCCGAGTGAACGAGCGAAGGAAGCATGGCTGCCGCCAGCAGCAGCCACGCGATGGAGCTCGCCAGAAAGCTGGTCGGTATTGACGCGACCCTCATGATGGAGCACCGAGAGATGGATGTCGACTAGCAGAAAGCGCGATGATCGTCGAGCAAAAGAAAGCTGCTGTCGTGATGATTCAGGGTTGAGGCTGAGTCAATTCGGGTCCAGTCAAGACCCTTTCTCGGCTTTGGGCTGCTGATCAGGACGCGCCAAGCATGTGCAAGTCAGCCACGCGGGACGGCTCTGACTACTGAGCTGACTCTGAATTTGACCTCGGAGCGCCCAACCGCCATCTGGTGTTGGTTGTGGGTTTTAGCGCGAATTTCTTGACCTTTTTATTTTCGACAAATTAATTTTGAGGCGATTTTTTTTCGGCTTTGGCGCCCATTTCTTCTGCACGGTCCGCTCTGTCCCCACACGAGATGCGTCTGCAGGTCAGGGTCTCAGTGTCGATGTCGGACACTCCGGCAAGGATCCTCGACACCATCACATCCATCACACCTTGGCTTTCGACGACATCGCCTCGCTTCGGCTGAGCCGACACATCTTCGGTCGATCACCGCTGCTGAATCAGCAGCTGGTATTGCTACGCACAGGAGCTCTAGCGAGCGGACATGATCCGACGAGACACCCCTTTCTAACCCACGACGTTCATGTGATCACTCAACGAGACAAACACGCACACACGCCAATCACATGTAGTAGAGGAGCCAACATGAGAGCAACCTAGCACAGCCACAACTCAGCCTCCACCATCGCCACTTCAAGATGGAGACACTCAACCCTTACGAAGAGGTGCAACGCCTTCAGAGCCAGATCGACGTCGAGACCAAGATCAAGGATGGCGCGGAGAACCTGCTTAGCGTCTTTGACCTCAAACTCGCTTCCAACACCAAACAGGACTTGCGCAAGCAGATCGAGTCCGAGCTCGACTCGGCTAACTCAAAGATCGCAGCGCTCACCACCGAACTCGATCGATGGAGACAGATTCAAGCCACCACCTCGCCGCCATCCTGGGCCTCCAATGCCTCAGTTTCGGATTCAGACTCTGGCTGGCATATTCCCGCTTCCACCGTATCGCGCTTCGAACAGTCCGCTCTCGGCTTCGAAGGTCAGCCACTCTTCGCAGATGCTCACGCCGGACCTAGTCGACTACCTGCCCATGACACCAGCTACGACTCGTACCATGCCCATCTCGATCTCAGCAATGGTTCACCACCCTCGACCAACTATGTCAATGATCTCGGTTCAGGCGTGCACGACCCTTCCGCCCCACCGTTTGGCGGCCTTGGTATCGGGCTGGACGGACACGCTCCGCTCAACATCCCACCAACGCAGTCTATGGACGAGCCGCTCCACCAGCCCCGTCCACCTCCCATGCTCTTCGATCGATCAGCATTAGCACATGCAAGCGTTTCAGCTCCTACGCCTTCAGAACGCATCAGCTCTCGACAGGAACATACACATGAACGAGAGGTGGAGAATGCCCGCGCCTCCCGATCTTTGGCCATTATGCTCATCCGCTCCTTGCGGCCGTCCTCCCCCTTGCCACCGACCGTTCAGCTACCTACGCTGTCCGAAAACTCGGATTCCATCTCACCCAGATCTTTGTCCCCGCAGCCTCCTCAGTCCGATCAAACGGATGCGCACTCGACAAATGCAGCTGCCACAAATGCTTCCACCGCAACCGATCCAGATTCGCCAGCTAATCAGAACCTCGCCCTGCCACGCATGGCTCGTAGAACAGCAGCGCGTTCAAGAGCAGCTGCGTTAGCCTCTAGTGCTGTGTCGCATGCCCGCACGCCTAGCAATGCAACCGGCCTCGGCGATCAGGCCAAGCATCAGATCGACCAGATCAACCGTCTCGTTGACATCCTCAAGCGTCACGCGCGCGTACGTTACGAGCTGCCTTTGGACGATCTGGTCGATGTGGCCATGCCCAAGCTCTGCGATGCAGCAGGCAAAGAGCTTCGCGCGGCTACTTACCGTCTGCTTCGCCACGCTCTCGTTCAGCCGCTGTGGCCACTAGTCTCACGCTGCCGAGAGAAAGGTCTCGACATCTACCTCTCTCGTACTCTGATCCGTGACCATCGTTTTGAGCTCGAAAAGATCCAGGCCATCAAGCTCATTCGAGCTATCATGGAGTTGGCCGCCTTGCGCTCGATCAGCACCGCTCCTGATCGCCTCTCCCTCGAATTGGAAGATCTCTTGGGTCCCGGCGTAATTCGCGCTCTCGCAGCTGTAGCCGAGCATTCCGAGGACAAGCTGCGTCATATTTGCCTCGAGACATTGGCGGAATTGGCCGTCTTTGATGTTCGTCTGCTTGTCAAAGCGGGTGGCCTCCGATCGACTCTACAGGCGCTCACCGAGGGCGCTTCGGAATTCTCGCCTACCCTTATCCAAGTTTTCGTCTACCTCATCGACATGCCCGGCACCCGTCAGCATTTGCGCCCCGCTGTCGATCTCGAGATTGCCTTGTCTGGTTTCACAGAGGCTCCCGTGCAGAAGCCCATCACTTACGACGCCCTGCTGCGATCTACTTCCTCGGTTGTCACTGTCCTCCTTCGCTCATGGGCCGGTCTCATCTATCTATGCATGGACGACAAGCGCGCCATTAAGTCGCTCGTTCAGGCCTTGCGGGTCAACACGCTCGAAGTCAAGAGCGTCCTCCTCGATATGCTTTACGACCTCTTCAATGTTCGTGGCGCAACGGGACGCACAGATCCAGCTAGCAAGCGCGAGAGCAGCCAAAAGGCCTCGTCCGCCTTGCCCAAGCTGGATCCTCTCGCTCCGCCAAAGGGCATGGCATCCTTGGTTGAGCTCGGCGATCAGCCGCGCGGCAGACTCAATCTCATCGATCATTACCTGGCACTCCTTCTCGTAGTCTTCTTCAAGTCAGGTCTCGTGGATGCTCTGATTGATGTGATCGAGCACGCTCCTACCATGGCTCGGAAGGCAACCATGCTCATGGGAGAGCTTCTTCAGGTCTCCAAACGTGTCCATCCACCCTCCACTGGAGGCAGCATCCATTCGCTCCCGCGACTCTTCTCGCTCGCCGCCAACTTCAAGCTAGAGAGGAGCGACGAGAGACAAGCGGCTACGAGTGCATTAGCATCCATCGACAGCGCCAATCGCCATCGCGCTGTTCATGATGTCTGCTCAAGTGCCGCCGAGAGTGCACGAAGCACCGTCCGCGATCGCTCCAACTCGACCGAAGATTCGATGCGCAGGGGTCAGAGGCAGGTCGAAAAAACCAAAGTGCGCATGGGCATGCAGATCGACGAAGTCCAGTTCCGCAACATGATGGTCGACACTCAGGTCCTCCTCACTAAGGACCACACCAAGTGGCACCTTGAAACCCTCACTGAGATGCTCGAGGGCCCCTTGCTCAACCCGAAGCGACTCGACGACGTAGTCAGAGGCACCAAGCTGCTGAGGCGTGTTCTGGCTTTCTATCACCCCTTTGCGCTACGGTTCTCCAGCGTACGCCGCTTGAACGCCAATCGTCGCTTCGTCCGACTAGGGTGCCTGATGCTCAGCACCCTCTCGTCGACCCCCGAAGGTGTGCGGGTCCTAATGGAAGACCGACTGCTTCGCGAAATTCGCGAATGTCTCGAACAGCTAGATCCGCTCTCGGGGCACTCGACGGCAGATCCCCTGCTATCGCGCAAGCGCATGGACGAGACGCTCACTTCCGGCTACTTTGAGATGATCGGTGTCCTCACTCAAACAGCAGAAGGCATTCATCTGCTCGAGCGATTCAAGATCTTTACGTCGTTGTACCACCTGAGCGCGCTTCGAAGTCGGGACGACATCGTCAAGGCCGTCATCGAGAACGTCGACTACAGCATCGACGGGCACTCGAGAATCATCCTCGCCAAGGCCCTCACTTCCAGCTATCGCGACGTTCGACTCTTCGCGACGAAGCATTTGGCCGAACTGATTCGACAGTACACCTTGCCGGCGAACGCAAAGAACGGCTCAGACGTGCAAAGCGACTGGACCGTCAGCCTCTTGCTCACACAGCTCTACGATCCTGCAGTTGACGTGCGGGAGCTGGCGACAAAGGTGGTTGAAGAGATCTGCACGTCGAGTCACATCCTCGAAAAAGTGGTCTCCATGCGGCCGACGTTGGACCATCTTGGCGAGCTAGGGCATCCACTCTTGCTCAAGTTCCTATCGACTTCGGTCGGGATCCGATATCTATGGCAGGGCGAGTACATCGATCGCGAAATGGAAGACTGGTTCAACGAACGCAACCAGCGCTACGTGGTAGAGGTCGAAGTCATGCTGGCCGACTTCTTCAGCATCTATCGCAAGTCGACCACCGACAGCGGCAATGGTACCGCTGCAAGCGCTGCAAATGGTACACCAGGAGCAGCATCTACGTTCTCACCTCAGCATCGCACCACTGCCGACCCAACGAAAGACGGCATAGTACCGCCGCACTTCTACGGAGAACTAGCTAAGACACCCGAGGGCTGCCATCTCCTGCAGCAGAAGGGCCACTTCGTCGAGTTTGCCCACTTCATCCGACAACACGGCGCCGAAGCGTCAGACAGTGAGCTGATCAACAAACTCAAGAGCGTTCTCTGGGCGGTCGGCAATATTGGCGCCAACGAGCTTGGACTGCCTTTTCTGGAAGCCGAAGATGTGGTGAGCCAGATCGTCGAGATCGCCGAAACTTCGCCGGTCTTGTCGGTTCGCGGCACGTGCTTCTTCGTGCTTGGGCTCATCGCATCCACCCTCTCGGGCGCCGAGGCGCTTCAAGACTACGGATGGCAGTCGGTGAGCACGCCGTTGGGAGCGCCGATGGGGCTCTGCATCCCAGACGATGTCAATCGGTTGGTCTCGATCCCAGGATGGGAGGTCAACAAGGTGACGGACCTGAGCTATCTCGAGCTGGCCGAGCCCGAGACGCTGGTGGTCAACAAGATCATCACCTCGATCGCCAACCTCGGCAACTCAATCCTAGCCACCAACGCGTCGAGATCGCTGAGCAAGCTCAAAGTCAAGCACAAGTCAGCGTTCAAGGATCTGTCGGTGCTGGCCAGAGCGTTGGAGCTGATGGATCACTTCTACTATCGCGTCTCGGTGAGGCGGTACATCTGGGAGCTCTTCGACGTGAGTCTGGACGAGGACACGGTGCGGGAGATTCGAGCAAGCAGGCAGAGGCTGATCGATACCAAACGCAGCCGACCTGCGGGACTCAAGCACGGCGGTCATTCGCCTCGGCAGAGGGGCGAATCGATGGAGTCTTCTGCGGACGCACCTCAGAACGGCGTGCTACGACATCCTGCGGGCGCAAGCAAGCATCACGGCAACAAACTGTCGCAACCCGGTCTCCGTGCTCTGGCAGACGAAGAGTCGTCCCAATCCGACTCAGACCGAGACTTGGCGAGGTCACTGCCGAGAATAGCGACAGGAAGGAGCGGAAGCATACCAACAAAACATCAAGAGCACGGCGACAGCGACGAGGACGAAGATGCGGACGAGGTGGGGCTATCGAGCGATCTTTCCTCGGACGACGAGGCGAGCGACACCTCACAGGACGAACCAAAGCAGATGCTGCACCCGGAGCACGTGGGGAGCCGTGCCATGAGCCGGCCTGCTACACACGGAGCATCGAGGAGAGCAAGCTTGCGCTCGTCGACGCTCAAGGGACACTGGAACGGGAGACACGAGTCGATGCAAGCAGAAAAGGTGGTGGCTGCTCCGGCCAAGAAGGTGGTTGGGTTTGGCGTCGAGGAGCTGTGAACGGGGGGGTTTCTGTTCAGATGCAACGCAGACTGTTCTCTCGACCTAGCCCGAAGTCGACCAAAAACCTGGGTTGCGTTTACTGAGACATACAAGAGGCCAGTACTTAGGTAGAGGTGTTGGCAGTGGTGTTGGTGGCGGTACCGGTGGTGGTGTTGGTGGAGGAGGAATCCGAGCTGAAAGCATTCTTCATCTGCTGAATACCCGACTTGAATTCTTCGGTGCCCTCTTGGGCGACGCCCCTGTGATTGCCCTGGGTGTCGTAGTCGCTGCTGCGGCCGACGGCGGAGGGGTCGGCGGCACGGTCGTCGTGGGAGGCATCCCTGAGGCCCTCCCCGGCCGCATCGACACCGTCGTTGATGTTGCCACGGATGGTCTCGCCCACGCCGTGGACGGCGTTGAAGGCGCTGTTGGAACAGACGGCACGAGGAAGGTGGGAAAAGGGAAGTCAGTCATGAAGGACTTGCAAGCAGGTGGATGGCAGGAGAGGGAGGATTACCCCTTGATGGCGCCGCCGATTCTGTCGCCTGCGTTTCCGCTCATTATGGATGAAGATGTGCTGCTGTGAGGTTTGAGAGGATAAAAATCTGAGTGGAAATCTGGATACAGGTGGCGTTGATGATGATGATGGCGGCGGTGGGGCAAGAGTCAGGACGAGGGTATATGTAGCTGTGAATCAAGGGTCCTCAGATAGCGACGCCGCCCGTGGCTCAGGGTCGATTGTCTAAGTCAGCTTATAGCATGCAGGGATCGACAATGGGCCGCAAGCCACAGGTCGTGAAAGGTGATCTGCGAGCGACGTGGACGACCAGAAACGCACATAGCTCACCCGGCGCAGCCAAGATCAGGATGGGCAGGAGAGGAGTGGAGGCCGAAAGCGGCTTTCATGGCAGTGGCACGACGTCATCTTGTGCAAACATCACGGCCTGATTTTTGAAGTTGAGATCGACAGAGGAACGAGCTTAACAGCAACACTTCTTGAAAAATGGCACGCGTCGCGTAGATAGAAAGTAGGCTTGGAAGCTGCCAAAGTCAAGCTCAGCAAAGAGGGTCCCCGCTGTGAACACAGTGTGCGCTGAATGACACATCAACTAGCCTTCTTCTCATCAGAATCATCCTGCCCTGCTCCAGTCATTCTTCTCTCAACGTCACAACCATCACGATCTAGACGGCGACAGATGACGAGGTCATGAGACAAGCCACACTGCCTTGGGCTGCTCCTCCGCCTTCCATCCTTGACTCTTCAGCTCAGTCAGTCGACTCGTATCAGCATCATATTCAGCACCGACCGGAAACACTTCAACAACATGCTCCGCTCCATACACTTCCAAGAAACATAGACTCGCCGCTTTACGAGATCAGCACACCTCCGTTGTCGCATGCTGTTCCATTTCAATTCCAACAAGGGCAGCCAGTTGAAGCGGAACCACAGCTCGATCCAGCCCTCTTTTCGGGTTCCCAGGAGGTTGCTGCCGATCATGACACACTCGTAGGCGTCTTGACAACGGAACCAATAGAGCAGCATGCAAATGACACAATAGACGCAATGGTACCGCCACCTACTTCGTCGCGCGGGTCGTCTTCCGCCACGAGCTCTTGCGCAGGCATCCCTGCATCAACCCAGCAGACCGATCCTTCTACCGCTGCGCCTGTCGATTCTCCCCTCGGAACCGCCACTGATACGACTGCGACGGAAGGTGCATCGACTCAACCTGCGACCCAGACACAAGCTGCATTGCATCCTTTCTTTCGACCAGGTGGACCTTCAACCACGTCAACCGAGGACGAGTCCGATTCAGAACAGAAGCGACCCGGACGCTCGAGCCGCACCAGAGCCCCTGTCTCCTACCGCGAAGATCTCAAAGCCGTCCTCCGTGCAGACAAAGCGCAAGAGTCAGCGCGGATTAAGGAAGAAAAGCGACAAGCAAAGCTGGAGGCAAGGGACGCCAAAAAGGCGCAAAAGTCCAAGAAGACAAAGCCGGACGAGGCTTCTTCCGACAAGGGCAAAGATGCGGACGACTTTGAGCTCGTCGAGACTCGCGTGGCGACGTCACCATCAAAGCCAGCGGCGGGCAAAGGCGGCAGAGGCGATGCATCAATATCTCCCGCCGCCTCTTCGTCATCGAAGGCCCAGCAGCCACCCAAACATATCGAGCCAAAACCGCTCAGTCTGGCCGTCAAAGGCACTGGCGCAGCCGCCACTGCCAACCCTCATCCATTTTTCGTCAAGAAAGCCAAGCAGCAGCCTGAAGCGCCAATAGAGGTACCTGATAGCTCGAGTCCGGCCCCAGAGCATCCCGACGAAGCGCCGACACGGTCCCACGACACAAAGGGTAAAACAAATGCCGCAGTGCCCAGCTCGACATCTAGTAGCACCCCAGCATCGTGGAGTCTGTTCTCTACTCAGAGGATCTCTTCTGCAAAGCCAAAGAAGCCACTCAACGCACCCTGGCCAACGACGGAAGATACGCATGTCTCAGGATGGACCCGCAACGAGAGCGAGGTTCTCTCCCGGGCTCGCTCGGATCTGGCCGCTTTTCACTCTCGTTGGGCATCAGGGGAAACAGCAGCCTCCTCGAGACAGATCTATGACGCACCGCTGCCTGACTTTGTCTGTCGTATGAATCGCACTCGACCACAACCCGCGCTAGAAGGCATCTCCCTCACCGGCTCCGACGAGTTCAAGTCGACCGACGATTTTATCGGTCAGATCGAGATGATGCACCTCTCCCAGCTGGCGGTCGCGTCCACCGTCGACCAGGCTGAATCCTGCCGCAAGACAGGCCAGCTATGGAACGACGCCTTTCGCCCGCACCTCTCTTGTGGCTGCCTCGGCAACGAAGGCAATGCCAGCTACCTGCTCGACTGGCTGCGTCGGCTGCTCGTCGCAGCGCCTGGCTCGGTGAGGACCACAGACAGCAAGCGCAAGCACGGCATTCAGCGTCGGGTCGATCGCAAACGCAAGAAAAGAAGGAGGGGATACAGCGACGACGAGGACAGTGACGATATGGCTAACTTCATCGTCGATGACGACGAGGATGATGTGGGCGAGTACGACGATTCGATTGCGGATGACGAGGTCTTTGGCAAATTTGGTCGGATTGATCGTCAGACGGTGCTCACCGACGATGAAAGTGTCGATCTCAAATCGTCCCAAGGCACCGCTCCTGCAGGGCCAGCATCGACTGCACAGCCACCCGCATCCCAATCGAGCAAGCACGCGGGCTTCGCATCGCTCGACAAGCTCACCAACTGCATGGTCCTCACCGGTCCCAGCGGCAGCGGCAAAACCGCTTCGGTCTACGCGTCCGCCTCGGAGCTCGGGTACGAGGTCTTCGAGCTGTACCCGGGCATGGGTCGACGCAGCGGTCGAGACCTGCTCGCTGCCGTCGGTGACTTGGGACGCAACCACATGGTCTCCTCCGGTGGCGTGGGAGGTGGTGCCACGTTCAAAAAGCCCGCCGCCGCTGCGCCGAGCGGCTCATCGACGGTGCGCCAGTCGCTCATCCTTATCGAAGAGGCGGACATCCTGTTTGACGAAGATAAGGGGTTCTGGGCTGCAGTCATCGAGCTGGTGGCAGAGAGCAAACGACCAGTTGTCATCGTGTGCAACGAACTTGACCTTGTGCCGGTGCACGATTTGCCCGTGCAGCAGATCCTGCACTACGCCACGCCGCGAATGGAGGAGGCGGTAGCGTGGGTGCAGACTGTAGCATCGGAGATGGGCCGCTTCCTGCCTGCGGACGAGGTGGAGGGTCTGCTGCTCCAGTTGCCCGGCACCGAAGTCGCTGTGGACCTGGAGGACGAGGCGCAAATCGATCTTCGCCAGGCGCTGAACCAGGTGCAGTTCGGGCACTTTGCATGCGATCCGCCGGTGTCGCACGCAGATGCGCAGCAGCGGGACTTTCTGGAGACGCAAGCGGCGAAGGAGATGGAGATGCGGGCCGTGGCGCGCGCGGCAGAGTCGAGCAGTCTCGCTGATGTGTTCGAGACTGGGCTGGGAAGGGGTGTACAGGCGGACGTGTTTGGCGATGCGGGAATGGAGACGTCAGCGACGTCGCGGCAGTGGGGGTCGTGGGTGCAGCTGGTGGCTCAACCGCTGGCGTGGCATCAGCAGAGGCAGGCGCTCGCGGGCAGTGCAGAGATCGAGTACAGGAGCACGCTGGCCGACATCCACGAGCGTCTCGGGCTGGTAGGGCTGCCGTCGATCATGACTTGTGACGGCGTGCACGAGTACGGTGGGGTTCGAATGACGGACGCTCTTCTCGAGCGATTACAGTAGGTTTCTTTCTATCGTCACGCATAAAGTTCTGATCACTGACACACTCTCTTCTCTTGATTCTTACGAAACAGACACCGCGAGCGCTTGAACCTACGCACCCTCGTCCGTCCCCTTCTCATCCACCGTCACTCGGCCTCTCATCTTCCACCCTCGCTCATCACCGACTATGCGCCTCTGATCCGCCTCATGGCGCTGATCGATTCCGACCTGGCCGAGATCCACGCCTCGCTCCAACAGGCGCACGCAGCGGACCCGACCAACGCACCCCTACCTTCGGGCAGGTCGACGCGCAACTCATCCCGGGCGCTCACGTCGTGGCTCACCGGCAGCGGTGGGCAGGAGTACGGGTACGAGCGGTGGCTCGCCGCGCTTGGCCCGGGCGAAGTTTTGGCTGCTAAGAAGACGACATTGGTGTTTTAAAATTGCTTGGTGTATACGAGGTTGCTGGTGCGATGCTTGGCTTATTGCCAGTAGAGGGAGCCGCCGAACACGTCGGGTGAGGTGAGGGGAAAGAGGAAGTGGGCGAACAACGCAATGCCTGCTGCGTAGGTGATCCATATCACTGTCAAAGCAAAAAGTTCACATCAGCACCTGTCCCTTCCTCGCAGACTCGTGTGTGACTTACAAGCAGCATTCTTGCTGAATCGCCTGGCGTCCGCCATGGGGTTGGGCAGGCCCATGACGTTGCAAAACACATGTGCAGCCATTGGGGCGAGCACACTTCCACTGCGAAGAAAGAGGAAGTTGGCGTACCAACCGAAGATGCCTGTGTATGTCAGTTGGACGGATGCGATCAGAGCTCCTCGTAGTGCAGCCTGACGGGTGCGTCCGCCTTGAAGGAAGACGTTCCATGCGTGATGGGCGTGTGCGATGCCGAAAAAGGCTGGGGTGAGGAAGATGAGGCGGAGGCGAGAGAGACCGGCGAAGAAGAGCGGGACGAGGATGGAAGATCGAAAGACGAGTTCTTCGGTGAGCGGGCCGACGAGGTAGTTGCGCACCCCGGGGAGGGTGGTCAGCTTGTCGACGATGTCTGATTGGATCGAGAAGTGGCGTTGGAAGGGCAGCGAGGAGGAGAGGTAGGTGGTGTAGAGCGGACCGAGGAAGAGGAGGGAGGTGAGGAGGAGTGGGGATGCGATGTGCGTGGCTATCGCCGTGAGGTAGGATGAGAGCGAGGGGTTGAAGGGGAGGAGGTTGGAGGTGAGCAGTGAGGGTGTTGGGAGAGGCAGGCCGAGAAGACGGCTGATGTTAAGCGTGTCGAGGAGCCAGCCCTGTTAGAGAAGAGATGGTCAGCTGCACTCTCGTAAGACTATATGCAGGGCGGATCAGACTTACAGCCCTTGGCACGACGCCTTTCAACCATATCCCAACACCTGTTGCCAGCACCGTCGCCGCAGTGGCCAAGCTCGCTGTCTTTATTCGTGACCTGATGACGACCGGATGGTCGCGATCCATGATGTTGCCGTCCGCATCTTGCTTGCCTGCTAGCCGGCCAGCGGGCGAGAGGTAGAGAGAGCCGACGTAGGTGAGCGTGAACAGGGTGGAGGCGCCCACTGCAAAGCCGACGGACAGGATGGGCGGGGATAGCGGCGAGTTGGGGAGGTTGGCTATGAGCGACATCGTTACGCTATACGAGGATGAAGGGGAGAGGTGAAGAAGGGCAAGGGCCAAAGGAGGAGAACAAAGAGAAAGGCAAAGGCGAAACGAGCATGACGAGGAACAAAGGGTCCAACTTGTGCATGAGGAAGGAATCAAAGGGACCAACACCGGACCCTGAAACAAGACTCGAATTCACCGAGGCGACGCACGATCCATCACCTTTGGATCGTTACCATCACATCCATCGACATCACGCAGCATCTCTTTGGGAGAAGTTGGAGATGCTGACGATATGTCGGCCAATTATTGGGCGTCGACGCAATGGTATGTCACCCACTCGAGGTCGCGCATGGTCTCAAGTGGACCTCGGTGACTGATACATCCTTCACTCTGTGTGCGACGACAGCAACAACTGGTTGCTAGACAGACCGCAGCTCGAACTGGCGAGAAAAGAGGACCTCAAGTATGCTACAGCGCTCGAATGTGCCGCCATTGGAATCTTCTTCTCGAATCGTGAGTGCTGACACAGCCCCATCGGACTGCCTTCCGAACACTGAATGCTGACCATGACATGCACCGTCTCGCCGTATCCCTTCGTACGCCACTTGCTCATCACAGTCCTCTCAACAATCTGCAAGCGTCTCAACCTGCGTCAGCGCGTCGTCGCCTCGGCCAACGTCTTCTTCCGCCGCTTCTTCGCCAAGAACTCGTACTGCGCGCTCGACCCGTTCCTCGTCTGCGCCACATGCGTCTACGTGTCAGCCAAAGTGGAAGAGTCGCCCATCCACATCAAGTCGGCGGTCGCCGAAGCCGCGCGCTCGTTCCAGGAGGTCGGTTTCCGCAGCATGCCGACCGACAACTCGAGTTTGGCCGAGATGGAGTTTTATCTGCTCGAGGAGATGGAGTTCGACATGATCGTGTTCCATGCGTATCGGTCGCTGGTGAGTATGTTCGATACGTATGGGAATGGGAGGTATGTGGAAAACTTTAGTCTCACGGGGCAGCAGGGAGTGACGGGGTTGGGCATTGAGGCGGAAGCATTTGGCGTGGTGAAAGGCCTAAGCAGCGTTGAGGAGAAGGAGGCAGCTGGCGGTTCAGCAGAGGAAGGGGGAATAGCAAAGATGACCGAGTTCGACCAGCCAGTTCTGCAGATGAGCTGGTTCGTCCTCAACGACGCTTACAAGTTGGATATCCCGCTCATGTACCCACCGTACATGGTCGCGCTCGCAGCGATATGGCTCGCCCTCACACTCCACCCCGGGTCGTGCGATACCATCAACGCCTCCCTCCAAACGATGCAGCACAAACGAGATTCGTACGGAACCAACATCCAGTCCATCCTCGACAACCCAAACTCGACCCCCGCCGAGCTGCTCGCAGCGACCAAACAAGAACAGCCCACCCCACCAAGCCAGGAAGCGCTCACGTGGTTCGCAAGCTTAAACGTCTCGCTCCCGCTGCTGGCCGAGATCGTGCAGGAGATCATCAGCGGATATGCGCTGCAGAAGGACGTTGCGGGGTTGATCAGCGATGGACCGGGCATGGTGGCGTTGCTCGAGAGGATGAGGGAGTCGAGGCGGTTGGATTTGCTAGCCAAGGCGAGGGAGCACAGTGGCAGCGGGACAGCCGAGAGAAGGGCTGGTCGATAGAGTGTACTTGTAAGCAATGATGACCTTTGTATCAATACATTTGAGAGAAGAAGAATTGAAGAGAGCCGAGAAAAGGGGATATGCTGTGGATCAGGCTTCGGTGCCTTCGGGTAGCCTGCCGACCACCTTGACTGCGTAGAGGCCTGGCAAGCGCTTTTCTGCAATCGCAACATCCGAGCAGAGATTGAACGAGAGTCAGCATCGATAGCACTGTATTGGAAACGTCCTTGCGTGCGACTGCAACTAACCGATGCGCTGCCACTTGGCGACCCAGCTCTCCTCGGGTCGCAGCATTGAGATCATCCCGTCAAAGTTGGACGTCGTGCATTCGGCCACTCGGTCTTGACTGCCTTGCATCTGTTGGTCCGTCGAGCATCGTGGGTATAAATGCGGACACGTCAGTATTCGTTACCGAGTGACAGATGCGCGCTGCTGGGACTACCTACCTCGAGAACCGGTTCGCAGTTGGGACACCCTTTCAGGTGAAAGTCTCTTGGTGACTGAACAAATTGACAGCGCAGACACGCTCGAAGCTTTTCCTTCCTTGCCGACATTGTGAGCTGTGTGTACTGTGTCGATCCTAGCTCTTCAGCTGTGGCTTGGAGGTGGTGTGAGGAAGAGGAGGTCGTGTTGAATGGCTGCCGAGGACTGAGCTCCAAGTTGCTCTCTGTGCAGGCGCAGCAAGCCCGAATCCCGAGCAGCGAACCGACTCTGCCAAAATGTGGAAGATGAAACGAAGCAACGCGGACCGTGCTTCTTTCTCCCATTCTTCTCGTCATTCATCCAGTCTCAACTGCATTTCAACACAACATGGACGGATGGGATCAGCCATCGAGCGCTGGCTCCGGATACGGCCAGCAGTATCAGCAGTCCTATAACAACGGCAATGGCAATGGCGCATACGGCAGCGGCGGTGGTGCAGGAGGAGGCTATGGTGCGCGAGACCAGGGTTGGGCACCTCGTCGTGGAGGCCGAGGCGGCCGTCAATCTGGCGGCGGCGGCGGTGGCGGTGGATACTATCAAGGCGCTCGTGGTGGCGGTGGAGGAGGAGGATACCAGCAGCAGCAGCCATCCGTAGAACAGCGCGAAGAGAACCGGATCCGATACATTCGTTCGCAACTCTTCAAGCTCGGCGAGGAGAAGGACTTTCATCCTCCTTCTGACCTTCTCAAGATGGCACGCTGGATCGAAGACAAGGCGACAGATGGCATCGAGCCCATCACGGGTGCCTTCAGGGTCATGGTCACCGAGCAACCTCACAAGACTCCCCTCATCGCCGCATTGATCGGCTTCCTCTGCCTCTCGCAACAGTCCAAGCCCGCCGCTCCTCCCCCGCGAAACCCGGACGACGCTGACCTCGACGCCGATCAAGACCAAGAGATGGCAGCTGCACCAAGTTCCGATCCCGACTCGCTGGGCATCACCATCGTCAAGGACCTCGTCAAGGCCTTCCGCAGCTACCTCGACGCGCGCCTCTGGAGGAACACGCGTCTGAGCCTGCACCTCTTTGCCGCGCTAGTCCCGCTTCACATCATCCCTGCTCATTCGCTGCGTACGCTGTTGGCCTCATTTGCGGCCGTGCTGGAGGAGCCGGCGGTAGCAGCAGCAAGGGCGGATCGAGCCGCTATGTGCATCATCGAAACCCTCTGCCGCGCCGGTCAGGACCTCTTGAGCGACAGCGAAGGGGCGCGCGCCGAGCTCGACGACCTGATCCAAAAAGTGGTCACTTACGATGCAGCACGCAAGGTCGAAGTGGAGCTCACTGAGCCTGTGCACGACCTTGAAGCCATCTGGCTCGAAGGCTTCTCGGATGCCGTCAAGGCGTTGGAGGAGCTCAGGGCGAGAGACTACAGAAGACCCATCTTCTTGCCCGTGCCTTCGGACCTCCTTCCCGCCGCCATCTCGCCCGCTGCAACGCAAGTGCCCGAGGGGAAGCGCATCGTGTCCCTGCCAGACGTGCTCGTTCCGCCTGAGGAGGACGCGGAGGACCAGGGTCTGGACGTGGCGTACGCCCAGCTCGGCGAGCACCAGGTCAAGCGACGCAAGATCGACACGGGCAAGGGCGAGCTGGAAGAAAAGAAGGCGGCTGTCGGACCCGAGCGTGTCAGTCTGCAACCACGATGGTTTTCCAACACGCTGCCGAAGGTGGCCTCTCCCGCATCGGTGGTGCTGCGCGCCGTGCTGGCCGACATGATCGACCTATACGAGGTCAATCGCAAGGAGGCGGCCAAGCTCATCCTCGATCTGCCCAACTGGGTGCGTCGCGGCACCTTCTCTTCCAAGAACTCGCCCGAGGCCGGTCTATTCGGCGAGATGGACGACCCCCAGCATCCGGACGAGAGCGGATACTCGCTCGACGACCTGCTGGTGGAGACCATCCTCTCCACCGCCTTTGTTCTCCCCGCTCCGCCGCGCAACCCGCTCTACTACACCGGCCTGCTGCGCGAGATCGTCACCCTCACCCCTGGCACCGTCGCCCCCTCACTCGGTCGGACCATCCGCACCTTCTACAACGCCCTCTCCTCGCCCACCAACATCGACGTCGAGACAGTCCACCGCTTTGCCGACTGGTTCGCCATCCACCTGTCCAACTTCAACTTTGGATGGGCGTGGAAGGAGTGGATTCCGGACACGTCGCTGCCTGCTACGCACCCGAAGGTGGTGTTTATGCGTCGGATCGTGGAGCTCGAGATCCGACTGGCGTACTTTGAGCGGGTGCAGCAGACCTTGCCTGCCGAGATCCAGGCGTTGGCTCTACCCAAACAGGAGCCGGGGGCGACGTTTACCTATGCCGACGAGGCGCATCCGTACGCGGCGCAGGCGGGTCGATTGATCAACTCGATCAAAGCTAAAGCTTCTGCCGAGGTCATCCTTGCTGATTTCGAGACGTTTAAGTCCTCGATCATCGAGACTACCACCTCCCTTCCTACAGAGACCTCTGCAGGCATGGTACCCAACGCAACCCAAGCCGATGTGGTAGTGCGCGATCTGACCATCCAATGCATCCTCTCGGTCGGCAGCCGTTCGTTCTCGCACTTTCTCAACATTGTTGAGCGCTACCATGCGTTGCTCCGTCAATTGTCGCGCAGTGGTCGCATGCGCGCAGCGATCCTAGCGGGAGCGGTGAGGTTCTGGAACGCCAGTCAGCAGTGGGTGCACATCGTGGTGGATAAGCTGTTGCAGTATCGCATTGTGGAGCCGGCGGATGTGGTGGAGTTCATCTTTAGTCCGCCGGTGGATGAGCCGGGGGCGATTCGGACCGGTGGAGAGAGGGAGGGTTGGGCGGGGTTCAACACGTGGACGCTGCTGCGTTTGACTCTTGAAAAAGTGAATGGGCGGGTGGATCAGCTGCAGAAGCGACTCGAGGAGATTCAGCGGAAGGAAGGCGAGGAAGCCGAACGAAAAGAGGCCGCCGCCGCCGCAGGGTTGCCGTTTAGCGATGAACCCGAAGCAGCTCCGGAAAAAGCTGAACCGCTCTTTCCCACCAGCGCAACCCTCCCCATCCGACCCGAGGAAAAGTCCGCCGAACCATCCTCCACCGAAGCCCTGGCAAACCTCGACGCGATCAAGAGCGAACAGCGCAAAGTGCTCATCCTCTCCGTCACCGGGTTCAAGAATCTCCTCCTCTCCGCCGACGGCAGTCAGGACGAGTGGACGCAATGGTGGATCAGCTCGTGGTACAAGCAGTTTGTGCGCTGCTTTAACCGGCAACTGCTGCAGAACCGACAGACGCTCCTGACGAATTGTTTCGGAGAGACGGATGGTGAGACGGGAGAGAGGACGAGGGAGTGGTTGGAGCGCGCGATCGACGTGCTTTCCGAGTGAAAAGAGATGCAATTTGAAACAGGTTCAATGTGATCGAGAGATGTGTGCTGCTGCGATATCGCCTGCGCGGGACGATGTCTCTCAGCCTTTGTGTTCAGACGCCACGTCCATGGGGTCTACAGCCGTCCTCACAGTCGGATCTGCACACGAGCGCTTGCAATGATCTGAAAGGTGAGGATCGAAATTTTCATTGTTGGTGTGAGCGACGAGACTCAGTAAGCCAGATCGACGTCTCCCTCGGCAGCGCCGTCGAGATCCTGGTAGCTCTTGGGTGCAGCTCTCTGGGCGCGCGGGTCCAACGGCTTAGGCGCGGGCGGCAGGGGGTCTGGAATGACCTGTGGTCCTTGACCCGCATCTGCAGCGGCGACCACGCCGCCGAGTCGCATGCCCAGCGCTGCACCTCCTCCGTTGCCTCCCGGTGGACCTCTCCTTGGCGAATCGATGGCACTCGCATTGCCGAATCGGATCATGCCCATCCTCCCGCCAGAACCGAACATTCCCCCATTGGCACCACCCTCCAGCCGCTGCGCTAGTGCCGGCCCGCCTCCGGGGCCATCCTTCGGAGGCTGACTCGTAGCCCTACAAGGATCCCTCACGTACGCATTGAAGAACCGTACCTCATCCAACGTCTCCCCCGCCACCCCCTCGATGAACCCACGATGCTTATTCAGAACATGCTTCTGAACGAAGATGGCCGCTTTGAACAGCTTGCCGCACTGGGCGCCGTTGACGTCGACGGTGCAGCGGTGCTTCTCCTTCTCCTCCTCCTTGATGTACGTCAGCGCGGCGGTCATGAGCTCGTCACTGATGCTTTTGCCGCCGAGGTCGGTGAGGTCCGTCTTGTCGTCGGCGAGCAGCAGGCTGGTCTTTTGATCGACACTGCGTGCCCACGATTCGTCGTTGGTGTTCTCCCGTGGGTCTTCAACGAGCGTTCCCGGAGGAGGCTGCTTGCGTCCGTGACGCGGACTGCGGCGGAGGAGTTCTTCTTCGAATTCGCACACGAGCGAGATGTAGTAGTCGCAGTGGTAGACGGTGCGCAGCAGGTCGAGATGCAGGTCGAGCTGATGCTTGAGGGCTCGACGACGATCTTCGCGTTTGGAGGAGGGCTCGTCAGGGTCGTAGCCGCGCTCGAGATCGTCGTCCACCAGGTCGGTCTCGATCTGACGGATGCGATGCAGGATGGCGTCGGATCCGCTGATCTCCAACCAGGGCTTGCTGTCCGATGAGGTATCAGGTGAAGCGGCGTCACGGAAGAGCACTTCGCGGTCCTCCGTCTCGAATCGCTCGAGCAGCTGCTTGCAGTGTTTAAGATCGATGAGCAGGCGGTGGAAGGAGTTGGCATACTCGGGGACTGTGCGGACCTTGCTCGAGGTGGGCTTGGTGCAGGGGGCGAGGTTGAGAGAGAAGCCATCGACTTCCTTGCCTTGAAGCGCGTTGAGAGTATCGTCCATGTCAATGTCAGGGTCGTACATGGCCCAACCGACGCGGTGCCATCGCTTGGCCACGTGTGGCTCGCCTAGAGCCACGTATCGGAACCCTGGCTTGGTTTTCAGAACGTCCTCGAGCTTCTCTCTTGACACGTCAGCAGGGAAGGTCTTGACGAGGATCTGGTGGTTGCAGGCGGGAATGATAGCCTGCTCGGCATGCAGTACTTCTGGTTCACCGTAGCGCGAAAGAAGCGTGACATCACCAGGCTCGGATCGACCGCCACGGTGATCCTGGTGGTTGTCGCCGTCGTACGAGTCGGCGCGTCTGCGCGAGTCGGACCGCTCGTCCGAGTCCTGGATGTCGTAGTTGAGCTTGTCGAGCTTGCCCTCCTGCAGCTCTTGGAGCCAAGCCTGCTTCTTGCCAGCACGAGCGGCTCGCTTCCGGTCATTACGAGCGCTGACCCAGGGCTCTGCAGGCGAGTACTTCTCCTGGAACCATGCCTCGTGTCTGCGCTGCTCAAAGAAGGCAGCGATGGCCTTCTTGTTGAACGCAGCTTTGTAGGTCTGGTAGGCGTCGTAAAGCTCCTGAGTGGCAGGCTGATCGATGGACCTGTCGCGTGCGGATGGATGCGCGGCCTTGATCATCTGAGCATACTGGCGGAATGTAAGCAAATTGTCGGACTGCATGGGATCGGGAGCTGGACGAGGCTCAAAGGGCGGCCTTGCACCGGAGTCGGAGGCGTGCGGCGCATCATCCCTGCGATACTGTGTGTCGTTGTTGGGATAGTTGCGTTCGCGTTCGCGGTAACGTGGACGGTCGTCTCTGGAAGGAGGTGGAGGGTCGTCGTACCTAGACCTGGCTTCGTAGCGCTCGCGATCCTCGTAGGGCGAGGGGCGGTAGTCGCGGTCTCGCTGATCATGCTCGCGGTAGTATCGGTCCCATTCTTGAGCTCGATTGCGCTCGGAGCGATCATCGTATGGATCTGCGCCGCGATAGTTGTCGTAGGCGGGTGGTCGCGATGCATAAGGAGATGGCTCACGGTAGTCTCGCGAAGGACGGTCCCATGGATCGGCAGAAGGATAGTCGTTGTAGCCGCTTGTACGCCTCTCGTCGCGGTAGTAGGAAGGAGAAGGCGAACGACCACGTTTCCTGGTGCGATCGTAAGGATCGTCTAAGGGTGCAGATGCATACGAGTCTGGAGGTGGACCGGAACGGTCATATGGACGATAGGAAGATCTGTAATCCATGATGAGGAAGGGTATGCGAGATGTCTAGAGCATGCCAATGGATAAGCCAAGGGGAAAACGAACAGCGGTGACGGCTGCTTGCGCGGTGTGCAGTGTGGATGCCGGATACGAACGAGGGCGCTGTGGTGCAAGGCGTAAGAGGGTATGCACCGGTGCAGACCACCGCAGAGCGAAATGAAGGGCTGCGTGGGACCGTGAGACGCCAAAAGGGAGAGCGCGGGAAGAAGGATGAAACGAGAAGAGATGAAGAAAGGGCAGGACGAGACCGAGCAAAGAGAGATGAGACGAGGACGAGAGAGACGAAGAACGACTCGGCTCTGCGCTGTCTGTCCCTTGTCACCCAAACCCACTCGAAATTGCCAATTCCTTCCAACTCGCCAGGCCAATTTGACAAGAGAAACAGCATCGGGTGGCCTTCTGTTTGGCCATGATAGGAGGCAGTCACTTTTGACGCGACTAGATAGCTTGAAATCGGGAGCACGAACCGAGCCAGATCGGTCGATCCACACCAGCAGGCCCAAGCACACACACACATACACACACAAAGGCGGCTAGACTTCAGGCGTGCCTGTGACTGAAAGCCGGTTCAGGTGACTGCTGCTGACATTGACTATGATCGTATCTGGATGACATGCCGCAAGTTTGCTTGCTGCGTCGTGGGCTCGGGCCTGGCTGGGATCGATTATAGGGCTCAAGGCGCGCTTTGGAATCTGTTTGGCAGCTGATTGCCAAGGAGCAGGGCGTTGAGCGGCTGTTTGTCTGCTTAAATTCAGCCCAACTGACAGCGGCAAGCAGCGCATCTCAGCAGCTCAGCAAGCAGACCATCAGCAAGCAGCCGTCATGAGCAGCAGCAGCATCAGCAGCACGGACTCTAAATTCGAGTCTAATCGCTCAACTTAAACCTTCTCGCGCTCTTTGTCCCCTCCTCGACCACGATATCACTTCCACCACGACGCACAGCGGACCATGTCTTCTTGACCAACCCCAACGCATTCGACCGCGCCCCTCAGTCTCTTGCCTGTCAGCCATCGTTGCGCTACGGCCAACCTCACATTCTTGTCGCGTTACCGTGCCTTGCCGTCGCCGCTCAGGCGCGTCCATCGCGCTCACTTCTCATCCCGCTCCAGTCCATGCTGTCCCTCCTCGTCGACAGCTGTGACACCCATTCTCCCAATTCTTCTCGCGGCATCGGGAGCGTCTGATGCCTCTTGGCGTCAATTGCCATCATGATGCCCAATAACGCCTTTCACATGCAGCAGCACATGCCGCAACAGCAGCAGCAGCCGCAGCATCCCGGTGGCATGCCTCCCAACGCCGCCTTCGCTATGCAGCCTTCGGTCTACACTCAGCATGCCGCACAACAACAGCAGCAGCAGCCTCATCAACAGATGCAGCAGGCCCCGCATCAGCAGCAACAGCAACCACAGCAGCACCCTCATCCGCAGCAGCTCCATCCGCACATGCAGCCGCAGCACCCTCAGCAACACCAACACCAGCAGCAGCAGCCCGCCATCTTTGGTGGCGCTCCCGCTTCTGCGTCCGTCACCCAGCCCGTCCATATGGCAAACCCTGCCTCCGCTTCTTCTGCCTATCATCCCACTATGCAACAACATCAGGCGCAGATGAGGATTGCACAGGCAAACCAGCCTCACATGGTCAACGCTCAGCATCAGCGTCCGCCCATGTCCGCCGCCAACATGGCTTTCGCTCAGCAGCAACAACAGCAACAGATGCAGCTCCAGCAGCAGCAGCAAATGCATCTTCTGCAACAACAGCAGCAACAACATCAGCAGCAACAGCAGCAGCAATCGACTCCGAATCAGCCGCCGCGCACCCCGCAGCAGCAGCACCAGCAGGTTCTCTTACAGCAACAACAGCAGCAGCAACAACAGCAACAACAGCAACACATGGCTCAGTCATCACAAGTCAATCTGCATTCGCATCCGCATCCTCAACAGCAGTCGCAACAGTCGTCTTCCGCCCCGCCTATGCATCAACAGCATCCTCAAACACCCTCCGGTCCAGGCCTACACCATCCCTCCGCTTCTCAACCCACCACAGCACACAATAGCCCCATGCCTAACGTCCTCACTCAGAGGCCGGCACAACCTGGCCCGCATCGTGCGCCCACTCCCATCTCGCATTCCAATCAGCCCATGCACAATGCACCACCTGGAGCCGTCGTGGCCAGCCCACAAGTCAACGGTCCAATACCGCCTCGCCAGGCTTCCGTGCCTCTCAATCACGCGCCTTCCACACCCACTCATACACGTCCACCCTCCGCTGCGCCTACTCCCTCTCTCCAACCAGCCACTGCTCCTCAGCCCATGTCCATCGCGCGGCCAGCCACAACCTCTCCCTCCTCGAGTCAGCTCCCTCCCTCGGGCCTTGCTGCTGCCTCGATGGCCGGCGTCAACGGCGTGATGCCATCAGGGCTGGCTACGACTGACGCCATTGCCGGAGCGCCAGGACCGAACCCTCAGCTTCAGGCTCAATTCCCGAGCGGGGCAGGCGTGTTGCGGCTGCTGCAGTATTCCGAAGCTCTCAGCTCTGCCGGCGAACGCGGCGACATGGGCTACTGGCGCGCCTTTGTCAACGAGTTCTTCGTCCCTACCGGCGTATTCCGTGTGATCCTCTACAACGCCAATTCGCGCGAGCAGAAAGGCTTCGAGGTCCCAACATGTGTACTGCCACGCTTTCTGCTCACCAACTATGTCTCAGGTCTCCGCTCAACCCAGTTGCAGCTCGAGAACCCTCGAGAGTATCATACCGGATGGCCACCTGTCAACCCGCTACCACCGCCCCCGCCTTCGCACAAGTACCTCAACAGCTTCCCCTCGTCCAATGTGACGCATCAGGTGGACGTCTCCAAAGCCACCTTCCTCTCGAGCTTCGACAGTGGCTGGCAGGTGCAGATGACGGGGCTCTTGCGGGCATGCTTCGTGCCTTGGGCGGTGCCGCAGCCGGGCGAGCCAGGAAAGATGGGCGTGCGACTGCGACTCGAATCGCTTGACTTCACCGTGCATGCTCACACGGGCTTCATTCCACGCATGGCCATTCAAAAGTCCAAAGTGGAGCACCCTCTACCCAACAGCTTGGTGTCCAACATCCTCAGCACAGGTGACAGCAGCGCATCCAGTCAAAACGGATCCAAGAAAGGTCAGGCGAGAGGTGCCGCGGCGGCTCGCAAGGAGGAAGCCGGCGACACGAAACGGGACGAGAACGGCGATGCGGTGGTCAAGACCGAAGACGGATCCGGCTCGGGCGACGACGATGTCAGCAACCAGAGCGGATACACGGTCGCGGTCGAGAAGACCTTCTTGCCAGACTATCCGGTCAACGAGTACGGCATCAGCCTACGGGCGATGCGCTGTCTCGAGATCACTGAAAGCGTTTGCCAGCTACGCGATCTGATCGACCTCAGCATGCGGGACAAGTTGGGGCCCATCGACTCTCTGCGCAAGTTTGCGACGCAATACAGAGAGATGCAAGCGGGCCGTCCAACGTCACAGATTGGCGCAGCAGATGCAAACGGAGCGAATCAGCAGCCGTCCAGCGATGCTGCTGCCACGCCATCGCAGGTGCCGGGTCGACCGCCAAGTGCGCAAGGTGGACCTACCGAGAACGGCGTCGGCTCGAATTACGCATCGCCCAGTGTCCCCAATGGAGTGGCAGGACTCAAACGTAAGGGCAAGATGGCGCCGAGCCCCAGTCCCAAGCTGTCCAACACCAACAATCCCGCCAAAAGGCAGCGATGAAGGCATCGCACTTTGGGACTATCTTGTATTTGTACCGCACCTAGCTCAGCTGTAGCAGTGGATCTTTGTGATGGCAATGGATTTGACCCAGCCACACGAGTCGTGAGACGTGGTCGACGTGGAACTGAGCCCAAAATATCGCTGGAAGAAATGGATGAGTTTGCAGGGCGCGTAGCGGGCAAGTCATCTCGGTGAAATACGTGCACGCGGGCAAGCTCAGGCACGATTTCGCAGTCCGCGGCGGGAGCATTTGCTTTTCGAGTTGGAGGTGGAGATGAAAGATGCTTCCGAGCTTCCACCATCCCCGCCGCTCTCAGCATTGGAGATCGTCCTACATACACCATGTGGCTCACAGATCAGCAGAGTAAGTATCGCAGCATAGCTCAAGCCTGCTCAGAGGGACTCTGTGACTCAACAACCTCGTTCCCGGCTTCGCTTCACCAACAGAGATTGGCGCTGGACTGGTGTCTTTTGGCACCTTCTTCATCTTTGCCGGCATCCTCCTCTTCTTCGACGCTGCGCTGCTTGCGCTCGGCAACGTCCTCTTCACCGCCGGAATCGCACTCTTGATCGGCCCACAAAAGACATTCTACTTCTTTGCGAGGAAACAAAAGATCCGAGGCACGATCTGCTTCTTCACCGGAATGATCCTCGTATTCTGCAAGTGGGCCGTGATTGGAATGCTGGTGGAAGGATTTGGCTTCCTCAACCTGTTCGGGTAAGTCGGCGACTCGCATCGACGTCGCTCCGACCCTGAAAGAGCTTGCTGACCAGGCTGCTTTGTCTTCTCTTTCTCGCTTTGGTCCTTCCTACAGAGACTTCTTCCCAGTCATCCTCAACTTCCTTCGGCAGCTTCCCATCATTGGCAACGTGTTATCGTTGCCAGGTGTGGCCAACGTGAGTAGCTCAATCGGGCGACACGCTGTAAGGGGAACTTCTCGACTGACTCGATTCCATCATCTTCTCCCTCTGCTCCATCTTGACAACAACAGGTGCTGGACCGACTCGCAGGAGCTCGTCAATCGGCCGTCTGATCCGGCTCGCACCCGGATCAATCAAGTCAAACGCACCGCACAGTGCGAACAACCAGAGCTTCTTCAGGCTTGTGTACTACCATGCGTTCAATCTTTGTAGGAAGTCGCGAGAAATGCCAAAACACAAACAAGCAAAGTAGAGCATCGAGTGCGTGGCAATGGACGCACTGCGAAAAGCGCGAAACATGCCGACAATCTGCCTTGTGACAGATTGAGAAGTGAGCATCTGCCAGCTTCATTGCGACGTGTGCATGGACGACCGAGGTCTCCCTGAAGAGCCGGCAAGATCGTTTGTGGGTGTGTGTTGAACTCGCTTTTGAATTGGAACGAAACGCGTCTTTGGGCTGGCGGCAAGCTTGCTTCGCACCGTTTTCCCGCAACCCGAAATTGGATTCTTCGTCCCATTCCAACCTTGATTCTCCACTCCATCACCGTCGTTTCGGACTCGCATCACTTCCTCTCCGCGACTCACGCACTTGCCCGCTCAGCTCAACTCTTCTTGAACAGCATCGATCTCGTATTCGTCACCAACATCATCCATCTTCGAGCCCGGACATCGCCAACAGCATTGTGAGCGCCGCTCATCACCGTTCACAGGAGCATCCTCGTCGCATCGGCTCAGAGACTCATGCCGTCGAGACTGCTCTGAAGCGATCGTACATATCTCGTGTCTACTGCCGTGGTCCAGAATGGCATCATCGCCAGCTGCAGGCAGCTCGCACCTGCCACGTACGCACTCTAACGATGCCGCAACTCCAGGTGCACACTCCAGAGAGCGATCCAACTCATCTGTACCGCTCGCCAAGCGATTCAAGTCCGACCATGCTGACGCCTCTGCCGCAGGCCCGTCCATCAACGGCGCTTCCAACGGTCAAGATGTGGGCACAGCACAGGCTTCGGCCGGGACCAGACCTGCTGCCGCTGCGAATCCCGCGCCGGAGCAAAAGGACAACTTTGACAGTCTCGTCGACGTCATGGGCGCTTCCGGTGTCGACCTGCAAGCCGAAGAAGAAGCCATCCAGCGTCGAGAGCTTATGCAACGATCTCAAGGCGCGCAACACCACGCAGCACGACCCGACGACGACGACCTCTTCCTGCAGATGTATCCTCTCGCGTTAAAGGTGCACACCCTAGCGCAAGAGCATGGGCTGAGCGTCGACGCGGCCGTGCTCAACTATCTCTCCCTCGCTGCGAGGACGCGGTTGAAGAACGTGCTCGAAAACATGATCGCCTCGTCCCGGCATCGCAGCTGGTCGTCGCACCAACACCCGCCACCTCTTTTCCCGTCGACGTCGCAGCCCATGTATCACGAGCAGATCCTCAGCGACCCGGTGAAGCAGCTTGCGGCGCTCGAAAAGGCCGAGAGGGGAGACGAGGCGCGGCGGCGACGCGAGCGTCTTGCGCGAGATGAAGAGAGCTCCGCTCTCGCAGCCGGCGGTGGCGACGCGGACATGGACATGGATGACCCGACGGGTGCCAAGGGGGACGGTCGGAAGAGGCCCAAGAAGATCGGTCCCGGTGTGGCGGCGAGGAACATGTCCGAGGATGTGCGCAAACGGTTAGCTGACAGCACGGCGATGCGAAACTTGGGCGGTGGGTCGGCAAAGTATTCGTGGCTGTCTGGCGGATCGACGTTCCCGAGCTCGTTCAGCCCGTTGGGTGGGAAGAAGGGAAAGGCGGATGGAGAGGATGGGAAGTCGGCCAGTCGGTTGCCCAAACCGAAGTTTGCACCGCAGCCAACTGTGTCTGATTGGAGCGGGGTCAGTGCAGGCGACGCGTCTGCTGGCGGTGCGGGGTCAGCTTCAACGGGCGCGTGGGGTGACGTGGCGGCGAGACAGGCGGCAAAGGAGGAAGAAGAAAGGCAGGCCAGGCTCAAGGTCACCCTACGAGACGCACTGTTTGCGTTGGAGTACGAGAGAAGGGCGGGTGCAGGATATGGGAGCGGCGAAACGCTGCTGTATCGGTTGCGCGCTGGTGGCGAGCAGATGCTCAAAGCCAAAGAGACGTGATCGCGAAGAAGACCAATCCAAACGTTCAATCACTCTTGCTCATTGGCGCTGCCGTTCAAGACCGTGATGCACGTGCTTTCCGCCTTGTGACTGTGTCTGTCCGCGTGCGCTCCCTTCAGATCGCAGACCGCAGACCATCGGAATAGCTGAACAGAAGGCGACGCCAAAATGCATTTACGATCCACGACTCTACAAGGTCTAAGGCGTCTAGAGTAAGAGAGCGGGCGGAACACGCTCAGGGTATAGTGGCGCACGCTCGTGAAAGATGGCTGCGCTCAAAAAAAGGCGAAGCTTCGTGAATGACGATGGCGGGCCAGATCACTCAGCTTTTGGGAGGACGGCATTTGCGATGAGGTCCTGCAGCATCTTCAGCAGCGCAGGATTCCTCTGGTTGATCGGGCGTGCCTCTTCGATCCGGCGAGACTCTTCGACTCGGCGCAAAGCTTTGGCATAGTTTGATCTTGCGGCTCGGCGTATCTCTCTGAGCTGATGCCTTCGTTTTTCGTTTTCCGCGCGTTTGACCTCGAGCTCTGTTTGAATCTGCGCAGCCTGAGTGAAGGCGGAAGTATTCTTGGCGAATTGACTGAAGCCCAGATGAGGCTGTGCAGCTTTGCTGGTGTCATGAGGTTTACCGGCGGCCTCAGCGGACTGGATGGAATGGTGTGCAGCATGTCCAGGCCGAGGGATGTTGCTCGTCTTGCTGGGCTGAAGGACGTTTCGGACGGCCTGGCGATCTCGAAAGATTTCGTAAAGGTCCCTTTGTGGCCGCGACTGCGCATCGGGCTGCTTTGCTTGGACGTCAGGTTTCCTCGCTATGACCTCGAGCTCTTGCGTCTCGAAGTCAGGGTGGAAGCCATAGCATGTTACAGTCGTCTTTTGCGTAGTCACGACAGCAGGCCCAGCGTCAGTCGTACGAGCACGCTTGGCAGAACGAGTATCGGAAGGCTCGCCGCGGTGGTTCGAGGTTTCTTGAGGAGATTTGGACGCGTTCAAAGGTTGTGGGCGAATGTTCCGATACGTCGAGGTCGTTTGTGTTAACGAAGGTGCCGTAGTCGGCCAAGATTTCTCTGAAGCACGCGTTGGGGCCGCGCCGCTCTTGCTCGTAATGTAGGCTGGTGTAGGCTGGCTGCTTGCGATGGGCTTCAGACTTCGGAGGTGAAGTTGCTTTTGATGCTTGACCTGCTATCTCGCGTGAAGCCACGACTGTACGTGAATCACGCTTGGAAGCCTGGCTGCGTTCGCCCAGAATTCGAGCACATCGGTGGCGATGAGCCTCAGCCTGCAGCGCGCCTGTGGCGAGACGCAGAATTTCCTGCTTCTCTACATCTCCTGCGCCCCGAACTTCCGCCTGGATCAAAGATTCGAGGTACGTGTCTGAGGGCTCCAGGAGTCCTGGATCGCGTGCAAGGGCCCCCGTGCTGCGCATCTTAGCTATCTTCTTCAACTTCCTTCGAATCTCGGGCAGACTGCGTACTGGAAGCTGCAGCTGCAATGCCATGCGATTGAAGTCGAGGAACACGTGAAGCCAGTTGATTTTACCCTGATCCTGGCGAAGTTCGTCCTTGCTGCTCTCAGCCGCCGCGATGTTGCCGCGCGTGGATGAGAGTGAAGCGCCAAGGGACTGTGCGCTAGAATGTGAAGGCACTGTCGTGCGCGCCGATCTCGACGATGATGATGGCATCTGCTGTGGTTTTGGTCCGGCAGGCACTGGCTGCGAGGGTGCATGCGGTCGAGATGTGGGGTCCAAATGCGGTGTCTGAGATGGACCGGCCGCTGGGCCCTTGACTTCAGATGCGACTAAGTGGCGTCGTACGATGTCTATTTTGATCGCATCGTTGGCGAAGACGATCGAATGGACGAGAGAGGGGTAGAAATCATCTGTTGTTTGGACGGTAGCCCCATCGTAGAACACGCTTTTGCCTGCCTCAAGAGTTTTGAGGATCTCTGTCCATTTGCTCTGATAGGCATGCAGATCACGTTCCGAGACACCGAACTGCATGCAGATGCGGCTGAAGTCGTCTCTGAGCCACTGCCAGTTGATAGCGCTCGAATTCAGGCTTATCCGAGGAAGGTTGCTGGCGATTGGCGGTGCGTGGAGGCTTCCGGATGAACTTGAAGACCGAAGAGACTGGGTGCGGGAGTCGGATGACATCGATAGGAGCGGTGGGAGCGATGATGATGATGGGAACGACGGCTGATGTCCTTTCGACGGAGCGTCGACTGGCTGCAAAGAGTTGTCAAGTCGCGTCGATGTCAGCGACCGGGATGCTTTTGACGAAGCTGGTTGTGACTGCAAAAGTGCGTCATGACGCGATACTGGGAGTGATGGCGATGCTTGGATCGGATTTGCAGTTGCGTTCTTTCGTGACGATAGAAGCGGCGACGATGCGCTTTGGGGTAACGATGCTGGTTGCAGACGTGCGTTTGATCGCGACGCGAGCCCGGAAAGAGTATCTTGTTGCTTGGTCCGCTCGGCAGGATGAATCGCGTCGGAAGAGGCACCTTTCGCGATAGACATTACGTCCGTCGCGGCGTCTGAAAGTGGCTCTTGGTGCCCGAGTGAGTTCTGCTGATGATTGCTCATCGTTCTAGGATCGCATGTCTACAGTGGGGGAGGAGGGAGGGAATGATGCATGAGGTTGGCTGTCAAGTGACGTGTGAAACTTAATTTGGCTTTACCCGACGCACTGACCTTGCCAAATTGGACAGATCAACACTTTTTGGTTCGACTTTCTTCTCGACGCGCTTTGTCGTTGCACCACACCATCACCCGCTGACCTCTGCACCACCTTTCCTCCTAGCAACTCGTGCCATATCAAGAACAGTAGTGGCTTGCGAGATCAGCATGCTCTTTCCATAATTTTCGACTGTTTCTCCGACTCGTGTCTCGTCGCAAGCTGACATGCCGCCCTCATCCCTCGTCGCTTTCTTGCGGCGCGTCTGCTTCGATGACTACGGCTATACCTTTGCTTTCCCAGCCTTGACTATATCGACCCTTGCGCTCTCTCAGGCCGTCATCAGACGCATCAGCTTCACCGAAATCGACTTCCAGACCTACATTGCACAGGCTGCTCTCTTCCTCGATGGCGAACGTGATTACGCGAAGATCGACCCAAAGGGCGGGAGCGGACCCTGTGTCTACCCAGCCGTCCACCTCTACATCTACTCATTCTTCAATTGGCTCACAGATGGAGGCGCCAACATTCTGCCGGCTCAGAACGTATTTGCGGGGCTCCTGACGGCGATAAACCTTATCGCTGCCCTCCTTTACCGACAAGCAGGCATGCCTCCAATCACCGTTCTGCCGCTGATTCTGTCAAAGCGCATCTATTCCATCTTCCTGCTTCGGATGTTCAACGACCCCTTCGCTATCTTCCTCGTCTATCTTGCTCTCTTCGCAGCAGTCAACACCAAGTGGAAGCTATCGGCCCTCCTCTTCAGCCTTGGATTGGGCGTCAAGATGAACGTCCTCCTCTTCCTGCCCGGGGTCGCCGCAACTGCCTTCTACTACAGAGGCGTAAAGGGCGCGATCGCGTACATGACGATCGTCGTCTTGGTTCAAGCGTTGGTTTCCCTACCGTTCACTTTGCAAGATCCGCATGCATACCTCAAGGGGGCTTTTGACTTCTCGAGAGCCTTTCTCTACGTCTGGACTGTCAATTGGCGATTCGTTCCCGAGGCTACCTTCCTGTCCCAGCATTTTGCTAAGGGTCTCCTCGCAACTCACGCCCTCCTTCTCGCGCTTTTTAGCCTGTTCCGCTGGACATCGATCGGCTCGCAAGGACCTCAGTGGATTGTGCAGAACCTGTCCAACAAAGCTCGAAAACTCAGCCTAGTAGACAAGCGCGCGATCCTCTGTTGCGCATTCAGCGCCAACGTGATCGGCTTACTTTGCTCTCGAAGCTTACATTACCAGTTCTATTCGTGGTACTTCCATCAAGTGCCCTTGCTCTTGTGGTTCTCCAAGCTGCCGGTATTCATCAAGCTCCTTGTGCCGGTCGCCCTCGAATGGTGCTGGAATGTCTTCCCTTCCACGAAGGAGTCGTCGCAGGTGCTCCTCGCCAGCCACGTCGTTCTCGTTTTTGGCTGTTACACTCTCCCTGGCCCGGTCGCAGATCGGCAAGTGGCAACACCAGAGCTTCACGACGAGGAATACGAGGAAGACGAGGAAGAGGACGAGGTCGACAACTTGCTGTCGACCGATGGTCTTCGCGCAAGCCGCAAGGAGGCATTCGATGCAGACCGAGAGACAGAGTCCGACGACGAGGACAAAGCAACAAAACGAGAGGTAGCTCTACAGCGCATCGCCCAAGCCCGGCAGGCCAAGGCGGAGAAAGAGGCAAAGCTGCGAAAAGCCTTCCGACGCCGCATCGCGACCCGGCGTCGTGTATTGGCGCTTCTCGGCAGAGCCTCGCTTGTCCTCCGTCCAGTTCTCGTTCTTCTCAGCGTGGCGCTCATCTTCGTCGTGCCACATCCGCGATCGCCGGTGTCCAAGGGCACCTACGTCGACGAAAATGCCCTTCAACCTGGTCAAGCACGCGTTTATTGGGACTACTTTGACGTCACGTACGCCGATATGCTCTCTGAAAAGGTGTCCCTCTTAGACGACGCCTCCGGTGCGGAGCGTGCCGACTTCGTCTTTTCCGAGCTCCACTCATACGGTCTCGAGACGAATCGCCAAAATTATCGTCACGATGCACCACTACAAAATCGCGACTTGGTGCTATCCGGTACAAACGTCTATGCCAGGTCGGCAACACCGCGAATCGATGGCCGCGAAGCTATCATCCTCACTGCAAGCTGGCGCAGCCGGTGGCAAGGCGAAAACGACCCCTTTGGACCTGCTGATAACACCACTGATGCGCAGAGCACCGACTCTCGTCGGCGGACCAACGTACGTGGTGTCGCTTCTCTCCTCGTTCTTGCTCGCTACCTGTCCACGCAGGCCCATTTGAGTAAGGATCTCATCTTTGTCATCAGCGACGGCTACCTCGAAGGCATCCACGCATGGTCTTCGGCCTACTTCGGCAGCGTTCCCGACGGGCTCAAAGTCGATCCAGTAGCGGCAGGAGGTTCGCAGGTGTGGAACGCCATCTCCATCGACTATCCCGCTGACTCTTTCTCTTCTCTAGAAGTCCAGTACGAAGGCTTTGATGGTCAATTGCCGAATATGGACGTTGTCAACACGGTCGTACGCATCGCCGATAGCGTGGCTGGAGGTATGCCCGTCACCTTCGGTCAAAAGTCGGCCCAATCACTACTGAAAGTGCCAGTGCAGAGGCTAGCTCAGCGATGGGGCGTCAAGCTGCGTCCAGACGTCGAGTACGAACTCGTCAACTACGAGAACGGTGTTCGCGGTTCGTTGCGACAGGTGGGCTTCGGCGTGCCCGGACGAGCCAGTGGCCCACACGGCTTCTTCCAAAGACACCACGTCGACGCAGTCACACTCTACGCAGTCCCCGCAACAGGGCCATACGGGTTTTTCCACATGGGCAGACTCATCGAATCTTTCGTGCGCTCCATGTCGAATCTGCTGGAGAGACTCCATCATTCGAAATTCTTCTACCTCCTTCTCAATCCGCGTCGATTCGTTCCGATTGGCACGGCGATCCTGATTCCACTCTTTCTGTCGATCGCGCTGACCATCGGTGGCATGGCACTCTGGTTCTCGGAAGAGGAAATCTCAAGGCGGGAGCGCGAAGCTGTCCTTTCGGGGCTCGATCAACGGCTTAGCAAGGAGGCGGACGTTCCGCCGGAGGCGCCAACGATGGCTTGGTATCGCGAGAAGGCGGTGGGGCTGCACCTTGCGGTTGTAGAAGGAGAAGACAATGTGCAGGGTAGGATAGACGGCAATGCCGACAGGCTGGGGGAATCGATGAGGCCGATCGCAACGACGCTCGCGTGCGTCGCTTCGACTGTCCTGGGAGGAGCAGTGGTGCTGTGGCACGGCGACGACTTGCTCGAAAAGCAAACAGAGAACCCAATGATGGTAAGTTCGGGTCAACATTCTCGTCGATATAAGATCCGAGCCAGCGAGGCTGACCAAATCTTCTTCTTCTGATTGATTTTCACCTGTAGCCTGCTTTTGCGGCACGGGCAGTCCTGCTAGCTTTCCCACTCATCGTGGCGCTGATTCTCCGCTCTCGTTGCACCACGCAGCGTGCGCGTCGGGTCGGCTCGCTTCTGATCGCATTTGCCTATCTGCAAGCCGGCATGCTAGTGGCAGTCTTGAGCGTGTTGAATTTTGCTCTTGCTGCTTTCCTCGCCATCTTGACGTATGCTGCGCTCAGAATTGCGTCCGGCAGGCCATCTCCATCGCCAGCTTCCACCACGGACGCTCTCTCGCCGGTTCGCCTCGTTCGGGGTGCAGCGACGCTGCTCTTCAGTCCCGTCCTCTGGTCAGCGGTCCTGCATTCTTCCTTCGGCGTCGAAGCGATTAGAAACGAGGTGGCCGCGCTTGCAACACACTGGAAGCTGTTCGGATCGGCCACTGTGCCAATACTTTGCGTCGCCTACCTGCCCATCATCTGGCAGGCACAGCTGGGTGCCTTGCTCCGCGCGTGAACACGATCGCGCTTGTCCCTCCGCCAATGTGATCTTCATGGAACCCGTTGCTTGTCGCCTGAAACACGCCCCCATACCTATGTGAGAAGGCTGTGTCGGTCCACTGAGACATAGCTTCATCATCTGCCTACCGATCCATCACTGTCAGGATCTCCTTCGAGCCCTGTTCACTTGCCGACTTCCTGCAACAGTGCCGTTCGCAACCTGCCCGCTACCCTCCAGCGGTGATCATCCCAGGAGAAAGCGGGCTCGACCGGGAGGCCGCAAGGCTGCCTGTCGGCTCTCGCTCACGGCATCTTGACATCCTTGCGTTACTGTCAGTGGCAAGGTGGTGACCAGAGCCGCGACGATGGTGACGATGCCTCTATTCGAGGTCGATACAGCTACGTGCATGGAACTTGTGGTTGCACGATGGGCTGCGTGACATCAAAGATGGCAAGACAAAGTCACCTCAAGTTTAGCTTTTTGGCTGCATTCAAGGTAACCCACCCCAGACTTTCCAGAATTTGACTTCGACCGCGAAAGGTGATTCGAGTTTCACAAAAGACAATTTTCACGCGTCCGTGTGGGCATTGGAAACAGATGTTTTTCGTGACCCCAATCTCCGAAGCATGTAATCCACCAATTGTCCGGTTTGTGACTAAATTCGATCAAATATGTGTGGGTCACCATCTTGCGAAGCATGTTTTGGGGTCAGGCTGGACCAATAGATTGCAAATAGACAAATCTAACGTTTGTCGTCAACGACCTCCTTATTTATCACAAATCATTTGTTTACGTGATCGTCTGCTGAAAATATCACTCTTCTGGGGCGTCAAAAGGGCAAAATTGTGGCAACAAAACGAAGTGTGGTGCCATTGCTTCACGGAGAAATTTGATGTTGCAGACAAATTGAAATGCGCCGCAAAAGTTCTGAAAGAAGTTCCGACAATGCAAACGATCTCATGGATGCGTGTCCGGTGCCTGAACATCTGCGCCTGAGCGAGTCTGCATTTAGCGTGATGGCTACCCTATCTGCGGAATGAACGCAGAGCGAAAGGGATGCGGTTCGGTCGGGGATGGGAGCATGAAATGAGCATGTCGAGAGCCGTCGTGACGGAGGGACGACAGCTGCCAAGGACAGCCGGGTCAGAGATAGTGAGGCTAAGTGTGGACAGTCCGGTTCAGCGCCCCGCTCTTCGACCCTGTTGATCAAACATATGGCAGAAGGTCAGCACTGGACGAGCACGTCGTCTACGGCCCCATCGCTTTCATGGCCCGAAAGAGGTTTGATGGGACGGTCGAAGTCGACAGCGAGGGGTTCGCAGCACTGCAGGGTCCAGCGCCGACTCATCGGTGTGACAGCGTCAAGTGACGAGCAATGAGAAGGTCACAAGACTCGAATTATGAGCAAGGTCTGCGACTAGGCACAGCCTGGACGAAACGAGCTTCCACCTCAGGCGGAACTGCAGTAATGGGTTCTTCGGTCTTGTGGCAACGATGCCTTCGTATCGATGCGGTGACGTGAACACATCAACGCAAAGTGTGACGTTGTCACTTTCCTAACTCAGCAAGTTTCATTTTCCCAGACTTGTGTCAAGCCTTCCTTGAGAGCGAACGATCGCCGCTGAACAGCTCTGATCTGAAGCTGCTATTGACATGGGCCGTAACTAGAATGTGAAGTGGCAGCTTTACGCAGACCGTCATAGGGTCGCCATGGTGATGTTTCCGCCACAAGGAGGATCTGTTTGCAAGGCGAGTGAATTGGAACTGGAGACCTAACAATATCGATGTTGCGTCACGTGTTAGGAAGACTCGGTGCCAATTTTGCACGGTTCGCATTCGAGAATCCATCGAGCTGCTTACATCTTCTCCACCCTGACATCCACCACCATCACACCAAAGCAAGGGCATTCCATCCGCAGACGCCCACTCGCAGACTCAGATCAATTCGCCGGAAAGTACGAACAGTCTTGGCTGCCGCACCCCGCGTCAAGAGCTTCAACTCCTCTATCAAAGCAAAGCAGGTCCGTGCAAAGATGGCGACTGCCAATGTGTCCGCTGCGGCGGTGCCTGGAAGCGGCCCGGTCACAATGGACGGCTCTGCTTCCGGAGCTTCTCGCGAGGCTAGGATCGCCACCCACTCCCACATCAAAGGTCTCGGTCTCAGCGACGACGGCACTGCGCTGCCGAGTGCGCAAGGTTTCGTTGGTCAGAAAGCAGCACGAGAGGTAAGACGGCATCCACATTCAGAATCGGGCAGAGGTGCTGGCAGATGGAGGACAACAGATTACTGACCACCCTCATCTCTTTCGCCTCCTTCGAAAACGTGCACAGGCTTGCGGCCTCGTTCTCGACCTGATTCGCATCAAGAAGTTCGCCGGCAAAGCTCTGCTCCTCGCCGGAGGTCCAGGCACGGGCAAGACCGCCCTCGCCCTGGCCGTCTCGCAAGAGCTCGGCCACAAAGTGCCATTCTGTCCCATGGTGGGATCTGAAGTCTATAGCTCGGAAGTCAAGAAGACCGAAGTATTGATGGAGAACTTCCGTAGAGCCATCGGGCTGCGAGTGCGCGAAACGAAAGAGGTGTACGAGGGAGAGATCACAGAGCTGACACCGACCGAAGCCGAGAACCCTCTGTCCGGGTACGGCAAGACCATCGCACACGTCGTGATTGCCCTCAAGACCGTCAAGGGCACCAAGCAGCTGCGACTGGACCCCAGCATCTACGAAAGCATCATGAAAGAGCGCATCAGCGTCGGCGACGTTATCTACATCGAGGCCAACACCGGCGCCGTCAAGCGGGTGGGAAGGAGCGACGCGTACGCGACCGAGTTCGACCTCGAGGCTGAGGAGTACGTTCCGTTGCCAAAGGGCGAAGTGCACAAGCGCAAGGAGGTGGTGCAAGATGTGACGCTGCACGATTTGGACATGGCGAACGCGAAACCGCAGGGAGGACAGGACATCATGAGCGTGGTGGGCCAGCTTGTCAAGGGACGAAGGACGGAAGTCACCGACAAGCTGCGAGGCGAGATCAACCGGGTGGTCGACAAGTACATCGAGCAGGGCATTGCCGAGCTTGTTCCTGGTGTGCTTTTCATCGACGAAGTGCACATGCTCGACATGGAGTGCTTCACCTATCTCAACCGAGCGCTGGAGTCGACGATCAGCCCGCACGTGATCCTCGCCACCAACCGCGGACAGTGCATGGTGCGAGGCACCGAGTACGAGGGTCCAGCATCTGGCACGGGCATCGTCGCTCCTCACGGCATTCCACTGGACCTCTTGGACCGGTGCATGATCGTGCGCACCATGCCCTACGAGAAGGACGAGATCAGGGAGGTGCTACGACTACGAACCAAGGTCGAGGGTCATCTCATCGCCGAGGACGCTCTGGAGCAGCTCACGGAAGAAGGCGTTCGCAGCTCGTTGCGTTTCGCGTTGCAGCTTCTGAGCCCTGCCTCGATCCTGGCCAAGATTGCTGGTCGATCTGAAATCACCACCAAGGAGATCGCGGAAGGCAACGAGCTCTTCATGGACGCACGTCGCTCGGCCAAGGTGCTCATGTCGGTTGGCGAGGCCCCACAAGCCGTGCCGATGGAGACCTCTTAGGTTCGGAGATGGGCCGCACATCTTCGCTCAGTGTACTTGTACAAACGCAAAACAGATTCAAGTTGATCTCTCGAGCACAAGACTTGAATGGAGCGCAGACCGCACGGATGAACAATGAGACTCTTGATGAGATGGCTTCGACGTGCGATACTTTTACAAAGAGGACCATGCTGCGTACAACACTGCCGAAAACGCTCTGAGTTCCTTGGAGTCTGCCAGAGTCTCGATGTACTCGTTGGGCACGCCACGAATGGCCATCTGACTCTGCCGCGAGACCAGAGGGAAGAGAGAGGCCAAGCGGATCCTCTTGCCGTGTTGCATCTCGTCGGTGATCTCCTGGAAGCGCGACTCGAGAGCAGACACGGGCTCGACCTGGATGGAAGCGTCGATCCTGCCCGACTGTTGAATACCGAAAGTGGGATTGAGACTGTCGAAGAAGGTCTCGAAGACGCGGTCGATGCATAGAGCGAGGATGGAGCCAAAGTCTCGGGACTCGATAATGTCCTTTGTCTCGTCGAGGAGAGCACGCAACTTGTGGTTGGTCTGGAGAGAATAGTGAGCCTCGTCTGCATCGAGTGCGCCTGCGCCAACAAGAACGTCAACCTCTTGATCGATAGAGTTGGGGAAGAGGACGTCCAAGAAGTTGGAGCGCTTCCAAGACGGTTGCTCGTCGAGAGAGGTGGAGGCATTGGCAGAGTCATGCTCAATGATGTAGCGCGCATCGTTGAGAAGTGCTCTGAGGTCCGCCATGGAGAGCTGTGCTTTGACCGAGAGCGGGGAGAAGGTCTTTTCGATGGCAGTCGAGACACGATCGGACAAATGATCCCAGCCCTGATGGAGAAACCACCAACTGAAGGTGAGATAGAGGCGTTCGGTGTCGTGATCGAGGCCGCGGGCAGGATTGGACGAGAAAGCTTGCGCGCTCTCTGGGTCGTCAGATTCGCGAGCCAAAGCTTCGACGGAGGTGAGGTAGGCGAACCTGCCGATAAGGTTGAGCTGCATATGAGTCTGAAGGGTCAAGAGGACGACACAGTAGAGCGAGGTGATGGTGCGAGTGAAGGCGGTGAGCTTGAGATCGTTCCAAAGTCGTAGTTTGGACTGTCGGTCTGCGAGGATCTTGTTGCGTTGCTCTTGTGCGTCCGTATGTGAGGGTTCTGCCTTGACTTGAATGGGTGCATCCTGGATCGCTTCGGTCTGAACGACGGATTCCACCGGTTCCGAAGCTGCGTGCGGTGTCGAGTTGGCCTCCATCGCTTCGGCAGTATCTGCTTCTTTCGGTCCGTCGACAATCACGGCGTCGGTCTGACTGGTGTTGGCCTCAGCGTGTGATGTCGTCCCGGTTCCATTCGCGACAAGGACAGGCTGAGGAACAGATGCATCAGGGTTACCGGGAACGAACGATTTCGCCAAAGGATTGAGCTGTGGTGATGGTGCGTCAATCGGTCCGATGGCCACGGATGCTGGCTCCTGCTCGGTCGGAGAGGCGGCTGTTGCAGTCGAAGCTGCTTGCGAATCATCTTGTGCTGGTTCAGTGTACTGCTGCGAAGAATGAGGTGATTCTGTTGATTCGGAGTGGTTGGAAGTTTGGAGTGCAGGCGGTGCGGGCGCGGGAGCAGGAGCCGCTTGTGTGCGCAAGCTTTCGGTCAGCTGCTCGACATTGTGCTTTGAGAATAGCTGATCGCCTAACGTCGGGAGCAGGGCGAGTACGGTGAAAGTACAATCCTCCTGATTCTGGGCGAACCTCCGACGCAGATTCTCCTTTGCGTTCTTGTCGTTGACCAGCTTCTCCTGTACTTGCTGGAACTTGGAGATGGCATACTGTGAGACGAGATAAGCGCCGCCGACGATGCCACCCGTGACGATGAAGAAATTGGACTTGGATGAGAGATAGTTGGAGGTCTTTCTCCACCAGGTTGTCATGATGATGACATGAAGGGATGTCGCTGGATTGCGTTCTTGAGGCTGATGAGTTGGAAGAGGGATGAGAAAGGAAGAACAGACCATCTTTTGGAATTAGAGCTGCCTGGCTGCTCTGCGCTCCACTCCAGTCAAAGTGGTTTTCGTACGGAATCCTTGTCTCAGTCGGGTGAACCGGCTAAGTTGAGTGAGCGGCGAAAGCAAAGAAGGGTTTTGAAAGCGATTTCCTTTTTCTCTCAGAGTCGAATCGACGCGTCTCGCGAGCCAAAGGCGCTGAATCGTGTGGGGTTGGTTGCGTCGTTGGCCGGTCAAAAGCATGTGTTGGAGATGCCAAATTGTCAGATTTGGTTCATGACTGCGAGCCAGTGTTGTTGCTCTTGCATACTAACTCGCTTGCTTGCCGTTCTTCTTCCATCTTCGCTCGACGCCATCTGTCACGCTGATTCACAGCCATCGCTGCGCATAGATACAAGCGACGTGGTCGCTGTTGCTTGCTACTCTCACCAAACATCGACATCAGGGTCCGCCACGGCGCAATCACTTCGACGCACCAGCCACTTTCCTACTTCTAGCAACCATCGATCGTAGCCGATCAGCGCCGCAACCATGAGTAGCGCAGACGTCATAGACGCTCTGTTCGTCAAAACAGTCGACATGGTCCAGTCGCTGCCTAAATCAGGACCAATTCAAACTTCCTACGAGGAAAAGCTGGCGCTTTATAGTCTCTACAAGCAAGCTACCGAGGGCGACGTCTCGTCAAAGCGGCCAGGCATGCTCGACATGCTCGGGAGGGCAAAGTGGGATGCATGGACCAAAGTCAGCGGCTTGCCGCCAAGGGATGCCAAGCAGATGTATGTCGAGTCCATGCTCCGCATTTTGCGACGTTACAGTGACCGACCACAAGCTTCAGCGCTCATTCAAGAACTCGAAAACTTCTCCGGCCAGGTCGCCCAGCGCGTAATGGATGGCTCTCTGGCCCAAGTCGACTCGGATGAAGAGTCTATCACCGATACCGACACAGATGACCAGCAACGTCTCGATCCTACAGGCTTGCATCAGCCCACCTCCGGTCCTTCTCGCCAATCTCAACCTAACCCACCTCGCCATCTAGCTCCCGATGCTCCTTCCGTCACTGGCACAAGCACAGCTGCCACTCGCGGAGGCGGTGGTGCTGCTATCTCCCCCGGTAGAACGCCGATGGCGTCCGAGTCAGAGGACGAGTCTTCCCCAGATGACCGCCTTGGTACTCAGCCTGGCCCCTTCAGGGCGCCCGTTCGCCATCCAAGCTCGCACGCTCCACCTTCGGTTCAGTCGTACCGTCCGCAGCCCAGGGCAGGCTCCATCTCGGCCACAGAGGGGTACAGCAGAGGTCCACCTTCGCGCTCACACGTCTCGACATCGGCTCAGTTCGAACGATCTCGAGGACCGCCATCTTTGCAGGGCGGCTATTCACGTCCTCAGTATGGACCACAGTCGACAGCAGCTTCGGTGGCTGGATCCAACTACCCTCGCCCAGGAGAAGCCGGTCATTACCAGCGCAGCACGTATGCCGCTTCCTCGGTCGGCGGCCGTTCCGTAGGCACACGCACCGGCCCGGTCCCTGTCTACCCACCTCGGCCACCGTCCAATGCAGGCACCGCTCAGCGTCCACCACGCGCCGAAATGGAGACCGCTCTCCAATCCATCCAAGCATCGCTCGCAGCGCTCCACGAACGTCTCAATCGAGTCGAGTCTCGCTCCTCAGCTGGCGGTGCCGATGACCCTCGACGTCCAAACCAGTCGAGTCGCACCTACATCTACAATGCCATCATGAACATCGTCGACGATGTCAAACAACTCATCGGTCTCAATGTCGTCTCGCGCGGTCAACGAACCGAAGCATTGGCGCCCAGCTTCCTTGCCGAGGGTGGTGCAGGCAACAAACGAACCAGTGCCGCCGTCAGTCTGCTCACCTCGCCCGTTCGTATTCTGGTGGCACTTGTCAATCTCAGCGCAAGACTGGCGCTAGACGTCATCAGCCTTGTGCTCGTCTCGAGCTTCTTCTTGTACGGCTTCAAGCGCATCACGGGGAGGGGAGATCCATTGGTCATGATCCGTTTGCTCAAAAGGTTGCAGCAGGCGGTTCTCAGGAGATCGCCAACGGCTAAGAAGCTTGTTGCAGAGGCCGCAAACGCATGAGTCGCCAGAAATAAGACATCTTCACAGCACCGTGCGCTTCATCCATTCAAATGCTTGTGTCAAGTAGGATGAGATTGCAGGGTGTGAGACCAAGATTGAAAGTGACAGTCTAGATCTTGAGAGCGTCCAACTCCTTGAGCAGCTCGGATCTCGAACGCTGCATCTCGAGTGCATCCTGTTGGTTCTCGACCTGCTTGTCCTTCCACCTCCTCATCCTCCACTTGAGACCACGCTCGTTGGTCAGATCCTTGGCCATGAGCAGCTCGATGGGCATGCGGTCGACGTCGTTCCGACTCACACCGTCGGTGAGACGGCCATCGCGCTTGCTCCTGCGTGCATCGAGCCCGCCCTTAGTCGTGGTAGGCGGCAATTCGCCCCAGTTACCTCCGCTGGCAGGGCCCTGTTGTGGGGCAACGTCAAGGTAGTCACGCCACAGGAACGAAAGACCACCCTCGCGACGATGTGCTTCGATGGCGTCGCCGCTGGCCCATTCCGAAGCGGCATCCGTGCGACCGCGAACGGTCTCTGCTGGTGTCGGAGGTTGAGCGATGGGAGGTGGCTTGACGCGAGACTTTTGTGCAAAACCAGCGTAGGTGCCAAAAGCGTCTTCAGGAGCGGCGGAGGGACCGGCATGCTTCTCTGCATCAAGCTGCTTGCGCTCGAGAGTGAGAAGCGCTGCTCGACGTTCGGACTGTGGTGATGTGACGCCTTTGCGCTCCGGCAGCAAAACAGGGTCCTCAGGCCTCCATGGAGCCCACGACTCACCCTCGACGACATTTCGATCGCTCATGGTGGTGTCCAGATGTCTGCGCTTGCCAGGCAGACTTGGCCAGGGAACCTCGACCTTTTCGAAAGCCTTGCCGGTCTCGGAAAACTTCTCGTCGGAGGCTTTGATGGTTGCAAATCGCTTCCACATGTACATGCCCTTGCGTCTGTCGTACTTTGCTGCTGAGCGCGAAAGGCGGACCGCGTACTGATCCGAGCCAGGAATTTTGAGCATGACGTTCGAGTAGTGCACAGGACGAGGGATCTCGGTAGTGTTGGGTCCGTAGCCCTTTTCTGGGTCGAGTGGGTCGACAAAGCGAGGAACAATGTGGCGAAGGACTTTTGGTGCGAGCTTGTTGTTGTCGTCGACGTCTCTGAGCCAGATCCAGTTCTTTTGCCTGTCGATGCTGGTCACAATTCCCTCGCCGCGGATCTTTTCATTCGAGTCGAGACCTTCCTTCTGACCTACTCGGCCACACCTGAGCTTGACATGATCACCCGGAACAATGTTCCAGAAGGGCACGCGATCCTTGGGCTGAACGAACTTGGGACGGTGTGCGGCATGCGAAGGCGCTCTGACGGCGAACTTTGTGCCCTTGATTGGTTTGTTGAGATGGCGCAGTGAGCGCATGACGCCCGAGGTTGTGCTGGTACTCGACATGGCGGGGTCGTCGTAAGTTTGGATCTAGATGGAGAGCAAGGTGGGCGCGATCAACCGCACAGCAAGGATATGGTGTAGTCCTGCCTGGTGGGAAAAGCGACAGCAAGTTTCGCTGTTGACGAGGGCGGTATGCGGTGATACGACAGGAGAGTTGCGAGTGAGATGGAAGAGTGGATCGTGTCCAGATCGTTAGAGCAGGTCGCTTTGCTTAGCCCGACTTCTCAAAATCTTTTCTTCTCAAAGCGACAGGCTGAGATCGAATATTTTAAATCGAAGTTACAAAGGTCTAACAGCGTTTCTTATCTTTTTGAAACTTTCGGCCGTGAACAGTGATCAAGCGACTTTGCTCCCATCAGTCCACGAGAATGACCCCGAAGCGGTCTTGAAAGGTGACACAAGGACGAGCCTGATCATGCGAACCAAGCGAACATGGTGCTGTGGATGGATCTGGCTGTGCTGGGTTTGCCTGAATGAATTCGCCAAGCTTTGTGTGGTACAAGGGTCGAGGTCGCGGTAGGACGCGGTCACATGGACGCGGCTGTGCGCCAAACGAAGTTAGCGGTACCATTGTTGCGTGAGTGCGTTAACTGCCCATTCGCCTCATGCGATCAGTGTGTGCGTCTCATATGAACGCTCGGATAGCCGCTCATGGACAAGGAGAGCATATGGGCACCGGACCATCTTTACCCCGCCGGCTGCCGAGGGTCTGATGTGTCTCAGACTGGTGATTGCGCCCAAACAGCAAAGGGATCGGCGGCTTGACTTTAATTTTGACAGGATTGCCCAAAATCGCCTTTTTTGGAGAGCGCGTTTGGCGTCGTTGATCCTTCATCTTGGCTTGATCTCGCTCCCTCCATCTCTCTTCTCAACCCCACTCCATTCATTCATCGCGGACCTCCCATCACTCTTGCCGACAAAGCCTGCGCGTCATCTGCGCATACGGATCAAGGGGGCTCAAGCGAGTCGACAAGGGAACACACACCAGCTCCTCGTCTGCAGCACCATTGTAGCTCGAACAGAATTCGCCGGTCGGGGCACCCCCTCGTCGTACTGCTGCATACCGCTACTTGACTCGCTCACGCCTCGAACGACGTTTCAGCTTCACCGCTAGACCGGTGTCGGCAGCGTCAATCCTACCTCATGCCGTCAATAGAGGCAAGACTCAAGGCTGCAAATGCCGACCTCGAGCTGGCATCTCCCAAGTCAGATCGCAGGTCCGCCGACGCCGTCTTTCTATCAACCGCCAGCATCACACCTGAGCTCAGCCGCGTCAACTCAACCCCACTCTCATCCGATGCAATAGACTCTCTCGGTCTTCAGACTTCCTCTGACCAAGCAAACGAGCCATCCCCGCAGACCATGGCTCCACCAAAACCTGGTCCCGCAGACACGCTCTATCCCAGTCCTTCCGGCGGCTTCGTCCCTTCGCCAGAGGAGGGGCAAGATTGGAGGCTCAAGTCTCCTCCAGCTGGACGCAACGCCAAGCAATCATCCGCCTCATCTACATCGCCGGCCACATCTTCGCCTTCTTCCAACTCTCGCGCACTTCCCACAGTAGCAGAAGCCAGCTCGCAGCGCCCGCTCCTCAACCCAATAGCTGTTCCGGGCACCTCGACACCCACGCGACCACCGTCTCTGCCATCGTGTCCCGAGACCGCGTCCAAGATCGCCAGCGCCTCCACTGCCACGTCGCCATCCAGACGAAGCTCGCAGGCCTCGAACGCATTCCACTCTCCTGCCCTCCGTCCGGTGTCGACTGCTTCAAGCTCGCGGCATCGGCTGAGCGCTATCTCGCCGCTGACAGAGAGCGCATCAGCGCCATCCGGCAGCGGGGCTGCATCGACGGACAGCGGTGCGACCAACTTGTCGCGCTATTCTACGGCGTCCCAACCTCGTGCTGCCAACTCGGGACTTGGTCACGACGCAAAGTCATCACGTCCGGAATCCACCGTCAGCTTCCAGACAGCCCGAAACGACGACGATGTGGAAGACTCGATACACTCCATCCACGTGCGCGACTTTGCCTTCCCATCCGAGGACCCTCGTCACCACGGACAATTGCTTCCCGAACCACAAGCATCCACTAGTCAAGACGAAATGGACGAGCACGACCACGCCTCAGACGCGGCCGAGGACTTCTACATTGAAGGCGCCGAAGATGAAAATGAATTCGACGGCGACGAGGGCGATCACGCAAACGTGCCAGAAGGCGTATACAAAGTGCTGTACGAGTTCGACCCGGTCTCGGAGCACGAGCTGGCAGTTCAGCCGGGTGATGTGGTGCACGTCGTGGGCTCACTGGAAGGAGGTTGGGCGATCGCAGTCACGAACGGCGATGAGGGCGTCAAGGGTCTTGTGCCAGCCACGTACCTGGAATGGTCCGCTCCGCTGCCAGAATGATGGAGGAATGTTCCTGCGCAAGAGGCAATCACTATACCCTGTTCCACTAAGTCTGTAATTTTGCGCCGAGATGGCCCTTGTACCAATGCACGGATGCGCCTTTGCAGTCCACTTGTCTCAATTGTTCCCGCAGCGCGAAGATTGTGAGCTCTGCAGCGTTGAGACTTGGATCACACTGTCAAACTTTGGCGGACGGAAGAAGGCGCTATCGCGCTTCACGCTCCTCGCCCGGGGTGGTGGACCCTTGATTTTTGGTCGACGATTTCGATGGTGCGTGCGTTATCTTTCACTTGTTCTCACTTCCACCTTGACCTGAACCAACCACACCGTCCCCTGCCGCACGATCTTCATCGGAGACCTTCGGTCACATCATCCCGCACCTCATCGTCATGGTTTCGTATCGGGTGGGCATCCTCACCGTCTCGGACACTGCCTCGTCCGATCCCTCATTGGACCGCTCCGGACCCATCCTCTCCACTCTCCTCACCGAAGCTGGCTTCACCGACATCACCCGCGATGTCTGCCACGACGACCTGCTTTCCATCCGCTCGACAGTACAAGGGATGATCGATCGATCCCATTTCGACCTGGTCATCACCACCGGCGGCACGGGGTTCGGTCTCCGAGACGTAACGCCTGAAGCCCTAACGCCACTGATCAGACGCCAAACACCAGCGCTCACGCACGCACTGACCGCATTCTCCCTGACCAAAACGCCGCTCGCCGCTCTCTCCCGCGGTGTCACTGGGATTCGAAAACGCGAGCACGGAGCAGGAGAGTCGCTCATCGTCGCGCTACCGGGGAGCCCGAAGGCTGTGAAGGAGTGCATGGAGGTGCTTCTCGGCGGGGGGTTGCTAGGGCACGCATTGGAGCTACTCAGCGGCGGGTCCGGGGAGAGGAAACACAAAGAGATGCAAGGCAGTCTACACAGAGCTACCGCTGGGACGGTGGATACTGCGACCGATACCGGCTGTGCTCATCACCACCACCACGGGAAAGGGCTGCACGCCCACTCGGCACCCAAACCACGCACGACCCCCGCCGAACACTCCGAGTTTCGCACCATCGACCCCACGTCCGGGCCGAGTCTACGCCACCGTTCGTCGCCCTATCCGCTGCTTATGCTGGAACAGGCGCTCTCGCTGATCGCAGAGCACACGCCCGCACCCACCCACACAGTGACGCTGCCTGTGGGTACGGAGCTGGTTGGTCACGTGCTGGCGGAAGACGTGTGTGCCACTACCGACCTGCCCCCGGGACCCACGACCAATGTCGATGGATATGCGGTCAATGCTGCCGCCACGCCAGCGGGAGAGTATGACGTGGTGACGCTGCCCACTGTCCAAAGGCGTGGCTTGCAACCAGGTGAAATCATGCGTATCAACACGGGTCAAGGCCTGCCTGCTGGGACGGACGCAGTGGTCATGGTTGAAGATACCGAGCTGGTCTCCGAGGCGAATGGTGAAGAGTTCCGGGTGGCGGTGCTTGCCCAGGTGGATGTGGGGGAGAACGTTCGGGCCAAAGCAAGCGATGTCCAGGCTGGGCAGGTGGTGCTTCGCAAGGGAACAACGATCAGCGCGTTGGGTGGGGAGATTGGTACGCTCGCCTTCCTCGGTCGCTCCTCTGTAACAGTATACCGCAAGCCAAAAGTGGCGATCCTGAGCACGGGGAACGAGCTCATCGACCCCACCTCTTCACCTTCCCCAGCGGGGGCAGAATGGGGATTCACGGTATTTGACGCAAACCGACCTTCCCTTCGCGCAGCCATCACCGGTCTTGGTTTCGACGTACTCGATCTGGGCATTGTCACCGATCACATTCCCACCACCCTCACCGCCCTCCGCCGCGGGCTCTCGGAAGCAGACATCGTCCTCACCACAGGTGGAACGTCCATGGGCGAATCGGACCTGCTCAAGCCACTCATCGAGCGCTCCCTGTCTGGCAAGATCCACTTTGGCCGCGTAGCCATGAAGCCGGGCAAACCGACCACGTTCGCCACCATCGGCGATGACAAGGTCGTCTTCGCTCTGCCGGGGAATCCAGCGTCCGCACTGGTGACATTCTACGTCTTCGTCCTGCCGTGCCTGCGCAAGTGGGCCGGCTACGCGCCAACACGCACGGCGGAGGGCGAGTCGCAGTGGAACCTGCCCAAAGTGGAGGTGGTGTTAGGAGGCGAGATGCGCTTGGATCCCAGACCGGAGTTTCACAGAGTTGTGGTGAGGAGTGAAGGGGACAAGGGTCTGGTGGCGTACAGTACGGGCAGTCAGAGGAGTAGTGGGATGCATAGCATGGCCAGTGCCAATGCGCTGATCGCGCTACCGGCGTTGTCGGCCCCGGGAATGAGGGTGTTGGGCGTGGGGAGCAGGGCGGAGGCCATCTTGCTCGGTCCTGTCATTTGATCTGGAAGCAAACTTCGATCATGCACACCCGCACTTCTGTCTGTTGTCATGCGACATGCGTCAATTGCGTCTTTGTGTCTGCGTTTCAAATGATGGTGTGAATGAGGCGAAAGAGTCTACAAATCGTGAAAGAAGGTGCGCAGCTGGGTGTTGCCCTCGGCGTTGAGGTTGGTTTGGCTCGGGATGATGCCGCTGCTGCTGCTGCTCGTGCTGGAAGCTGTGGTGCGTTGGGATGCTCTCAAGGGCGAACTACCGGCTGACTGGAGTGGGAGGATCCGCGGCCGAATCAACGCGGGTTCTAGCTGTGTCGGGCTCGAGTCCCATGGAAGGGGTTGCGTCTCGTCCGTCTCGGCGTCTCCGCCTGCATAGCTCGAAATGAGATTGGTGACAGTTGTGTCACCACTGTCATCGTCGTCGTCGGAAAGGACGTCTTCCAGGTCCTCGCTTAATCCCTCCCGTCTTGCTTCCGAAGGTTCAGCCTTGACCTTGGACGACGAGACGAACGAGTTGAGGTTGAGCTGCATTCCGTTATTCTGTCGTCGCTCTCCCTTTTTGAGCGCTGCTACGATCTGTCCGAATCGATCTGCACCGCCTGTCAAACTTGGCGCGAGAGAGATCGGGCTGATGGTGGGAAGCGAACGGAGCGGCAGAGTCTGACTAGGGCGTTGGGAGCGAGAGAATGTGGGCGATGCCATGGTGATGTCCTCCTCTTCGTGCTTGATCCGTTGACGCTTTGCGGGAGACGAGGCTCCTCGAAGGTCTGCACGCTGTATTGAGGGTAGGCGGGTAGGCGAGGGTGACGGGGACGAGGGAGCAGACGAGGAGGACGAGGAAGGAAAGACTTTCTGCTGGAGGAGATCTTCATCGTCGGACGGCGGCACCTCTAGTATGGTTGCTTGGAGATCGTCTTCAGGTTGCTGCAGTGCACCGTTTGTTGTCGGTCTGACGGGCGCGTCTAGTTGTTCTTCCTCTTCCTCCTCCCATGGAAGTGGCTGGGTCTCGTCGCGATTTGCATTCACGTCCACTTCGAGGTCGTGTCCGTTGCCCTCTGCTGGCCATGGCAACGGCTGAGTCTCGGACTCTTCCTCCTCTTCTGCCGTCCTCGGCGCGAAAGAGTCGTCAATGACGACACTCTGGCGAAAGGTCGATGGCCCGGCAGTATCGTGTCTAGCCTCTGAGACCGCCCGGCGCTGCCCAGCTGCTTCATCGCCAAGTCGCAACCTCATCGGCTGCAGACTCACCGACCTTTCCGCCAACGATCCACCGCCGAGCTGCGTTTCTAGCGCATAGATCCGTCGGTTTGTCCTCGGAGACCTCAACACTGCCTCGATCTGGCGTGATGCCGCCTGCTTCTGCGGCGAAGAAGCCAGTGCGGCTGCCTCCTTGATCCGATTCTTTCGTGGCGACGCTGCCTTCTGCTGCTCCGCTGCTCTTCCTTTCCTTGGCGACGTAGGCGAGCGAGGTTGCATGCGAGCGTGCGCCTTGGCCACCTGATGCGCCATGTTCGCTTTCTCGGTCTCGAAGATCTCGTCTTTCGATACTCCAGCCAGCCGCTTGAACAAGGCCATCCTCGAATTGTAGTTCTTCTCCCAGGCGGGTGGCGTGAAGTTGGACAGAGACTCCGCCATCAGGGTCGGCTCAAAGGTCGGCGAGGAAGAGGGAGGTTGCTGCTCTACTCGTGCTGGACGTGGTGGTGTGCTTTTGCTTTGAAGGATGCGAGGGTGTGGTTGGCGTCGTGCTTGTACTGACGGTGGTGGCTGCATGGGACGGTGGTTATCTCGACGAACCGGCTCCGGGTCTGATCTGGGAGGAGACGGAGCACGAACAGGTGTTGACGATCTACTGGGGTTGAGTGAGCGCGTGACGCTGCCAAACCGGCCTCGAAGCAGCGAGGCGGCTCGCGCTTCCAGCTCGTCATCCTCCAAAACCGGCAACCCTTTCGCCTCGAGTTCGACACTGGCGGTTCTTCCTCGCGCACGCACGAGACTCGGCGAATCCTGGAATGTGTTCGACCGCGCCAAGTTCGCTGCTGTACCCCTGGGAACTGCTGAAGGGGCCGTGTTGGGCGCAAAGAAGTGCGAAAGCTTCTGCTGCTTGCTCGCAGCTCCGTTTGTCACTGGTGTGCTACGTTTGCCAGCACTTTGCACCGTCAATTTTGGAAGTGAACGTAGCGGAGTGCTCCTTGAACCAGACGGCAGGTTTGTGCGATCGCTCAAGGCGGATCTGGATGCTGATGTCGACCTGATCCATCCTGTAGGCTTGATCGAGCTTGCCGAGGACGAGGAGGAGGACGAGGAAGGCGTAGAGTTGTTGGCGGCGTGCCCTGACGCCGTTTGCCTTGACATCATGCTACCTGCGATGCTGCAGCATTGTTGCCTCGTCAATCTGCAAAGACGGTCGGTGTCAGAGAGCGTGTGTGGGATACTAGAGGAAGGTGTTGGTTCGAGGTCGGAAGGATCCACAGCATGACTGAGCCTAAAACCTTCGCGTGTCGCGCGTTGCTCAGGGTTCGTGACTTTTTGAGGGTCAAAGTGTGGAGGCCTAGTCGATTTTTTCTCAGCTAAAGTGTTAGAGTCTGATCTCACTCCTCTCAAGCTCAAAATCTCCTTCTCACAAGCTGCATTCCTAGACCGTCTCTAGCTTTGTGATGACGCCTGGCCCAAAGCGCAGTCATTCCCGACGCAGCGAGCCGTGTAATATCCTCGTCTGGATCCATCGACTAAGCGGAGACGTTCCATAACTGAGTTCAGCCCCGAGCTCGTGGATAAGGCTGCGAAAAAAGATATGCTTTTGGTGCGAGGGTAGCCGGTGCTCGTGACGATGAACAGCCGAGCAGCGACGTCTAGAGTACAGTTGCGAACGGGGAAGGTGGGCAGAGTTCTTCGCTTGGAAGATTGTCGCTCAGTGCGCAGAGCTCCAGCAGTATTTGAGAGCGCCTGGGATGCGTTCGCCCTTGTCGGCTTGTGTAATAGGTTTGCCTGTACGAAGCAGTCAAAGGAACCAACGTCAGTGATCCATCTCATCTTGCACATCAGCTCTCTGAGTTCCGGGCACTTACCTCTCCAAACGAGCCTTCCCCAAGCCTTGCCATGGTTCCCTCCATCCTTCAACCTGACCTTGGTGACTTCCCAATAGCACAGATGACCCTCGTCCTTGGTCTCCTTGGCGCCCTCTTCGAGCAACTCGGTCACGTGTGCCTTGAGATCCACGTCGTGTTCCACATCCAGACCTTTCGACACCCAGCGGCGCTGTCGGACTCTTGTGCCGACTCCGTCGTTCGGTAGCGCGGACAGCAGCTGGTAGAGGTTCTTGTGAGGTTGAGCCGTTCGTGCGAGCGTAGGTGGCAGATGCTTTTTCGACAGATGCGAGGTCAGGATGTCCGCAGACGAGGATGCCTGAGTGGAGCGCGTGGCTTCCGAGAAGAGCGCTAGTGTCCGTCGAAGCATCTTGAGCGGCGGTGCAGGGTATGATGATGTCGATGAAGGTCGAGGGAGATGGTGTCGAGAAGAAGTGGATTTTGCCAAAAAGTGCCGGCCAGACGTTGCTAACATCTGGGGACTTTTTAGAACGCATCACGTGACGGCTCCAGACCTTCCCCCTGCTTATACTGCTCCTCGTACTTGCTCTCAATCGGCACACAAAGCACACGCTATCAAGGACGGAAGGCAAGCGGAGTACGAAGCAGTCTTACAGGTACAAACATCTCAACGGCGTGACAAAGAGCGAGGCAGGTTACGCGGCACCCGCATTCGCGGCAAGCGCAGCAGCCCCTGCGCCCTTCAACATCATGGCCGCATCCCGTGCCCTCTCGTCACCCGTCGCACCCTCGCCACCCGCGCCTGCTCCCGCACCGGCGTGTCCCTCCTGCAGCAGCTCGCACAGCACCCCCACCACCGCATCTACCTCCTCCGGAGCGATGCCACCACATCCAGCTGCAATGAGCCTCCTGTACGCAGCCATGGTTCGTCCTGTCCCCTGCTCCCTTGCGCGCGAGACAAAGGTGTCCACCAGCTGGTTCTCCTGCTGCTGCACCTGGCCGAGCTGCTGCTTGAGCTCAGCGATGGCGGTCTTGAGGTCTGTTCCTGCAGGCAGGGGGTCGAGGAGCTTCTTGGCGTCGTCCTTGCCCGCTTCACCAGCAAGAGTGTTGCCCGCATTGCTGGCAGAGAGCGCTCCAGGCTCGAGACCAGCTTGCAGTCTCGCGCGCTTGATCGCCTCCTTGCCCTCGGTCCAGCGACGCTCGAGGTCTTCTCGTGCGCGCTTGTTGATGCCGTGCTTGAGCGCAAGCTGCAGCGAATCGACGTGCTTGCGTTCCTCCTCGACACCCTTGGCCTCGTGATGCAGACCCTCGGCCACCTTGGCACTGTCCTCAATCTCGGTCTGGATCTGCTTGAGCAGTCCGTGGGCCTGCGTGAGCTTCTTCTCGGCAGCGGTAATCTCGCTGTCATAGCTGTCCGCGAGGCTGTGCAGCAAGTTGCTCATGAGCGTAACAGCACGGCCGGCGGTGCGTTGACCCGCCTCGGAAGTGTGAAGGGAGGAGGTGGGCAGCATGGGCAAGCCGTCCGCGCCGAGCTCGATACCGGCGGGACCGGTGCGCGAGGGCGAGGATCGGAAGCGCTCATCCTCGATTATGTAGTCTTCCGCGTTCTTGCTCTCCTTGTTGCGGATCTTGGGGTCGGCACCGTGTTCGAGCAACAGTCTGACGAGCCTCTTGGATCGAGCGCGGGCAGCCATGGTGAGTGGCGTCTCGCCCTCATCATCCTGGAAGTTGAGGATGTCGGCCAGCTGGTCTCCGTAGTCTGCGAGGCGGTTGATCATGGTCTCCATGTAGTAGCGTGCAGCGTGCGGCTTGCCTCTGCTGAGAGCGAGGTCGACGACGTGGTGGAAGACGGTGCGGTCGTTCCTGTCAATGTTGAGGATGGACCGGTGAAGCAGCTCGAAGAGTTCGGGGAACTTGCGCAGGTCATAGTTGTTGGAGAACATGGTGGCGCGCATGAGTGCGGTCTGCTGGTTTGTGTTGACGCGGAAGATGTCTGCGCCAGCTGAAAGGAGAAGCTTGACGACACGAATGCGACCCATGGCGCAAGCCCAGTGGAGAGCGGTGTGCTCGTCGTCGTCGATGCTCATGTCCGGGTTGAAGTCGGGCGGAGGGTTGATGAGGAGCGAGGGGACGGTGGTGTTCTCGGTGACAAAATAGTCAAGTATAATGTCGGCGTATCTGGCCTGGTTGTTGGATTCGCGACCATTGAAGCCGGCAGTAGACTGGTTGGCAAAGGCAGCGTTGGCACGGTCAGCAGGCAAAGGGCTGGGTGTGCGAGACGAGCTGCTGATGTCGCTGGGAGACGGGCTCATGCTGCCCTCGGAAGCGTTGTTCTGGGTAGCACCGACTGCCTCGGACTCGGTCTCGATGCTAGTAGCGCGTCGTGAGCGGCCGAGAGCGCCTGCATCGGCGGGCAGAACCTTTTTGGTACGGTTGGAGGTAGAGATGGTGTGCTTGGGAGCGGGAGGCGGCGAGTCGGCAGCTGATGGGACGTAGGAGGTGATAGGCTGGAGAAGACCCTGGATGTTGTAGCGCTCTGCCAACTCGATGGCAATGTCGAGGGGGATCCAAGTGCCCTGGTACTTTCCGTAACCGCCCTGTACCTTTTCGTGGACACCCTTTTGAATCTCTCGCTCGAGCACACGGGTACGCTGCGGCTTGTCGAGACCGACGACCTTGAGGATCTGGGTTGCATTGAGCCAGCTGTCGGAGCGTCTCCTCATGACTGCGACATTGTTGATGATGCACTCATAGACGGGCACGCCCGAGTAGGTGGCCTGTGAGTGCAGATGGCAAGGAGAGGAAGATAGAAGCGAGTCAGTACACTGATGCGTTAATTGAGCGCGAAAGTGATCGCTACTCACCTTGAAGATGGTCTTGTCGCCGCTCATGGTGTCGTCGTGCTGCTGGAGCGCGGGTCAGACTGGATGATGCGCGCGATTCGCAATCGTATGGGCGTGCAGATGGTCGGAACTTGATCGGATGGTGAGGCGATCGCAAAGAAGCACTGCGGGAATGATTGACTGGCTTGTGTGTGCGAGGAAGCTGTTGGGCAAGTGGTAGGTAACCGCTGATCGAGATAATGAGGAAGTGAAGTAGCAGAACGCTTTGTCGGATGAAACGCTGAAGCTGACCTGGAAAGTGTTGGTTGCGTCCTGGCTTGCCCGCTGCGACGGATGAGCTTTGTGTCAGGCTGGAATCTTTGGCTCTGCGCAACTCTGCCTTGCAGCGCTTCGGTCTGAGCTTCTGAACTTGTGAGTGTCCGTGGTGTAAAATGGCTCTTTTCCCTCTCGAGTTTCGTGACGCGACTTTTGGCTCTTCCAGGCGAGGCGGCCGAGTGTTGGTCGCTGAGCCCTTTGAGGTCGCGTTTTCTCAACTAACAGTCCCAATCGATATTACCTAGCCGGCCGACAAGAGGATTCACGTCGAGGCTCGAGAAATTAGACTTTTTAATAGTTGCCCTCTCACGCGAGCAGCCGAGCATTTTTTTGCTTGCAGCTCTCGACTTTTTTCCTTTCTCAGCCAAGGCTGCTCTTTTGTTCAGAAGAAAATTTAGGCTGGCAGTTCAGGGTCGAGTCTCCTCGAGCGGTCACCTGGTCGAGGCTGGACAAGGTTGATTGTTTGATAGGGTGAGATGTCAAACAGGCAGGCAAACGATGCGACATAGGCTCTGGACCATCTCGACCTTCTTACATCCATCAGCTGTTATAGATCACATCACGACAAGGAACTCTCTCCGCAAGTCTAGCCAGAAGCGCAACTCCTCGAACCGACGGAAACCTTTCTCACGGCGCCACCTTTGTTCCCACGCATAGACAAGCTTTTTTGGACTTGCATTCGCAGCTGCCGACTTTGCACGGACGCAGAAGCCCACTTTCCCACCCTCCTCAGCTCTAACTACAGCCTGCGCAATGTCATCGGCTTCATCGGCTGGCTCGGATTCGGAGGACGACCGAATGACCACTCGTTCTGCGCCTGCCACCACCTACCGCCCTATCGCACCGCTTCCACACTCACCCCGTGATACATCGCCATCGGCACGCTCCGCAGCAGCAGACTCGAGCAACCACGCTGAATCATCCATGCATTCCAGACTGCACCAGAGCGACGCTGCGTCCGTAGCCTCGTCCAACTCGAACTCGAACTCCTCGGGAAGCGCCTCTGCAAAGGCAGCTGCGCCTGCTATGCGACACGCCCTCCCACCTAAACCTGTCACTGCCATGCCGGGATCTTCCAACACTGCCGCCAGCTCGTCCTCGTCCGCCGCCATGAACGGTGCCTCCTCGTCTGCGGCAGCCGCAGCCAAAGCCAACAGCGCCAAGCGATCGCGCGTCGACTCCTCCCTCGTCCCCCAGGTTCCCAAGGTCCCCAAAACCGCCACAGAGAAGGAAAACACCCCGCGCCTCATCGTCGTCCTCGAACAAGCCTGTCTTGAGACTTACAAAGTTTCCACGGGCTCCGCCTCCCGAGGTGGTCCCGGCGGCGGCGGACGCAACAACAAGGACGGCGGTGACAAGTACGCCCTTCTCAACTGCGACGATCACCAGCGCGTGCTCGCCAAGATGGGGCGCGACATCGCCGAAGCCCGACCCGACATCACCCACCAGTGCCTGCTCACGCTCCTCGACTCGCCGCTCAACAAGGCCGGTCTGCTCCAGGTGTACATCCACACCGCGAAAGGCGTGCTCATCGAGGTCAACCCGCACGTCCGCATTCCACGCACGTTCAAGAGGTTCTCGGGTCTCATGGTGCAACTTCTGCACAAACTCAGCATCCGATCCGTCGGTGGAAGCGAGAAGCTGTTGAGGGTGATCAAGAATCCGGTGACAGAGCACTTCCCGGCGCGAACACACAAGATCACGCTCTCGTTCGACTCACCCGTGCAGAGACTCAGCGGGTACCTGCCTAGCATTCCTGAGGGCCACAGCATCGCCGTTTTCGTAGGAGCGATGGCACACGGAAAGGATACGTTTGCCGACGGAGTGGTCGACGAGAAGATCAGTATCTCGGAATACTCCTTGAGCGCCAGTGTTGCGTGCGGCAAATTCTGTTGTGCGCTGGAGGACTTCTGGGGTGTCGTATGAGTTCGTCTTCTTGCATGCAATATTTTTCTAAACGATCGCATCGGCGTGTGTGTGTGTGTGTGTGATTCCATCGAGTCTATTGTGGGGGTCAAGTTCTACATGCGTGTCCTCTGAAAGCCTTCCATGTGGGTCGGCAGCACAGCCTGACCGTTCGCCCACGCCTCGACCAACACTCTGGCGATGGCCGTCTGCGGTGGCAGTCTGATCTGCTTCCTCTTCTCCTTGACCTCTGCGTCATCGTTGTGCTCCTTGTCCAGGTTCTCGAGCTCCTGCTTGGTGAAGTGACTCCTCTCCTTGCTCCCGATGACCTCGAGAATCTCCTTCCTCGTATAGAACCGCGCGTCCTCCAACTCGTTATCCAGGTCCAACCGGATATCTTTTTCATTGTCGCTCTTTGCAATGCCGTAAAAGCCCGCCATGAGGTTGGTCGGATACGGCCAGGGTTGGCTGGAATGGTAGATGACCTGGTCCACCTTGATTCCGGATTCCTCCAACACCTCGCGACGGACGGCCTCCTCGAACGATTCGCCCGGCTCGCAGAATCCTGCCAGACACGAGTAGAAGCCCGCCGGCCACTTCTTCTGTCTCCCCAACAACACCTTTTCGCCATCGGGCGAGATGATCGCCATGATAATCACCGGGTCGGTTCGAGGGTAGTGGAAGTTGCTCAGCACTTTCGTCGAGGGACAGACGCCCTTGCCGTCCTCCTCGAACGATGCTGCTCCGCCGGACAAGAACGAGGTAGAGAAGTCGGAACCGGGAGCAGCGTGACCGAGGGAGGAGGAGCATCCGCGCTTGTACCCCGCCCACAGCGAGTACTGCTGACGCGAGCAACCAGGGCAGTACTGGTGTCGCTCGTTCCAGTCGAGTAGCGATTTGGATTGGGCTACGATCGCTGCGTCCTCGACAGGCCAGGTGGCAGCACGGGAGGACGCACGGAGGTCGATAAAGTCGTACTTCTCCTCGTTCTCGAGCTTCTCCAGCAGGGCCTGCATGGGTGACGCTTCGCCGTCTTTGAGGAAGGGCGGGCGGTAGGTAAGGGAGAGTGCGAAGAACGGTGTCCCGGCGGGGGGAGCGTTCGAGTTTGCCGCATCCGAGGTCTTGCTCGTGTCCTTGGCCATCTGACCGGGCAGAGAGGTCTCGCTCAACTTGCTCTCGTCAATGCCCAAGAAGACCAGCGCGAGCCTGCTCGGTCCCACGCCATCCGTAGCGCGGGCAAAGTCCCGGTCGACCTCGCCACCGTTCTTGAGCCCGTACGCCTGGGGACCGAACACAAGCGCATCCCCCTCCTCGGCCTGCGCCCCTCCCGAGGCCTTGACATTCTCCAGAATGTACGGCTTCACCTCGTCCCACCCGAGCGTCGCCAGCAGCCCCTCGTCCTCGCCCGAAGCGTGGCACAAGGGGTTGTTGTTCTTCATCACCACGAAGCGCGTTTCCGGCGATGCGATGGTCGAGTTTAGAAACTCGGTCGAGGTGCGGAGCCATGAGAGACGGTTGAGCTTGGAGCCGGCATAGAAGTTGACGGTTGTAAAGGAGGGGAAGGAGCCCGCTTGGGGGACTGTCGGCGTTTGGGACATCTTGAGGATCGGTCGAGGGATGCGTTGTCTACAAGATGGGGTAGGCGGTGTCGCAAGGAGCGTCGAGACAGAGCGTGCGGTAAGGAGCTTGCTGCGGCCGTGATGGATGGATCGGGCGGCGTTGTAGGTGAGTGTGGGAAGGAGAGTCATACGACTGCTCTCTATGGTAGACCCTCGTTGTATCTCTTCGACGTTGGTAGAAGAAGACGATGTCGTGTGAAGAGGTCAAGATGACCGTGCGAAGATCTCTCTTGCGCCGACGTCACCTAATCTCCTCTCAAAGCGCACCGGCAATACAACTCTGTGTGTCGCCGGCTCATCACGTCACTCTACGCCCCATTTTTGCAAATTTGTTACGCCGACACACTATGCTCGTGAGCTCAGTAATTTCTTGCGGCAGATGACCATCCCTCACAACCTCAAGAACCCTTCATGCACACGGAGACGGACAAACGAGATGACTTGAAAAACCTGAGCTTGCCATTGAAGAGCTGCGTTATCCCTCCGAGCCCATTGCGCTGGGATGGGTTGATCAGAACGAGCGATAGCGTACAGCTGCGAGGGACCGAGCAGGAGCAAGCGACCGACGAGAGTGACCAGCAACAAGGGAGCGTGTGTGTGAATCATTTACAGTAATTGGCCCTCTGGTAGAAGATGTGTAGGTACAGATGCAAGAACAGAGACGAATAGACGCTAAAGGGACGAATGAGAATCTGCAAGATGGAGAGATGACGTGCGACATGTGGGCATCCTCCATTACTTCCCAAGCCTGAAAGGAGTGTAGGTGATTAGAGATCCAAGTGGCGAGGAAGGGCAAGGGAGGAAGAGCGCTTTTGTGGGCGTTCAACGTGTGCTGAACGCTGGTATTTTGTCAGCTTGAAGCGACACGATTAGTCGTCGAACGACATCTTCTTGCCGGCGAACTCAGCGGCGCCGCCAGTTCGTGCGCTGCCGCCGCGGGCACCCCATCCGCCTCCGCGGGGGATGCCACGGAACGAGCCATCGTGACCACCACGGCCACCACGTCCACCGCCGCGTCCACCGCCACGACCGCCACGGCCGCCGTCGCGACCACCGAAGCCACCGCGTCCACCGCCGCGTCCGCCACCGAATCCGCCACCGCGGCCACCACGGCCACCGGCACCGCCATCAGGGCGGTCTCTTGGCGTGGAGAAGTCGAGACGAAGAGGACGGCCAGCAAGCTCTTGACCGGTCATGGCGTCGATAGCAGCCTGTGCGGACTCCTGAGCGGCAAACTCGACGTAACCGAAACCCTTGGGGCGGCCCGAGTCGGGGTCCTTGGGGAGACGAACACCGGAAACCTCACCGTGCTCGGAGAAGGCGTTCCACACATCGTCCTCGGTGATGTCGAAGGAGAGGTTGCCGATGAAGAGGGTGGAGGAGGGAGCGGAACGCTGGTCGTTGAACTTCTTGGCGCGGTTCTCGGTGACATCGCCCTTGGGGGTGGAGAGGTCGAGGCGGATAGCACGACCGTCGACCTCCTTGCCCTGACCCTCCTCAAAGGCCTTCTTGGCAGCGGCAGCGGTGGCGAAATCAACGTAGCCGAAGCCACGGCTCTTACCGGTGGTACGGTCGAGCTGGACACGGGCGCTGGTAACCTCACCAAAGACCTCCATCTCGGACTTGAGCCAGTCGTTGTCGACGTTCCACGAGAGCTGGCCAACCCAGACCTGGTTGGTCTCGCCCTCTGCGAGCTCGGCGGGAGCAGCAGCAGCAGCGGTAGCGCCGTCCTCGGTCTTGGCTTTCTTGGCTACGGGAGCTTCCTCGTCGGCCTTGCGCTTCTTGGAGTCGGTGGCAGCGGCAGGGGTGGCATCCTCGTCGTCGTCGGAAGAGTCGGAAGAGTCAGAGTCCGAGTCGGACGAAGAGTCAGAGTCGGAGGAGTCGGAAGACGAGCTGGCCTCCGCAGCGGCAGGGGCAACCTTGCCGTTGGTCTGGGGAGCAGCCTCGACCTCGTCGTCGCTGGAGTCAGAGTCGGAAGAGTCAGAGTCGGACGAAGAGTCGGACTCGTCGTCGTCGTCGTCACTGTCGCTCGAGTCGTCGCTGGACTCAGACTCGGACTCGGGCTCGGGGGTGGGCTCCTTCTTTGCCTTCTTGTCCTTTTTTGATTTCTTGTCGACGCCGTTGGCCTTGGGCTCTTCGACGGTCTTGGCGGCGGCGGCCTTCTTGTCCTTCTTGTCCTTCTTTGCGTCGACCGCAGGGGCGGCAGCGGCGACCTTGGTAGACTTGTCCTTCTTGGCCATTTTGTGTGATCGGAGAGGGGGAATATGTGTGTTGGATGAAAGGGTGATGGAAGGTGGAAGGAAGGGAGAAGAGGGACGAGGTTGACTGATGGCTCTGCTTGTGCTGAAGTTGCTGCGCTCTCGAGAAGAAGCAGAGGAAGAAATGAAAAATTGGGCTCAGAAAACGCAAATTTGGACGGCTCAGACGAAATTTTTCGACGGTCGAGCTGCATGAGTGGAGTTAGAGCGCTCAGACAGCAGAGAGCCATGGCCAAAGAGGACCCTTCTTGCCTGTGGCGGCGGCGACGGCGGTGAAAAAATAAAACTTGCTTTTTCTCAGTTGTTTTTTGGAATCTCGGGCAACGGCCTGGCGAGCTGTCAAATGCTTACAAGGCTCGTCAGTGCAGATAAGCATGCCAGACCGGGTCAAAAAAGAAGGCTTTGGAGACTGCATGAGTCGAACACGCGACCTTTCGCAAATTAGACAAGGTGCTAAGCGAACGCTCTACCAACTGAGCTAAACCCCCGAAGATGCATGAGGAGAACACTTATTGCGTTTATATAGCGTCAAACAAGCGGCCCTGTGAAGAAGCAACCGCGGAACTCGGTCAGTGTTGGCTTAGCCATGCTCTGCTCGGGTGGACAGGGTCGGGGCGAGGGATTGGCTGTTCCGTGTGTGACTTTTTGAGAAGAAAGGTGGGTCGGCCCTTTTTGGTCATTGGGCAGCGCTTTGCAATCATCCTCACATTGCTCTCAAAGTGTTGCTCAGCACCCTCATCCATCACACTAAGCACGGTCACATCGCATCGCACAGCATCGTGGAGACTCAGCAAATCTCGATCGTCCTCGACCATTTGCAACACATCAATCATCAATCGAGGATTCGCTTTGCCAGCAAGCGCGTTCCTTACTTCGGTGTTTCCTGACTCTCAGCATACTTTCCATGATCAGCATCATCAGGACACATCTCTGATACTTGCGGACCCTGTCAACGCCAGGCCGCGCTCATATACAAAAGCTCCATGCATCTCGTAAGATAGCCCGCTGCTTCTTTCCTCAGCCCACAGCATCATCGAGACCAGGACAGAGAGCGTGACGCTTGCTCTCGTCCTCGGCAGATGATACGCCCATGCGTCACAAGGGCTCCCTCTCCAGCGCACTCGATGCGTGTGGTCGTCGAGCTTGTCCCTCACATCGTACAGCTCGAGCTCAGCTGCCTCCACACAATGTCGCTGGCCCCTCGAGGCTTCCCATGATTGCCTCGAGCGCGCCCTCTCCACCACCAATACCACCAATACCACCTCAGGCTGCATCATCTTCAATTTCAGCTCCGTCATCGTCGCTCGGTACGCACAGTCACTCTGTGTCTCAGCGCATCAACTCGCATCACCTCTCTTTCCTCTACCCACCATCTTGTCTCGAGTTCACTCACAACACCTTCGCTCGATCCAAATCATCCCTCGCACCGACGAGCGCTGTCGCCGCCGCCGCCGCCGCCGCCGCTGCACAGCAGCAGTCTCTCACAGCTCATACTGACAACGAGCCACACTTCCCTGGCCAGCACGAGCCAAATTTCACCTTCTTGCGCCACCACTACGAGCCACCACACCACTTCATCGACCACCCTCAATCAAACGATCTAATCCAACAGGATGCCAATAGTCATCTAGAAGCAGAAATACTAGCCACAGAGCCAACACAGGACGAGGGCCCATCGGTCATACCAGCTTCAGACCAATTTGAGGCTTCAGTCGCCGCTCTGTCGTCGTTACGTCGCAAATGCTCTGCTTTACGCCGTTCAGTGCAGCACGATCAGATCGCAGATGCCGACGCTCTCGTCAAGCGGTGTCGGCGTCTTGTCTTGCAAGCTTGCCGCATAACATCGCGCTCGCACTCGAGAGCAGCTCGTGCCTCCATCTCGGAAACCGTCTCCGACTGCGCTCTCTACCTCTCTGCCGCGGGTCAGCCAATCGCAGCCGCCAACGTCATCCGCCATCTCTTCGTAAAGCTTCGTTGGAGCCCAGGCCCAGCTCTGGACGTCGAGCCCAAGTCTCAAGCTCAAGGTACTTCCGCTCCGAGCGATGATCCGAGTCCAACAATAGCATCGTCCTCACCAGCCGATCTCTTGCTCATCACACAACAAGTCATCTCGCAATTGACACTGGCGCCGTCTCCATATAGTCCTCGACCCACGCGCCGCTTCGAGTCCCAGCAACATCTCGACGCTGCAATCTCTCTGGCAGCTGCCATGCACATCAGCCAAATGGCCAGATCCACAACTTCGCAGACGGCTCTGATCCGAGCTATGATTGCCTCTGGCCAGCCCTTCTTAGCCGTGCAGACGTTCGCTGCCGAACTTCGAGCTTGGTGGAATGCTCACCGTCAAGTACGGCGACCACACCCCTTGCTTCGAAGGCAAGCTGCTCTGATCGTTGAGATCGGCAAGCCCAGCTCGCAAGCTCTTCGCGAGATCACACGCTCCTTGCAGCAACTCGAAGAGCTCTTGAACCGTATCCAGCCTGACCTTTTGTCTCAGCTCTCTGATCACGAAAAGCACGCCTTGCAGACGAAGCGTGGCGAGTATGCCGACTCGCTCGTCGAGCTCTTACGCCTAGTTCGTGGCGGTCGTCTGCCTTTGCCCCCGATGGCCAGCGCTCCCGAGATCGCTTGGATCCTTTCGGCGTGCTGTCGTTTCGAGAAGACGACGCTGCTCGACAATCCCACGGCAGCACTCGATGCTGCAGAAAAGCGCAAGCTGCAAGATGCAGCACAGCTCATCCGATACTTCCTAGGCGAATATATGCGATCACTACCAGATGGACAGACGCGCTCTGCTGGCAGCCTGCTCATCGGAGGCAATCCCGTCGTCAGGCCACCTCTGGGCATTGCGGTCTACAATCAGCTTGTCCACTACGCCTTGTCCGTTCTCAGATCGCCATCCACCTGCAAAGAGGTCTTTCAGCATATGACCCAGCGTCGTCAACCATCCTTGGAGCCAGACGCGGTCACCTTCAACACGATCTTGCGTCAGGCCACCACACAGCGTTACGAAGCGCTGGCACGCGCCGTCATGACCACCACGCGTCCAGAACAACCGCACCTTGGCGCGCCAGGGACCGTCGCTGGTCAGTCCGAGTCGAACAAGGATGCTGCTCCGGAGGCCAAGACTGGATCTCAACCGATCAGACCCATGCTCCAGCAGATCGACAATGCCGTGGTCCAGGCCGACTCCTACCGCCTAGTCTCGCTTCTGCAGTATGTGACTGCATCGTCCATGTTCTTGCGTCGCTACCGCCACGAGCCCGGCCACATCGGCGTCAAGGAACTGGTCATGCGTATCTATCCCGCGCTCGACAAGAAGCGCCACGGACGCCAACGTGCCACAGATCCGCTGCAGCTTCACAGGGATGCGACATTGCGACCTAAAGCGAACCAGGCTTCCAGGCACGCCATCCTCAACCCGCACGTCTTGACAGCGTCGCTCAACCTCGCTGCCAAAGCCGGCAAGACGGGCCTGGTGTTGCGCATCTGGCGTCTCATCAAGCGAACCAGCTTGCAGAGCGAGCTGCAGTCGCCCACCAACGACGTTGCCGCGGTTCCTTGGAAGATTCCTGTCGAGGCTGCCACCATCCTCATGAGCGTCTTGGCCAACGAAGCGGCAAAGGCGCCAAAGGTCGCACCCGTGCCGCGAAGGCTCCGGCAGCGGCTCTCCCTTGGCAGATCGCGAACAGCTCCGCAAAGGTCTTCGAAGCTCACCGCTCATCGACAGTACGCCAGAGGCTGGAACATCGCCGCCTCGCTTCGTCGCGGCTCAAATACTGGAGGACTCGGGCCAAATGGAAGCACGAGTCCCGGCGCAGGCGAGCTCGGAGAGGGTCTTCGTTGGAGGGCTGCACAGCTCTTGGCCAAGCGAGAGTATGCCTTCCTCGTCTACCACTGGCAGATGTCGCAGAAGCTGTCGAGTTGGCGACGCAAGAGGGTGGAGAGCTGGATGCGCAAGGATCAAAGCGAGACACTGCCCACTGTGGCTGCTGCGGACGCTGAAGAGGCCTCGAGAGTGCAACCTGACTCGAGGTTCTACGACGCGCTGCTGGGTGTCTTCGGTCGTCGAGTAGGCATGGTGCAGCGCAGCAGGAACTACAGACCGCGTTCTGAACTTCTGTCACAGCTTCGCCGTGGCCACAGGCGAGCCGCGTACGAGAGGAGCTCATCTCCTCTTTGGTCAGCGGATCCTTGCGACTCTCTTGCACGTCCGGAAGCGATCAGTGGAGGCATCGTCCCGGAGGCGAGCACCTCCGAGCAGCCCGATCGTGTCACATTTGTCGAGAACCTGCACCTGCGCTCCACCAACCAGCTCTTGGAAGCAGTCGTCGCTCGCATCGGCTGGAACTCTCGCGGTCGACGCACATCTCTGCCACCCGACGCATTCCTCGTGCGCATTCTGTTGGACATGGAAGCGCTGAGCCTTGATATCCCCATCGCCTATCGATGGATCCCAACCCACTGTTCCATCGCCACGGCTGATGCGGACTCCAGAGTTGCTGTGCCCGATCTGCTGCAGAATGACAACAAGGAACGGAAAAGCAAAGCGGAAACAGGCGCATTCTCCCCCTACAGGGGACCGCGTATCAAGACGGTCGGCTTGATCGCTAGGCGTCGCAACTCGGCACTGGCAGAGAAGAAAGCGGAGGAGAAAGCAAAGAAGTCGTGAAACCCACCTCATTGGATTCGTTGCTCAGCATTTCAATCACACACATGCATCACACGTTTTTGACAGAATGAGCTTGATCAGTAACCTGTCTCTACATCCACCTGACCCGCAAACGTCCCGCCGTTTACCATGACCTCCAGATTATGTCTGATCCTCTCGCCCAGCAGCGCCGGGATCATTTGAGTCGGTATCGCCGAGTGAGGCGTCAGAAGAAGCTTCCCCCTCTGCACCAGCTCTTGCACTTCCCTCTCCTGCTCCTCCCTGCCAACTGAGGGGTAGGAGACGATGTCCAGCGCGGCGCCTTTCAATCTCCCTTCTTGAAGGGCGGAGATCATCGCTCGAGTGTCGACGATCTCGCCGCGCGCTACGTTGACTAACACGCAGCTGGCGGGCATAGCCGCGAAGAGGGTCTCATCGAACAGACCGCGGGTTGTGGGTGTCAGGGGGCAAGTGATGAACACGACCTCTGCCAAGGCCAGCGCTTGAAGCAGCTGCTCTTTCGTCGTGGACGATGTCGTTGTGCTGGCCTGGCACTCGAAAGGGTGTAAGAGGGTGCGAACGCGTACACCGATAGAGCCAGCACCGATGATCACCACGCGTCTGCCGATCATCGACTCCACCTCTCTCCCCGCCGCCGGCGGGGAGCGATGCAAGCCCCTCAGCAGGCCCAGACAAAGGGCGAGAGCATGCTCCGCCACCACGCCCCCATAGCAGCCCTTGGCACAGCACCACACCACCTCCCTACCTGAAGTTCTGAGCTCGCGCATGAGGGGGAGAAAGTCGTCCACGCCCGTCATTGGCAGCTGAACGAAACGGATGTTGGGCGCGGTTGAGAGCACTGCACGAAGGGCAGAGGAAGTATTGCCCAAGGCCAGGGTAGGTAGCCACAGCAGCGCTATGGTCGAGCTGTCGGCGGAGGATTGGACGTGCAGCGAGGAGGCGAGGTCATAAGGGAGGGACGAGATGAGGGTCGAGACCGGCAGGCAGTTCTCCGACGAGGGAAGAACGGCCACTTTGAGCATCGTCGGAGGGAAGCGGCATCGAGAGCATGCTGTGAGTGTGATCGATCAGAACACCGAGGAGTCTGTGAGCGATCTTATACCCTTTGACAGGCTTACCCCGAAGATTGATAGCCCCTTCCGGGGGCGTCGTCTCATAGCGAATCTGTCCCATCACACATCGCGCATACATGAGAAAGCAAGATGAAAAGGGCCGAGATGACAATATACGATAACAAAGCGCAAGATGGGATGTGGGGCTTCCCACCTCTTCATCAGCGTCGAAAGCGGGTCGCAAACACGTCGTGGGAGCTGTTGCATTCACCGCTGTTACATGCGGACTTGTTGTTGATTCGCTTCCACACAAAGTCGTTCACACAAAGAGCACCATTCCCACCTTCACACGCCGTTGCGACCCCACTACCCACCATTGTCTTTATCACACACCAACAAGCTGACAGCTATTGCAACAAATATATTGTTCACACGTCACATGAGCTCACTTTACAACGGGACAGCACTGGTACTTCGCATGCCATCCCTCGCGCTCCTCGTCAAATCCCACTCGTTGGTATCGCCGTCCAAACTCCACATGCTGATCCCGCCGATGCCGGCTGCACTAGCAAAAGCGCCTTTATCGTAGATCGAGCTGGTATCGTCGTACGTCACCACGCGGGTGCCATCGGTGAGGAAGGGGGTGTCGGAACAGTCGTCCCAGTGCTTGTCGAATCCTCCTGCGCCATCGAACAGGCCGGATGGACCTTTTTGCAGGGCGCCGGCAGCGACGATCTTCGAGAATCCGATTTGACCTTCGGTGGTGCTACCGTCCTCGGAGGTGAGTGGCACACCCAACCTCTTCTCGAGAGGAGAGCGTTGAATGAGGGAGGTTTTCGAAGAGGTGTTTATGTAGCCGTACGCGGGGATACCGAGCAAGATCTTGTTCCTGGGCATACCGGCGGCGGACCAAGCCCTTACACCCGCAGCAGCATTGACGTTGGGCAGGGTGGAATTCCCACACAGATCCGCCAGGGGTGCGTTGGGACCCGGATTGGCGCGCGAACCCCACACGTCGTAGTTCATGATCATGACATAATCCAACGCCCCCGCGGCACGCGCTACGCTGCTAACCGGGTTGCCATTGGATCCGATCCACGGAGCGTGCGTTACTGCGGCCGTCAGCAGTGCTCCCGCTGGCAGTGCGGCGCGAAGTTCCTGCAGGAAAGTTTGGAAATTCCTTGCGTCGGATGGATCGTATACGTTATCCCCCGCACCCGGATCGTTCGGGTACTCCCAATCAAGATCTATACCGTCCAAATTGTAGCTCTGATAAACACGGATGATGTTGGCGATGAACCTCGCGCGCGAGTCGGCGGTGCGAACAGCAGACGAGAAATATGTCGACCCTCCCCAGCCACCGATCGAGAGAACCGCTCGGGTGTTGCCCCCACGACAAGCAGCGACGAATCGACGAAGGAGTGAGCCCGACGGATCAGTGGGGAGGGACAGATCAAAGGAGGAAGTAGGGAGAGCAAAGGCGTAATTGAGAATGTCAAAGTGGGTGAAGTCGATCGAGGTAGGGGGAAGAGTGGACGCGGTCCAGTCGGCCCAGTAGGCCGCCATGATTGTGGCACCGGTACCGGTGATGTTGACCGCCACTTTAGACGGAGGAAGGGGGGTCGAGGAGTTGAAGGAGGGTGGGGAGGCAGAGGAGGTGGAGTTGGAGATCGAACCCGAAAGGGTCGAGTTGGAAGAAGGGTTGGTGACGGAGGTCGAGTTGTTCGGCTTGCATGCGCCTTTCGGATCGTCGGGAGGGGAGGTAGCGGAAAGATGACGTCGAAGGTCGCGAGGTCGGAAGCGGGCAGAGGGGACCAGCCTCCTGTTCTGGCCCTTACCTGTACCGCCTTCGCCGAGGAGCAGCTGCCATAGAGAACGTCGCTGCTGAGGAGGGGAGGAACTCGATGGAGAGGATGTCAAGGTGGAGAGTCGATCGGGAACGAAGCTGACACCTGGTCTAGCTTCATTGCTGCTGTCCGGCATCCCGATGGGTGATGCGAGATCATGGCCGGTGCCCTCAGGTAGAGTCATCGCCGAGGTGGAGAGTAGGCTGGCAAACGCCAAGACGCCGAGTGGGAGGAGCTTCATCTTGAGGTATCGCGTGTTGCGAGATGAAGTCGATGCCTTTGTTTGATATGAACAAAGGAGTGTATATGTGGCGTCTGAAGAGCTGAGAAGACAAAGGAGCGTATATAAGGTGTCCAGCACCGAGCGAGGTGAAGGGAGTGTGGTCTACAAAGGAGTGTTTTTCTCCAGCGGGTTCAACGAGGAGGGGACCTGCTCAGGGGCGGTGAAAGACGAGAATACCTCGAAAGCCGATCAACGACTGTTGAGGTCAGAAAGATAGGGAAGAACCGGCTCCCTCGTATGCTTCGAAGCGATCAAGCTCAGCTGATCTCGTGGGAAAGGGGTCGAAAGCTCGAGTCCGATCAACGGAAGCTCTAGGCGTAGAAGAAGAGAAAGGGTGGGGGGAGGGAGAGCGGCCAGCCTGGTCGACGATGAAATGAGAATGAGCTGATCGAAGCAATTAGGGAAGAGGAGAAAAGGCTCGAGTATATAGCAATTATAGACTTAAGGTCACGGAGGGCCCTGGACTCAGTCGCCGGTCCATTGGAACCTAGCATCAAGCTTAGCAAGGCTAATCTTACGACCAAGCTCTACCTTGACCAGCATTCTCCGGCAGCTTCGAATCTCGATCCGTCGGGATACTCCGTCAAGCTAGCTTGTGCTCGAAGTTCAGGCCGTCGTCTGAGCTAATCGCTCTTGGCTAGTCATGTGAACGTCTACCGGACCTGTCAAAGGGCTGAATCCTTGTGGCGCATCCGAGGTTCCGACGGCTATCATAGGTTCGCAGCGCAAGGTTAGAAGTTGAGCTGCATCGGCCCCTGAGAAGAACTGCAAGCTCAACGAAGACCGAACGAAAGCATGATGCAAGGGTGGCGCAGCGGAAGAACCTTGTCGGCGGCCATAGAATGAGCCATGTCAAAAAACGACATACTGTATGTCAAGTCAAATTCACCCTCTTCCAGAGCCGGAATCAAGCGGCATCCTTGGAGGCTGTGCCCCTCTGACGATCGGACGTAGCTTTATCGGCCAGCGGCGAACAAGAAGAGAGAGAGGGAGCAGGTGGGGCGGCATCGAGCTTCAAGTCGGTATCGAAGACAAAGGAAACGAACAGCATCAAAGGGGCAGAAGCGTGGCGCGCTTCTTGACAGGCCGGTGATCTTGGCGTGGGGTGCAAGACCCGATCCGCTAGCTTGGCGGATCGGGTCCCAAGGCGAGTCGAAAACAACGCGTTGGGGCGAGGCTGAATCGTAACAGGCCAAATGACGTCGCGTCTCTGTAGGAGGACAATTTTTTTTGCAAGCTGTCTCATTTACAAGCCTAACATCTGGACGAAAATTTGAGCTTGCCACTGCGTCGCCAAAGTTTGGAGATCTGCCCGCCCTTTCACGCGAGCGCAGCCCACAGCACCCTGCATGCGTCGATGTTGTGCCTCCTCGGTCGATCCCTGTTCCGTTGGCTTGGCTCGATCGACTCTTGTTGACAGATCCATCATCTCGACATCCCAGGTAAGAATGAAGGCCAAGCAGAAGGGGATTCGCGTGGACCACGGCCAAGTGAGACAAAGTGACAGCAACACGAGAAGCTTGCATTTCATCAACACAGGGCGGGGGAGGGTCGCCGCTTGAAGCGGAGTATATTGTGAAAGCGAGATTAGGCTGCCGGGCAATTTGTGACTGCGAGACTCATCCGCTTCTTGGAATGGTAGAGGCTGGAACCCAACATTCCCTTTTGGCCCATGCCGGTGCGTATCGTAGTGTGCAGCTCCAGGCCGTTCAGTATCAAGCAGTGGTACGATTTCCCACGTTGCCTCGATCCGAGGTGCAGACAGAAACCCTGCGCAGATCTACGCTTGGACGATCCTGGTTGCAACAGAACGACCTGCATGTGATATCGTACATTTGCCACCGTCGAGTTTCACGTCTCGATGGAATCGCACTCGACTCGATGGAATGTGATGAGTGGTGCGGAGATCACAGCTGAGACAAAAGTGGGGATAGAGCTTCGCGTCGACAAGACCCAGCTGGGAATACGGTTGTCAGCGCAGTGACTCTTCGATGACGAGCGTTCATTGTGCCGTGTTGGGGCATGGAGGACGCATCGAGACCTTTTCATCGCCATTTGCAGGCAAGCAGACAGGCAGGGACGACGATCGCAGAAAAAGAGACAAAGCGGCGGCAACTCAGAACAGCAGCAAATCGGCGACAGCAAAATGCGGAGGATTGGCTGCAAATCATCGCGCAGAAAGTTCAAAATTCAACAGCAGCAGGCGGCGGCGACAAATTGAGTCGAGCGTGAAATTGCCTTTTGAGGAGAGAGCGCGTGTGTCTGTCTGGCTGTCAAGTTACCGCTTGAAAGCCAGAGTCATCTGACAGCAACAAGGGCCAAGCCAGGCTGACCCCGCAAAGAGGCGCACCGAGACACTGCAACGCCATTTCAAATGCATCTCATCATCTCCTTTCATTTTGGTCAACATCATCTCCTCTCTCATCCTCTCCTCCTACCATCATCATCGCCATAAACACAGCATACATCATCAAGACAGCAGCCATTCATTCATCTTCTGTTGCATTTGCATGCTGTCGTAGGCTCACCGCCTAAGCTTCTGCCTCCGTACGCATAGAACCTCACCGCCCCGCCTGTGGTAGCATCAGCACCAACCTCTAGATTGCTTCATCATCATGTCGGCTCAGGTCCCGTTCCCTGGTCAGTCGGGCCAATCTGGTGACCTTTCGGATCTCAAGATCGACCTCCCACGCAACGCCACCTCGTCTGCCAAGGAGGATGCCGCCGTCGCAGCCGCCTCCAACGTCAGCGCAACATCGGCAGCGCCTGCATCCAACCATCGCCGTCAAGGCTCCTACCAGGCTACCGATAAGCCTGCTACTGTCCCTGCTGGCTGGCACCATCATCCCCGCCAACCAGGTCCACACTCCGAGGGCTACTTCCCTGGCGGTTCGGCAGGCGTACCAAAGACACCCAGCAGCCTCTCAATGCGCGTCCACGGTCGAGCCCAGAGCAGCGCGGGCAGTGGTCCATCAGCTCATCCATTCAACCTCAATCTCGCTTCTGCCCATCCTAACGTCGATGGCCACCACGCCGGGCCCAGCAGTCTCAGCCTCTCCCACCACCCTGGCCTGCACGGCCTCGGCAATGGCGGTGGATACAGCGCTGGTCCACCCAGTCCCAGCACCCTCACCGATGTCATCCTCGGCCTCCATAGCACCTTCTACTCCTGCAAACGCAAACCTGAAGAGGTCAAAGAGATGGTCTGGCGCTACTACGAGAGCGGCGCCGTCTTCGAATCTCCCTTGCTCTCCGCACACGGAAGGAACCAGATTGCCAACCAGTTCATGATGGCTTTCGCTTTGCCAGGCATGGACGTTCAATCTGAGCTTCGTGATGTTATCTGCTCCGATTTCGAGTTTGATGGAACACGAGCGGGTATCATCGACCACACGATCACCGTCACTCTCTTCCCTTCGCTCTTTGGTTCGTCCGTGCCCAAGCCATCTGCCGATCCCAACGCCAGCGACGTCAACCGCACGCCTCGCGCATCTTCATCGCATCCCATGTCTGCGTCCGCCTATCCCATGACTCCTCACCCCTTCATCGATTATGGTGGCAGCAGTGCCTACTCACGAGTCGCCAGTCACCCGCAGAGCCCTACCACGCCCTTCAGCATCTCGAGCGTCTGGGGTGGGTCGAGGCCACACACACCCGGCCACGGTGGCATGCGTCCGCTCTCGGGCACGCAGCCACACGCTACCAACACGCCTCCCAGCGTCAACGGCGAAGACTTCGGGGCCACACCCTCCTCTGCTGCCACGCCGACCGCCAACTCGATCCTCAACAGCCTCACCAACGGCGCCAACGGACACCACTACGTCGATGCCGAGGCTGTGCAGCAACAATTGGCTTCACGTCCACCTATCCCAGCCGATGCTCTCACGCCGCACTGGAGCAGTGAGGGCTTGGGCCGATCCACCTTCCGAGCGCTGCTTTGGTCGCTCTTCCACCCCAGAGCCGCGCTCAAGTCGTTGTTCAGCATCCAGCTGCGTGTCATGAGCCGCCTCGAGTTCAACGACGCTGGTCTGATCGTCCGACATGAGGACACCTGGGGCCTGCGCGAGACCATCGAGGGTGTGATCCCTTTTGCATCCCTCATCTATTCAATCGAGCGCAGGTTGGTCGGCTTCCTCGTCTCGTGGGCCATCGCCAAGGGATTCAAACTGTCTTCCGTCTTGCTGCACAAGGCCATTCCAGGCGCATCCTCGTCGTCGACCGACCTCGAACCGCACTCGTCTACTGGCGCTGGATACCAGATCAGCCAGCACGATGCCGAGGCCATGTTTACTCACCCTCACTTGCAGCATCTTGGCCGTGCCCCAGCGCGAGAGTTCCAGACCATCTCTCGATCGCGGGCTCCGTCCCCCACTCGTTTCCGCTTTGGCAGCACTGCGGGCTTGTCGGGAGGCGGTACTGTAACAGGCACACGCACCAGGACGAGGTCCGGCTCGCACTCGATGGCGCCTTCGCGTGCCATGTCGACCGACAACCTCGCGTCGCACTTTGCCTCTGCCTACGCCACTCCGCACACGGCGGGCGCCATCGACTCGCGCCGCTCGGCGGATTTTCCGCCCGACAGTAGCGCCAAGTTCAGGGAGCGGTCTGCAAAGAGACTAGACGGCGGACGCGCTACCAGCACCAACTCAGCTCCTGGCTCCGCGCTGCCTTCTTCCATGTCGAACGCTTCCAACATCAGTGGGTACGACGGCGTCGAGTTTGGTTCCGGTGGCGCTGCGGCAGGGGGAGGACCGGCAGCGAACCTGGTCAACATGTGGGAGCACTTTTCGGCCCAGTCGCGCCCGCAGTCTAAGGCCGCGTCGGTGGTTTCGAACGATGATTCTAGAGGTGCATTGCGTGCGCCAGATCAGGACCAGCAGTAGATGTACGATCAGCTCGTAGACGAAGGTTTCTTTTGTAGGACGGATTAGCATTGGACGACATTACACTTATACACACATATGCATTCTCTCTTCCCTTCCGCTATGAGCTGTCGTGCCTGTGATCAAGCCTGGATTGTCTTCCATCTCTGTTCCCACAGTGTGAGTTTGCTCGAGAAGGTCGCCGGAAACGTTGAAAGGTCTTCAGGGTGTCGCCGTGTCGCAAAAAGGCAGTTGAAAATGGCGGTCTGAAGTTGGGTCCAAAAATGGAACAGCAGCGCAGCGAGCAGAGCCTGCGTGATCGATGTGACTTCGGATTTTAGAAATGGAATCGCGGCACAATCCAACGCACGGCTCAGCCAGCGCTTCAGCCTCCACGTCTAACTCAGCAAATTCTAGGCCAGCACAGGGCACTACAGCGGTGTGCGAGAACGCAACACTTCGAAGATCGACGCTTCCTCCCTCCCAACCTCCCGCCATCCATCCTGCTTCGCTGTCATCCCAGCTCATCTTCATTGCACGCAACCAGCTACTTGGAAACACTCATCATCATTATCGATTGGAAAGTGGCAAGGACGGCATCAGCACACCCCTCGAAACCGCCCCCGCACGCAGAATCTTGAATTCCACAAGACAGCACAGGGCAACCACAGCGACAATGGCGGCTCCAGAGGACATGAAGGTCGATCAGCCCGAGCAGGGCATCGACGAAGGTCTCTACAGTCGTCAGCTCTATGTGCTCGGTCACGATGCCATGAAGCGCATGGCGGCTAGCAATGTTCTCGTCGTTGGTCTCCGCGGTCTCGGTGCCGAAATCGCAAAGAACGTCGCATTGGCAGGCGTAAAGAGCATCACCATTTTCGACCCCACTCCCGTCTCCATCTCCGATCTCAGCACACAGTTCTTCCTTCGCCCAGAAGATGTCTCCTCGGGCGCTCGCAGGGATCAGGCCACGCAGCCTCGTCTCGCCGAGCTCAACACATACGTTCCCATCCGCGTTCTCGAGGAGAGCGAGCTGAACAAGGATGTGCTCGCTCGCTTCCAGGTTGTCGTCATGACCGACTCGCTCCATGGCGAGCAACTCCGCGTCAACGACATTACCCACGGCTCTTCCACCCACTTTATCTCGGCCGAGGTGCGAGGTCTCTTTGGCTCCATCTTCAACGACTTCGGCCCCAAGTTCCTCTGCAACGATCCTACCGGCGAGCAGCCGCTGTCCGGCATGATCGTGTCCATCGCCAGCGAGGACGACGAGGGTTTGGTCACCACCCTCGACGAGACCCGTCATGGTCTCGAGGACGGTGACTATGTTGCATTCACCGAGGTGCAAGGTATGGAGGCGCTCAACGACAGTCAGCCGCGTAAGGTCACAGTCAAGGGTCCCTACACTTTCACCATCGGCAGCACCAAGGGTCTCGGCGAGTACAAGCGTGGCGGCATCTTCAAGCAGGTCAAGATGCCCAAGGAGATCGCCTTCAAGTCGCTGCGAGAAAGCGAAAAGCAGCCCGAAGTCCTCATTGCCGACTACGCCAAGTTCGACCGCCCTGCCGCTCTCCACGCTGGCTTCCAGGCGCTCTCCCAGTTCCAGCAGAAGAACGGCCGCTTGCCCCGACCGAGGAACGCGCAAGACGCCGACGAAGTGCTCGCGCTCACCAAACAGATCTTCCAGCAATCCGGTCAGGATGCCGCCGACTTGCCTGAAAAGGTGGTTCGCGAGCTCGCCTTCCAAGCGCAAGGTGATCTGTCCCCAATGGTCGCGTACGTCGGTGGCTTTGTTGCACAAGAGGTGCTCAAGGCATGCTCCGGCAAGTTCCACCCCCTCGTCCAGCATCTCTACGTAGACTCTCTCGAGTCGCTCCCAGACTCGGTCGCCAGCCTGCCAGAGAGCGAGTTCGCACCTGCCAACTCGAGGTACGATGGCCAAATCGCGGTGGTGGGTCGAACCTTCCAGCAGAAGATTGCCAATGCACGCCAGTTCCTCGTCGGTTCGGGTGCTATCGGATGCGAGATGCTCAAGAACTGGAGTATGATGGGTCTCGGCAGTGGCCCCGAAGGAATCATCCACGTCACCGACATGGACACGATCGAGAAGTCAAATCTCAACCGACAGTTCCTGTTCCGCTCCAAGGATGTGGGTCACTTCAAGGCCGACACGGCAGCAGCTGCGGTGGCCGAGATGAACCCTGACCTCAAGGGCAAGATTCACAGCCACCAGAACCGAGTCGGACCCGAGACCGAAGACATCTACGGTGACGAGTTCTTTGCCTCGCTCACCGGTGTCACCAATGCGCTGGACAACGTGCAGGCTCGTCAGTACATGGACCGTCGATGCGTCTACTACGAGAAGCCACTTCTCGAGTCGGGCACGCTCGGCACCAAGGCCAACACACAGGTGGTCGTACCTCATCTTACCGAGTCATACTCATCGTCCCAGGATCCTCCCGAGAAGTCGATCCCGGTGTGCACGCTCAAGAACTTCCCCAACGCCATTGAGCACACGATCCAGTGGGCTCGCGAGCAATTTGACGAGTTCTTCCTCAAGCCGGCGGAGAATGTCAACCAGTACCTCACGCAGCCGGACTACATTGAGACGACGCTCAAGTCGGGCTCGGGTGCCAAGGAGCAGCTGGATCAGATCAAGCTCTATCTTGTTGACGAGCGACCCAAGTCGTTCGAGCAGTGCATCTACTGGGCTCGCATGCGCTTCGAGGAGAACTACAGCAACAACATCCGACAGCTGCTGCACTCGCTGCCTGCGGATGCAGTGACATCTACGGGCCAGCCGTTCTGGTCGGGACCCAAGCGTGCGCCCAAGCCTTTGACGTTTGACGCCGACGACCAGATGCACCTCGAGTACGTGATGAGCGCCGCGTTGCTGCACGCCGAAAACTACGGTCTCAAGGGTGAGGCCGACGCTGGGCTGTTCCGCAAGGTGCTGTCGTCAATGCAGGTGCCCGAATTCAAGCCCAAGGACAATGTCAAGATCCAGGTCAACGAGAACGAGGCGGCTGCCAGCAGCAACAACGCCGCATCCGCTGATGGAGGCGACCTGACGGAGGTGACCAGCAGCCTACCCGAGGCATCGTCGTTGGCTGGGTTCCGTCTGCAGCCAATCGAGATGGAGAAGGACGATGACACGAACCACCACATGGACTTCATCACGGCTGCCTCGAACCTGCGAGCCACCAACTACGGCATCTCACCTGCCGACAAGCATCAGACCAAGGGTATTGCAGGCAAGATTATCCCTGCCATCGCCACTACCACAGCTCTGGCTACGGGGCTGGTCAACCTGGAGCTGTACAAGCTGCTGGATGAGAAGAAGGAGCTGGAGGCGTACTCGAATGCATTCGTCAACCTGGCGCTGCCATTCATTGCATTCAGCGACCCGATCGCAGCGCAAAAGCTCAAGTACAACGAGACCGAGTGGACGCTGTGGTCGCGCTTCAAGGTGGAGCAGGACATTACGCTGCAGGAGTTCTTGGATCTGTTCAAGGAGAAGCACGGCCTGGAGGTGTCGATGCTGAGCTCTGGCGTTTCGATGCTGTTCTCGGCGTTCTTGCCAGGGAAGAAGCGCGAGGAGAGGCTCAAGATGAAGATGAGCACGCTGATTAAGACGGTGTCCAAGAAGCCCATCCCGAAGCACGCGCAGTGGGTCATCGTCGAAATTATGGCAGACGACCTGGAGGGCGAGGACGTTGAGGTGCCGTTCGTGGTGGTCAAGGTCAAGTAGAAGATACATAGTACGCTTCGAAATGTTGTGCAATCACATTCAAATCATTGAAAGATGTCATCGACCTTTGCAAGAGCTTCCAAGTCTGTCTGCTCTGAGGACGAGGCTGAACAGGTCGGCGCAAAAAAGCAAAGATGTTACGCCGAAAGACAAACGACGTCGATGAAAGCGAGTGTTGGTGTGGAGTTGGAAGGAGGCGAAATTGCAGAGGTCACGCGCAGAGGCCCAGACGCGCTCGCTAAGCAGGGCAGCCAAAACAAGGCTGAAAGGGCTGAGGCTGATTCAGTTGCATTTGCCGCTTTGGCCGTTGAGTGAGTGTTGTTTTGAGGCAAAAGAGCCAAGCATCGCTCCGATATCCGGTTCAACGCTCGCAACAATCTTTCGCTCCTGCCTCGTCACATTCTTCCTATCGCCTTTGCCCTCTCCTTCCGCAAGCTCAGTCGTGGTCGCTATCCTTTCGATTGCTGTCAAGCCAGAACAGACGATCCGACTCGCATCTCGCCACGGCTGCGACGACAAGCATCTCAAGCATCTGCAACATCTTACATTCGATATCCAAGCATCCGCAATACTTCATCAGCCACGGCTCCCGCAGCAGCAATAACATCAAACATCTCTCAAAGCATCTCTTTTAGCATCACTTCCCTCAAGATGGCATCCACTTCCGCTTTCGTCCTCGAAGAGAGGCAGCAGCACATCATTGCTCCCGACGATTCCGATTTCCTCGACTCGGACGCCGAAAGCAGCAACACACCGCATCCCGACGATCAGCTCATTGAGAGCGCTGTACTTCAAGATCTACCTAACTCACCGCATCGCTCCCCGAGGAAAGTCCGCAACAAGAGCCCAGGCAAGTTGTGGCCCTCTCATCCCCTCATCCGCATCCACAAACGACTCTGGTTCACATGGTTCGCCGGCGACTTGCCATCCGAAGACGACTTGAACGACCAAGACGGCCAGCCAGCGGCGTGGAAGAACTTCAACGATGCCGAGATCAAGAAGTATGTAGACGCAAGCGAGACCAATCCATCGCGGCTGCACTGGTTCAACATCGACCGCGATCTCGTCTACCTCAGCTTCTGGTTTGATTGGGGTCCGCTCAACGTCGGCATGTTCTACCGCTTCTGCCTGCACGTCCATCACATGCTCACCGACCCAGACATGCAAGACGCTACCCTCGTGCTCTACACCACCGATGCACCCGCACAGAAGGCCAACGCAGCGCTGCTCGTCACACTCTACGCCATGATCATCGGCAAAGTCAATCCCGCAGACGCCTTCTACCCGATCTCTGAACTAGAGTTCAGGCCTTTCCGTGACGCTGGCTACGGTCGAGCCGATTACAATCTCTCCATCCAAGATATCCTCTACGGCGTCCATCGTGCTATCAATGAAGGCCTGCTCGATCTCACTACATTCAACCTGGACGAGTACGAAAAGTACGAAGAGGTGAGCAACGGCGACTGGAACTGGATCACGCCCAACTTTATCGCCTTTGCCTCGCCCAACGACCGCACCTACGTCGAAGCGCTCCGCGTCGGAGAAGGTCGTCTGCCCGCATCCTACTCGTTCCACCCACCAGGAGAGGACAAGTTGTTCGGTCGTACCATTCGCTACTTCAAAGACCGCGGGGTCAAGCTTGTCGTGCGTCTCAATAACCCGCTCTACGACCGCGAGGCCTTCTTGGACGCCGGCATTGATCATACGGACATGTACTTCGACGACGGGTCCAATCCTACCGACGAGATCCTCACCGACTTCATCGCCAAGGCGGACAAGGTCATTTCGCAGGACGGCGTCGTGGCGGTGCACTGCAAGGCCGGATTAGGTCGCACAGGCGTGCTGATCGGCGCATATCTCGTGTGGAAGCACGGCTTCAGCGCCGGCGAGGCTATCGGGTTCATGCGCTTCATGCGACCGGGATGCGTCGTCGGGCCGCAACAGCACTTTATGTACCAGAACTTTGTCGAGTGGATCAAGTGGGGCGTGCGCGACCATGCGATGAAGGAGGCCAAGTTGTTGATCGCCGAGGAGAGGGCCAAGATCGAAGCGGCTGCTCAGGCCGCTGCTGCTGCGGCGACGGCAGCGAATGCAAGTGCAGCTCCGGTCACTCGCGCTTCGAACAAGCGCCGCGCTGCTGCAGACGACAGCTTCGACTCGCAAACCGACGCCGAGGTGAGCCTCGACGAGGACGTCAAGCATGCACAGGTGCACAAACATGCCCGTGCTGGCTCGATCGAGGGGGACAGCGATGAGGAGGAGCAAAAGCGACCGAGGCAGAAGCGCAAGTCGGACCCTGCCGCTGCCGATTCTGCGGATGCCAACATTGCTGGACCGCAAACGCCGAGAGCACAGCGAGGAGTGTCGCGAGGAGTTCCTGCATCTGCCGCTCCGAACGTCAAGCCGGCACCCTGTGTCGGTCAGCCGAGAAAGTCGCCTTCGCCGTCGCGCAAGAGACCAGCAATCCAAGCGCCTGCTACGGTAGCACGCTTGGAGCTCACTTCTCGACGATACCCAGCGGCAACACGGTCGTTCAACACCCACCTGATGCTCTCGTCTCAATCGGTTCACATAGACGCCGTTCCAACCACTGCTGCTGCTCCCTCGCTCACCGTTGCTGCCACCGAGACCGCGGCCGATGAAGCGGACGAAGGCTCCAAAGTGCGCGGCGTCTCCAACAGCACCACGCACACTGTCGAGGCAGGCACAGGAGCAGGCGTTCTGGTCGAGTCGCGCATCAACGTCTCTCCTCACTCGACGACCCCTCGCGCCTCTCCCAAAGCGGCACTCGTCAACCTGACCCCATCCCCCGTCGCGCGCGTCCGCGGCTTCGAACGCACGCGCTCCAACACCATCGCCACGGCTACGGTTGCCACGCCCATCCGTGCCTCGAGTCGTCGCGATACCGCCAGCCCCTCGCCCAAGCCGGAGGTCTTCCGCGCCTCGCCCTCGGTCAAAGAGCGATACGGGTTGCGCGATAGTCCTCCTCCACCCGCATCTCCGCCCGTCAGGAGCGCGGCAGTATCTCGACAGCCATCCCCCGTAAAAGTGATGAGCGACGCCGACGTCCTCGGTGTGATTGACTGCATTCCGCAGCACTCACCCGCGCCGAGGGTGTCGATGCGCCATCCCACCCCTTCGCCACCCAAACCTGAGGTGAAGGAGGAGATCAAGGTGGACGCCGAGAACGTGGAGCCTCCGATCCGGGCATCGCTCACGCCTGTTGGTAGCGCCACACAGGGGCCGAAAGTGATCCGCGCGGTCAAGCCGACGTTGAACGGCGCCACAGCGTCCAGTGCGCGAGTGGCGACGGTGAGGAAGCCCGTTACTGTGCGCTCCACACCCGCTCCCACTGTTGCTGCGACCAGTCGTTCGGTCTCAGCCAAACTTGTCCCTTCCACCACGCGTGCAGTGGCAGGGACCGGTCTGCGAGCGCAGAAGAGCGTAGCGGACCTGCGTGCGCCCCCCGCCAAAAGTCGGGTAGCATCAGGCGTGAGCACAGCTGCGACCGTCAATCCTGTTCCCACTCGACCAGCGAGCCGGTTGACCGCGCCAACGGCAGCCAGCGCCGCACGGGCCGCTGCAAACGGCGTGGCTGCCGGCAGACGCACCCCGCTACCCACTGCAGGGGCGGCCAAGGTCGGAGCGGCCAGAAAGGTCTCTGCAGCACTGCAGAAGGGTGGGCCCGCGGGAACGAGGAGGCCGAGAAGGAGTAGCACTGGCGAGGCTGGATTGGACGTCGTTGCTTAAACACTATCAAAGTATCTCTTGCATTTCATCTCATTCGTTCGGATCGATTCACGTGTTGTGGGAGAGTGTGAGACGGCTTGCGTGAGAGGGAGTGAGACGGCCAGAGTGTGAGAAGGAACGGCGAATTGTACGGCGCGATAAGCTGTGTGTGGGGGGGTTGTAAGTCCGACTTTGCGGTGGAATTAGAGCTTGCTGTGGCGTGGCGCGCGACGTGGGGGGGAAAGGCGTATCGGATTTAGCTCCTCTCCTCTTGTGGTGGGTGTTCCCGTGACGAGCTGTGTCGACTTCATCCGTCTTTCCTTCGTCCGGTCTGGCGAGCGCGATCGGGTGGCTCGGCATGCTGTATGACCAAGCGAGACAGAGGGTGGGAAGTTCCGGCTATAGAATGTGTGTGTGGGGGATGAGTCTTACCCCGCAATCGAAGGGAGTGCGTAAAAGCGAGATGTGCCAACGCCGAACGATTAAACCTGGGCCGCACGTCCCCCCTCTTCAACCCTTTGACCGGCTTCACCAATCTTACCCGGACCTCTTGCTTCATCTTCCCCAACCTTGTTTCAGCTCTTCCTCCCCCTCTTCATATCCACCGTTCGTCCATCCGTCGACGCTTTACGCTTCTCAACAGGAACTCACACACGAACTGACACGCGCAAAGTTCAGGGACGTCATGTCAACTTCAAGCAGCAGCGGGCGGTTGGCGAACAAGATCTGCATCGTCACGGGCGGAACGCGTGGATTTGGAGCATCCATCGTCTCGCTCTTTGTCTCTGAAGGTGCCAAATGTCTCGTGATGGACCTGCTAGCGACGGATGGAGAGTACGATCCGTACACGATCGCCTCTCCTCATCCACACGGATCCGAAGGGTCGACGGCGACTGCGCCTACCACACCCATCGGCCGCGCATTCGCGCTGAAGAGCGATATCACCCAGCGCACCGACTGGCAGAGAGCCCTGGACCAGTGCAAGAACGTCTTTGGTGCACCTCCAAGCGTCGTGGTCAACAACGCCGGTTGGACGTACAGCAACAAACCCACGCTACAGGTCACCGAGGACGAATTCGATCGGGTGTTTGAGATCAATGTCAAAAGCATCTTCCTCAGCGTCGAAGTGCTGCTCCCGGCGGTATTGGAGGCAGGTGGGAAGGATGCCAGTTGGGTCAACGTTAGTAGTACGGCGGCACTCCGGCCTCGGCCTGGACTGGTTTGGTGTAAGTAACCTCCGCACGGCACCAGGAATGCTCGATGGAAAAAGGGCTCGACGAAGATCCAAGGAATACATGCTGACCATCGGTTTCGACGATCACAGATAACGCGTCAAAGGGAGCAGTGTCGACGGCCACCAAGGCGCTCGCCGTCGAGTACGCGCCTCACAAGGTCCGATTCAACACGGTTTGCCCAGTCGCCGGCAATACGCCTTTGTACGTTGCACGTCCGAACTTTTCGTCCAGTTGACCTTGTGCCTTGCTAACACCTCGTTCAATGCTGCTCAATCTATCTCTCTCACTATCGCTCACGGCCCCGCTTCGATCCACTCACCGGACGCTCTGCCAAACCCACCACCTGCGACGACGGCGGATAGGCTCTCCAAGTTCGCCGGCTCCAAAGAGGCCGGAGATAGCATGTCGTCGAGCCAACTGGAAAAGTTCAACGCCTCGATCCCCATCGGCCGCCTTAGCGAGGGGAGCGACATCGCCAACGCCTGTCTGTTCCTCGCGGATGAGGCGAGCTGCTTTGTTACCGGGATTGAGGTGCCTGTCGACGGCGGGAGGTGCGTTTGAATGCCCCACAATGCACACAGTCTCGTTGTGGTGGAGTCGATCGGGAATGCGAAGATTTTGCATGTTGGAACGAGAAGGAGGTGTGTGATGAGTGCGTGTACACAGTGCGTCTTTGCGTGGGATGCGGAACCCAAGGCAAGAGAGGGTGGGATGAACAGCTTTGGGAGCGCGATGATGAGGCGCGAAGCCGCGCCAGAGCCTCGTTTGATGCGAACCAGTGAGCAACAGCGCGAGCGGCAGAGCCGCTTGGCTGCATGTAGGGAGCCGGCAGGGCATCGACACACATTCGTGTGAAGCTGCATCTGACGCAAGCCCTTGTCCACTTCTTGTCACACATTCACACATCCCACTCAGCTTTGAAGACATCGATGATTCGTATTCACAATCGTATTTTGGTGCTCTGACCGTTCACTTGAGATCCATCTCCCTCTCGACCAGCTTGAAGATGGTCTCGAGCATGATGTTGCTAGTCCCCTCGTAGATGGCGCCGATCTTGGAGTCTCTCCAGTACTTCTCGATGCCGGTCTCCCTGGTGAATCCAACACCGCCGCACCATTCGATGGCGCTACCGCTGGCCCGCTGGGCGACCTGACTAGCAAAGAGTTTCGCCATAGCGGCTTCCTTGGTGAAAGGGCGACCTTCCTCCTTCAGCCTCGCCGCGTTGTAGGTGAGGGTGCGAGCGGCTTCGATCTCCATCATGATCTGCGAGATCTGGAATTGCATGCCCTGGAACGAGGTGATCTTTTTCCCAAACTGCTTGCGGTCGGCAGCATATCGGATGGCCTTATCAACGGCACCCTGGGCAAGACCGATCATCTGAGCAGCAATGCCCACGCGACCCTCGTTAAGGATCTCAATGGCGATCTTGTACCCCTTACCCTCCTCACCGACGAGGTTCTCAGCGGGGACAACGACGTCGTCAAAGTTGACCGTGCACGTCGACGAGGCGCGGATACCGAGCTTCTTCTCCTTCTTAGCGATTTCGACACCCATCGCCTTTTCGACCGCAAAGGCGTTGATGCCCTTGTAACCCTTGCTGGGATCGGATTGGGCGAAAACGATGAAGAACTCGGCCTCGTTCGAGTTGGTGATCCACATCTTGCTTCCGTTCAACGTCCAGCTCTTGCCATCGGCGGACTTCTTGCACGAGGTCTTCATGGCGAATGCGTCGGAACCACTGGCCGGCTCGGAGAGACAGAAGGACCCAAGTGTCTTCTCCGACAGCTGAGGCAGGTACTTGTCCTGAATCGTCTTGCTAGCGTACTTGCGGATGACCGTGTTGACCAACGTATTGTGCACATCGCACAACACCGAGACCGAAGGATCCACCTTGGCCAGTTCCTCGATGACAATGATGGCTGCGGTGAACGAGCAACCGGCACCACCGTGGTCAGCCGAAGTCTCGACACCCATGAGGCCCTGCTCGAACAAGCCCTTGATGATTTCGGGATCCATCTTTTCGGCTTCGTCCATGGCCTCGACGCGGGGGGCGACGACGTCCTGGGCGAAACGCTGGACGGCTTCGCGCAGCATCTCCTCCTCCTCGGTGTACTTGGAGAGCGAGTTGACGCCGAAGGGGGATTCGAAGTCGGACGAAGCGGAGGAGGTGGTGGAGAAGGTACGGGCGGCCGAGACGAGACGCTGGGTGGAGGGCTTGGTGGCCACAGCGGCCCAGGCGGGCGAGGAAGAGGTGGAGCTCATGCATCGCGCCGTGGCGAGGGCGGGCGCGCGAGGAGCGGCGACGGCAGCCTGCGTGGCACGCGCCAAAATGCGGCTTGAGGAGGATCGGAGTGACATTGTTGCGAAAGAGGTAGGATGGTGTGTAAGGGAGAGGAAGATGCGGGGTCCCCGAAGGTATATGTACTTGGGTTGAGCACGGCGGCGGTGCGTTGGCAGAGTGCCGATTTTCGCTCGAATAGACCGGATTGGAATGGCGCTGCTGGACCGGTTCTCGTTGGCTCTTTCAAAAGCAACGCGCTTGACAGGCAGACAAGCGAGCAAGGCGGATTGGACCCCGCTTTTCGTTTCTATGCGCGCGCAAACACACACTCCTTCTGCAAGCCCTCGCTCAGCTGCTAATCTTGACCTTGTCCCTGTTGTTCTTCTCTTCTTCGGAGCAGCGAACGGTGTTGACGGTCGTAGCCATTCGCTGTCCCAGCAAGTCTTTTTGACAATTGGAGCAGTCGTTCATGAGCACCGTAATCCTCTCTCATCCAGCATGTTATCAACCACAACAAGCTCGATCAGTCGAAAGCTTCTGCTTCTTTGTGGTCAGCGACGTCGAGGTTCTACCGGTGAGCGGATCAGACCGGGCGAAAGAGGTAAGAAGAAACAAGGCTTGGCTGGTGGTGTGCGCGCGCGGTGACGAAAGCAGGCTGCGGCGACGATAGCGCGGTTCTGCTGTGGTTCGCTTTCAACCTGCGAGCGCAATCTCAGCTAAGCTGCGTCCGGCAGTCGGCTTCAACGGTCATCCGAATCTGCAGCGCCCTGTCAGTGTATTTTGACCCGAAATCATTCGCGAGCGAGGATATTCAACCGTACCATGAGTGTAAGCATTAGTAATACAACCTCTCGAGAGCTGGACCCTGAAGAAGAAGTCTCGCTCTCCTGGACATGCTCGTGCGCGGTCACGAAACCGGCCACGCCAAACTACTTTCTCACACTCCCTATCACAGCTGTCGGGTGTCGCGATTGCTCCAGTCAGCTCGAGAAGAGCAGGTACCAAGCCTTCGGGACTTGCCGAAAGCATTTGCCACCTAATTCGCACGATGGCGTCGCGGCAGAGGCTGTCATGCTCTGTATGTCGATCGATAGCGGGCTCATCCCGTTCAGCGCAGCAGCAATGGCGCTGCTTTGCTAGCTCGAGTCGACTGACCCTCACCTCTCAGCCGGCACAAGTATCGACTTCTAGCTCATCGTCAACACAAGCATCATCACGGCGAAGCCACTTGCAACCACTTCGACTCTCGGCACACTTTTCTCCCACGCAAAAAGCATCTCAGATCTCCTCGTCTTCGGGCCCCTCATCAACAGCAGCCATCGACGACCCGCTACCTTCACTCCAACTCCTACTTCGCGGCGGCTATATCCGCTCCTCCTCATCTGGCGTCTTCACTCTCCTTCCCAACGCACTCCGCATCCTCCGCAAGCTCACCACCATCATCGACCAAGAGCTCTCGTCCATCTCCGCCTCCCGCCTCGCCCTCCCCAACCTCCTCCCCTCCAAGCTATGGCATCAAACCGGTCGCTACGCCGTCATGGGTAGCGAGCTGTACAAGCTTCGCGATCGAAAGGATTCCGAGTTCGTCCTCGGCCCCACCCACGAGGAGGAGATCACCAAGCTCGTCGCCCACGAGGTCGATTCGGACCGCCAACTGCCTCTCCGGCTGTATCAGATCACCACCAAGTTCAGAGACGAACCGAGACCGAGGATGGGTCTGCTGCGCACCAAAGAATTTTTGATGAAGGATCTGTACTCGTTCGACAAGAGTGCGAGCGACGCGATAGCCACGTATGACGAGGTAAGACGGGCCTATGCGAGGATATTTGATCGGGTCTTTGGCGAGAATGGCAGGTGGAAGGCCGCTGAGGCGGACACGGGTGCTATAGGCGGCAACAAGAGTCATGAGTATCATGTGGAAGATGCTGCAGGGGAAGACACGTTGATATCGTGCGCGAAGTGCGACTACACCGCCAACACCGAAAAGGCAGTCTCGATGCCCAAGCCGGCGCACATGCCCGTCGCGGCGAGCGACGTGAGGGTGCTACTGTTTGGATGCAAGGATGTCAAGGTGCAGGATCAGGTCATGCACGCATTCGTGCTGCCGTTTGATCGAGGTTTGAACGAGACCAAGCTCGAGAAGCGCATCGCCAAGCTCAACACTGCAACCACTCCACAGCAGCCAGAGCCATATAAAGCAGGGAAGAATGACGCAGCCGCGCAGGACAAGATCGAGTTGCTCTACGACTCTTCCTCCTCTTCCTCATTGGATCAAGCATCGACCTGGGACTGGAAGGATCGACCGGAAGGCCCACTAATGCGCTTCACCTCGCTCTCGGTCCTTGCCGATTTCGAATGCGCCTCCCTTGACCCATCCGAACTCAACGACGCGCTCATCGCCGCTGTCAACTCGTTCACCTCTCGACCCGGCACATCGTCGAACGCGCAAGTGCCGCTCATGGACCTCTTCCCAACCCAATTCGGCCACTTTGCCGCCTCGCCGTCGGGCGTCACCCCGCCTCTGACGCTGGTAGACATCCGCACCGCTCAAGCCGACGACACCTGCCCCTCGTGCAAGTCACCGCACTCGCTCCGGGAGACCAAAGCCATCGAGATCGGCCACACCTTCTACCTTGGGGAGCGCTACAGTCGGGCGCTCGAAGCAGGGTTCATCCCGTCGAACGAGGTCAAGGCGGAAACCGAGGCGGTGGAGAGACTGCCCAATGGAAGGGTGCCATTTCAGATGGGCTGTTATGGGATCGGCGTGTCGCGGATTCTGGGTGCGCTGGCGCAAAAAGCGATTGGAGACTTCGATTCCACATTCAACGATCAGTCGATAGCGACCGATGGGAAGGGAAAGTTAAAGGGGAAGAAATCAGGCTTCGTCTGGCCAGCAGAAGTGGCACCTTTCACCGGGGTCATTGTCATCGCTGACCCTCGGGACGCAGGCAAAGTGCAAGCAGCACAGGATGTGTGGCATCGCATCATCACGCACGCCAGACGGAGCGATCGCAGCGTTCGGACTGTCCTCGAGTCCATCGTCGCCGCTTCTCACACCGACACGCCGCCCAAGCCCACCTTGGGAATGGACGAAGGGTGGTCCACCGACCAAGCCTCCGAGCTCGTCATCGACGATCGAACCACAACGCTCGGCAGCAAGCTCGCAGATAGCGACCTCACCGGCTACTCGTTCAGGATCATCGTAGGCAAGCACTTTAGCGCCCAGTCCAAGGTCGAGTTGCAATACGTCGGACCACATGGGTGGGAAGCGGTGCTGCTGCCGCTCGACGCGTTCGGTTCCCCAACCTCCTAGCTCATCTCTCCTCAACTTCAGCATCGGTCACCGCACGCAATAGAGACTCCCCATGCAACTTCAGGGTCACCGCACGCAATAGAGACTCCCCATGCAACACATCACACACCGATCCACATCGTGTATAGAAGCGTCAAATTGAGCGAATGGCGTCTCACTCGTCGAAAGTGACCCTCGTTCCAGTGCTCTGCACGATACCAGTGCTGGCGCGTTGAGCATTGGCCAGCGCAGCACCGGGTTTTGCCCTCCTTGCCGGTCCCCTCTCGCCCTTCTCGGCTCTGCGCGCCATACGCTCCTCCTTGGTCTCCTTATGCTTCTTGGGCAGCGGTGCGTCAGGATCGAAACTTCCCGGCACCGGTGCCACCTTCTCCTCCTCCACCCTCTCTCTCCTAGGCCTCGTCATCTGATCCTTCCTCATAAATCCAACCCTGAGCTCATTCTTGCCCTTCTTCCCCAGTGCCTCGCGCGAAGCCTTGCCAGCACCCCTTCGCGTCGCATCCGCCGAAGCATACTGCAACAGAATCTTGCGTCCGTCCAGGAAGGTGTTGCGCGCATCGATGAGCGACGCAGTGGCCTGCTCGATCGTGTGGAAATCGATAAAGCCGAAACCCTTGCATTTGTCGGGGGCGTCTTCGAAGGTGCCCAGACGAACTTTGCGGATGCCAGCGGGGGAAGGGGTGACTTCGCCCAGAGCCGGCGTGGCGGGTTTGGAGGAGTCGGTGGGGGTGGACTCCTCTTCGTCTTCGGTAGCGGAGGAGGAGGAGGAGCTGCTGGAGTCGCTGTCCGAATCGCTGTCCGAATCAGAATCGCTCTCCGAATCCGAAGATGAGGACGAGGATGAAGAAGCCTTGGGTTTCCGCTCGCTCTTTTTCCTATCCTTCTTCATCTTCTTCTTGGGCGCCGGGTTGCGCAGACCCGCCGACCGGTCGAACAGATCCCTCACCCCTTGCTCGGTGGTATTGAAGCTGAGGTTGCCTAGGAACAACGTCATGCTAGGCGCGTTCTTCTGCGCCCTCAGAATCTTCTGAGCGGTCTTGGTGAGACCCGTCTTGCCCTTTCTCTCCCCTTCTCCCTTCTCCTCTCCCTTCTCCTCTTCATCTCCCTCCTCGTCGTCTTTGTTCGCATGCAAGTTGGTCGTAGCGCTCGGAAGGGATCGTGCAACACCGAGCGCAATTCCATTGATCTCCGGTCTCCCCGCAAAATCACCCCCATCCTTGATCAACAGCTTCCGCCCATCCAACGGTTGCTCAGACAGATTCACCGCTGCTACGAGAGCATCCTTGCTGGGCAGATCGACGTAACAAAACCCTTTGTTCATCTCGGCCCGCCGCGCACCTTTGGGCATGTTGACGCGCGAAATCCCATCAACGCCGCGTTGGGCGAACCAGTCGATGAGCTTGGCGGGCGCGGTGAAGAAGGAGAGGTTGCCCACCCACACGCTGTACTGACTGCGAGGGAGGGGGGCTGCTCGGTCTGGGTGGACGAGGTTGTTCGGGCTAGGATCCGAGGAGGAGGTGGAAGGATCGAGCTTGGCCAATTTCTTCCGTCGACGTTGTTCTTTGTGCGAGATGGCTTCCACTTCCTCTTCGGCTTCACCGTCAGCGGCGGCATCGGTGGTGGTGAGGGGAGTGTCGTCGTCAGCCTTGCGCTTGGTTCCAGCAGCAATGTCGGCAGAACCGCCAGCCTTGCGTGCCGCAGCAGCCTCCTTGGCCGCTTTCTTCTGCGCCACCGCCAACTGACGCTTCTCTTTGTTGGTGAGCACGCGCTCGGCGCCCGCTTCGGTGGGTGTGGGCTCCGTGTCCGACATAATGACGAAGTTCGAGTGTGTGCGGTGATGGTCGATATTGGAGAAGGTGCCAGGTCGAATTGAGAAGACCCTGAGCCGCTGGGCGGGCAAAAAGTGCGAAGTTTCCCAAAATTTTCCCCTTGAGGGCAGAGGCTCGGGAATCGGAGTCGGGATTTTTTTGGGCTGTTAAATAATTGGTTATGGTGCAGGATCAATCGTTTCGACCGGCTGGTATGATGCTCGATGCTGCTTTCAGGTCTCTTGGCAAGACGTACGTACTGCTCTTACTGGACATCCGAACCACATACTTGCAGATGAGAGAAGCCAGAAGTGATCAAGAGTAGTGACATTGAAAATGAAAAACCGACATGCTACGCCCCTTCAAGCCTCGACAAACTCCTTCATGTGTCCCAACCAGCTACAGTACTCGCGCTGCTCCTTGTACTCGGCATAATTAGGCACGAACAACGCCATGTTAGCATCGATACCCCTCTCTGCCCAAAATTGGTGCCACTGGCCCTGCAGGCTTTCATCGAGCGTATCGAACTGGGGGCCGAGATAGACGCCTCTCCTCTTCCAGTCCGCCTCGGCGTCGAGCCTGGTGGCCAGATCCGCATCCTTGTAGTATCCGATGTTGTCGATGTTGAGCTCTCCATCCTGTACGAAGCCGTCCATCATGATCGCGCCGCCGGTGGGTTTGGTGATGGTGGCCGAGATGCGGATTGGGAACGGGGGGTTCTCGGGCTGTTCCGGAGGACCATCGACCTCACCCGGCGTGCCATCCTCGTTGTCCTCCGGCAGAGCACCGGAAGTGTCAATGTCGCCGACGGAGAAGAGAAGCAGGATGTGCTCGTTTCCGAACTGACGCTCGAGAGCAACCTCGTCGAGCCCGGGCGTGTCGCGGATCTTCCAGATCCCAGACTGCTTGAACTCGGTCACGAACCCGGGTTCGGCCGTAGGCGAGTCGCCGGTGAAGAGGTTCGAGTTCTCCTGTTCGTACGAGAGTTCCTGGACGAGCTTGCCTGCGAGCTCGGCGTCGTACTCGCCGTGACCCCGGGCGAGCGAGGTGGCGGAGAAGGAGCGGATCGCCGAAGAGATGGGTGCGGGTCGAATGATGGTACGAGCAGCAATGGCGCTGCTGGGCGTGAAGGCGCGAGGCGCCGCTCGGAGGAGCGTTCGGGTAGCAGTACGTGCGATCATGGTCGGTGTACAGGGAAGGTGACAGTGGTGATGAGGGATGATGAGGATGAGGATAGGTGGAGGATGAGGAAGAAAAAAAGTTGTTGGAAAAGGAGATCAGTGCGCACTTTTGGACGGCCAAGGACCCTTTGTCCGCTTGGAAGCCAGAAGAAATTCGCAACGCAAGAAAAAGGCAGCATCAGAACGTGCTTCTCACGCTACCAGCACAAAGGGCTTGCGCTGACTTTCAGAGACCATCACTTCCCTTTGTCAAGTTCAGACGAGGAGTGCACTGTCTCAACCGAGCACATAATCGCACGATAGAGATACGCAGGCAGTCAAGGCGAAGAGCCGGCATAGTCGCATCATAGTGACCCGGAATGCCACCATGAAAACGCGTGTCGACGGTAGCCTTCGATGCTGAAAGCTGCAGCTTCACTCGAAGCCAACAAACCAGCACAGAGCAGACAAGTAGAGTAGACGAGGGGATGAATTCGAAAGCAAGAGACAAGCGTCGACCGAGAGACTCTCACAGACGAAGACGGGTTGGGGAAGAGAGATAAGGGGAACGGGGCAGAAGACGACGAAATGGGACTACAGTATGTGGAATCAGACCATACCTTGGGCCTTGGGCTTTGGCTTGTCATCAGAACTAGAACGGGGCCGTGACATCATCACGATCCGGAGCTTCAAGCTGAGACATGTCATCACCAGCAAGTTGAGGCCGAGACCTGGCACCGCCAGCAGCCGCATTAGCACCCTACTTCCCGCAGGTGGGGCACTCGGGGCGCGGATTCTGCTTGTGGTGAGGGATCGTCGCCTTGGCATCGCCTGAGAAGTGTGCCTCCTCGTTCTCCTCGTTGATGTCCCCTTCATCGACACCATGAACGACCTTTCCATCCCATTCAAAATGCTTGCGCTTGTACCGTTCGGTCGCTGCCTTGGAGTCGTCCTTGTTGGTCGAGCTGGGAAGCCCTTCAAAGTCAGCCTCGCTGGAAGCTGGCGGAGACGAGCGCTTCTCGACTACGGCATCATGGTTGCCATGAGCCTTGATGTACGCCTCAAACATCTGTGAGTACGGCGGAAGGCTCTTGTAGTCGCCATTCCAGCTCCGGTGCGTCGCCTCCCACCACTCTCCCACTTCCTCGTAGGTCGGCTCGTCCAGCGTGCGCCAGTGATGGGCGTCTTTCATCGCTCTCTCCCCGGGGCTGGCGAGCAAGATGTGACCTTCGTTGTACTCCTGCAGATTAGAGCGCTTGTGGTGACCTCCGTGAGCCGCCTTGAACTCCTTCACCATCTCTCGGTATGACGGAAGGGTATCGTAGCCCGGATGGGCAGAGATCCACCATAGGTAGACCTCTTTGTAGGTCGGTTCGTAAGAGGAAACCTTCGATTCGTGCAGGTCGGCAGGAGGATGACAATACTCCGGGTAGTATCTGCAGAATGTATAATCGCCCGAGCCTTTGCCGTTCGCAGGGTGTCCTGCCGAAGGCGGCAGCTCGTCCTCTCGTCGTCCGTGTAGCTCGCGTCGTTCCAGACGAGGCTCGGCATCCCTTCCACTCTTCCCACTCGGCGGACACCACCCTTTGTCGCGCGGGCAAAAGTACGGGAGGTATGGGCAAGGTGTGCACGTAGGAGGAGGGGGTTGGGGTGGCGGATTCGGATCGCAGTACGGCCAAGGGCACTCTTTGTCTGCCGCAGGCTTTTTGACCTCGACAACTCCGCGTCGATTCAATCGACCGTCGGCAACGAGCGGAACATCCTTCTTTTTGGCATCGCAGAGCGCGGGGTCAATCTCGCAGGGATCAGGAGGAGGTTGAGGTTCCGGGAAGGGCTTCCTTTGTCGCTTCTCCTCGAGCTCGCCATGGTTCAGTCGGCTCTCGACGACGGATCGAGCTTCGACATCCACGTGACGATCCCGACCCGGTCCGTAGGGCGGATCGCAATCCTCCGGGTCTTCAGCGCAAGCCGGATCGTTCCACGGCGTCCTGGGATTGCCTTCACCTGGACGTCTGGGGTGCGAGGCTCGTCGTTCCAGTCGACCCTCGATGACAGATCGAGCTTCGATATCCACCTGACGTTCTCGATGACCATTGTAGGGAGGATCGCAATCCTCCGGGTCTTCGGCGCAAGCTGGATCGTTCCATGGCGTCCTGGGATTGCCTTCACCTGGACGTCTGGGGTGCGAGGCTCGTCGTTCCAGTCGACCTTCAACGACGCCGTCGCAATATGCGGGGTCGTAAGCGCAACGAGGACTCCATATCCCGCTTCCGTGACCTTTGCGATGTTCCTCGACCGAGACGGGTGGCGCATCTTCACGTTTGCCGAGGTCGCGTCGATCTATATGGCCTTGACGAGCGTGGTCGCAAGCAGCTGGGTGTTTTCGGCAGAACGCAGCAATGCTCTCGTGGTCCCTCTTTGCCAGGTCCTGGCTGGCGTTGGGATGGCACAACTCCGGGTGAGTTGCGCAGAGAGGATTGGGATCGTAAGGGTTGCCATTGGGAGGTGGACCTGAGCGCTTCTCAAACTTGCCGAAAGGGTCCTGTGCGCTCGGATCCTCGCACGATGCTGGATCGAGCTCGCACAACGGATCATCTCTGGGCTGCTCGAACGTGTCGCCATGACTCAGGTGACCATGGCCAGGAGGGTCATCCGGGTTGCCATGGGGAGGCGGGCCAGCCGAACCGCCCTTGTCCAACTCGCCTTCAACCGCATGTCGAGGGACGACGATGTTTCTCTTTGAAAGTCCGTCCGGATTCTCGCAGGAAGGCGAGCCTGGGTCGCAGGGAGGATCGTTGCCGATCGGATAGTTGCCACTCGGATCGTCGCTAGCACCATTATTGTCGCGAGCAACGACGGTCCCGGAACGCCGACCGAGCGGCGAAGCGACGACAAAGGTGGCGCTCACTAGAGCGAGCAGAAGGGCCTTGTAAAGTATCATTCTGTAGAGGTGCAACACCGTTGGGAAAGGACGATGAGCGATGATGAGAAAGATGGAGGCGAAGCGCGAGAAGTGGTCGGTATATATGCTTGTTTGGAGGCATGGGTCTGACGTGGAGGAGGTACGGCCAACGGAGACGACAACGGTTCACATAGGTCTTATCGAGCGTGGGGACGTCACGAGTTCTCTTCATCACCGTTGCTATCTTTCGATGGAAATCCCACGCTGCAAGGCCTACTCGTCTCGGGCTAGTTTAATGGCTGGCTCATCGCCGAGCGAGGACGGCGAAGCGCCACCGGATGACTTGGCCCGGTATCCTGACAACTGCTCGACGGCGAAAAGCCCCACTGAGTACAATGACGACCTTTTTCTCAGCCCCACTCACATGTCCACATGCCCCACAATCAACGCCGGTATCAATGCTTGGCATTCCCCACACTTTCGTCACCTCGACTCGCTCGACTCGGTCTCAAAGCTGCTGGCCTCTTGCTCTGCCTGCTGTGCCCTTCCCGCAAACATGCCACTCAACGTCGTCTGCACGGTCCCCGCCTTAGCCCACCGACTCAACTCCATCTGGTCCGTCAACTCCCTTGGCAGCAACTTGTGGGCCAAACTGCTGGCGTCGTGCCTCTGCGTCACGCGCCCCTGCCGCTTGAGTACCGCCACCACGTCCTGCTCCGTAATGTTAACCCCCTCCGCCGCCCGCCGCGACGAACGCGTCTTGGCCTGCGTCAACAGGTTGGCCGCAAAGTCGGCGAAAAAGTCGTGACACGCCGAATCGAGCTCGTCCAACACGGTGCTGTCCAGCTTGGCTTTCTTCGTTGAACTGCCGGACGAGGAGAGGAGCGAGGAGGAGGTGCCCGAGGAAGAGGGGGTAAGGAAGGACGAGAAGATGTCTCGCATGACGGACGCGGGGAGAGGAGGAACGGATTCACCGGTGTGCGGGGAGACACGCAATTTGCGCTTCTTGACGATACGCCGTTTGAGGAGCGCATTGATGTCTTTCGGGTCGAGAAGGTCCAGACGCGCATCGCGGTTTTCGGCATCCGAATCGTCGTCCTCCTCGAGATCGGGTACGGATAGACCGTATTCGACCGCACCGTCGTCCGAAGAGTAGGCGTCGTCCACTTGGAACGAGACGTCTTCTTGTTCGGCGAAGGAGACGCGCGAGATGCGGCTGTCGTCGCCTTCGCCGCCGGTGATCGAGGTGTCGCGTTGGATGCTGAGATCGCGCGAGGCGGAGTCGTCGGCAGCGAGTCGTCGAGCAAGACCGTCAGAGTCATCGTCGGCAGCATCGACGGCAAGACTGTCGGACACCTGGTCCTCTTCGTCGCCGTGGATCTGTGACATGTCGTCGTCTCCGCCAAGGAACAAGATCGAGCCATCGGCTTCGCCCTCGAGCGGTTCTGACATCGACCTGCCCATACTTTTTCTCCTCCTTGCCTCCAGAATCGCTGCGTCCTCCTCCTCGTCTTCGTCGTCCTCATCGTCGTACTGCAGCTGTCCGTCTTCGCTGAAGAAGCTCTGTCGAGTCAGGTCGTCGAGCCTTCGAATGGCTCGAGCCGTAGCAGCATCGATACCGGATGCAGAGATGAAGCTTTCCGCTCCACCACGCTGCTGGAGACTGTGCTCTAGCTCGTCTTCCCTTCGGCTGGACATGTCGTCGAAGCGCATCGACGCGGGCGAAGGTTGCTCGGCGAACGAGACACGTGAGCCGGTCGAGATGCGCGATGTCTTGGGTCGATCCGCCATGCCAGCGAAGATGCCGCCGCGGACCAGTCCAACACCCGACGCTCGTCGTGGGATGCCCATGTCTGAGAGGCGTGAGCGAGATCGGTCATCTGGGCTCATGAGCGATTCGTCGACGTCGAGCGACTCGCTGACGTTGCTGTCGCGAGTAAGGTCACCAGGAACAGAGACACCTGGCATGAGCACGTTGGAGCGATGAGAGCTACTGGCAGCGCTGTCTCGGGCTCGTGTCCGAGAGCTGGAGGCGTCTGCCGTGCTAGCGGTGCTGGTTCGGCCAGGACGGACACCAGGAGGAGGCATGGCGATCGAGTCTTCTGAAGGGGTCGGTGGCGCAACGAAGTCAGGCGCGCGAGCAAGACGTCGCAAAAGGTCCATGGGCGATTCTTCGCGTCCACCAGCCCATCCGCCGACACCACCCCACAGCAGACTCTTGCGAGATGCAGATCGCCGTTCGCGGGTGCGTTGTGCGCTGGCCAAGAGCGCATCGTTGCGTTTGCGTCGCTTGTCCGTGGCGGGCGTCTGCATGCCTTGCTGAGATGAGGACGCCGCACCAGTGAATGGGTTGGTTGCAGCTGAAGCGGAGCTAGGGACAGTGCGTCTTGGTGTGCCGAGAGCACGTCGTCCAGGCGTGGTCGTGAGGGCCGCAGTCTGTGAGGGCGTTCGTGCTTGCTTTTGAGCTGCCGCGTACTTGGCGGACGGCGTCATAGAGCTGGACTGCAACTGGCGAAGCAGCACATCATTTGGTGGAGGCTGCGAGAGAGACCTGCGACGAGTCGGATCGCTTGAGCTGGCCGTCTGCGCTTGAGATGCATCCCTGCCGCGTAATGAAGACGCTGCTGCTGATGGTGACGCGCCAGCCATGGAAGGCCGGTTGCGAACAGCCGGAGCTGTGTTTGGTGCTCGCGTCTTTGCTGGACTGCGGCTAGGCCGAGGTGTTGTTTCGGTATCGTCATCGCCTTCGCCAGCCTGTGACGCTCTTGCCTTGCGTTTGCGTGTCGGTGTTGTTGTTGGTGACTCAGTGTCGGGAGCTGTGCCGCCTGGCGTCGAAACTCTGCTTCTCCTTGGCGAGCGTCGCGGTGTTGTGTTGGCATCCTCTGCAATCTGAGCGATCCGTTGCGCGACTTGCTGGTCGCCAACAACGTATCGGGGAGAAGAATTTCTTCTGCCGCTTCCACCTGCGAGACCCTGGCTGGCGCCACGCTTCTCTTTCAAGCCATCGACGGGACGATCCGCGGAGTTGGCGGCACCGATGTTGAGCCTCTCGCCGGGTTCGCTCTTCAGTACGAGCGCTGTACCTCTGAAGCCGAGATAGAAGAATTTCGAGAGGGTGGTAGCGTTGGAATGTGACAGGACGATGGTGATGCTGTTGGTGTGGGAGAAGCGTGCGACGCTGACCGGGTATTCGACGACCCCTTCCTGACCTCGAAGCAGCGCGAAGTCAGCCTGCGCTTTACCACTACCCACGTTGCCGAGGGTAGCAGCGCTGGCGAGAGGCGAAAGGTTGGCGGGATGGTCATCAGCTGTAGCTTGCTCTACATCGTCAAAGTCGACGCCATCCGGGCGATTGACGAATGCGCGGCAGCGTGTAGGAGCAAAGTCGCCAGTACCGGTGTTGATGAGGATCGATTTGAGCCTCACTGGGCAAGTGAAAGGAACGGTGATGGCAAGCTGGTCGTCGACGTTGGACTGCGTGGAGGGGTCGGCAGAGAGACGCTCGTGCCATGGCTTGATGACATTCTTTGCGGACTCGGGTGGGTCGAGATTAGCACCCCAGACCTTGTCGCGGATGATGTACTCGAACAAGCTGGTGGCGTCTCCGTCTACAGCTGATAGGCCGGTGGAAGAAGAACCGGGATCGCGACTGTCCTGGTCGCTGCTTGAGGTGTTGCAGCTCATGGTAGCGGTTCTAAACGATGGCAGCAGCGCACATCCGCCTAACGAGTTGGTCGGTGTGCTCGTTGGTCGTTGTATGCTGTGTCGGTGTCGTTGTCCAAGCGGGTGTGATGGCTGGCGATGAGAATGACGGAAGACGGATGGAAGGGAGGATGACAATCGTGATGGCAGCTTGGATAGGAGGTGTTGATCTCGCACGAATTCAGAAGCTCCAGCTGAACCTGCAGGCCAAAAAAGCACGACGCGTCAGCCAGCCGCGCGTAGAAGCAGGCGATCTCACATTCCTCCAGATTCAGATCGGCGATGCAATCCACACAAGCACGAAAGGAAGAAATTGGGCGCGTGCCTCGTGCTTTCTTGCCTTCCAGCTCACCGATTTCAGTCTCAGCCAACCGAACCAGCCTCGGCCAATTGCATTCTCACTCACGCACGGCTCAGCTCTCGTCTCCCTTCCCCCTCTTACCACCACACGGACGACGATCGCTCTCACTGCTGCCTTACGGTCATTGCAGTCAATCGTCACAACGCTTTGAGCTCAGCTGCACTCGCTTGCTAGCTGCTCGCCGTCACCATGGCCGAATACAAGTACGACGAGGAGGGAGGGCAGTTCCTGACCTTCGTCCTCACCTTCCTTCTCCTCGTCCTCGTGCCTCTCACATACTCGGTCCTCTCACCATCCCGCTCCAGCTCGTCCAAGAAAGGCTCATGGGATGCACGCGGACAGAAGATCGACCTCATCCGTTCCGCCAAGAAGCGATCGTTGCTCAACCCACAGATCAGCTCCAGGGCTGTCTTCGTTCTCGCAGGATGGGGCATCGTAGCCTACCTCTTCCAGACCATCCTCAACACCGCCGCCAACTCTTCGCATGCTGTCTACGACCCTTTCCAGATTCTTGGTATCACCGCCTCGGCCACCGAGAAGGAAATCAAGAAGCACTACAAGCGTCTCTCGGTCAAGTTCCACCCAGACAAGCTCGTCCTCGGCGATAACCAGACCAAGGAGGAGGCTGAAGGTCACTACATCGAGCTGACCAAGGCGTACAAGTCGCTCACCGATGACACGATCAGGAAGAACTTCGAGCTTTACGGTCACCCCGATGGAAAGCAAGAGATGTCGATGGGCATTGCGCTGCCTCGCTGGGTCATCGAGGGTCAGAACAACATATACGTGCTAGGCATGTATGCTGTCGTTCTCGGTGTCGGTCTTCCCTTCCTCGTCGCTCGATGGTGGTACGGCTCGCGCTCCAAGACCAAGGACGGCATCGTCAACACCACTGCCCAAACCTACTTTCAGCATCTGCGCGACGACACCAACGCCTCTCGCATCTTTGCCCTCCTCGCCATCTCCGAGGAATTCAACGACCCAAGCTTGGACAAGCTCGGACCCAAGCACAAGGACGAAGCTGCGCTGGCCAAGCTCGAGGCGCAGATCCGGGAGAGGCTCGCCGAGTACGGACCCGAATGGCACCTCATCACGTCGTTCAAGAACGCGTCGATCCGCAAGGCGCTCCTCATGCTCTACGCACATACTTTGCGCATCGACACTGGCAACAAACGGCTCGAGCAGGATAAGCTTCAGTACGCCGCCAAGGCCGTTCCGCTCATCAGCGGGTTGATGTCCATCAGTCTCGCGCACAACTGGCTCGAGACGACGCTGCTACTGATGCAATTCACCCAGTGCATGGTCCAAGCTGTTCCGTTGCAGGATTTGGCCGCCGCCGAATTGTTGCAGCTGCCCGGGATGACGCCGGACCTGATCAAGAAGCTGCAGGCCTCGAACAGTTTGGCCAAGCTCGGGGTGCAGGGGTTCTGGAAGATCCCGGATGCGGAGCGCAAGAGCGTGCTGACGGGTGCGGGTGTGGGCGCCAAGGAGTATGACCAGATGGTGAGCGTCACGAGCACCTGGCCGCGACTGGAGCTCGTCGATGCCTTCTTCAAGGTTTCCGGCGAGAGGCTGGTGACGACGGGAGCAATTGTTCAGTTCATCGTCAAGCTCCGACTGTTGCCGCCGAAGAAGGATGGCAGTCTGCTGCGCGATGGTCGACGTCTGGACGCTCGACGCATGGACGAAGAGTCCTCGGTTCGACCGGACGAAGATGACGCCAAAGACACGAGCACGACCGAGAAGGAGGAGGGCAAACAGACCATCGGCTTTGCCCGCGCGCCTTACTTCTGGGACGAACGCAAGCCGTCCTGGTGGGTCATGATCGGCGATCAGAAGTTGGACAGGGTGATTGTGCAACCGACCAAAGTGTCGGATATCGGCACAGACAAGGTGCGGACCTACTCGGTCCAGTTCCAAGCCCCACCCCAGGCAGGACTGTATACGTTCCAGGCGATTCTCAAGTCGGATAGCTTCCTCGGATCGGACGCGAGCAGGATGGTCAAGTTGAAGGTGGAGGATGCGAGCGTGCTGGAGGATGAAGGGGAGGATGAGATTAGTGAGCCGGAGGAGGATAGTTTGGCGGGACAGATGGCGCTGATGAAGGGACAGAAGGTGAAGCCTGCTAGGGCGGAGGAGGATGATGAGGAGAGTGGTACCGAGGAAGAGGTGGATGATGCGGACAGCGATGATAGCGATAGTGATAGCGACAGCGATTAGATGCAACGATGCGTTCGGAGAAGATGAAATGCAGAACCATTCAGTGTCGTTTGTTCAGACAGTGGGCAGCGTGGTGAGGCCTGTGAGCTGATGAGATGGTATTGATCGGGTATGTCATCGTGTTGCAGCTCTGAGAGTTAGACGTCGACCAAAGCTCCACCGTTGCTCTCGCCCTTCTTTCCCTGCTTTTCGGCCTCCAACTCTTCCGGATATCGCTCCCTAGTCCCCTCGATATCCTCCAGAATGTCCGTGAAGCACCATTCGACCGCATCGGCGGCCCAAAAGTGATCGCAGTGCTCCGCCTCGTCCTGCCTCTTGAATCTTAGCAGCTTGACGTCCTTCTCCCTCTCCTCGAGTCTCTCGATCAGTGGATCGGTCAAGACCAAAAAGTCCATGCCACCACTGAAGATGGACAGCGGGGGGAAGTTTTCGTCCCACCACTTGTCGAGCGTTGGATCGAGCACGCAGCCTCGGGAAGCAAACCCATCCTTGCCAGCCCACCAGTAGATCGAGGCCGAGGAAACGGGTTGCGGGGTGAAGCGGAACATCTTGGCTTTGCGACGGAGGAGCCAGTTGGCGTCGGTCCATGCGAAGAGGAAGGCGAACATCTGATATCCCAACAACGCGTAGGGATACGCGGGTGTATAATCGTAAGAGATCTTCATGAGAGGGATGAAATCTAGCACGCCAAAGAAGCGTTTCCACTTGGACCATTCCAACTGACCCAGCGTGGTGAATGGGAAACATGAGGTCAGAGGTCCGGCGTAGACGGCAGGTGCGAGCGCTCCAAAGTAGGTCAACTTCTGACCGAGCTCCGGAACCATTCCTTTGGAGAGGGAGATGAACATGGTCCCGTTCCCCTGCGAGTGACCGATGTAGGCGATACGATCGTAACCCGTGTCTTTGCGGATGTAGTCGATCATGGCGGGAAGATCGTAGATGGCAAGCTCGCGGATGTTGTAGTCCCAAAAGCGCGGATCGGATCGTGAGTACGTTCGATGGCCCATATCGAACACGCCGCGGTTGTTGCCCAAGAAGACCTGGTAGCCTCCCTGCCGCGCTAGCCAGAAGGCTAGGGATCGCTCTTCGGACGTGACGAAGGAGCCGGACGACTGGAAGAGACCGTGCATGATGAGCACGGGGAAGCCTTTTCGTCCATCAGAGTGCGTTTTATGCGTGGTTTGCGGGTCGATGATGCGGTTCATGCGAAGGTAGTAGCCGTCTTGGGTTTCGACGGTTTCGTTGACAATTTCGAACCCGCAGCTGGCCGCATAGTAGCGGACGTCCTTGACGAGCTTCTCCTTGTTCCACCGTTGCGGATCGTCCCATTCCTTCTGCTCCTTGATGCTGGGCGCAAAGAACTTGGGCAGCGCAGCCAGTAACCGCACCGCCAGCGCCCACATGACCACCAACAACAGAAAGAACGACGAAAGCACATTCGCCGTCATCTGCGTCACAAACAGGCGTCCTCTCGAATACAACGTGGGTCTCGAGTACGGAGGGGCGCCGCCGCGACGGGCAAAGGTGGTGGTGATGCTATCCTGCGTCGACCGGCGTTGCGCATGAGGAGGTTTGCCGTTGCGATGCGATCGACCGTCGTCCGACTCGGCAGGGTGAAGGAGAGGATCCTCTTCGAAGCCCGTGGGGACGTGTGTGTAGAGCGCGCGTCCGGAGATGGTCTCGCTGGAGGGCTTGTCGATGCGGATGCGCATGCTGGCCGCCGAGGAAGGCCGACTGATGGGCTCGTTGGCGGAGGAACGGATGAAGTCGGAGAGCGCACTGCTAGCAGCGGTGTCGTGGCTGATGAGGTTGCCGTCGATGAGAAGACCTTGACTGCGCGGGGATTTGGAAGAGCTGGTGCCGTTGCCAGCAGAGGAGGAGAGGGAGGAGGACGATGCCTCGGCCCGCAAAGTGCGGGAATTGTTGGGCATGATGTGATGGTCGTGGCCTTGCTTCTAGGGATGAGGACGAGATGAGACAAACGAACGTGTCAATGAAGGTGGACGCGCTTGCCGACAAGCGCTTGACAAGTCGATGCGGGGTCCGACGAGATGATGGTGGGTGGAGAAGACGGTTGCGTGCAGACAATGGAAATGAATGCGCTGCGCGGAATCAGGTCATGTCAAAGATGCCGAGCGAGGGTCCTCTTTGCTTTGAAAGAGAGGGGTTGCAGCCGTGCGCATATTTCACATGCTCAACGCCGATCCGTTTGCAAACCGCGTTTGCTGCTCCTCAGGGGAGAACGAATGAGAAAGCGGAGAGCGCATCATTCATCAAAACAAAAGCAACAGCAGACGGCGACATCGGCGAGAAATTCAGTGAGGATGTCAAGTCGAGAAAAAGATAGCCGAGTGGGCGCAGCCAAAGGATCGCCAGCTGATGACATTGTTCTCGACGCCTCTTTGGTATCATCCAAGCACACGACGCTCGCTCCAGCCTTGGCTGTCGGCTCTCGTCTTGGTCGCCAGTACAGTTCTGCGAGGAAGCGACCGGCTCCTTCTGCGTTGACCACGAACCGTGGGAAAGCCACTGGCGTCAGAGCTTGTCAAAAGACGTAAGCTCGTGCGGGTGTCGGCGACGTCCGAACGGAAGCTCATCATACTTTCTCACGCTGCTTCGTCGGGATCATGTTCATGTCTTGCTCAGCAACCGTCATTTGACATCATACGAGCCGCAATGGGGGCAAGACCTTGCTTCAAGGTCGATGCAAGACGCATCGAGATTCGGTTGTTGGCCTCTTCTTATTTTGCTCTCACCTAGGCGACATTAGGGCCGATGTAACACACTGACAAAAATGCCAAGCTGGCAAAAGCTCAAAACGCCGAAGCACGCGGTTTGTGCTTCTGCGTGGCACGGGACAGACCGAGAAGCAGCAAGGCAGTGCCGGTTTCTGCAAAGCAAGCGCGCTCGAACCGCGATATGATTCCAGAAAAAGTGTTCTTCTCAGACGCTCGACTCCAACACCGCACGCGCCAACTCGTAGCAAGCCAAGCGCTTCGGTCTGGCTTTGCTTCTGCAACATCATCGCAACCCACCGTCAAGGCATTCGTACAGCTGCTCAATTCAGTGATCGGAGCGCTGACACATCCAGCATCGATTCAACCGGCGTCACCGACACGCAACCCGGTACGTCCGATCATCGCGCTCTGAGAGCACCTCGCTCGTTACTCTGCGCTGAGCCTCTGCTAGTCAAATCGTCAAGCTCGCTGGCGGGCTCAAGTCATCCACACCAGCGCAGCTCAACATGGCTTCACTCGGGCATACAGCCGCGAGCATGCGCTCAAGGCAACATCAAGATGCTGCTGCCTATCCCTCCGAAAAGCCATCGCTCTACAGCAGTGGTGCTCAGCTTGACGCCAGCGATGCCATCCGAGGCAAGACGGGCAAGCTCTACTCACAATCAGCTGCAGCATCACATAGCACCGGTCTTGGTCTCGGCATTGGTGCTCAGCCTGGTGCATCAGCTGCTGCAACCAACACCATCTCCAAGAAGGAACACCGCGTCATTGCAGCACTCGTTCTCGTCGCTTTCCTCATCCGCATGCGCAAGCTCAGCCAACCATCCAGCGTGGTGTTCGACGAAGTACACTTCGGCGGCTTTGCCTCCAAATACATCAAAGGTCGCTTCTTCATGGATGTTCACCCGCCACTCGCAAAGCTTCTCATCACGCTTGCCGCTTGGCTTGGTGGCTTCGACGGCGATTTTGACTTTAAGGACATCGGTCGCGAGTACCTTCACGGCGATGACACGCCCGTGCCGTATGTCATGATGCGCGGTCTCAATGCTCTGCTCGGCGTCGCTACTGTCCCTCTTGCGTACCTCACCCTCCGCGGCTTGTCTCTACGAGCTTCGACCGCAACACTCGGTGCCATCTTTGTTCTCTTTGACAACGCGCTTATCACACAGAGCCGTCTCATCCTGCTCGACTCGATCCTCGTCTTCTTCACCGCCCTCACCGTCTACTTCTGGGTGGCCTTTTGCAACGAGGAAAAGCGCGCTCCTTTCTCAATCCGATGGTGGGCGCTGCTTTCCCTCACCGGGCTCAGCCTCGGCGCCGTCGCCAGCTCCAAATGGGTCGGTCTCTTCACCATTGCCACCATCGGCATTTCGGTCATCGCACAGCTTTGGGAGCATCTTGGAGACGTTCGTCAGCCTGTGCGCACCGTAGCGCGTCATTTCTGCGCCCGCGCCATCTGCCTCATCGGCTTCCCCATCCTCGTCTACCTCTTCACCTTCGCCATCCACCTCGCTCTGCTCCACCGCAGCGGCGAAGGCGATCCGTTCATGAGCAGCGCTTTCCAGCACACGCTCCACGGGCACGGCATGGCCGACACCTACGCCGATGTCGCTCTTGGTTCCACTGTCAGCATCAAACATCTCAACACCCAGGGTGGCTACCTTCACTCGCATGTCGCCACCTACCCCGCCGGAAGCCAGCAGCAGCAGATTACCCTCTATCCGCACTCAGACGACAACAACTACTGGATCCTCGTCAAAGCGCCCGGTCCCGAAGATCCAGCACCCAAGCTCGACGACAAGGGCCATCCCATGCGACCCGAAGACGAGATTTCACGCTGGCACCAGGAGCCCATCCGATACATCACCCACGGCATGGAGATCCGTCTCATCCACAAGAACACAGACAAGCGTCTGCACAGTCACGATACCAACCGTCCGCCCGTCACTGAGAGCGACTACCAGAACGAGGTCACCGCCTACGGCTTTGAGAGCTTCGGCGGTGATGCGAATGACAACTTCCACGTCGAGATCGTTGCTGCTGAAAAGCACGACCATTTCGCGTCCACGCGCGTGCGTTCGCTCCGTACCCGTTTTCGGCTGCGACACACCTTGACGGGCTGCTATCTCTTCTCGCACAAGGTCACTCTGCCCGACTGGGGATTCGGTCAACAGGAGGTGACGTGCAATAAGAATCCCACCATGCCCAACTCGCTTTGGTACGTCGAGACGAACAGCCACCCCCTGCTGTCGCCGGCGGCGGATCCAAAGCCGGACATGGTCAACTACCGTCGCCCGTCGTTTCTCGACCGGTTCTGGGAACTCCAACGCGTCATGTGGGAGACCAATGCTGGACTCACCGATCGTCACGCTTACGATTCCCGTCCTCAAACCTGGCCCCTGCTTAAGCGGGGGATCAACTTTTGGACCAAGGATCACCGTCAGATTTACCTCATTGGCAACCCGTTCGTCTGGTGGGGGTCGTTCCTTTCGGTTCTTGGCTACCTCGCTGCGCGTGGATTCGCCATGCTCCGTGCTCAGCGCGGGTATGGTGATCTCAAAGATAGCAGGGTGCGATTCTACGATCAGACCTGTGGATTCCTTGCTCTGGGTTGGGCGTTCCACTATCTGCCGTTCTTCCTGATGCATCGCCAGCTGTTTTTGCACCACTACCTCCCCGCGTTGTACTTCTCCATCCTGGTGGCGGCGGTGATGTTCGATTTTGCTACGGGGGCGATGCGCCCTCGATTCCGGCTGGTGGCAGGGGTGGTGGTCACGGTGGTGGTCTTTGGCGGATTCTTGCGATATACCCCGCTAACCTATGGAGGCGATTGGACGTTGCAAGGCTGCGAGAAAGCTCGTTGGAGGAAGGGGTGGGATTTCAACTGTGCCGATTTCTCCCGTGATCTGGCGAGGTACAAAGACTGGCCGCCGAGCGTACAGACGGTCGAATGGGCGGAGAAGCTACCGGTCAGTCTGGAGAGGAATAAGACAGAGGGAGTGGGGGCAGAACCGGGAAGACACGCGTTCGAACAGGTCCCACTGAGGGCAATGCAGAGTTCCGCCGCTGACGCGTATCAGCATCTCAAGGACGGACTGGTACACGAGATGGAGTATGTCAAGGACAAGGTGGGACTGGGGCACAAGGAGGATCCGGTGGCAGCAGGGAAGGCCGCCGATCCGGCGGGATTGAATCAGCAGCAGGTGGAACAGGTCATGTTGGAGGGCACGGGCGAGGTGGTCAAGGTCGCGGAGACGAGCGACAAGACGCAGACCGAGCCGACGCAGGCGGCCAAGTGGGACAAGCATGCGGATGAGGAGGCGCATGAAGCGGCCGAGGTGGTCGAGGACGATAGGGACGAGGGGCATTTGCACGATGATGAGGACGAGTGAGGGGGTGCTTTGTCAGACGTGAGGAATCAATTGCTTTTGGTTTTCGGTCTTTCACTGTGATAGAATGGGATTGAATTGCTATCTGCTTGCTGTCGACGGTGGTGGTGGTGGGTTTGCAGCACGTTGATCGCCATTCGACCCCGAACCAGCAAACACGCGCCAGAACGGCTTGACAACAATGATCGTCACCAACAACAAACACAGTAACACCAAGAACAAGATGCACTGCCGTCTGCCACTGCGTCGTTGGTAGCGTGTGGCAGTCTCGAGCTCCTGCACCGCGCCCTTGATTTCGCGGCTCATGAGCTCGACGTTGTAATCGATGCGATCGAGCAACGTCCCTTGGTCGATGACGAGCGTTTGGAGGTCCGTAAAGAGCGTCGCGAGTTCCTGGATGCTTTTGGCGATCTCGTCAATCTCCTTGGAGCGTTGGAGGATGTCTTGGTCTGCATGGGTGGTGGATTCTTCCAAAAGGAGGAGGTCGCTTTGCTGGGAAGAGGGGAGGAGGGAGGCCTGGGAGAGCTCCATGTCTTCCCGCACTGCTAGTTCGCTATCCTTAAACGCCCCCGTTGATGGTGTTTCTGGTTCTTTGCCCTTGGACGAGGGTGGAGCGAGTCCTCGGGCAGCCCGAATATCCCGGTCTCGAACCTCCATCC